CCATGAAACACAACAAAAACGTTCAGGTGAAAAAATTACCGGAGTCCTCCTGAATACTCCTAAAGAACAACTGAATCGTAATATATGTTTTTATGGTACCATCACTCATTCAATCGCACAGGTTACTAGTGGCAAATTTCTCCTCCTTGATATATTGTATATTGTAGCACTCAAAGAGACGATTCAATGAGTACTGACAACAAGAATTATGGACGTTACCAAATGGCAACAGCCGGCCGTCAGGGGTCAAAAGTTTTGAAAAATTATTTTTCGTTTTCGACCATCGTTATTGACTATTTTGCGTTTTTTCATTTATTCATACAAGAACAAAGCATACAAAATATATCTGGTGGATTTACATAGCTTTTCCTAGCTTTAAATGGAATTTTCTATGAAAAAAAGCCAGCATGATAGTATTCTAGCTCTCAATAACTGGTATGGAAATGGATATTTAATTTATGTATCGGCACGGATGTAGAGAAATAAAAGATCTACAAAAATGCCTATCCTGATGCCAACTAACACAAAAATCCATACATCTACTCTCTCCTTAAGTTCAAATTATGTCAAATTTTTCGTACAAAAGTCGATTTGAATCGCGAAGAAACTGCGCAGGTGTATCGTATATATTTTTTACACTTTTCTTGAATAGTTAAATGAAAGGAACGCAAAATAGTGAATTTCGATGATCGAAAACAACAAATGAAGTTTTCAAAGTTTGACCCTTTACGGCCGGCTGTTGCCAAATGGCAACATACAGCCATTCAACATAGAAGCACCGTTCAATTTTAAGAAATATTTTTTTTGCTATCTCTATGGCAGGATAAGAAAATATATGCAGAAGAAGAGTCTTAACTATGTCGCTTCTGGAAGTCGGCTGGAAAGGGTTAAATACATGCATCCACAAACCATTTTGTTTTCTTCTGTTATATCATGTAAACACTATAACGGATTTCTTCTGTTAAATCTAATATGACAGCATTCGGAAATAAATTTTGGGATTCTTCCAAAGACTTCTGTATTGCTTATCAATTTGAAGAAAAAATTACTGATAGATATCATAGAAAGTTAGACAACTTCATTTAGTTTTCATTAAAATGTGATTGTATACATCGTAGCTATCGTTTTCTTTGTAACTATCATCCTGGAAAAGATTGCCAATGGGATTCATTGGTCGCCGGTTGTATCTGATAAATGCGATTTCTGAAAATCTCTACATTCATCATCAAGTTTGTCTGGATGTAAAAAATATTTAGCTATTTTCTCTTATTTATTTCTATGAAACACAGAATTTGAAGATAAATATAATTATAATATGCATGATTATATTTCATGCAAAATTCAATAATAATATAATTCATTGCTTTAGCTATCTTCTCTAGAAGTTTTACTATTACACTTAATTGAAAGTACAAAAGTTGAAATTTTATTTTTGATTTAGATGAAGAATCAATTCATCCTAGTCTATGCAATAATTGAATTCAACAAGAAATAACTAGTTTGATGTGGTAGCAAAAGAATGGTCACGAGACATTCGAAAATATTCATTCGTAAATCAATGGTGTCTATCTAATTTTTAGGTAGACGAATGTATAAATTGCTATGTGTTAGCGTTGATAAAAAATGATAATAATAGATATAACTTTCTTCTGAGGCAACCTTAGGTTATACCGCATAAGGGTGCATTTGACAGGTGTATCTTATCAGTTCACATTCCCTTCCCATGCAAGACAGTATCAGACTAATCGAAAAGAATAAGTGATTTTGTCTACGGTTTCAAATTAAAAAAGCGCATCAATTATTAGTTTGCACCGAATATTGTATTGATTTGCATGCCTTGAAAAGATATGCATGTAACCATTATATGATTGATACTTTAGCCATTTTCAATCAATGTGTTGAAACTTTTGCTTTCTGATTCCATTTGCATCTTATATTACTCGTGCTTTTTTCCTCTGAAATATTCATTGAATAAAAGTTGGCGATATTTTTTATTCTCATTCTTAATGTACTTCGGCCTTTTCATATTACTAGTCTTCACTTTGTGTTATCAGTCAAGGTTACTTTACACATATAAATATCCACCCTTCCTTTCTGTTAGTCTCTAGTATACCGACTATCGAGATAAACAAAAATGCCCTTTCTAAAGAAAATGGAAAGTCGCGATTTGTCGTCGAAATATGGGCAAGAACAACGTGGTATCGTAGCTCTTGAACCAATTCAAGCTGGCGAAGCTATTTTTACGTGTGATTTATCGATATGCAATTATTATAGACTAGAAGATCCAACCAATAAAATGAATAAATCTGACGTTACTGCTTTGATGAAGGCTAATCCTGAATCAGCTGATTATCTTCGTTATTACACTTATATGCTTGATGATGATTTATTTGATGTACCACGTAATTATAAAACTCGAGCGATAACTGAAGATTGCTTACTTTTTAATCATTCGTGTGATCCAAATTGTGGATTTGGCGGTGAAGAAGAAGAACTTGTTGTTGCTATACGAGATATTGCCGAAGGCGAAGAACTTACCTATCATTATGGTTTGATGGATTCAGAGAATAGTTTTTGGGTTGGTTTAATATGCAGATGTGGAGCTAAAATTTGTAATGGTGAACTTAAATTTAATTGGTGGCGTGATCCAAAATGGCAAGAAAAATATGAAAAATATGCTGGTGCTCATATTAAACGAAAAATTAAAAAACTACGTGAAGAACAAGAAAAAAATAAAGTATCATCTTGATTTTAAAAATTTCTAGTTTATGAAACAATATAATTTTATCACAAATAAATATTGAAATAATAAACTTGATGAATATTCTGCAAGAGCAGTGATAACCAATGATTTTGTTTGAACGCCATAGAATCTTTATTTATGTTATTGACAATGAAATACGTGATATTTTTGTTATGGTTTTTCACTGATGTAGTATAAAAACTTTTAAAAAAATATCTCATCAACTAAAGATAACGTTGTTGTTTTAGTAAACAATAAATTAATATGAAGGAATGAAATTAATATGCGAAGTTTTTTTTTTTATCTTACACTTGATTCTGTTGATATGTCTTTTCGGCATACAATTTTACATGAATCTCATTTGTTGTATTTTGTCCAGTGTATCAGGTAGATTATACTTTGACAATGTCATTTTGTAATTATTTTGAGTATTGACAAATTACAAATATAAAACTTGAGTTTAACAGAAATAGCATTTTATTATACTATTTTTCCTATGGGTTATTTTTCAGCACGGAGTCAATATATTTCCATTATTTTTAAAATTTTGATTGAAGAACAAAGCAGCACACTCGTTTGTAGATTTAAAGAATATTACAAGCTGAAAACAATCAATTCGTGTATGATATTAGTACTTGCTATAAATCGTTGAAAACTAAACTCTGAAGAAAAAGGATAAAAAAATACTTAAAATGATAGTGACAAATTATTAGATTAGTCTATTAATTTCTAAACTATGATGACCTACAGTCATATTCATCCAAGAGACATAAAATTATTGCAAATATTATGTGGAGTGCTTTTACTAGTTTTTACCGACTATAAGTATTCGGTGAATGGAAGACAAATAAATGATTATCAAAACCGCACTCATTAATTCTAACGATTTCAATGAATTAGAAGAATTGTTTGTTTGCTTTTTGAAAATTAATAGCTTTACATATATATTCAGACAAATAAATGAAGAAGAAAGTATTTTTCTAGTCCTTGAATATATCTAATGAAAAGTCAAAAAAACCACTCTCCTACGTATTATATGAACTTTAAACTGAGAACGACATAAAAAAATATTGATAAAGATAAAACAAAAGAAAACGTTGAAGAGATCGAGAATTCAAAATCATAGGAAACAACCTACCAATCATTTACATATAGTAGCAAGTAGAGAACATTTTACTAATTATTTGATCAACTACAATGATTATAAGGCGATAGTAATTTTACTGAGCTTGATTTCATTTGCACAAACTATATTAAATGATATAAATCTACACAATAGTTCAACTTTATTAACTATTAAAGTCTGATGTTTAAACTTGCAGAACCATCTTTTGCTTCTAGCCATACATCGCAGCGCTTGTCAGAATTTCAGTGAAAAACTTATTTGCAAACGGCGTCCCGCTCGGGATTTATCAGGACACTGCGATGTATGCTTCTAACAGAAAAAATATAGATTAATAATCAAATAAATTACTGTTACTTATCTGAATTTTCCTTTAATGACAAAATTGACAAATTGGAAAATATCTAGCAAAAAGGTTCATTCGCAGTACTTCTTTCTATGAAATCTCGTATTTTACCTCGCTATTGGAGAAAAATGTAGCAAAATCAACACCATTATTGAATTTTTTTAATATACTTTTTAAAAATAGATGTTATAATATTTTTTTTATAAAAGTTATTCTTTATAAAACCGAAAACATTAGTTGGAACCATAAACATTTCATTGTAATATCATGGGACACAAACTAAGCTCATTAGCAACACCAATAAATATTGATAATCATATCCGAAATTTTACTTTAACTGTCTTTTTCATTCTATATAAAAGTTAAGTTTTTAAGAAATCGTGAAAGAATGTATGATAGAGATTTTTTTACTTGTTGCTGACGATAAAGATTGGTGAGTATTCACGACTATTACATTGTAGTGAACAAGCAGCATTCATAATGCTAGCAGATCATATCAATAAAAATTAAATGTCATTCTAATCAGAGACGCTATTTAGTTTTATCATTGATTAATAGAGATATAACTGTTTTCTAAAGATCATTTATTAATAAAACAAAACAGAAAAAGAATCACATAATCATATCGGTTCCTAAAGAGACAATCAAAACAATGCATCAACAGCATATATCTAACAGTTAATCACAATATACATGTACATATATTAACGAATTTTCATCTAGTAAGTCTACATACGTAAATCAATCATAAAAGAATCAAATTTACAAATAAAAAAAAACACCTGAGTTTATTCAACCTCACACAAGTCTTCGTCAAATTTTAAATGGCTTATATTACCATAATCTTTTATAGCATTGTAGATTAACGTTGAATTAGCCTTCGTTATAGAATGCACAGTATGCAAATGACTTTTAAAGTAATAATGACCAATCGAAGCATCGCACGGTGTATTTGGTATAGAATTTTCTTCCATAAATTCTATTGTAGTAATATCAAATGGACATTTGATATTTTCAACAAAAGCTTTTGAATTATCTTGAGGAAAAATTATTGTTTCCATTGGATTTGAATTATTTTGAATAGCTTTTAGTAATTGCAATGCTATCGATGATTCTATACGATGAGTTCTTGTGAAATGTACATATAGATAACGTCGTTTATTGTTGATACTCGAACATAAACGCGGTACTTCAAGTGAACTATTTAGATTTAGACCGAATACACCAACTTTTGTTAATGGACAAAAATCACGTAGTGTCCAAAGGTCTGTTTTACGTTTTTTATTCAATTCATCCTAAATTTAAAAACAATAGAAAAGAAACAGATGAGACAAAATCATAAAATTTAGGTTTTACTGATATAATTTGATTGGCATCCCATACTGATGTATTATCCATTGTTTCATTTCGATCTTGATGAGCAACATCTACCGGATTTGGTAATAATTCATCGCTAAATATTAATTTTTATCCAAAAACAAAGCAAAAATGAAATGTTTTTCTTTTACTCAGAATCAGATATTTCAATACATTCGATTTCGGTTGAGGCATGATTTTGTTCTAAAAATCATATTTTTCAAAGACAAAATAAAAATCATTTATCTTTTATTTACTGTCCATTGGCCATAATTTAATGCTAAAATTATAATTGCGTATTTGATTTGTTAATTCATCTTGTTCATGAAGATTATTTTGTATTTGACTTGATAAATTTTTTATTTGTTGATAATCTTCTTTTGTCAGTTGAGTAGCACCACATTTACATTGAATTAATTGTTCGCGTTTAATTGCTATTAATTCATTTGTTGTTTTAGCTAAGTTTAAACGTTCATCAATTGACAATAAACGAGAATCAAATAAAGAATTAATAAGATTTAATTCTTGTTGACGAGATTCTTCAGATTTTCTAAGGTCACATTGAGACTGTTGAAGTAAAGTCGAGATAGGACTTGAAAGCTCATCGAGTTGCTGTTCAATTTTATTTAAAAGTCGTTTTTCATGTTCAAATCGATGTTGTTGACAAACGGTTAAATGACAATGGAATATACAGGTTGTATTCGCTTCTAATGAACATGTTGGATGTTCACAAAACATTCTATTCTAATTAGTAACAATAAAACAAAAAGAGATACATAGTGTTAAAATAATTTTAGTTTGATATTAAAAAAGTAGATTAAAACGATAAACGACTTATTTAATATGAGTGATTCATTATTTGTTCTGAAAGAATGAAAAGATGGATTATTAGTGGAAAACTAAATTTTTCCTCAAATTTAAATCTTCGAATGAAGTATTTTTCTTCATTAAATAGACGTCACTACTAGTCAATACAACATTAAGTTATATAAACAATATGGAATTTTTGATGAAAGCATATTAATACGCAAAGACGTAGTATATGCAATTAATGAAAACATGATATTTTAAAAGAGAAAAATAGTTTACAAAGAAATTATATTAATTAATTATAATTAAGATCAGAACAAGCGTATGGATTACAGAATGATGAAATTCAAATAAGTTGATTATTCTGAAATTGCGTGAGTTAGTCTTCAAAGACTCTATGTACATCAAACAGCACTCGCATGTGAACTAGATGAACTATTCAGCCTTGCCTTGTACAAACAGCTGATACTTGTTTATTCAATATTAGAAATAAGAATTGCATTGTTAAGAGTCTCTTTAAATTACAAAACAAACAATGAGTGTATTTTGATCAAAGTCAACTGGATACACCCACGTTCATACTTCATTTTATGGATATTTGTGTCACGTTGACATAAACATGACTAGTGTATGATGTAGTCCTGTTAGTTTCTGCCATTAAAATGACACCAACTGCACTGATTAAATTGACCTGAATAGTTTTACAAATGATAAAGAATGAAAAAAATAGAATATAGTAGTAAACTACCATGCTTTCCTATTATTCACGTCAAGTAGTTTGTTATCTATGTGATCCATCAGAATCTGCAATATTCATCTCGCTATTTGTTTTGTTCTAAATATAAAACAAGTTGTTATAGTTATTGTTATTGTTTATTTATTTGAAATACAAGAGAGAATATTCGACTTATTGCTAACCTTAAAAAACGGGTTTCTCAATCTGTACAGAAGAAAATCAAGCAGCTAAATAACAAGTTGATTTGGTCGAAAATAAATTGTGATGAATTCTCGTGTATGGAAAGAAGAATATCTAAATATCAGTTACGTATTATATATTTTGTACAGAGAATTTTAGTAAAAGATATCACTTCATGTGATAAGGATGTTTTTTGCTAACAATATGCTGAGACCGTTTTGCATGTTCTTTGTGATAAAAGAAAAAGTACATTTTTACGTCAGAATCAAGAAAGGTCATAGCATTTTCAGTACAACGTTTATACAATAATCATTCGCTCCCGAATTAGTTTCTTTAGTCTAAAAGATGTGGAAAGAAGCGTAAATAAGCTTCTCCGTGCGAATTATCATGCAACAACCAAGTTGCTCACCTAGCACGCAAACATTAACAATTAATCTTCTGTATTTTTCTTTTTCTGAAATTTCTCACATCATCGGTGTTTCTGCCCTCTTATAACTCTCTTCATTTTTCTTCGTCTATAATAATGCAACTGAATTGCGTTTATCTTTTCAATATATAGTAGCAATTTTATCAATTACATCAACATAATCAAGCGCATCTAGACATTTTGCTGATAAAAAAAAAGAAAATTTTTAAATGGAAAAACCTGCTTTATACCCTGATTGTAATTTTTCTATTTGGTTTCGTTCTGTGAATGAAAATAATGTTACTGAAACTCCTCTTGAAGGAAGAAAAACAGGTAAAAAATAAAATGTATTTCGAAATTTCTATTTGATATACAAATCTATTTTACAAAAGGAGTAATTCCTGATTGGATCCATGGTAGTTTTTATCAAAATGGACCTGGCCTATTCTATACCACAGGGAAACGTGTTCCGCATCTATTTGATGCTTTCGCACTCATACAAAAGTATTCTAAGCAATTTTTCTTTCTAGTCAGCATAACACAAGATTTACTTTTCGAATAGGTTCACAATTGAACATGGCCATGTTACTTATCAAAATCGAATTCTTCAATCGAATTCGTATAAAAAAGCATATCAGACTGGTCGATTATGCTATTCAGAATATAGTACTTCAACAACTGAAGATAAATCCATGTCATCATGCAAGAGATATGAAGCAGGATCTACATTGAGTTGGATTTTTACACGGTAACTGTTTTGAACTGTTCTTTACGATAAATTAAGAAAAAAAAGAATCTTTTATATTTAGAATTCAAAATCTTATTAATTACGAAAATGATTTTCGAACAGATAATGCAATGATTACTATTTTCCCCTATCAAGTCAATGATGATAAAGTAGCATTGTTTGCTATGACTGAGGTTTGAGAGAACAAAATGCGAATAAATTTATGTCTTTCATAATGGATCTACCTCGATTTTCATTAAATTTAGACTCCGACCATGCATGAAATAGACCCAAAAACAATTGAAACACGTTCTACGTTTAATGTCAGTGAACATGTACCTATTTTTTCTCATTGTGCTCATCCTGTTATTCTTCGTGATGGTACAATACTTAATGTTGGTTTAGCAGCAAGTTTCATGGGCATGAATTATGTTTTATTTGAATTTCCCGGTTTGGAAAAAGGTCGAATAAAAACAAAATTGAAAATATATTCTAAAAAATAATTTAGGTTCTTCAAAGTTAAACAGTGAAGATAATATGATGATGCAATGTAGAACATTAGCAAAAATTCCATGTCGTTGGCCAATTAATCCATCATACATGCATACATTTGCTGTTACCGACAATTATATTATTCTTATTGAGCAATCGTTATGCATATCGTTGACTCAAATGGCTCATCTTACAATAACACGTGGTCCATTGGTAGATGCGCTTGTTTGGTATGAGAATGAACCGGTTTGTAGAAAGAATTTGGATTTTTCAATAAAAACTATTCTTCTTATTCAGGTTCGATTTCGCCTTGTCAATCGTCAATCAATGGCTGAATATAATGAATATATATATTTAACAAAAGCATTTTTTTATCTCCATATAATTAATGCTTATGAAGATAACAATCATGTAGTTCTAGATATTTGTACTTATGATACTCCTGATATGCTTAAATGCATGATGATAGAAGCACTTGAAGTAATGCTTTATTGAAGATAAAAAAAAAGTTTATTTTGTTCGTCTGTTCACATTTATTTCTTTAGAATGCTCAACAAAACCCCGACTATTTAAAACAATTCACTAGTAGACCAAAACGATTTGTCTTACCTATTTCAGTCAAATACGAAAACGGAAATTTAAATAGCTTAAATTATACGACATGTCATGTTAAATTTCTGGATAAAAAAAGTTTATGGATTCAACCAGAAATAATCATTGATATAGGCTGTGAATTACCTCAAATAGATAATTTTAGATTTTATGGAAAATTTTATCGATTTTTTTATGGAATCAATACTGATATTGATTATCAATACTGCGGAGCAGTAAAATGAAATTTTTTTTTCTTCTTTTAAAATGTAACTCTATTAGTTTTGTATATTTAGATAAGAAAAATTGATGTTCTTTCGAAAACAGACAAGTTTTGGCATGAAACCGGTTGTTATACGTCAGAGCCGATTTTTCTACGAAATCCTTTGAATGACACTGTAAGATAAGAAGGATATCTAGTGAATTATTTAGATTTTATTATTATTCAAGGAAGAAGAGGATAACGGTGTTTTAATTATGTCATTGCTACGGAATAGCCGTGAACATGAAGTGAGTCTACTTGTGCTTGATGCGCGAGATATGACAGAAATTGGACGTGTTCAATTTGATACCAATGGTCCTGCACCTAAAAGTCTTCATGGCCTTTGGATTGGTTCAGGAATGAAATTCACACAATAATCAAATGCAACAATGAAACTGAGTCAATCATATCTATATAAAATTTAGTTAGTCGTCAAATATAAATTCAATTGAGAACTTCCGTGTTGTTTTTTGTTGCTTATTATTAATAAATGGTTTTTTGCTTGCATCAATATCTGAATGTCTTAGTATAGCAATAAAATCTTCATGTTCATATATTGTATGAAGTCACTGAAATACAAAGTGACTTAAATTAGAGGTATCATTATTAAGTATATTGGTATGTTGTAATGCATTTTAATTTCCATGCGTACATGATCCTCTTCTGTATCATCATGTTCAATGAGATGTTATGGTGACAATGCACGAATAGTATACACAATTAGTTTAGGTAATTGATGATAAAGAGCCTATGTGAAATTTTTCCTTTACGGTAGCTTCTATACAGAACTAAAATGATTAACTAGTAGATTTGGTTCGAATGAATAGTGAAATATATCATTTTATATCTACTCTATTGATACTATGAAAGAAGAAATATTAAGCGAATCACAGAAAAATAATAACCAATAATTCTGAATTGATGAGATGAAATTTTCTGTAGCATTCAAAAATTGATGTTTACATAATCGAGGTCGTTCAACTGACAACTATTTTCATGATGTATATGCAAATAGTATTAGCGTTTCAAAATAATATTATTAATTTCTTAATGAATATTATATTTCATATCTATTAATGTAATCAGTTCAGTTATTCAATCGAACAACAAATTCTTCTTTGAAAGTTATTTATTGATAACTCAAACATTCTTTTCATTTTTGAATACAAAGACATTATAACATCGATTAAATGGAAAACAATACACAGTACAGACTTTTTATTTTTATATATCTAACAAATCTGGACAGTTACAATGAAAAAAATTAAAATTAGACAATTATAAGTCACATAAAAGGTTCTTTTGTTAGTAGAGTATATAATGCGATGAATAACTGTGAGAGTTTTATTTTGATTTTCATACTCATATTTTACCAATCACCACTACCAAAGTCACCGCCTAAGTAGAAAAAAGTCGTTGGAATCATTAACAGAAAAATGTTTAGTTACCTCCAAAATCACCTCCACCACCACTATAGTCTAGAAAACATTTGGAAAATTGATTAAATCTGTATGAATTCAATGAATCTTACCATTTCCACCGTAACTGTTGTCATCGCTGTTATCATCACCTCCGCCACTATAATCATTATTATCACCACCATTATCCTGATTACCATTATCACCCCCATATCCTTAACAATATCAATTAGAAATCAAATGTATATACTTATAATACAATGGTTTTTACCTTCATAGCCTCCGTAGCCCTGATTTCCTGACCCTTGATGATCATTATCATTAAAATTATTTGTTTCGTTATCGTAAGAAATATCATTATTCGTTGTATCATTATTATAGCTAAAATATTGAAGTTTGTTCTTTTCAATATATAGGAAACGATACACATACTAATTACTGATGACTGTATTATCATTGTCTTCACTTCCCCATTCACTGTAAAAGAAACCAATCCACATTGAGTGTTTTCAGAAAACCTCAATATTATTTTTCGAAACAGAACATCTTGTTTTAAGCATGTCTTATCGAAGCATAATATAAATATACATCTACTAACTTACCCATGTCCATGATAGTCCATTCCGGGGCCCATTCCATACCCCCATCCATTATGTTCCTTAAAACCGCCTCCCCATGCATATCCCAGAGCACCTAATATAAACATAATTATAAATCAATTATTTGATATTTTTCTCCAGATCGTACCACCAAGTAGTGCTCCACAAGCAAGCCCAGCCCCTGCACTAACTAGTGAACTTCCACCACCCCCACCAGGATGATTATCACTGTATCCTCCACCGCCATATGAAGACGATGGCTGTACGACGACAGTGGTATGATTATAGTTTGGTTGCGGTTGTTGAGGATACGGACTTGAATTTGGATAAGCTAAAAGAGACTTTTAAAAGAGTCGTAGTCAGATAAAATACTTAGCACACGTGTTGGAGCATGATATCTTGGAGGACCTGGTGGTTGAAAAGCATTATTCTGTTGTGGATGAGGTGGTGCTGATGGTGCGGGAGGTAACTACATAAAAGAAATAATTATTGGTTTCTATTAAATGTAATGTAATTCGCTTACTGTAGAAACAATCGCTTTCATCCACTCACTAAATATTTGAAAACATACACGAATATTAAATCATTTTATTATTATTCTTACTTAAGATGTGAAACATCGTTACAAAGAATCCATACTATTTCTTGATGATGATCTCCGGATAACGATCTTGGCAATGCAATAAGATTTGCTTCATCGGTTGGCCGAGGAAGTTGTGGTCTTTTACGAAAACATCGTGTATATGGTCCAACACAAAGATTTCGAGCTATATCACGAATACGTATTGACTCATCTGGCTTTCGATCATTTTGTTTTTCAAACCATTGCAGTGTAGAATCATCGAACAATACAAAATAATAATCTTTCCATTTTTTCGATAGTAAACCTTCTACAATAGAAATATTTCAATTTTCGCTAGAAATTATTGTGCATCTAAACGAAAAAAAAAGACTTACTATGAAAGTATCGAAGATGACCTGTTTTAATGTGCTGAGACATTGTGTTGCTTTTAAAAAACTGTTAATCACAATATGGATATATACAGATAGATTGATTAATTTTGGTCTACACCACAGTCAGGTCAAATGTTTATTGACCCAAGCGAAAATAATTCATATAGTAGAATAATCTTGCCAACACCAAAAGAAACTTTCTTTTACTCAATGATTCGGATGAGAGAATATATACATTCGATTCGAAACGTTGCTTGGATGTTGATCGAGATTGAAGAATGTATACTTTTTTCTTCTTCTTTACTGTTCTTTTCATTTTCTGTCTTGTTCTGCTTATTCATAGTAAAACAGAAACCAAGCATTTACTGGCGTCTATTTGATTTTTCTTTTTCATGAGCCAATAAAGAATTGCTTGTAAAATATGTTAAGAAGGCGGTTGCATATTGATGACAGTATGTATGAACAATGACATTCGTTATTAGCGTGATTTCACAAATGAAAATATTTGTATCACTAAACGCGAACGTTTTCTTTAGTTAATTTATGATGCTTTAAAAGACTCAGTCTTATAAATATTAATTCTACCAGCCAATAACTGAAAAATCAACTTTAATCATCTCACTCAAAAAAAAAGAACACAGAACAGATGTTTTTGTTCTATTTATTTATTTTTATGATTTTTAATCGTACAAATAATAGTTTTGAAAATGACACCGTCAATTTTATAAAAGACCCTTCTAACTTTAAAATTTCAACGCAAAGCTTTTTTGAAATTATTACGTTTATCTGATACTAACATCTCAGATAATTACGAATATAGAAAGAAAAAATTCTTATGCAACTAGAATGACCAGTTGAAAAAATGCAAGTCTCAAATCTATTAATCCCTGTTGAAGACACAGTTTTACATCGAGTCAATTATATAAAGTCTATTTCTAAATTCTTAAATTTTTGCTCATAAACCTCAAGACCTATTTACTAATTATGAATTAGTTAATTTACATTAGTTCGTTTCATGATTTGACACGAAAGAGAAGAATAAATATTATTCGAAAGAATGGTGAGCTAGAAAAAGACATGATATTAATTTATGCACATTTTTGTACAGTGCCTAATTCTTATGTAAGATCAAAAATAATTACATCATGTTTACATCAAGATAGTTTATCATGATAAACTCACTGAAAAAACTCGTTACTCATTAGTTTAACACTGAATTAATCGATTTCGCTTGTAATTATATCAAAGATGTATATCTGCATCGAATAAAACACATTGCTTCATATATTCATATACATATATATCGATATCTCAATAGAATAAAAAAGAAACAACAAAGAGAAAAAAAATTATAAAAATGTGCCACTGATGTATCAGTGAATTGTCAAAGCAAATCAAGCGCAAAAAAATACACAAAATCTCTTTTTCATTCGTTTCACTGTGGAGAAAAAACGAAAACAAATTGAAAATCATTAGAAAATAATGTCATTTTAGCATTCCATTTTGTCTTAATTTTAAACAAGCAAGAACAACTTGACATTGATACATTGAACCTTGTAATTCTGATGACATTTGATCAAGATCAGTTGCCATCACTGATCCACTAGCGTTTGAAGGTTGATTACTAGCTGAATTTGCTATCATTAATTTTGATGGTCTCATTAATGTTGGTCCAAAAACAACAGCTAAGTTTTCTAAATGCATCATGTTTGTACGTGAATTTTCACTAACGCGAATTAAATGATCGAATAGATATAATAAAATTTTTCGATTATCCGAATTTAGTAATTCAAATGTTTTTACTAATATAACACGTTGATTGTCAATATCAGTTAATTGGACAGCACTTAGAAATTGTTGATAATATGCACTGCTAAATAATGGCTCGGGTAATTCACGAAAAAATAATTTTAATAGATTAGCTGCAACATGAACATTCTTTTGTGCTAACATCTCTTCACCATGGCGATAATCTCGATCAAATTGAGCACGAAGTTTTTGTAAATCAGATGCAACACAACATACACGATATATGCCTGTTTCAACTAAGCCATCTTGTTCGACCATTTCAATACATTTAACAATGATACGTGGAATGCCATTAATACTAAAAATAGCAATAGATAGATGAGAAGATTTTCGTTTTGAAAAGAAAAAATATTTCTATAAACATACTGTCCATTTGGTGTGCTTATTAATTTTTCAATACTTTTTCCAAATACAGCAAGACTACGTTTTGATGCTTGACGTTTGAATGTTCCTTCGCGTCGCGAGTAGTTTAAGGAAATTTTTAATTTTAAATCTCCAGATGGAGATTCAAAATATGTAACTTGATTTGGGCTATGTTGGCATTCACGTAACGCAGTTTCGATCTTAATTTGAAAAGTTCTTCGTTAGTATTGAATGAGAATGATAAAAATCGGCTTTTACTTACATCTCGATGAAATTTACCAATACATGTTTCTGGCTGCGAATTATGATGACCATCTGCTGTCGATGATTCGATCCGATAGATAAGGAAGCGAAGCGCAAGTGAATATTCTAATTCAATTTGAAATACCTAAATGAATAGAATTGTTTTTTTTCTTCTAATTATGCATCAACAGCAAGTTTAAGTAAAAAGAGTATACTGAATGTAACATCTCTCATAACGGGCTGATATTTCTATACGAAATGAGTTTTGAAAATTTAGATTTTGTGTTTTCTTTCCTGAAAACAATTAGTAGAAAAATTGCTCTTGATGAAACTCTCTTTGTTTATATTCTTGTTTATTCATAATATTTGATTCATTCGATGATTAATTTTATTTCTTTTTGTTATCAGTAGCGGAGAAAATGTTTTGAAGAATATGAAGCTTTTTCATTCAGTAGAGTCCCTCCTGACACATAATCTATTAGATCTAGTATGCTTTGTTTTAATCTTGCCGAGTTATAGGCATTGCACTGAGTATCTGACTTGGTGAATAATATCATTTAGAGTTGCAACTATACTGATTGATAGATTGTTTGACTCTAATCACACGTAGAAAGATTTAGATCGAGTCAATCTATTATTTATCAAATAATAGTTTAATACAGCGGTGAATTTTTCTGAATCATTTCTGAAAATACACTTTGATTGAGAACCAAGTTTTAGTATCTCTCATGATTGATAAAGTCTATACTTATGTAAGGAATATCCTGTACGAAGATTAAAACGCAGCAAAAATGATAATAACATGACAAGAAACAACTGGAAATATTAAATTTTAGTAGATTTTACTGGATCTCAAGAGAGTAACTAATCAAACAAATTTCATCTCTAAGATTTGGTTTTCTCCAGTGAAATAAGTTCTCTCATCAAATTATGATTATTTTTCAATGAGACATATAGCTAATAATTAAATATGTTCATGTTAAACGTCAACTCAGTGGATTTCTATAATCTTTAAACGAATAAAACAAACGATCTTATCGAAACAATAATGAATTGATTTGAGTTTTTATATTATCGAAAATACCTCTTCTTTAAATTCAACCAATTCAGGTTGTATCATTTTTTGAGTTCGTGTTTTTGCATGCGTATTAAACGTATTATAGGAATCGATTTCAACAGCGACATAAAATTGAAAATGTTTTTGCAATTGCTGTTGCTGTTGCATTGATGACATCGCTGGTAATGTTTGATATTGTCTTGTTGGATTGTAGAGAGCTGGACCTTGCATACTATATATTGTAATACATAATGTACCAGAGTATGTTTTGCAAGGTGATATAGTCTGAGTAGTTGATGATGATTCAATGGAATTCGATTCAGATAAATTTGGTTTAATTAAATCGAGACGTTTTTGTATAATTGAATCAGATAAGCGTAGTTGATTATTAGTTTGATTTAATGCAGCTGAACTACGTTGAATGAGTTCTTGTTTTGTTCTATCAATCATATCGACCCAATCTTGTAGTTGATAAGCAGAAGAAAAAAGAATCGTTGCCAATGGAAATGCGCCGGAAGTACTCGACAAGATAAGTTGAATCTTTGATTGTGCTAAATTAAATTCGCTTTCATGTTTACGAATATTTTTCGATAAACGACTTGCTAATACATTCTAGAAATAGATCATTTTGTTTTAAATCTTTTCTTTTCGGATTACAATTTATTTGATTTACATTATTTTTTGGTGTTTTTTCTAATTCTTGATAAACAGATTTAAGATTTGTTTTTAATTCATCTACATTTACAATATAAGAGTTTAGTTTATAGAACATACACTTTTCTTGTAAAACTTACCACCGGTATCACTAGTATCATCGGAAGCACTTTGAGATATCGTCCATTGTAAATCAAGTATGGGAGTAAACCAAAGCAGTGTGTATTTTGGACTAAAGAACAAAAACAAAAGAAGAATGTCATTGATAACAAATGTCTCTATTGTGACTGCAAATCTATCGTTGCTACGATAGTAGTTTTGAAAGATCTATTTCGTTGATATCGGTTACAGATATTTCCCGTTCTATCGGTTGCTACTTTTTAGAAATGATTCTATCCAGTAACGCTACACCCAGAATGATCAATAGAAATGTCCAATGTCAAATATTTCTAGTCGTAATTCTTGATTACAAATGATATATTTCAGAGCATATTTTTGTGTGAAATCTAAAAGAAAATCTTAAATACTCTCGATTAGAATAATACGGATTATGAGTTTTTTTTTACTTTTTTAGACTCTTACTCCTGCAGGTTACTTGGGTAGAAGTGATTTTTAACACGGTTCAATTGAAAATAATAGAGAGCTTTAGTAAAATGCTTAAATTCGATTTCAGCATAATTTATTAGTGTCGTCGTTCTCCTAGTTTCATGGGTAGTGATCTCTTTTAGTGGAATATTCAGAAGAATAAAACATGGAACCATTCGTAAATTTTTAATATGTTTTTTTCCTTTTCTTTGAAATATATATTTCAAAACATTTACCTTGCAAGTAATTTAGCTTTTAAAGTACAAGTAACAATACCATCAGGATAGAGTATAAGTCGGCAACGATCACGATGTCCTCGTGCTGACATTATAGCAACCTCTTCACTTTTTAAAATAACTTTATTGATGTTTTCATCCTGGCGACTCTACAAAAAATGAAGAAATCAAATTAGTGATTGAGAATTTATTTCTTAGATTAAAATCAAATACGTACACCATATAATTTGCATTTTTCGGCATGAAAATATAATTGAGTCATATTTTTTGTATCACCAGATTGTAATGACTGTGATGTTTGATATAAATCCTAATATTTTTGCAATGTAATAGACTACATTACGAGAAGAGAAACAATTTTATAAAGAAAAACTTACTTGTACTTGAGATAATATTTGAAGAAATTGTTTTGGAGGAATGGATAAAAGATCTAACATAGACAAAAGTTTTTGGATTACTCTTTTATTAAACGTAATGCTACGAAAAAGCTGTACTTTGATATGCGACGATTCCGACCTACTGTATGAGGTATATACTCACATCAAAATTTAGTTCAAGAAGTGTATGAGTACAAGAACTAGACTCATAGCAGTTCAAAATGAATCACTCTGTCGTATGAGTTTGTTCTGAAATTCTTGAAAAACTAAAATAGAGTCTATACGAATGAATAAAAGAAACTAGATGTTACATTGTAATGAATGAACTTTTGCTTTGAAGTAAATCGTTTACTATATGGTAGATGTAAGATGACATACATGTTAATTCTATACCATCATATTTATAGAGAAAAAAATTTTTCGGCGATGACATTCGATCTTTGTGACAATATTTCTGAATATAATATTCAAAGATTATAACAGACTTGACAATATTCTTCGAAAGACCAAATGTCGCAGTTCGAAATCATATTCTTTCTCTAAATACAATGGCAGAGAGTCACGCCTTTGACATGACACATGTATCATACCATATCTAACATAATGCAAAAATTTACTTCATAGAAAAGTTTCATTTCCTAAAATGTAGCATATGCTTTCGACTCTTTATTTTACCGAGTTCTGTTATGTTTTTTCAACAATTGTTGTAGAAAAATCACTCCATAGTAAAAGTCATACGATAAATTGAGTACAATTATTTCGGCTTCTAAAAGTCTAGTTCAAATATCCGTCTATTTTCTCAGTAGAATAATTGTATAAAAAAAAGACTACAGACAACAACTGCAGTGCTTGCAAAATTTCAATATTGAAAAAGTAAAATCATACGAAAACATTTGTCAGTCGCTACACGTCCGATTAGACAAAAAACAAACATCTTTTAAATAAACAAACCTTCAATTGGTAATGCATTTGTATTGATTCGTTTTTCAAATAATTTTCGAATAGGTGCTAAATTCAGTCGAATATACTCATCGTACACTGGAAGTGTTCCCATCTATAAATATCAAATTACTTAGTTTACTCGACATTCTCGAATGAAAATAATAATAAAGAATCATACTAATGTTTCAACAGCGTGTGTTAAGTATCTTATTAACGTTGCTGGTTCACGATCACCATCATATAAGTCTTCAATTTCTTGATAAACTTTTCCATGTTGCTCAAATAAGTTTTGTACTAAACTTTGAAAATTTCCTGGAATAAATATTTGATTTACCTAAGGCAAGACAAGAAAGAAATACTTTATAAAAGAAGAATAATAAAAAGTAAAACTATCTACTTGTTCTTTCATTTTTTTTAATTCATCACAATAAACTTGTTCTTTTCTCGACCATTCTTGTACAATACTCCAAAGAACTCTTTGCTGTCGTAACTAAATAAAAATGACACTTTTCGTTATGCTGTTTACTTTTTAGTTTTCAGTATAGTTTTTACAATAAGGTGAGTTCTTTCGTCCTCTTCATATTCATTTGTTGAATCTTTATTTGTTAATTGTTCATCATCTTCAGGCGATGAATTATCAAAATCACTATCGTAGTCTTCAATAACTGCTTCTCGTGTAGAACAAGCCATGTGCAATAGGTTTTCGTTTATTTTTTCTTCCCTATGATCATGATCATGTTGTTGATCACTATTTCCAGTTGATGATATGGTATGAATACCACCTATAAAAAAAATATAGGTCAGTTGACAGAAATATTTTAGAAGAAATATTTTTACCACCAAAACAATGAACACGAGAGAAAAAATTTTCAAAACGACATTTCTTATATTTTGTTTTTGATCAAAAAGGGAGTAAAAATGTGTATGTTAGTGAATGCGAATACAAAATGAAATATTATCTGTAAGTACATTTATTTGAATCGATAACAAAATCATTGTTAGTGTCAACAACTTTTATTAAACTTCATGCTCGTTGAGCTCATCCCACTCGATTATCAGCACGATAATTTTGTCTTTTTTTTCCTACTGAATGTTCATGCATGCGTACATAGTTCATTTTATTCTCCGTTACTTCTATCTTACTTTGAGAAATCGAAAAAAAAGACGAGAAAAAAAGAAAAAAAAGAAGAGTGACAATAATTGGATCATTTCCTCAATCTATTTTCCATTCCGGGTGACTAGATTCAATCGGGCAAAAAAGGAAATGGCCTTGACTATTTAAAAAAACAATGCTCGCTTATAGATCATTGCTGATTAATCTTATTAAGTTACATATATATATATATATATATATTGTAATAAAAAGATTTGAAAACAAAAGCTTAGCTTTTGTTTAGTGCAAACCTTGGAAAATATGCAAATGATTAATTTTTCCGTTTTTTTTTTCATTGATAAATCTTCGATTTACATTGAAACAATGAAAATGATTAAAAAAATCTCTTCTGCTCAAACGTCATCTGTTCACATCGACAACGAGAAACATATTCGTTATGTCAACATTGAAGGTCAATCTTTCCGAAGATAGCTTTTTATGATTGATGAAGCTCGACATACCTGCTATTCCTAAGACAAAACATACGAGAGAAAAAAGTCTTCATAGATTCATAAATATTTGATTCACAAATGAACAAAGAAGAAAAAGATAAAAGAATTGGATACTTAATATAAGAAAGGAACGCCATAACAAAAGCAATATATTTCATTTAATGATCAAACTGTCGGAAACTAATAAAATTTTCATGAATAAAAGAAAAGAAAATCAAGTTAGTTTTTAGTGAATAGGGTTTGTCGAAATAATTAATAGAGATCGAACTAGTTCATTGCAATGGCAACAAGAAGAAGAGAAATAAAAATAATAAAACTTACTATCGTTTTGATAATTATGAATGTTAGTTTTTGCATCACGATCATTTATATTAGGACTGTTCTCCTCTTCATCAAAACTTTCGCTATTATATTCTTGTTCATCATCATTATGAGCATTATCGTCATGAATAACATCATTATCATCATCATATGTTGGTGAATCATTATTGAATTTTTCAACAGCAGCAGTATGACTCAAATGACTTGGCTTTTCATCTTCACTTTTGATTTTTTCTGATTCATCGGTTCTAGAATGATCATGTAATGGAAAATCAGTTTCCTGTAATTTTGTTGAAATTCTATGATAAGCTGGTGGTTCTGGTGGCAACGGTAAATCTTTAATATAAGTTAATTCAGGTCGACGATTAACACTAATCAACTGAATATTATTATCACTTGAATGTGCAAAAGACTCAGTTGACGATAAAGTCGATCGAAGATGCATTAACACTGGTGAATGCTGATGAGGTAGATTTGAAGAAGAAGATGATGTAAAATTAGGTGGTGATGCTATCGAATGAGCTGCTTTAAGTGATGGTAAAGGTATATGAGTATCAGAAATAGGTAGACCAGATGATTGATCACGATAATCTGTATGTAATTTTGCTTGACGACCAAATAATTCATGGCCCCGTGATCTCTGTGATGGTGGCTCGTTCGGTGGAGTCGCCATTCGGTCTAGAATAAGAAATATTAATATGAGATATTGCTTGAAATGTTTTTTTTTCTTTATGGTGAAGCTTATCAAGCGATAGAGCCCTTATTTATTTTTGGTTGCTTGCATATTGACTCATATTTGTCACAAGAAGAAAAAATGCATACAATTTATAATATTTATGTGATTTATTCTTTTTTTTTCGAAAAGAACAAAAATATGAAGTATAAGTTTATGTATTCGCGATCCACTTAAATGAATATGAATTCAAAAGTATGATGGTATGAAGTCTGAAGGAAAAGATTGTCAGTAATTCAAAATAGAGAAACAAGCGCAATAACACGAAAATGTTGATGACGATGAATGCATAGAAGAAGAAGAAGAAGAAAGAATCATAGGCAGGTGCTGTGTTGATAGATGCATAGAAGAAGACGTGACATGATGTGTTCGCTTCGTTTTTTTCTGAGTGAAAAAACAACACAGAGAGAAAGAAAAAGAAAAACGAACTACTCAACGTATAATCAGATTTCTTTACGTCTTTGCATATAGTTTTATAACGAACAAAGAAAACGATTCAATGGATACTTACAATTCATTTTGATCTGTTGCTTATAATGATACATATTTATTTTGTGTATATTTCGATCGAATGCTTGGTTAAATAGTCAGATTGTTGACTATCATGATTTATTGGTCTTTGATCAAGTAAAAACGACAAGGTATGTGTACTAGTAGATGACTTAGTGAACACAACAGAAAAAATAAGATGCAAGAGAAAGAACAAAAAGAAAATGAAAGAATTGGTGATTGTTCCCGCTTGGTCCTCCCTTTTACCGCCCTCATTCTCTTTCTTTGTACTATTATGCACACGCCCATAAGCGGATCATGTTCGTCTGTTCACTCATTCTATATATAATATTGTTGTTCTCTATGCATATATATATATATATATATATATATATATGTGTGTGTGTGTATGAATGTGTAACCCTAGCAGCGTCATCATCACCATCACTATTCTTTCAATGTTCAATTGAAATGTCAGACAGTGCCAAAAAAATACATTACTCAACGTACAAACACACACACACACACACACACACACACACAAATCACGATAAGGAGAGAAAAAGATCAGACGTCGGGTATATTTATTGTCGGAGAAATAATAGTAATCGATCATGTCCAACGGAAAGGCGCAAAAGATTAGGTTCAATAATAACAGTATTGTATGCAATCACTACAACACTGCAGACAAAGATAATGCAAAAGAAGATGAAGACGAAAGAAAAAAAGAAACTAAAGAAAAACAGTCGTTAAAATCTTCAAGAGAATAGACAAAAAAAAAGCTAAGTAAAGATTAGAGAAAAAAAGCAGATGTCTAATACTTTGACATTCATAAATACTTAAACACGCCGGAAGTGTTAATTAATTATTTTTACTCATATTAAACATCCTTATCCATTGTAAACAATAAATATAACAAATAATATCTACATATAATACAACAGAGGACGAAAAACGAAAAACGAAAAATAAGTAGACAATATTAACAGGAGTGTTTTTGTTCTGTTTGTCTACATCTCTGATTTCACTTAACTACAACCACATATCTGACTCATCATAAAATTCATGTTTGAATCATTCTTTTACCTAAATTTTACTAGTTCTTTTCATTCATTCGTTTTATTTCTTTCAAATGAACAACAATACTTAACATCACTTTATGGAGGGAATGGCATAGAAAGTTGACATTATATGGTATATTTAAAAATACTATAAAAGCCGAATGAAAATTTAATAGAAACCATTGTTTGTTTGCTTTGTGAAATGTTGATACCTATTTTTTCTTTACAATTGAATAATAAAGTATTTCCACGAACATTTGCAGTTGGAAAGTTTAATGGCAAAAATCCATCTCTTATTGGCGCTACTGCAGGAAATAAAGTGCAAAAAACAATATTTCTTCGAAATAATAATAAATAATTAAAGTTCTTTTTTTCATAGGTTTTTATTCATTCTCCACATGATATCAATCCTCAAGCACACCAATTAGATGGAAGTGTTTCTTTTCTTAATGTCAATCAAGTCATAACAAGTTTAGCATGTGGACAACTTGATGAACAATTAGAAAAAGATTTACTTGTTGTTGGAACAAACACAAATATCATAGCTTATGATATGGATCGAAATGTTGATTTATTTTTTCAAGAAGTTAGCTTTCAAACTTGACCTTTTCCTTTCAATTCCTAATTTCTTTCTTAACAGATTCAAGATGGTGCCAATGCAATTACTATTGGTTCATGGGGCGAATTACCAGAAACATTAGCTATTGTTGGTGGAAATTGTTCAATACATGGTTTTAATAAAAAATGCGAAGATGTTTTATGGACAGTAACAGGTGATAATGTATCTGCACTTTCTCTATTAGATTTCAATAGTGACGGTTATAATGAAGTAGAATATTTAGCTTTTCTTCGTTTTTGGTGTTGTATCAATAGTTCTTTTTTCTTTTCTTTAGCTTGTTGTCGGCTCAGAAGATTATGATATTCGTGTATTTCGTGAAGATCAATTAATAGCTGATATGCAAGAATCAGAAATTGTTGTTTCGATATGTCCACTGGTTAGTGGAAAATTTGCATATGCATTATCGAATGGCACTATTGGAGTATATGAACGATCAAATCGACAGTGGCGTATTAAATCAAGAAGTATTGCGATTGTTTTAGAGACATTTGATGTTGATGGGGATGGTGTTGAGGAATTAGTAACTGGTTGGAGTAATGGGAAAGTAATTTTTAAAATTCGAGTTCTAATCATACCTAAAATGTATTTTATTAGGTTGATATACGAAACGATCGTTCAGGAGAGGTGATTTTTAAAGACAGTCTTACTGCATCAGTTGCTGGTATTGTTAAAGTAAGAAAATAATAAGATAGATGTTGAAGACATGAGCTTCATTTAGGCTGATTATCGGGTAGCAGGAGAAAATTCATTAATTTGTTGTACGAATGAAGGTGAAGTTCGTGGTTATAAATTTTCGGTACAAGACGAAAATTTAGCTGTTGCTCATACATTTAAAAGTAGTCAAGAAAGAGTTCGAGATTTATTACAAAAGAAACAAGTAAGAGGAATACATTTTTAATAGATTAATCTAAATTTGTAGAATTTAGGCACTACTTCTTGAAATTCAAAATTTTGAAAATATAGGCAAAGCCAATGAAGGGCTAAATGATCAGTTTGGAACAATTGAGGTTTTAGCTAAAATTCCGGTTGGTATACACAGAAACAAGAAATGAGCAGTTAATAATCGTTTTAATTATGTAATAGGCCAGTACTGCAATTCAAACAAGTCTTGCAGTAGAAAAAGTCGGAAATGATTTACCTGTAGGTCAAACACTTTTTTTAAATTGAAAATACAACCAACAATCCTTTTGTTAATTTACAGGGGCATATTGCAATTAAAATCAAAACAACAAATGGTAAAATTTGAAATGTAATTTGTTTTGTCTTTGATAGCAACTCTTTATTTTTTAGACACAATTATAAGAGCAGTAACCATATTTGCGGAAGGCTTATTCCGAGGAGAATGTTACGTTGTGTATGTTATAATTTTAACAAATTGTTTATTATCAATCAATCTTTAATTTAGTCATCCAGCAGCACATCAACTTCAAGAAAGTGTAACAATCCCTATAGTTCTACCTCGAGATGCTGCTGTTGATTTACATTTACAAATTTTTGTTGGAACAAAAACAAGGTAGCTATAAATATCATAATTTCATTTATTATTAAAGCATTTTCTTTCTGGTCTAGTAAACTTTTTCATGTATTTGATTTGTCTCGATCATTGCCCATTTTCTCAATGTATACAATTGTTGAAAATTCATCTCAGAACGAACCAAAAGGTTATGTAACTTTTTCGATTAATGAACGTATTTCACGAGTCAGTTACTGAATGTTTATTATGACTTTTTGTTTTTTATTCAATTTAATCTGTTTTTTAAAAGATTGTTCTTTGGATCAATCATCATTTTCTTTTGGCTGAAGAATGCGCAGCTGATCCAGCTAGTTTATATGTTACTTTCTTATGTGTAAGAACAGACGCAAAATTAGTTATTCGAATGCAAAATACGGGACATGTTAGTCGAATGTATTTTTAATGCAAAAAGACTTTCATTATCGTTTTATTATAATTTCAAGGTTAGGATTCAAACAGATGACATAGAATTAGCTGGAAATATAATTCAATCGATGGGAAAATTTTTAAAAATTGAAAACTTATATACAACTGGCGACTTTCCACTAGAATTTGAACTACTTCGACAAGTTTTTTCTCAAGTATTACCTTTTTTCTCGTGTAAAAACCTAATCCTAGTTCAACTAACATATTTAGATCGAAGAATATCAAGCGGCTCGTCAAAGAATTTCATCGGATATGGCTGAACATGCAAGTATTATACGAAATTTTTTAATACGTGCTGAAGATGCTCGTCTAATGGGTGATATGTAAGTACATTAAAGTCATAGATACTCATCAATTAAAATATCACGAATATTTTTCTCAATTTCGATTAGTTAAACTCAAGGGGGAATTATAAAAAGTCATTGAACTACTTCATACAAAAAAGAGAAAACTTGCCAATTTAGATTTTATGATTAATACTCAATCGGTAATAATGTATAAGCTATTGACAATTTCTATTACATGAAAACGGTAGATGAGATTTTCATAGATAAATTTTTTAATCGTTATTGCTACACAAATCGTTATGTTTTTCTGTGACAACTTTCACATGTGAAAATCTGAAATAAGATTTTTCATTCTCAAATGATCTGTTCTTAATAAGAGAATTGCTTGTTTTCAAATTACTTGTGAAAGTCCTATCTTTATAATTTAGACCAATTATGAAACAACATTACATTGATTTACTTCATTTAAACCGCGATTTGATAAATGGTTATACAATTCGATGTACAAGTCATGAAGAACTAATGAGACATTTACGATTTCTTAATCAAATGGTACAAAAAGCTGGTAACTTAAGAAGTAAGCTATTCTTAGTTTAAAAATTCAAGCATAAACAAGTGATTTCCTTTGTAGTCGGCAAATATAAGACAAATACAGTTAATCACTGTCGTGCCGCAATCAAAGGAAATAATGTAGAACTATTAATTAAATCAATTAAATCTGGAACTGTTTGATACAATCAATTTTCTGCTACTTCTCTTTTGAAATTTTCTCATTTTTCGCAATAAGATAGGTTTTGACTGTTTTTTCTCACATCTCAGTTTTTGAATTTTAATAAAACATTTTGAATGACTACTGTGTCTAAAGAAAATATTAATTATTTATAAATACGTATAGCATAGTTCAAAGTTCAATTTTTATTATTCGAAATTTTTGATTGGCTCATATAATTTGTCCATCAATAGAAATCAAAGTATTGTACAAAGTGTCTCTCTTAGAATTTCACCTATCTTGTAGAATCTATTCATTTGAAAAACAAATAAGAAAACAGTGTCGAAACAACGAAGAGATGGCTCTTTCCTATTAACTTATTGCAAATACAATTTATTGAAAGTTATGAAAATACGTTTTATATTATTTATATATATTATTATTGTTCATCGTTCCAAATGTATAAGTAACAGGTAGCATACATATAAGAAAAAAAGTCAAAAATATTAGTTTTCATTAAATACTATCTACCATTAAATAGTATCACTACTGCATGTATTTGGAGTTTCATGCGAGCAATTTTTATTCAGTTTCAACTAAAAACAGAGCAAAAATTATATTTAATCTCTGATATTTTATTAAATAAACCAACATGTTTCTTGTTGTTGTTGCTGTTGACCGAGTGACGAATCACTGTTATTGGAACTGTTGAAAATTAAAATAAACAAACATTAGCATTTTGTATCCTTTTCAATGAAGAAGAAGAATATCATCTACTTTCAATGAAATTATCACTATACAACATCTTAATATAACGATGAAATGCTGATTTTGGACCATCATTAGTACTGAAAGCATGTATTACTCGATATTCTGTATAAAAAACTATCTAAACGAGTTGCTGTCAAGACTTTATTGAGATCATCGACCAATGGAACATAGCTGACGAATAAGAAAAAAAAAAGAATTTCTATTAGCAAAATAACTTTTATAAAGCAACATGCCTGTAACCAGTGGCGGAGCCGGGGGGGGGGGCTAGGGGGGCTCAGCTCCCNGTTTTGAAAATTTTATCGGACTTTTTGAGAAATTTGGAAGCTTTTCTGGATTTTTTTGGGGAATTTCAAATATTTTGCTGAAGTGTTTCAGGATTTTATGGAGATTTTAGAAAATGCATTTTTTTATATAAATGAGTATTAATGTTTCCAGTTTAACGTTTTAAGAAGTGCTGCCAGGTAGCGAACTCAAAAACCCAGAAAAGAGCGAAAAAAACGTTTAGAATCCCAGAGAAAATCTAGAAAAATTTTCAAAATCTCCATAAAATCCTGAAACAATTCAGCAAAATATTTTAAATTCCCCAAAAAAATCCAGAAAAGCTTCCAAAATTCTCAAAAAGTCCGATAAAATTTTCAAAACCCCTAAAAACCTGCAAAAGGACTTTTAAAATCCGGGGAAAATCCAGAAGAATTGCCAAAATCCGGGGAAAATCCAGAAGAATTGCCAAAATCCGAAAGATCTGTCAAAACTGTTCCTAAAGCACGCTTTTAAAAGTGCACTCTCGTCCCCAATTTTTGGATGTTCGCGACACCTCTGAGGGGCTGAGCCCCCCCCCCCCCCCCCCCAAAGCCGGCTCCGCCACTGCTATTATGGGGTGATTGGGTGTGGGTGTCTCTTGTTGACTTTCTTCTAAAATTACGGCAACAACCAACTCGGTTCTCAGACATTTTCTCTCTCACAAGCTCCATTTGTCTGTAAGGTTTTAACATTTCTACGTAGTTGATAAATATTTGTCGATGAAATCAAGTAAGTAGCAATGAAGGTTACATATCAGTTTCTTTGTAGGCGATGGTTTCATGTGGAAATTTTTCTTGTTTAAAAAAAGAATCATAGCTTTTGGTTTCTGAGCAATCCCATGTAAATGAACAAGAAAGATATAATGCAGTGACGTCTAATATTATACTGTGGGGAAAAAATTGTTTATATAGTCAAAAATTACTGAGAAATCTGCATCGTATCCAAATAATGCTTTCTCTCGTTCTTAGCCATATAAATTCGCATAATCAAAGTTGCCGACCATAATGTAAATAGCCACTTTAGAGTGATTTGCTAACTGTTACCAATTAATTCTTTGATTTTTAAATGATTTTGGTGTGAAAAATTAATTTAGTTTCAGTTTAATAAATAGTTTCTCAATTGTGAACCAAGTCGTTTTTCCATGGCCGATCAACGTCCTACTCGTGAAACAAATACACCTCATAAATATCATTCATATATAATGTGAACGACTTCAAGTATAAAAACTTAACAATAACTTCAATGATGCACATTATGATAGTATCAGACCATATGAGCTCTAGTTTCAAAGACATGAATTCTGTTTTTCAGTGACTGAATCATGAAATATGAAGAGAAATTGAAAGATATATCTGCTCAACGTAGAAAATTCTAGAGATGCTCTTACATTTTCGACAATACGCTATTTCATTTAATATCTTTAATTTTACAGATAGCATAAATAGATTGATAGTGGTCATGATTAGAGTACGATTTTATTGTAATCTTTTGTTTATAGAAGTAAAATAGAAGTTATTTCGAAGCTTTAGCCTCACGAGAAAATATGATGTATTCTTGATCAAAAGTATGATCATATAAATAGTGTTGTCCTAAGCCAAAACGACTGTGCATAATACTGAGATCCACAGATAATTGTAGAAATTCAAGGTGACTCTGGATGTTTTTCTGAAGTAATTAATATTTACTCTCTTTACTTGGTCACTAGAGTGACAATTTCTAGAAAAACACAGAACTCAAGAAACCAAGTCATTCGAAAAATCTAGAAGGGCTTTCGTAGTTAACTGTACAGCTTATCGACTGGCAAAAAATTATTTGGTCTGATTGCTTGCTTCGTATAGAGATTCAACACGAGTACAATAATAATTATTAATCAGTTTTCATATGATACTTCCCATAATTGAAAATTTAACTGAATGCTTTTTATTGTAGAATCGACCAGCTGCAATGGGTGGCATGACAGCACCCAGGACGGACAATCCGATAGCTGGATCCAATCGGTGCCTACAGGATTCTAAGTAAATCCGGATTGTGGACCCACTCACGGATGCCTAGTGTTGTAATCCGACTCCTGATATTCCTATCGAATTCGATTGTCGGATTTGGTTAGATGTTCACCGGATTGATTCCAACACTAGGGATCCGTTAGTAGTTCCTCGACCCGGAATCCCATGGGACTTTGTTGGCTAGTCGCATTTTGTAAGATCCGATCGGATTCGGTATCGGATTCATTCACCTGGTGAAATAAGAAAATGAACATTTGAGAAAACAATTCAATCTTTCAAAATGAAATACGCTCGAAAGAAAAGAAACGTGAGAAACATTGTATTACTTAAACTAGATGCTTACGTTTATGCGTGCGCATGAATGATATTATGAGAGATAAAAAAAACACGAACATATGAAGATTTAAAGATTTCTTCATCAGATAAACACAAAATATTCTCAACTCTCTTCGCTTAAAAACGCTATTCAATCATGACAAAATCGCTTTATTCAAATTTCAAGTTGTCGACACACCAGAATAAGGAGAAGTGAAAAAAATCAGTAGTAAAATATTGACGAAACTACCTTTCTAGAAAAAGCATGTACAAAAACAATATCAGCATCTACTTTCAAGATAAATGTGCGCTCTCAATATAATTTACTACTTGGACTTCTGACATCTCAGCATTTTCAAGATATTTCTAAAAGATCGACTCATGTGTATAAAACAAATACTATGAAAAGTACTAGATCTTTCTACCACTTTTTCAAGCACGCCTTGCTCTAGTTTTCTTGTTTATAAAATTCGTACAAAGCTTCAATCAAGAATTTTGCATGATTTTATTTGAATAAAAATATGGTGTGAAATGTTTCTATTAATTATTTTAATCTCCTTTTACTTTGACTCAGGATAATTTCTTGAAATCTATTTATGTCTATGGTAACCACCCTTTATTGTAAAAAATATATTAATTAGGACTTCCATATTACGTACCCAAATCTTTTTTAGTGTTACCCAACAAAATCGTCGTATAGAACCAATAACTTGAACTGTAAAATCGCCGGTGTTCTCTAAGTTTTTACTACATAGGTGTTCGATCAAGTTATAGTCCTTCATTTTCTCTTTCACACATTTTCATTTTGTTGAGAGTCAGAGAAAAATTGTACTCATCTTAAATTACCATTTACTAATGCTATCATTCATGTTTGGTTAATCTTTCTGAATGAAATTTGATATAATTTTATTTTCACTATAGCGACTTGTTCTCAAACCAGTTGTTTTTGTTGTTCATACACATCCTTTTTTTTTACAATGCAAGAATGCTCCGCAAAAATAGTTGAATATAATCACTATTTGAATGAGAGCAACATTATTTAGTCAATTGAACAAATGAATATAATATATAAGAAAACTCTATGTTTATGGTCATGGTCATCAGGAATTTAACTTTACATTTGATATAGAATTACCCATTATTCTCTCGATTTTTCGCCGAATGGCTTGATTATACATTTGATACAAGATTTAAAGATGCAGGTTGTATTCGCAAAATTGTACGTCGAGTTCAAAAACTTCAAAAAGAAGTTTGTTTCATATTTGCAGTTATTTTCATTCGTCTAGACTTGAATTATTCCAACTGATAATATCTTTGTTTATTATTCAGTCAAACTCCAAGAAGGCGAAAAAACTCGTTTTGCATCTAAACAACCAGATGAAATTGAAGCTATTTTTTAACAGTCAATTCTTCGTTTGAGTAATTGGACTAGTGATGTTCAGGACCGAACAGTAGAATTGAGTAAACAAATTCGGCCAGCAGAATAGAAAACATGAAAATATGGAATCGCTGTTTTCCGTGTATGAAGACAGAAGACTCTTGATCAAGATACGTTTACTTTTGTTGAGCAGAAAATTCTCAATTTATTTTCTTTTACAACTAATTTCTTTTCATAAACTTCTTATCTTAAAACAAATGATATACATGTACACAATTATTAGAATACCATTTGTCATCATAAAGGTTAAATATTATTTCTATCATTATATTAAAAGGTGATTAAGGTATTTCAATATATTTATATTTGGTTGATACTAGCATTTCGGAAAGCTCAGAAGTTTATTATCATCTATTAGACTATTGGACAGGAGAGTATTCAACATAAATGAAACAAATAGATTTCTTTCTTTAGTAAATGACCGAATTTCTTAAAGAAAAAAGCAACCATACATAGAAGTAGAATGAATGAAATTGACTTTCGGCAGTTGATGTATTAGTTATAAAAACATGTAAAGAAATTATGCTTGGTCTACTTTGTTAGTTTTCATTGAATGCACCTCATAGTGCTGACAATTCTTATAATGCATCGCATAGTATTAAGGCGTAAAAAGAAAATATATGGTAACCCTAAGATTATATAAAGTTTATACTAGAAACAAACGGGAATATATTAAGATCATAATCTGTGCGTGGAATTTTTCATCAAATGTAAAATTGAATGGCAAATTAGATTTTTGTTGCATATTTCATTTTGAATTTTTTTACAATACAGAACAATCTAATACTCGAGATGATACCAACGACTTCATAATCCATATTCAAGTTGAATTAAATTATACACAACTCTTGTTTCTAAGCATCCACCATCAGACAAAAATATCAGAGGAAAACTTATTTTTTCACAAGGTAAAAAAATATTTTTTTGCTTCGTTGTTTAATCAATTCAGCTAGTCAAAACTGATTGAAATCAAAAACTTCAGTATTCAATTTCAAATGTTATTTTATTAAGTAAATAAATACTTCATTATAGCATCGGCTATATCTTCACACGTTCTGATCATATGTTTTTTTTCTCTTCTAAATTGAGTACTTTCTATTTTTTTATTCTCTAATAAAATTATTCATATTAATTTTAATATTTGTATTATGATAAGTTCTGATAGCATACTTAGAATAATAGAAAATAGTGTGATGCAATTAAATTTATTGTTGCAAGTCACTTTTTTTTAAAAAGACTTCTTGATGCGTGTTAGACAATTCGATATTTAATCTTTTTGAACCATACGATTATTGTTTATTCAGTTGAAATATTTTCCCGTCAATCTATTTTTTGTCAAACTATTTTTAGAGTGAGATCAATCGATTCAATAAAATATAGATAGATTTTCTTTTTTCATCTGAAACTTATTTAAAAAAACTACACTTGAACGACGTAAAAATTGAGATTCTAAAAATAAAATAATGATAGATTGGAGTAGAATTTATTTTCGTATGATGAAGAAACCCATGAACTGCTTAAACGAACTTTGCATGTTAATTTATTACCATGGAAGATATTTAATCAGTAATAACTGAAAATTTCTATTTGAGTTTTTCGTGATCATATGTTCGATCTTTATTTGAGTAAATCTTGCTAGAAGATAATAGTTTTTTTCTTCTTTGCATGCTCATATGTTAAAAATTTACATTCATTTTCTTTTTTCATCAAGTTTTTGTTAGTAGAAAAACAAAAATATTGACATGGAGATTGAGTTTGCCTAATAAATTATGTTGTTACGATGAAGTCAAGAGAAAAAAGCCTCTGACATTTAGTTTGTTTTACCGATTTTCAATATAGATAAGTGTGTTCTTGTCGCATTCTATCGATATTTTCTTTTCAATAATTTAGTGTTAGATACAAATTTTTCTCTCATCAAATACTTTTAGATAGAACGCAAAAATATTTATTCATCTAATGGAAATAATATAAACTGTAAAAAGACAATTAGTTTTCGTTCTTCAAATTTACATGCTTCGATCAAATTAATGATGATCGAGTAAAATGTTCATAGATTTTCAAATGCTGATAAAGAAACAATTCATGATCTTTTACTATTCTTTTCTTTTATTGGTTCCCATATTTCGTTCTCAGTAGTGTAAAAACAAAAAAACAATAAAAGAAATCGACGAGCGACAACAATTGTTGCCGTTTGCATAGAAAAACTTACCTGAAGTAACATATAAAGCAATACTCAATCGACACCTTGTTCCTTGACAACAAATAGACAATTAAAATGTAAACTAATAAAAAGGAAATAACAGACGAATAATTAAATAACGTTGAGGAAAAAAATGTATCATTTTGTTTTTATCGATGCATCATTTTTAGCCAAGAAAAAGAACTCTAATTTATCAAATACTCAATTGGTTTTATTTTGTTTGTTCGGTTGCAGCCCTGCATCTGCTGGATTGTATCAACATAATGAAATAATTTTATTTCGCTAGGCATCTACTATTTCACTCGTCTTTCTTCCTTCTCTCTCTCTCTCTCTCTCTCTCTCTGATTCTTAATCTCATTCGCTACTATTTTACTTGAATAAAAAAAGAACGAAACTCTTCATCCCATTTACAGTATCGTAGAAACACACTGATTTTTTTAGTGTCTATTGTTGTCGCCGTCGCTATTGTTTGTTGATGTTATTGTTGAGTATAAAGTAATGACGATGGGCACATTTAGATAGATGCAACTGTGTGTGAAGTGGTTGTCGTTATGTGTAGAATATAGGCAGTAGTTTAACAGAGACAAGTAATGTATAAGTGAAAAACAGAAAGGTTTCTTCAGTTTTTATTCAATTTGTGTTTAATGTCGTTCATGGTTAAAAAATATTGAATTATGTATCTGTTGGTTTCTGTTTTTTTTTATTTTAGAAAATTTTAAATATTTTCAAAATAAAGTTATGACCGAAGTCGAAGATACAACACAAATATCTAAACCATTAACATTTGAACCATTAAGTTCTCTTCCAAATGATACAACCGTAACAACAACTGATCATGGTAAATCATCTTTCGTATCTAATGAATTTTTTATAGTCATAGTTTTTTTTCTCTCTCCAGATGAGTCTCGGCAACAAAAAACCATTGCAAGTGACTTAACAACAAATATTATAACTGATGAAAGTAAAGCAATCAGTGAAAATCATCATGAAAATATTGACAGTAACGGCATGAATAATACAGATGAATTAACGTAAGTAATCAAATTACAGAAGACATTTATTTCTTTAACAAAAAAAAACATAATTTTGTTTAAGTTCTAGTTCTTCTCCAACATCAAAGCAGGTAAACAATCCTGAACATACAACGAGTAATGGCGTTCACAGTACCGATGATTTCGATAATGAAGATATACAAAAGAAAAGGAGTGGTGTTATTCATGACATTAGTTTAGGATCTGGTGATGATACAAATGCTTCACGAAGATCAGTAACTTCTACTCATCTACAAGATGGTCAAGTGAATAATTCAGCGCCACATACTACTGATCCATCAACAGAAATAGATCAAACATCGCAACCCTCAACTGAACCACCAATTCGACCAACGAGTGTATTAGCTTCAGATGATCATCATGTATCGAATGAAAAACGATTATCATCATCTGTTCAACAAGTTGAACCTGCATCTGACGGCAATGATCATCATGAAACACAAGAAGATTCAACAAAAACGACTACTCTTATTGATAGTACTGTTGATCAACATCAATCAGATGATGAATCGATACATAGAAAAACAGAAACTATTGATGATGATCATCATCATCAACGACCATCAAGTGCTATGAAGCAAAGCATGCTTGATGAAACAACAAATTTTCGTGCAGCATCACCAAAACCGTCATCTTCACGAGCACAATCAGCAACTAGTAAACGATCAGTTCATGTTACACCAGAAGAAGTAAGTTAAGTATTTTATAGAAATAGATAACTTTGTTTTTCTTTGTTTAGCCTTCAACATCCGGTGATGAAAAACGTACCGATATGAGTCCATCAAAATTAACACCTGATGCTGGCAATGATACTGATATTGACAATCAAGAAGTAGCAAATGTTGCTCGACGTCCATCACGTGCGATGTCACCATTGAATCGTCCACGATCACCAACACCTAATGACTCACGTAAAGCATCAATAAATATGGAAAGACCATCATCAGCTCATGCTACACCATTACAATCGCCAACCGATGATGATACAAATCATTCGGCAGTAGATCATGACCATACGATAAGCCCAACTGTCGATAATAATCATAGATCTAGCTCACCAGCTGTATCAAATAATAATAAGCAAGAAGATGACGACGAACAAAAACAAACTGTTGAAGCGCCAACAACGTTCGTCTCGTCAGCATCACGAAGAGAAAGTACAAACACACATGATCAACAACAAACATCTCGGCCAACAAGTGCTTTGAAAACAAAATCTGATGATAATTCATTTGAACCAGCAACTAGTCGACCAGGTTCTAGTCGCCTACATGATGTGATAGCAACAGATGAACATTTAAAACTTATTAAACCAGGTGAGCAACTTCAAACTCCAACAGATGAATTCGAGAATGAACGAACACACAGTCTACCGCCATCAGCAATTGATACTCAACCCATGATATCAGCTGTTCCTTCTTTAGACAGTAATATTGCTCAGAGCGAAGAAAATCGTTCTCGACCACCAAGTGCAGTTAATCGTAAAAGTCCAACAAAAAGTATGCTTAGTAATGAGAAAGGCATCGATGACGAAGTTCTACCATCAGATGACTCGACAGATCATGATATTCATCAACAACAAACACATGCTACCGATGATAAACCGGCAAGGTAAATAGATTATCGTCGTAAAACAATTAGAAACGTTTTGGATTGAACTTTTAGTCGACGTGAAACTCAAGTTGTTGAGAAAACAGGACATATTTCTGGCAGCCGGCGAGCAAGTGCTTCTCAACAGCCCGAAGAATTTGACAAGTAATTATTTGATTCTACAGTAAATACTTTCTTATATGTTTTCTAGTCATCGGGAACCATCAATAACAAGTCGGGGAACAAGTAATGAGGTACAAGAATCAACAAGGTAAGAATTTTATTTATTGTTTTGGTTGATAATCAAATTTTATTTTAAGTCAAAATGATTTCGTATCTGAGCAACAAAGTAACAGTCGAAGAGAAAGTGCTAATCTTGAACTGAAACCTTCTAGCCGAAAACCAAGTGTTACGTCTGTCGAACAAACACCAAGTAAAAGAGGAAGTATCGTCAATGAACAACATGTATCTAGTAAACGACCAAGTGTTGCTTCAGATCTTCATATTGGCAGTCGTCGAGAGAGTACTAATAATGAACCACAAATAGAAATCAAGCGAGACAGTACTGTCTTCGAACAAGCACAAGCTAATCGAAAAGGAAGCACTACTTCTGACGAACAACCGTCAAGCAAAAGAGGAAGCATCACTCACGAACAGCATGCATCAAGTTCGCCAGAAAGTTTTCATGATGAAGTGAAAATTTCAAGTGGAAAAGAAAGTCCTATCCCAGAACAGCAAGTATCTAGTAAACGGCCAAGTGTTGCTTCAGACGTTCAGACCGACAGTCATCGACGAAGTGTTGTTGATGATATACACACGCCAAGCAGACGAGTGAGCACAGTTAGTCAAAAAAAGTCTCCTAGCCGAAAAGCAAGTACTGCATCCGAACACGACATACATAATAAACGAGAAAGTATTACTTCGAATCAACCAGTATCAAGTCGACAAGGAAGTGCTGAGAACAAACAACCATCATTTAGTAAGCATGGAAGTACTGTTAGTAATCACGAAGTTGCCAGTCGCCGACAAAGTTCTACTAGTGAAGCACATGTATCAAGCAAAAGAAGTAGTATTACATCCGATAAGAAAATTCCTAGTCGAAAACCAAGTAATGCTTCTGAACATGAAGCACCCAGTAATACCGATATTGTCTCCCGAGAACAACAAAATTCAAGTCGAGAAGAAAGTATTATTGATACACGTAAAACATTGAGCCGTCAGAGTAGTACAACTTTTCAACAGCAACCAACAAGTCAAAGAGAGACATTATCTGCTGAACATGAGAAATTCACTCATCGAAACAGTCATGCTTCAGAACATCACACCTCCGATCATCAACCAAGTACTAATGATCATCATGAACGAAAGCTATCGAAGTTCGAAAATTAACTAGATTTCAATCAAAAGAAAAATCTCTTTTATTTTTCCTTTTAGTGGATCAGTTGCTCGAAAAACAAGTGCAGCTGAACGAGAACATGCATCGTATGTTTTGTCTTTTTGTTAAAAGTCAATTTACTTTATTTACTCTGTTTAGTCGTCGAGCAAGTGAACAAGAAGAAATCGCGCCATCCAGTCGTCGAACGAGTACAAATAAAGATAAACATGCAGCAAGGTTTTCATTTTTTGAAAAGAAACTGATTCTATTTTTTAACAAATAACATTTTTTTTAGTCCTCGTCATTCAGATGTAGATAATATTTCTGCACCACAAGTATCAAGCCATCGTAGTAGTTTAAGCAAGCAAGATAATCAACCAATCAGTGCGCATGTTCGCAAAGAAAGTCATCCAACATCGGTGCATAGCCAAGATACCAATCATCAACAAATAAACAATGAACCAAATTTATTACATAGAGATCATTCATCATCAGAAACAGAAGCTCCAAATCGAGCGACAATTAAACATCAACGAGAACGTGTACCAGTTAATGAAAAACGACAAAAATCTTCATCGTCAGTTGATAACAGCGATCATCATCAAGCAACTACTATTCCTCGACGTTCTAGTCAACAATCAAAACGAAATTCAAGTAAAACTACTGATGAAACTGTTGTAGCACCTATTATAATGGACCCATCAAAAGTTCGACAACATAGCGGAAACGTAAATAACATTCTAATCATTTTTAATTTATATTATTTTTACATAAATATTTTTTCATTCATTTATAGCGTGGATTTAAAGGGGATTCTGATAATGAATATACATCAAAATTACCGCCTGTCAATAAATCATTTCAAAATAAAACACATCATTCAGAAACAGTAAATAGACAAAAAATTCCATTATCAAATCGATCCGAAACGCATCATGTATCATCATCACGTTCTTCAACAATAAGTGACAGTGCACAAAAACCGAATTGGTTGAAACAAATTCCTATTCCATCAATTCATTTTACTGACAATGAAACTTCGTCAGCAATGGACCAAGGAGTACGACCACAATCACCAAATGTAGAGCAAATCGCTGAACGTAATAAATTAATAACACCGCCTCCACCAAGAACAGCAAAATCATTCACAGGAAAAAAACGAATTGTTACGGGTAAGTAGTATATTTCTTGTTTTGTTTTCAATCATTAGATTTTCTCTTTTTTTTCTGAAAAGAGGGATCAAGACGAAAACAACAAGGACATTTATCACGTCGAAGTAGCAGTGCTGACTCAGGAGCTATTCGCATGGTCGATGATGATTCACTGGATTCATCATCAGACAATAATTCAAATTTTGAAACACAACGACGCCGACATAACAAACTGAAAAAGAGAGATGCTGAAACAAATACTGAAGATATATACGATATCGAACAACACAAACCACAACGTAGCTTTTTTGATGAAAGAGGTAATTTATTGTTTATACGAATCATTTATTTGCCTTTGTTTAAAAAGAACTATATGAGAAAACAAAGATCAATCTGTTGTGTAAAAAGAAGCCATATATAGAATTAATCAAAATAATTTTTGATTGGCAATGATTTAATTGTAAAAAATATTTAATATATATATAGATATAATAACATATTTTATTTTTTCTTCTATATTGAATGAAGCAATTTCTTCTCATGACTAATTGCATGAAATTAACAAATTTCCTTAATCAATTTTGTATATTATTAATAATTTATTTTATTTTAGAATTAACTCCACAAAAACCATTAAAAGCAACAAAACCACTATCGGATCATTTTCATGATACACATCGACATACATCAAATAAAGAACAAACCTTAACAACACCTGATACAACATCAAATATAGATACGCCTACTATTCAACGTACAGTGAAAGTAGCAAAAGATCACAGCCAAGACAAAGATCCTGTTAACGTTAATGTTACTGTTGTTGTTAAAAAGTTCGCTGGTACAAATGAGGACGGAAATACACGTACAGTAACCGAAGCCTATTTTGAGCCTGTTCAACATCCATCGGAAATTCCTTCATCAACAATAGACGATAAAGAAAAAGCTGAAATATCAAACGAACGTCCTAGATCAACCGAGCAACCACTCTTACAATCTTCAGAACAATTTATTAGCTCGAATGATCGTCAAATACAATCGGATACAGAACAGATGACAACTGAAAAACAAAAGAAACATCGTCGACCAAAACGTATATCACGTACATGTCAAACATATGAATGTGTTTTTCGTCGTATGGAACGAGACCAACAGCATGATTTACGAGCAACTAGTGACACAGAAAAAAATGTTCAAACACTTAAATCACAATTACGTCCAAGAAAAAAATCACCAAAAAAAAATTATCCTCTTTATCTATCGACTGATTCATTCAGGTTGTCTATCTGTTTTAGTTCATTTTCTTTACTAATTTTTATTTAAAACTGCTTTTATTTTCTCAAGTAGAGTAGAAGAATTACTACCAAAATCATTTCATCAATCACGAAAAAATATATCAAAATCATCGGCTATTGGTCGCAGTTTATCACCGCAAGGTGGTAAACTCTTAATTCTTCGTCCAACACTTCCATTTCATCATACGGATGCAGTTAATGTTCAACGTGTATGCCTTCAATATGCTATTGATTTAATTCCGAATGATAATGCTACACATGCTCCAATGTCTGCTAATCGAAATATATCAAATGTTCTTAAACATCCCGAACAAACAAGTAGTTTACCGATGATTAGTGCATCGACATCAGGGCTTCATCATATGTCATCAAATAAATCAACAAAATCAGCAAAATCAGCTTCAAATAAAAGTGAAGAATTTACCCACCAACGTAAAAATGGTGGTGGTGTTTGATTGAACTATATTTTTTTACATGATTGAACTAGAAAAGTGTGTCTGTGATTTAGCTTCCTCTTCATTTATTTATTCTTATTTATTCTTATATATTTTATTTTTTTTCTTTACAGAGAAATATTCAATAAAATTTTTTCAAGGCCTGCTGCTTTTTGAAATAGACACATAAAATAAAATATAATAATAATAACCGTATTTGTTTTTTTCAGTAGCTTTTAGAATTATTTTTTTAACAAATTTTTATAAAAAAATAAAATAAAATATCAGTAAAATTGATTTTATTTGTATAGTAAGAAGAAAAGCAAAATATCATCATGCATATTCAATTCATTTTTCGATTGATATAAAAGTAGACTATTATTAAATAATGATTTTTTTTCTTTCTAAATCCAACAATTGAATAAGAAGATTCAGTTTTTTTTTCTATATTTCATTGACGTCATATATGCAGAGAACAGAAAACGGCTTATTTCAATCCTTTCATTACAGATAAAAAAATATCATATGCTTTTTTATTGTTCCAATAATACATTTACAAAACCAAAAAGAAGCCATGAATATTATGCAATCATTATATTTCAATGCTAAATCATAATAATGGATATTATAGGATAGAAAAAAAAAATTATTTTTCTTGTATATATGCTTCTGGACTATTTGCACTCACGATAAGAAATATATTGTCGAACATTGGAATACGAGTCAATGTCAGTACAGTAGAATGCAAGAATGAATAGATAAATGTCTTCAGAAATTACTCACACTTGACTAAACCAATATACTATTCGAGTCAATTCAGAATTGATAATCATTTATTTCTTATAATGGAGCCTCATATCTGCTGAACAAGGTTCATATTAGACAGGAAGCGGAAAATATAAACAATAGAAGTATCATTTACGATACTACATTATAAACAAATCATCATTGCTCAAGAATATGTTCTTGCCTTGGAAACTCATCAAGATGCATCCAAAACGGAAGTGTTAGAAGATTCGTACGCTAACTTTATTGATCAATGATAGCAAACAGGAACTTTGCTAATTACTATTTCCGTTTTAAATCTGCAGTATTAATATTGACAAATTCATTATAGTTATGTTCAATGCAAAACTTTTGTTTTGTCAAAAACAAATATAATAGAGGGGTTTTCTTCCTTCTTTCTATTTGGTATCTTGATATGACAAGACAATAAAGCGTAGTATTCAACAGAAACCATTATTTTGATATATCTAATTTGTTGAAATATGAATAAAAGAAAGTCTATGAGAAAAGTAATAAGTATATATAATTGATTATAATCTCCAACATCCTTAACTACGGTTTTCTTTCCATCCTAACAAGACTAGTATATGAATACAAAAGAAAGATGAATCAGATATATTTCATTTCATTCGGATAGTAGTTTCGATAATAATATGATTTAAAGTATCTTCCTACTCTTCGTTTGTCGAGTGTTTCTTAATGACTAGAATATATATATATATATATATAAATGCATAGTATTATGTCTCACTATTATTATAATGTCGAAATCCGTTAGACCACAAAATGAGTTCGAACAGAAAAATTACGATAATCAATCTTATTTTCGTACAACCACTTATCTTTGTTCAAATCATTACCGATTAGAAATTGAATAAGAAAGTAAAGTATACGATTCAATCATCAACGAACAAAAGAAACGTACAACATAAATTCGTTTGACCTATTATTATATAATTTTTCGACAAAGTAAGTTTTTTCGATTGATCACTTGTTCAACTTTCACTTTTTTTCATACATAAATAGATTGTACGTTGTATTTTTTTTATTCTTATAATTAGATTTTTGTAGTAATAAAGAAAAATAAAGAGAACCTAAGAAATATTCTACATTTCTATTGGGTTCAATAAACAGATAAAACAAAAAATATCTACTCTTCAATAGAAACTATATTCTCAGCACGTCGATTATAAATATTGATGATGGAAACTAGTTTCATCGTAGAATGAAAGAGAGAAAAAGAAAAAACTTCGGCAATGAGCAATGCAGCTAGAGCACCTACGTATGTTTCTATAAGGTTTGCGACATTTCCGCTTCTTTTTCTTTTTCTCCTTTGGGCGTCATCAAACAACTTAGTCGAACGCATTTGACTTACGGGTGTTACTTTTTCTTTTTGCTCCATCACTTTCTTCTATCTATCTATCTATCTATCTTATTCTTTGAGCAGAAAATGCCTACAACAATATACGATTGATTTTAGTATGTATACATGCACTATTTCTCTATTCATTTAGGTGATATAATCGTATTATGTCATTTAAAACATTTACTCGTATAAGAAAAATTATGTAAGTGTAATGGAGTTTTGCTAAGAATAAAAAAAAATTATTCCTCAAAGAACTTTGTTAGCTGCATGAGTCTTTTAACAGTTGCACAGATTATAAAGATATATTCATGTAAGTTAGCTGCAATATGCCATATACTTATGAGTATATTCATTTTAGATAATAAAAATAACGAAAAGAAACAAAAAAAGAACGCCCGAGCAGGGGCTCGAACCCTGGACATTGTGGTTAAAAGCCACACGCTCTACCGACTGAGCTACCCGGGCTTGTTTCTTTTTGATCTTTATTGCTTCTGACTCATTTAGATCATAGTTACGATAGATGAGCATGACTTGTTTTTAATCATCGACGCAGAATATCATTCATCGGGGAAAAATCACATAGGTGAATCAAAAGTGCGTATTTAGTGTTGTTATAATTGTGAGAATTGAATAGTAAAAAAAGGAAAGGATCAAACGAAAATAAAAAATTGGTAAGAAAAATTTTCAGAGTTGTTTCTTTTTTTTTAATAAGTACTTGAAAAAGTGTCAACTAAAATTATATTCCTAAATAGGAAACATTGATCGATTAGTAAAATTTGACACTCTCAAATGTAATCTTTTTAGTAAGCTTCACGATGAAAATTTTCGAATGAAGTCTACATAAAAAGACAATGTTTGAGAGTCTATACAAATAAAATATTTTAATCTTCATAATCTAACCACTTTATCTCAATTATTGAGTTTTCTGTATAAAATCATTATATGAATTGACTTTCATAATTTACTAAAAGTAAAATAATATAAGTATATAGCTAATGGAATAAAAATAGTAGTCTTCCTCAACGTCGTCAGTATTTATCGGTTACATATAAGGGTGACTATGCATTGCTTATTTGATGAATAAGACTCGTTTGTCTTCAATGGCATTATTTAGAAGAAGAAAAAAAATATTTTTTATTTTTAAAAAGTAAAATAAAAAAGAGCGCCCGAGCAGGGGCTCGAACCCTGGACATTGTGGTTAAAAGCCACACGCTCTACCGACTGAGCTACCCGGGCATGATTCTCTTTACTGCATAATGCGGATTGACCTTGCGTATATAAGCGATGTCAAATGGAAAAAATTCAGTAAACTGTAAAAAAGAAAACGCCCGAGCAGGGGCTCGAACCCTGGACATTGTGGTTAAAAGCCACACGCTCTACCGACTGAGCTACCCGGGCATGATTCTCTTTACTGCATAATGCGGATTGACCTTGCGTATATAAGCGATGTCAAATGGAAAAAATTCAGTAAACTGTAAAAAAGAAAACGCCCGAGCAGGGGNTTCATAAATCAGAAAAAAATACAGCGCCCGAGCAGGGGCTCGAACCCTGGACATTGTGGTTAAAAGCCACACGCTCTACCGACTGAGCTACCCGGGCATGCTAAATTTTCATGATGAGCGCTAGTGTCTCAGGGGCTATGTACAATAATTTTATCTATTTGCTCTAGTTCTATGCAATTAACAGTGATAACATATATTATTTGGAAGGTTTCATCATAAGTTCTCCTTTTTTTTTATTGTGATTATTATAACAACTAGAACTAGTTTGACGTTAGAAGCCATGCATATGAACTACCTATTGATAAATGAAAAACTTGTTGATTATTGATTTTATGATGTTAAGTAAAAGTATTATTTGAATACTAGGATAGATTAATAATAAGGTATATTATATCATTTCAGTACGCAAAGGTTATTTTTAAATAAAAATAGAAGAGAAGACCATCTCACTGTGTTAATGGATATTTCTATGCATCAGTATTTGCACACACTGAACAATAGTTTCCTAATTTTAGTCTAAAATATGATTCGAATTCCAAAACGTCGTAAAGCAATAGCTTCCGCTTTCGTGTGCTTTCTAAGAATTTATTTTCAAATTTCTATATATCAAATTCTGCATTTTTGGTTTTGAATCAATGTACATGCAATTTTGTTTTTTTTGTACTGTCTGTAAACGTTTCTTGGCTTGTGATTACTAATTCTATAAACACTGACGCATTTCCATTTATCAAATGTCAAATACAGCGTTTACTATAGCAGAAACAAAGTATCCGATTGTTTTTCTGAGTAGACTTTGGTACAGATGTCTAAAAAAGTTTTTTTTTGCTTGTTGACTCCCATTCCACTTTAGCCAATAAGTGAATGAAATTGAAGTCCTAACAAAATCTCTATCACACATTAACACTCGAACAACTGATTTGAATTCTTAAAAAATAAACGTAAGTAAAACTGTATATATAAACGAAGTGGACTGGCTTCTGGTTAGGTTTTAATTTTGTTTTGTTTGATGAGAAAAAATAGAAATTTTTAAAAAATAAAACAAAAAAAGGGACGCCCGAGCAGGGGCTCGAACCCTGGACATTGTGGTTAAAAGCCACACGCTCTACCGACTGAGCTACCCGGGCTGATGCTTCCTGTAAATATAATTGTTCTTGAGTTAAATGTAACTTAACTGGACTAGCTTTTAATCAGATGCTCTTGAGATTTATCCTTAATCAATAGGATAATCAATTGAAATGTTCATTTGAACAAGTGTTAGACACTCATTCATTGTAGTTTAAAACAAGTACGAAATGAATGTTTTTTCGTCTGTTGTACTTATTCCGTAATGCTTTAGAGTATTGAAAATTAGTTCTTTTATTTTATTTTATGTATAATAAATTCTTCAAAATACATTGAACATGACTTGCTGCGAGCTCTCTCTCTCTCTAGAGAGATTGTTTTATACATCGAAGGAATTTGCAGAAAATATTTATATAATAAGTGTATAAAATCCTTGAAATCTTTAGATTTAACGAGATTTTCTTCCCTACTTATTCTTTATGATTAAATTCTAAGAATTAGTAATCAGAATACAAACTGTAGGGGTTTGATAATCCGTCATATTTTTCATCTTTCGTCTCGAGTTTCTCCTCGATGTTTACCATCAAATATGCACCATAGTTCTCGTTTTATAAGTAGATCCTATTAGAGGAACTACGGATAATAAACAACTAACGTTACCAGCAGTAATAAATTATGCAGTTTGCAATCGATTAGAAAATCAAACATACATTTGTTTTCGCTTATAGGCACTCCAAAAGGATATACTTTGGTTTTCTTTTCTTGTACGATGTTTTCTTTTTCGTTCAAATGAAATCAATACAATTTTATAGATTATTGAGGCGAAGAGTACGTCAGATCAATGTCAAAGATATGTGCTGTAGGATGCACTACATATCTGAAAATATTCCTGTATATTTCATGTGATCATCGACCTACAATTTTGTCGATCTCGTATAGTTGCTTATCTTCAATCTATATATAGAATTTCCTATTAATTATCGGACTTCGATAAAACTATTCGCATGAATCCATAAAGCTTAGTATGTCATCACATATATATGTATGAGCTCAGAGATCCCCTGTTCGTTTGTTTGTTGCTATTCGTGTAAAGCAAGAGGATCGTTACTTTTTTCTTCATAATTGAAACGACATGAATGTTGTTTTCCAACAAAAATAAATAGTTCATATATTTAGAGTAATGAAGAAAAAATTTATCATGAACATATTTTAATTCTTTTTCTCTAGTTTTACATTATTTGTCAGAAAACAGCATGGTAATCAAAGTATTAATCGAGCTTATACTTTAAAAGAGTTCTAGTATTAATTCTTTTATTTTATTTTGTTTTAGTTTTATTTCCTATTCAAATCAGTAGAAAAATCTAACAATCGCAGAATAACAATGTGTATTTTGAGAAAAAAATAACCCTAAAAGAAAGAAATCAGAATGAAGAACGACGACAGTATGAGAAAATTTATGTTATACCACGCATGCCGAGAGAATGAATAATGCTTGGATGTGTGCGTGTGTGCGTGTGTGCATGTGTGCATGTGCTAGCAGTATAATACTTGGGAGTCTTTAGTAGAACTAGACAAAGACGAATACATAAAAGAAGAAGAAGAAGAAGAAGAAGAAAACTGCCATCATTCCTTTTTTCTCTTTCTTTTTCTTGTTTTGCTGCTGGTCTTCTACACTTGAACATTCTATAAGCATTCCTTTTTCTCGGCCCATTTTTTTCTACTTGATCGTCATCATGTAGTAGAGAAAAATGAGTGAGTATTTTGTTCGTATATATTAAGAGTCTAGATTCGCTAACATCTCAGTTTTTATCGTTGCTACGTTTTGTCAAAACAAATTTAATTAATGGAACAAGTTTGATCTTAATCGATAGATAACTAGTAAAACATCATGTATGTTTCATATTTCATATTAACCTGTTTCAAGAAGATTACAATGAGAAAAATGAAACGATGATTATTTTTTGTCTGTACCAAGTATTTTTTGCCAATAAGGGAAAAGAAAATAAGTTAACGTAAATATTTTTATTCCCATGGAGTCTTCATCCGCAGACTGTTACTGGAGTCTATAATATATATATTTTTTTCTTAATACTACTCTCATGCTACACAATGCATTTCCTTGAAAAATATAAACACGTCGGTAATATTTATGGTATTATAGATAGATAGAGAGGATAATAAGTATTTTAACCTAAACTTCCGATTCAGTAAATTTAAAACATGATTGCATTAAGAATATTTTTAGAAATCTATCTTGTATCTGATATTTGATGAATTCACTTTCTTGAGAGAGAGAGAGAGAGAGAGAAACTAATCATAATTGATTAAAATAATTTTAGATTGTAAACCAAATTGTTAAGATGGAGAATGATTCTTTACCATTATTATCTGATACAAATGAACGTTTTCGTCGAATACGTGAACTTGGCTCCGGAACATATGGACGTGTGCTATTAGCATTTGATCGTGATCTACAACAACGTTGTGCATTAAAAGTTCTACCAAAGTCAACAACAAAATATCGTGATTTTCAACGCGAATATAATTATTCATTATTGTTATCACCACATCGTTCGATAATAAGTACATATGAAGATCGATGTTATCAAACAGCAGATGCATTCGTTATTGTTCAAGAATATGCGCCATTAGGAGATTTATTTGAATCAATACCACCACAACGTGGCTTACCAGAAAAAGCTGTTAAAACAATCATGAAACAAGTTTCTTCAGCACTCGAATTTATGCATGAGAAAGGACTAGTAAGTTAACTTAAATTTAAACTTGATTTTGAATACAAATCAATTTCTTTATAATACATAACAATATTCGAAGTTGATCGTGTGTGATATTTTATAGAAAATTTTTCGAATCTTTCATACGATTCGGTATCTTCCATTGATGATCAATCATATACAAAAATGAATAATTGAAAATGTTGTGATTTTGATAGTATGCCTGTAGTAAATATTTAATTGTTCAAAATAAAGATGACAATAGTAGAGTATTTAAAGAATTACAAAGACCCAATTATTTTGTGCTGCACTTCAAAAGGAGAGATGCGCTCATTACATATTCTATTCATTTATATTTAGGTTCATCGTGATGTTAAACCAGAAAATGTTATGATATTTGATGCAGATTTTCACAAAGTCAAATTAATTGATTTTGGTATGACACGAAAATGTGGCTCATACGTCAGACGTTTAATTGGAAGTATACCCTATTCGCCTCCCGAAGTATGTAGTGCACTAAATAATGATATACTTGTTTCAACTGCTATGGATGTTTGGGCATTTGGTGTATTACTATTTTGTTGTTTAACAGGTTAGTCTAAATTTATCAAAAAACAAAATTTTCTTTCATTAAAAACCATATAAATAATTACTTTATAGGAAATTTTCCTTGGGAACATGCTCAAGAATCAGATGTTTATTATAAAGAATATTTACAATGGCATCGAAATCATCAAAATCATCAAATAAAACGTCGATACAAATTACCATCACAATGGTATCGATTTACTAGCCATTTAATGAGAGTATTTAATAAGATGCTAGGTAAAATTCTATCTTTTAGTTAGATGAATTATTTTATGTAAAAAAAATAATTACAAACTTTTAGATCCGGAATCATTAAAACGATGCCCAATAACTGACATAGGTAAATATTATGATTATAGATGGATTCACGATCAAAATAATTGTCGACGTTTATCAAATGAAGATGAAGGTGTCGAAGAAGATTTTTCATCGTCAGAAAATGGTATAGAAAGTAATGCAATGACAATAAGTGCAACAAGTAATACTGATTTTGAGGAACTAACACAAATGATGAGAAATTCTCTAACTACATTCGATCATATAACATCTGGTGATAATCAAAAAACCCTACCCACTAAACTTTTGTCCTGAAAAATTATACATTACAATGATAGCGTATAAAAACTAAATTCTTTTTTTGTTTGTCATATCGAATTCCGTCCGGAATATGTATAATCTATTTCGTTTATTTTGTGTCATACTATTTTTGCTTCTTCAAGTCTTCGTATCTATCACTTATTGTATAAATAAAAGATGTTCTTTTGCTCTCTTGCGAGTATATTTAAAGAATAATAAAAATTTCTTGGTGACAAAACACGTATCTACGCGGATCAAACTTTTATGAAAATTATTATTTTGACAAGCTTCTTTTTATTGTATCGATTATATTTGCTATTGTTTCATTTCTTGATGTTTTGGGTATCACATAATCATTATATAATATCATTGTGCATGCAAATCAAACAAACAAGAAGCTAAAAATTCCGAAGCCTATGAGAATCTAGAGAATTTTGATACTCGTACTTTTCTAAATGCTATGGAAAAACAAAGAATATTAAGATTTTAGAAATATTTTCACTCAAAAAACTTCGAATATTAGAGGAGAATCGATACTCCATTTCATTAGATGTATATTATTATTATGAAACCCTAGAATAGGTTATGGAGGCGACATCAAGGCTTCGTCAAGGTTTTAGGGAACTTCCCTCCTCTCTAAAAATACTGAGGTGTATGGTTTTGATTGAGCTCGAATACAGCTTGCCGTTTTCTGTAGAGCAAACAAGTTGATTTCAGACTTCTATGAACAACTCATAAGAGAAAAATTCAATTTATTTTCAATAGAATAACGATAATAAATCAATAAATAATTGTATTACTTAAAACGGTTAGAATTGAAGTTAAGAACACTTTATTTTCTTATTTTAGAACAATTCAGTTGCTTTCTAAAAAAAACTATCCTTAAGATATACGATTATTAATTATCAAAATAAGATTCTTTTTTGTTTTGTTTTGAAAAGTATGATTTGAAAAAATACGTAGGACATAAATCATGGATTAACTTGTCAATCATTTGGCACAGAGATGATTAATTTCAGAGAGCATTAGAGTCAAATAGATGAATTTGTGAAATAGATATTAATTAAAATATAAAGCATTATTGATCGAGGCTTATTAATAATATTCATCAAAATTCGATTGTGAAGGTAAATATTTCTTTTTGTTTTTGATCATAGAACTAAACAATGTATTGAACAGAAGAGTATTATAAATCTCTCATAAATATCATAGATTTTATTTTCAACTTAAAAAAATATTTGCCATTGTAGAATTTGACTTTTGATTGAGACATGAGTAACTAATAGTGAAGTCATTTAAATATAATATAAAAGGATGCTTCAAAATAGATGACTTATCCTTACAAATAATCTTTACGCGGATATAGATTGTTTCAGTTTGATGGTTTTTATATCAATTTACTGGATTACCTTTTACTTTTTTTGTTATCTAAAAATATGTTTGAGACTGATTCTTTTTTTAGAAAAATGTCAACAGTTTTAGCCAATTTGATTCATTAAATTTTTCTCATCTTCTAGTGCTGTTGTCATTAACAAGCATGAATTTCACAGAATTTAAAGCACTCATGAACGTAATAATTAGTGATTATTTGAAGAAGAGTTCTTTTAACACAAAATCAAATTGGTATAAATAAACAAAAAGTATAATAGTAAAATTTTGACTAAACAATTATATTGGAATGATTTAACCGTTGAACTATACAGAAAAATATATGCGTATATGTAAAAACAATTGTTCTTTGCTTTTTTCTTAGCTATGTTGTAGTGGAAATTAAAATTCAGTAGAATTTAAAATCCTACTAGTAGAAATTGAAATTTTAGTTTCTACTATAGGTAAAATTCAGTAGAATTTCAATTTCTACTAGTAGAATTTTAATTTCTACTGCGACAGCTATATTGAACTTCGTTTATGAATCTTATCTAATAAAAGAGTAGATCTGTGCAAACCACTATTGTTATCGATTGGAGATTTTCTTTGTAATGAATCAAGGATATCTTGTCGTAATGTTCTTGTAGGACTTATTTGAAGTTTAGCTAATGATTGTTTCGAATTAATTAATACAGTTTGTTGTTTACGTTTAAGTCGTTTTTTACATGACATTGGTACACATGATGCTATTGATGACTGAGCACGACATGAACAAAGAGATAAAGTAACTGAACCATTATCTACTGTTATACGTCGAGGAGCATTTGTAGTAAAAAATGATGGAGTGTCTTCATCATCTTCTAATGTAACGAGGCGGCCATTCGATGATATAACATCACCAATAACACGAACTTGTTGTCGACGTCGTTCTTCCATTTCATATCTTTCATGTTGGCAACGCTTAGTATTTGTTTCAACAAAACGTAAGATAAGCAAATTACCACTCGATGCAACTATAGTTAAACCAGTTAATATAAACATAATACAGAATAATATATATAACCAACCAACAGTTTCATAATCAGTCTTTTGCATTGGAACTAAATCTCCAAAACCTATGAAATTAGATTTTGATATAAAAATAACAAGATAAAGCGACGTTAGCGTCGCCAACCCTCTACTGAAAGGATTTAGTCATGTAGAACGTAGCTATTCACAACTATCTAGCTAAGAGACCTCACAAATTTATAGCTTCGAAATGATTTTCATCGAAAAAACGATTGATAACCGAGCATAAATAGAAAACTTGCTTGGAAGTATCACCAAGAAAACGGCATTTAAGTACTACTTACTAATACTACATGCCAACATTGAAGCTTGATAACCGAGTGAAGAAAAAGACCCACTCAAGAGAGCTATGATCGAAATAACCCGTTTTAGTAAAGTAACAACTCAAATTGGTCTATGGACTAGATATTTAACACGAATCTGCACGAGTAGATCAGAGATCAAATCAAACTAACGTTTTCTAACTCGATTTCGGTTAGTTTTGTCCACATTTTTGCTCAAACTCATGTGGGTTCACTTTATTTCCGTGCGCTTTCGGTCTCTAATGCATATATACACTCCCGGGGACAGGTTCGCCAATACAAAAATCGAACATTTACATGTTTTGAATCAAACCCACTCGCAATCGGAAAAAACTCAACTGATTAAGATATTCGCAACAAATATAAATTTCAAATATTTCACACGAGTTGAGCAATTATTTCACGACCTGTCTTCGGAAGAACTTCAAGATGTCTACTATTTGCGAAAATTGTTTCAACTTTTCTGATCGAGACAACGTGTAACTATTCTATAAGTCTGCAAGGCCTGTAGTCTTATAATCACAACAGATTTTTAACTGAGCGACTAGTCGTTCTTCGGCGCCCGTCCGGGAGTCACCCAGATCGAACATTCCGGTCACCGGATCCCGTAGGATACTCCAGGAAATATGCGGGAAAGTCACCATATCCTGCAGGAGAACACGGGAAATCGCTGGAACATGGAAGCAGTATTCCGGTCAAAAATACGCCCGGAGTTTTCCGGCGGATTCCTGCCAAATTCCAGTGCTTCCCGGCAGGAATTGATCCGAAATCACGGGGGAAAATCCGAAAATTTTCCAACCGGAATACTTCTTCCACAAAATCAGCGAAACCAACCGGAATCGACCGTTTCCCGGTCGGACTGTTCGACCTGTGGACTCACGACTAGTCGTTGCAAAATTGAGAATCACTTCCACCACAAGATGCCTATAGCCTATTCGTCATAATATCTCACATAAGCATACGATACATCTACCACGATAAACATCATCGAATGAAACCCTTAAAAAATTTCCCTACAAAGAATTCGGATCACGAAAATGCGACGATCTAAACAGCTGCTAATCCATTATAAACTTGCTTGAACTATGAAAGATCATTAAGCATTCAATATTCAATCCAGCGACATCCTTTATCTTATTTGAACCAATTTTATTTATTTGTTTAGGATCATAACCAGTAATAACGTCGTTGTGCTACTCCTAAATGCTTTCGAAATACCTCTCACTCGGCAGTTGCTAGTCACTTAGTTTTACTTTTTCAAAAGCTCATGTGCTTATTCTGTGCAACCCTCTATGTTTATTAAAACGATGAAAAAATGTTTTTGAAAAACTACACTTGAAATCTAATGAATCCGCCCCAAAAACTTTTGATCAAGCTTTATACAAAATCCTTTCTTCCTAAAAAAAAGTCACTCTCTCTCTCCGTAAAAAAAAGTAAAAAGCGAAACTTCCAAACCTGACCTCGGATTCGAGTTCTTCGACCACTAACACCTGTGGTCAAACTTTACAGCGAAGAACTATTTCCTCAAAAAAATTGAGGGTTAAAAATTTTTCAAAATTCTGACGCCGGATTCGAGTTGCTCGACCCCGAAAACCTTCGGTTAAACCTATCCCTAGAGATATTGTTTGAGGTTAGTTAAGTTTATTAGGGGTGGCACTTTACGTTAATTTAATATTAAGTGTTAAGTAAAACTAGTTAATTAACTCTCTTAATTAACTCAAATTAAAATCAACAGTCCACCCCTAAAGTTTATGCATTTGTTTCCTATTGGACGAACAAACATACGAACAAACAAACGAACATACCAGCGAACGACATTAGCTCACTTTTCGTTTCGTATAACCCTTCTTTCAGTAGAGGGAAAAAAAGAAACAAAAAAGTCACATGACTACGTACCTATTGTTGTTCTAAAAAGAAGAAAAAGAATTTGATAGATGAAATATAGTTTTAAACATAATACTAATGAATATATACTCAATATGTTAGTAAATTATACCCAGAAGAAATACAAAGTGGTTCGTTTTGGAAATTTTTAGTATGAAAATATTCGTTTACATAATCATTTTCAGAGTAGTAAGATGTTGTTTCATCATGACTTTGTATGCAGAAACTACATACATATTATTAATTAATACATTTGTTTTAAAATAATGCTTTGCTTTTAATGATCAGGTTCATGTGTTAGAAGCTTGTAGAATATATCTGTATGCTTCTACGAGACTAGGGAAATTCTTTTTAAAACAATGCTCTAGATGAATACCTTTATCAGTGAAAAACCAGCTAATAGAGCTTTATGTATCTAGCAATTAGAATAATATGTTCATGCATAAGTTATTTGACGGATCCTTCAATAGAGAACTGCTTAACTTCGCTTTGTTTAATGCCTTTCATCATTCGATAGATCATTCTCTTTTTTTTTATGTCTTGCAAATAGGAACAACTACATTCGAACATTTCATCTGTTTGCATCGCTGTTAGGGGTATGACAGTTCAGTTTTAGTTCCTATCAAAAGAACTCTTCAGAGAGTTCCTTAGACCTGAGAACTGTTAATACTCCTAACTGTTGTTTAGATTAATCTTTATTTCGTTTTTTTCCTAATATAAATAGCAAACAGTTTGTCAAAAGCCGATACACAACTCTCACAAGCATAGCATCAATATCAGAAAACCTTGATATAATACTAGCTCTCATCCGTTTTTTCTTAATTCTTCATCTTAACTTGAGTGATTCCTATGGCTATTTGAAGCAATTTGTTGTTTAATAAAAGATAAATAAAATACCAGCCTTTATAGAAAATATTCAGTTATGATAAATTATTTCAAGAACTAACCAAATACGATGACTTTCAATATGTCTTTCTCGATAATTGATGAAAATAAAGAATTCTTTATATAATACTGTTATAAGAACGTAATAATCTTATTTTTCTCTTGAATAATTATATTATTTTAAATATACATATACAATATTTTAAAAAATGGCGTGTATTCTATTTGAACGATGTATGAAATTTAACGAAGTATTTTTTGAGGATGAAAAGTTCTACATATCTAACATCTTTGCACCTGGTTTCTCAAAGTTAGTTGTCACAGGAAACTAATATTTATTATCTTATATACGTGTATTGTTATTCAAATAAGCATAAGTCGAGTAAATCTTAGAAATGACGTTCTTCCTTTTTCTCTATTGATTCATTGTCTTATGCCAAAAGAATAACGCGAATCTCTGAATGGAATATTTATCTTATTCTATTTGGTTAATCTTAACTTAACTATAAGATGAACTGAGCAAATTCAACTGTGTCTGGACATAAATTCAAATTATTCATAGAGAGATGTCTATTTCCTTTTGTTTTCATCTATTGATTTTTGATAAATAATATGTTAAAAAGCAAAAACGATCAAGTCTACTGAAATGAAATTTCATTGTTTAAAATTACTTTTTATATCTGTTTTTGTTTCTTAATAATTAAATACTCACAATGTCAATAAACAATAATAGAAAGCATCAAAATAACGCCAATTTTCACATTGATGAAAAACATACGACCCAATAGCAACTGTTAGAACAACTAATAAAGCTTCACATGTTAATAATTCCATAGCTGTTATTTGTGGTTCTCTTCTTTTTTGAAATTTTCTTTTAATATATTTTAATACAAATCGTATCAATGAGTTCAATCGTTCACCCACACTTTGTATCATAATAAGCCACATCGGTATACCAATTAGTGCATAGGCTATTGTAACAGCACGTCCAGCAAATGTATTCGGGATAGCATGACCATAACCAATTAAAGCTAAAACCACGGTTACATAATAAAATGAACCAATAAACTTCCATTGTTTTTTACGATATCGTAACCGATATTCCACAACACGAGTAAGATTAATAAAATCTTGATCAGTTAAATTATGTTGCTGTTGAAATGAAGCAATGCGTGCTGTTAAGTTAGCATGACGTATGGATTCTTCTGTTGATTCAAGTTTATCGAATATCGCTGCACCAATAACAAGATAAACAAGAATTGTTACAACATAAGCTAATGTACGATAGTTTTGTATGCGATGTGGTGCACTTGATTGTGGCGTTAGTAACATTAGGACCTGATGGTCTACAAAAAAACGACTAATTCATTAATAAATCTGTATTCATCTTGAATAAACAAAAAATGAAAATAATATGATACTTACGTATTTATGAAGAGAAATACTGCATGGTAAATGACTTATATCTATATTACATTAAATGTGATGAAAACTAACAGCAAAAACAAAGAAGAAGAAAAAAAGAACTTCGCTACTATGTGACATTTGCCATCTCAAAGGAAAATTACCCTGTAGTGAATACAATGCAAAATTCAGCACCTGAAACTATTTCTTTTTTCCCTTTTCAATTCCATTAATCTATCTACCAAAACATCGAGTGGATCGATCAATAGTCAAAGGCAAGCAACTGTTTGTTCTGTCAATTGGAACAACTAACGTATCGCATCGATAATCTTTATCGACCAATTGATAAAGAAGCACAAAAAAAATTAATCATTCTGATAAAAGCAAAAAAAGATCCAGGATTTCTCGAATCTAATTGTCATGCATTTATGTTAGGCATGCTGGTGCATAATTTGGTGTTACCATGAATAAATAAATGCAACAAAGAGAAAAGAAGCTACTGTTCTGAATAAAAGATTTTTAACCTAGCCATGCCGTTTTGTTTTCTTCATAGAAATAGTCGGATGTACTCCACAGCATATCAATGTGCATGTGAAACAGAAAGAATTTTGATGATGTTTGTCAACAAAATAAGAGCACAATAGTGTATGCTTCAAACATCACTAGTTGATTTCTTGTTTCTGACACACAGTCCTATTGAAAATCATATTTAATACTTATTTATTATTAATACATTGCTATCCATGAATAATAATTTAACAAAAGAATGTTAGGCAGGAAAATAATATAATAAGGACAATTATACAATGGCGAAAAATAATTGAATATGAATTTGTGATATTTCTTATTTCAATAAAAAATTCTTTTTTTCAGAGGAAAGAATAGAAGAGAAATTTTCTCTTGATTTTAGAACTACCTGGATATTGTCGGATTCTTGTTGGTAGCTGATGCCCACTATGGCGACATTGTCATAAATGAATAAACACAGTATTCTAGTCTGAAATCTCCCTTCTCTTTTCTTATGATTATTTCTTTATTCATCTACCTCAGTTATAGTACTCAGCTAATGAAGATTTATTAATTATTTATGCCCTTGCGACGCATTGCAAAACAAATCCTTATAAAAGAAAAAAAAATACCTTAGGTCAAAATCACTTAATCAATCCATTTATCCTTAGTAGTCGATGAAACAGGAAAATAGAACAGTTGACATTATTACAAATGGCATCAAATATAGACAAAAAAATATTTCTCACAATATCATAATTAAAATAATGAAATTCTAGTGAATTTCAACTTAAAGTACTACAGCAAAAAAAAAAGACATGAAATAAAAAAGTCTCGTGGATTATCTAGATAGTTATGAACATGTATGTGCTTATTATGTTCTTTTACTTTTGATATACTCATTATTTGTCTTTATCTTGCATGTCCTATTAAGTCACATTAGATCATGATGAAAAGAACGACGTTTATTGCTATTTCCCTTATATATCTCTATTCCATACGCCTAATAAAGCACACACTAACTAAAGCACTTGCATATGAACGAAGATGACATCAAAAATCCTGTTTCTTTTCAATAAACATGCAATAATGACAAACATTGAAAAGAAGAGTTAAGAAAAAGAAAAGGATTTCACTGTCTATCTATTATTATTTTATTTAAATCTTCTTAAAACTTGTAAAGTATCGCGCCTTTTTATATCTATTTTCATATGTCATGATTAATAAAAGAAAGAAGTTAGTATAAGAAAAAGAGAAGAAAATTATTTCTAAGAGAATAGACTGATAAAAAAAATAGAATAACGACAAACATAGAACGTGCTTGTTCGACTAATTGGTTCCTTTCCGCCTTGTCAAACACGATTGTCATCGTTTAACTATGAAATTGATGATCTCAAGTCACTGATACCAAATGAGATCGATGGGCAAAAGACGTATACAAATAGATTAATACATCAAGAATCATGTTTATTTACTGATATGCATATGTAGATTATCTTTTTTGCTATCTGCATTTTGTATTTCATCGATGGGTCAGATTTCACTCGGATTTTCTATGTTGCTGTTTAAGTTTTTGACAAACGATAAACCGGGCTATCAGAATAACACATATGAAAACAATTTGAAAATGACAAGATATATGCTTTCGTTGCTTCAGTAGGCACAAATTTTTCTTGATTTTTCTATTTGGAAATTGCCTTGTTGCTTATCGTTTTAGTCACAGAAAACAAAAGAAATAAGAGAGAATAATACAAGCCTTTTCCGAATATTTTTGGTCTACTATAATACTTTAATATATAAAAGATTATTTAAAAGAAAACTCTGCTTGATTATATCAATGATTATTTTAATGGAAAGTGAAAAACAAGTAAACCAACTGTAAAGAGTCAGAATAAATAGTTATGCAATTATAGAAAAATGTAATAAATGAAAGCTCAGGATTCTACCATAAATTCAACTCTAATTCTCTTGATGTATTTATATTGTACAGACGAAAGTATTCTTTTTCAGATTCAACTGATATCATTTTAAATCTAAAACAACACACGGTACACATCATTCATAATCATAATGCAAGCATGAATTGTTAATTATATATCAATCAAATCTCGAAACTATCTTCTTATGTGTAGTCGAGTTCTCTCTAAATAAAGATCTCTTATTTATTTCGTTCAATGAATAATTAGTTGTGTCTGCCTATTCGATCGCCACCACTACCAACAACAACAACAACAACAACAATGGTTGGAGCCAGGTCTTCGATCGATGAAGATTTCATTTGATGGTTCAATCAGTGTGAAGCTAGCACGACGGAGCTAGCGCGATGAAACAGAGATTCAACTATAAGTCTTCTCAGAAGTATTGCCGGCCCATAAAAACCAGACCATTCGATGCAGAATTTAATTCTGGATCGGATGGTGATACTTTTATTTCCCGACAATACTGAGGAAGAAATTTTACCTACACCTTTGTTTTCTTCTAAATAGGACAAGAAAAACCAGATAGAATTTTCTCAAAGTATTGCTGGAGAATGAAAGTATCACCATCCGATCCGGAATTAAATTCTGCATCGAACGGTCTGGTTTTTATGGGCCGGCAATACTTCTGAGAAGACTTATAGTTGAATCTCTGTTTCATCGTGCTAGCTCCATCGTGCTAGCTTCACACTGATGATGGTTCAACGATTCATGAATATTGTCGTACAAACCAAAGTTTATAAATGAATGTTTAATTGGTTTTGACATTTGCGATTTAGTTATACAAATATTCAGTAATTTACCAGTCAAGGTTTTTTGTTCAGATCAAAAAAATATTCAAAATTATTAATGCACAACACACAAGTAGCATGTCTTTTAGTCTTGTTTCAAAAATAGATTATCTTATATAATAATTGAAATATATTTATAGATGCTTTATCTCCTTTGTTTCGGTTGATAGATTGTTGTCTAGAACAATGTGCGTGATAGAAAATAAATAATGACAGCTTTCCTTTTTTTTCTACTTCTTTTAGTTTTGAATTTAATATTCACTAGTACTTATTTTACCGAATAAAACTCCTTGGAAAATTCTATTACATCGCCGCTGGTACTCCAGAAGAAATAAATAGATTTTCTCTTTTTACAAGAAAAAAAAAATATACGATAGTATATAATAATGACAACATAATTTTACAAAGATAAATAAATATAACACTTAAACATCATCATAGTTACTACGAATAGGTAAATTCTTATTCAGAAAACCATTAATCAGCGGATCTTGAGGTTCATTTGTTGTGATAAATTTATGAGTTTCTTGATGTTGTTGACGTTTCACACTTCGTAATGTTGACACTTGGGGATTCTAAACAAAGAAAAATAAGATAAAAAAAGGAATTATTTGATTAGAATTATACTTCAGATCGATGTGGTATTGTTTGGGAACAATTGAAATTACTTGCTATTGGTGTATAATTTACTGATGAGCTACTAGTACAGCATGGTGACCAAAGACAAGAAATAACTGCGCCAATCATTGACAACAGTGCTTGCAAAAGTGCTAATGTAAACGTGATAAGTAGAGCTAAATTAGAAAAGCTAGTTGGGTCATCAAATGGTACAGAAACACGCCTAAATAGAATTGAAGACAATGAAGAAAAATGTTAAGTAAATAAAAGAAGAATTTACATTGTAGAGGTTGCTCTTGTAGTTGATAGAAGAGATTGAAAGCGATGAGACTCAATTGTTTGCCAATATTCAAGTGTATGAATAATAAGGAAACTGATATAAACTGATGATGAAATGAAATTCATCAAAGAAGACATACAAATTAAAATAGCCTAAATATGATACGATATTTAACAAATATGAGATGATTTTTTTTCTAAATTTCTATTTAAATTCTTACCATACAACGTCGTTTGCATATGGCAAAGATGATACAACATAAACATGGGATAATTGTCTAAAAATATTTAGAACATATTTTGAATACATAAAAAAAAAATTGAATGAGACATGTAAAGAAAATATGATGATTAATTACGATATGTACACTTATTTAATTGAAAGAAAATAACCTGGAGGCAAGTGAAAATAATTTCTATAGATCCATATATCATACATTAATCGTATAAGTAGGAAAAAAATGAAAAGAAAAGAAATATATGTAACTATTAATATTAAAGTAAATATAGTTTCATTTTCTACGCCTATTTGAATATCATAATTAAAATAAATATTTTATTCGTAACATGAAATTATTTAATCGATTAGAAAGAAAAATGTTTCGTTTGCTTTATTTAGACGAAGGAAAAAAGAAATCGTTTGATTTGATACAAATCGAAAAGGATAAAGAAGATTTATGTTCAATATTACTCAACTATGATCACATATGACATTTTGATATGCACTTTGTACGAATATCGGCTTATTGATTGCCACATTTTCTTTTGTCTTTTTTTACAATAAAAAAAACTTACCAATGCAGCCGAAGGATAAACAAACCAAAGATGAATATCATTCATAGCTAATGAAGCGGGAAAGAAGTAAAAAAAATTGATACTATCATTTTTGTTATTGTTCTTTTCAATGATAAATCGATGGCTCATCGTAACTCCCAGTTGTACCAAACCAGTTAAAAATAGAAATATTCCATAGATAAGTAGAGTTTCAGCTTCAGCAATAACTTGGTAAGAAGATTTATGAGATGCCATCTTCTCCACGAGCCAAAATGAAATTGTAGGAAACCACAACAGCGCTTGTCGCTATTTCTGTGCTTAGTCTTATTTAATGAACTTTTTTTTCTCTTCGTCGCCGTCTTTTTTCCTCTATATCTCTATGTTTCTTCTTTTACATGAATGCGATAAAAGAGAGAAGAGAGTATGCCTATGTGCGTAAGTAAGAGAGAATAGCCATTTAGTTTAAGGAGTGACTGAACGTGAACGTCTGTAAGAAAGCGAGAGAAAGAAAAAAAGAGATTGCTTTGTCAAGCCATAAGAGTAACAGGGCACATTTTTTTTCTAGAATCGAACTAAAAGCTAAGTAGGGATGAAAAAGAAAGGAAAAAAAGACGAATAACTTCTGTTTCTTTTCTTTTTTGTGTCTACCATGAAGTACAGTGTTCAACTTGAAAAGGTGCCAAGGACAAGAGATATTACGTCTTCACTTTTTTCTCTGTTGAAAAAAGGAAATGACAAGAGCAAAAAAAGAAGTAAAAGCAGAAATCTTATGAATAGGGCAACGATTTTATCACCAACGTGATTTACATGTAATCATCGATCATGATCAAATTATGAGCATTGATCTCGATACCGGCAGTTGTTTATTGAATGGTAATCTTAATGGATTGCACACATGTTGATGAAAGATATGCTTCTGTATACCGATGAAGAATAAGTTATTAAAAAGAACTGTCATTCATCACAACTTATTTATCGTAGTAGTATGTCTCTCTAACATATATAACTAAATATTTCATTGATTGAATACATAATGATTGAAGAAATCAATATTTATATGATCTGGAAGTTGTCACTAGATGTGGATAGATTATTCAATTACTTCAAAAAGCTTTCTATGTGATTTCACAATTCGAAAACGAATAATTTCTTCTTTTTTCCCTTTAGTTTCCATCAATATGAGTGAATTATTCGGGTGGGGGGGATAAAATGAAAACTCGAAACCAATGTCTATTGGTATTAACTGCGTGTGTTATTGAAAAATTGGATAAACAATCATATTATCTGATTGTCAGCTAATTATTATCGCGTAAGTTATCATGTAATTATGAAACTCTTGACTGATAATATCGTTGATAGATTGATTGATTATTATCATATCTATTGTATAATCATTTTTCTCAAGAAAGTTTATTATTCTTTAAAACAATGAATACTTTACAAAGAAAATAAGACCTTCAATCCAGAAGAATAGACAAAAACGATACAAAAAACGATGCACGATACTATTAGTAAATTGGAAATCATTGCAACTATCAACATATTTCTCTAATACATGTACGATATAAAAATGATCAGATTTATACACTTAGAAGGATTTATTATAAAAATTAATTTTAATAGAAAAGTTGAACAAAAAAAGAGAATGCACTTTTTAATTATTGTATGTATGTGCAACAATTTAATACAAAATCAAAAGCAAAATTCAATGTAGAAAAAGAAAAACATTAAAAATTTATTATTAAATGTTATAATGTGTTTAAAATACTTAGTTAAGTACTTTTGTTTTGCTATGAAACCACTTAAGAGATTTGCTTCATAAAAATTGTTCATTGTCTACTTTAAAAAAAAAGTTTCACAATAGGAAAATATACAGTAAAAATACTAACTGAAATTCTTTTCTTGAAATAGAAATCTACCAAAAGGATTGATATGTTTTTGAAATCATGATAGACGCAACAGAAATGCTTAACAACAACACATCGAAAACATAAAAGACAACTTTAACAACGCTGTTCTTATCATGCATGTTCACAGATTTTATATCAATATCAGCTTGTTATAGCGAGAGAACTAATTTTTGATTTCAATTTTGGACGATAATATATATATATGATGAAGAATATTTTTTAAAACTAAATAGAATCTAAAAGACTGTACTAACACATCGTTTTTTTCTCTCAAAATTGGAGACATCCGAATGGATACTATTCATTGTTAAATCATATTTTCGTTGAAAACTAGTTATAACTTTCGAATAAATTGACGTCAAAATTTGTGTTAAATTTAAGCATTATAACAAATTCAGATAAGCAATAATTGAGATAAAGACATATTTTATTGTTCTCGTATAGTTATCTTGTTGTTTTCTGTATTAAAAATGTTGCAGGTAGAATTTGACCGAAAAAATATATAGAGCATGTTTTAAAACAACTTATACGCAGATATACTTTATGATTAACAGTAAATAAAGTTCTTCCGCGTAGTTTATTGGTCAGACAGTTTTCTTGAAGTTATTATATTACGAGACCTAGTCTGGATATTAGGGAACAAAGTCGTGTAACCTAGATAAATTTAGGCAATGATAATATCAACATTCCAGAATTCTAATGTATTTAAATACAAAAAAATAATCAAAACTAAATTACCGAAATTAACATATAATATTTATAATTCAGAGCGACGATCAATGTTTGTGTTTGCTTTGGCAAACTATTATCATATCATGTGTTATACAACGAATTCTCTGTTATCTTTTATCATCAACCTTCTCATATAGAATGCAAAGTTAGTTTATTTGTTGTATGAAAATCTTTTTTAGGTAGCTGAATCAATGAAAGTCTACTATTTATTATGGAGCCTAGCTTGTATGTATATAGACTGATTGGATTGTTCAGATTTTATATCCATAATATCATTTCTTTTCAGTAGGATTTATTATTTTACGTGTGAAAGCTCAAGGGGAGAGCGTAAGTATATTGCAAAAAAAACTAGAATAAAATGTTGAGTTGGCTTTGTAAGCTTAGATATTTTAAGTATGCTCAAAGAAAAACACAACGGAGACTTGTTTGCTTAAAAACATTGATTGTGAAAATTTAGAATATTTGTAAACAATACTATTTTAGAAATTCATACGATTTCTTTCGAAAAATTCTTTTGGCATCAGAACATTGCTATGGTTACAGATTTCACCTTTGATTTGTTTTTGAATCAAGTCTTTTATTGCGAAAATTTTGGCTTTGAATAAAACGGAAGTAAAGAATTAATATGATGAGAGGAAGAAGTCTTATATTTTTGAGTTTTTTTTGTAAGATATTACTTTTCTACAGACTACTGATAACAACCAAATAGCATCGGACGACATTACTAGTATCAGTACTATTGAGCTATCTACCATTGAAGTTACTACACAAGAACCTTTAGTCGCAAGTACAACAGTATCCACGCAAAATGCTGGTAAATTCTCTCGAATTTTTATTGTCAACATAATATTTTCTCATGTTTTTTTAAACTCATAGAAGCAATCACGCCTGCACCTGTATCTATAGATACACAGAGCAGTAAATAATTTAAAATTTAATTTTATGAGACTTTTTCGAAAACCTAAAATATTTTTTCTTCCGTCTTTAAAAGCAACCACCATCACAACAACAAGGACAACAACAACGACAACAACAACGACAACAACAACGACAACAACGACAACAACAACAACCACTAAAAGAATACGTAACAACCTTCCAAAGAAAATTATTCATTGATACAATATCTTCTTATCTTTGACAGCCCCATCAAATCCTACGTGGATTATAATTGGTAGTCTTGCTGGTGCCTTTGCATTTATTGCATTAACTACTACTGGTGTTAGTTTATACATATGTTACACGAAATCCCGTAAACATGCTAAAACTAGAACTCAAAATATCCAGTTACGTACTTCTAATTATTAACCCAAAACATATAAACTGTCTGTTTTTTTAATGTATTAATGTGTGTGCATAATTTATTGTTTCAACTGTACATTCACACAGAGCGCACGAGAGAAAAAGAATTTAAAAAAAAAACAGAAAAAGAGTACAAATATCAATCATCATCTAATTCAATAATAGGAATCTCGTCTTGAGTATTTGGACGTTCATTTGATTCTATAAAAGAATATTAAGGAATATTTATTCGATTAGTTTAGTTTTTGAATTTATTCAACTTACTGCTGATTGATCGTTCGTCATTTGAATCATCATCACCTGAATGATCAATATCGGGCACTGCTTTTCCATTCGTATTGTTTGCTGCTTGTGCTGCTTTATAAGCATCTCTTTCACGTTGTGCTCGTCGAGATAATTTTTCCTCTCCAACAGCTTTCCATTGTCCATTGGGTTCATATTCGATAGCTTTAACATCCGATGAACATTTACCAATAATATCAATAAAAAATTGATCGACAAATAGATCTGTATACAATGCTTGTTTATTGCATACAGGACAAAGCCAAGCTTATAGAAAAGAAAACAATTAAAATATATCATAACATATTCATTTTGACTTATAAATTTTACTTGGTTTTTTTTCATTCATTCTTAAATAACCTTCTAAATCAAAACAGTGAACATGTTTACATGTTACTGCACGTCCAGGCATTCGCATTCGAATACGCATTGCGGGACAATCAAGTGGTAGACGAAGTGATGTTGAAGCCACCTCAAGATCATTATCAGTTCCTTGTGAAGTTTGAGAGGCTGCTAGAATTTGTGTTACTGTACGTTGAGTTTCAATCGATGATCGAATGGCTGATGGACGTGAAAGGCGTGCTAATAATTGTGGTACTGTTTTACGCTCAGTTAGAAAGACAGCAGCAACATAAGTTGGAGTTGGATTTGATACATCTTGTGTAAACCAAGATATTTCAACTAAATTTGATATTAACGGGCATAACCGACAATATTCTGTTATATCAACTGGTCGACCTAGATTAAGTTCAATAGAATATAGACAAGAGAATCTTTTTTGCTTTCAAATAAAAGTACCTGGTCGAATAACGTCTGAATTTGGTTTTGCTGTAGGTTTTGGTTGAGGTAATAGTACTGCTCGACTATTAACAATAACATGAAGATTTGGTGGTAGTTTATCAGGAGTATTCGTACAATTGAATGTCGAATCACCACCAATGGTTGTAAATCTTAGTAGTATTTGTTTTCGATATTCAACTTTTGACTGATCAGTGTTGAAAAATGTTGACGTTGCTACATCTAAAACACCAAATGTTGATTATGGACCAGTTGAACACTTAAGAAAAATAGCGATTTTTTGAATTTGTTTGAAATCTCATTAAAGATATGTACTTGCATGTATTCAACTGTTCTCAAAAGAATTCTTTTTTTTAGGGTCTTTTCATGCCTAATGAATTCAGTTAATTCCTATGAAAAGACGAAGAGTATTGACGGGAAAAGAAAAAGAAATTGATCTCCAACTTGTACACTATTTAGTTCTCTTTCATTTGAATAAAAGTGATTCATAATCAACCTCTTGTTTTAATAAATAAGAATTTCGATTTGATTTTAGACAAGAAATTATCGCTATTTAGTTGAGTCTATTTTTTCTTCAAACCTGATGCTTGTTGTGCTGTTAATAAAAAATAAAAATTAGCCAACGATTGTGTTCCATTTACTGCTTGTTTAGAAGAAGCAATTGCATGTGGTGGTGATATAACACAGATATCTTCATTGAATGTAAATGGTGTAAAGCGTATATCAATATTTGTTTGTTGGTTTGCATGTAAATGTAGATGTGTATTTCTTGCGGTATTTGTGGAATCTCTTGGGTAAGGTATGGTTTGTTTTTCACCTTGTCCAAAACGTTTATTATGTAGTTCTTCACATTTTTCTCTTATGATCATTGATGTTTTCACTAAGGCATGACAACGATCAATTAATTCTTGTCTTTTACCAGTTCGTGATTGTCCGGCAAATGTTAATAATGTCTGTAGATCATTGATTGGTAATGCTTGCAATTGTACATACCGTTGTTCCTCTGTTAAATCACTCATTATCTGAAAACAAGGCAAACTAGTTGTTTTTCATGTTCTAAATAGATATACAATAGTTCGCTTTAATTTTTATTTTTTCTATCACAAAAAAAGAAAAAAAAACACCGAAAATGTAATTAGTCCTCATCAATAAGAATTACATCCGATAATCCATTTGTTGGTGACGGTATTAGTCGAATATTTGATTTAGAATCAAATTCATGATGTTGTTTATCAATTGGTTCATCATCTAAAACAATATCATCCATATTTGATGTCATTTGTTGATGTTCAATAATGAACGATGATGATATAACAGGTTTCCATTGTAAATTACTATCAATACTAATTTCAGTAATATTTTCATTTGGAATTGAATTTAATATTGATTCAGTATAAGAATCAATTTGTAAATCGTCAAATAATGCGGATTTATTGCATACAGGACAAATCCATTTACCGGCTTTTTCATTTATAACTAAAAAAATAAATTGTATAAATAAGAATTGAGTAGAAAGAAAAATCCGAATAATAACGAAACTCACATATATATGTTTAGAAGTATAAATGTGATTATGATAGCTCAATATTTATTTGTATGTACAACATCAACCAGATATAAGAAAAATGGGATTTTTTTTTACCAGCAATACTACTAATGATCTTTCACGTTTTATGAGAAACTAGAGTTGTCAAGTGTTTCCTTATAGTCATTTTGTTCGAGGTATGTCGTGTCTAGCTTGGTGACATACACACTTTCTTATTCGACAACTATTGTATAGTAACAGAAGTTTGTTTTAGATACTTTGGAATATTTCATTTTTTTCTAAGTTACAACTCATGTATGAACTGTCGTATCTATGTGCGATATAAACCTACAACTTGTCAGAAACTTCGATTCCTATTTTAATGGCACATAAGTATGAGGTAGTCTAATCACGAAAACAAATCAAGATTTCATCTAATTTTCTACGAAGAAGACTAGGATATTTCAATTTTAGTATATTATTATCATGAAAGAGTTGTTAGAATTAACCTATCATTTCATTAAAATGTAAGAGAAAATGTTCATACCTATATAATTTTTTAAATCAAAACATTGTATATGTTGACACGTTACAGCTCGTATTGGTAGTTTTAGTCGTCTTTGATCAATCGGACATTTTAATTTCAATTTTTGATCACTAACTTCTAAACCAAGATCACGATCAGTGGCAATAGCTTTAGCTAATAATTTAACTAAATCTTCTCGATAAAATCGTGCTGGCTTATTTCGAATTTGTTCACATAAATCTTCAATAGTTAAATGTTGCACCAGAAATATATGTAATGCAAATTGTGCATTGGTATATTGTACATGTAAATTTGAATTATCTGGACGATATGACCATGTCATGCTTATTTCATTATTTAACATGGGATTAAACATACAATATGATGTAATATCAATTTCACGTCCAATACGAATTAAATCTGTTTGTTGTCTTGTGCATGGTTTTGGCGTTGGTAAATTAGTTAAATTTTGTGAATTCACATGAACAACTAGATTAGGTGGAAGATGATCATCATATTTACCATTAGGCATCGGCGCTTGATCAATGCGTGCAAGACGCATTACCAAACATTTCGTTGTTTTATGAACATCAATATCAGAATCATAATAGTGTGACAAAGCTAATTGATTACATATATCAAGTGATAGAATAAAATCATTACGAGAACAAAATTGTTTACGATAGTTATCATAGCGAAATACTTGAAAACATTCATAAACACATGTTAATGGACGATAGAATGGTAAAGTTTTATGAGTTATAGTTAAGCCTAGTGCGGATGTCGAAATTGTTGGTCTCGTCATACTCGATGGTGGTGGAGGTAAAATTGGAACATGAAAACGAAGAGGAGGGGCAGTTGTTGCTGCTGATGACGATGGAGGTGAACGGGTAGTATTAGTTGTGGGTGTAGATGTTGGGGGCTGTTGAATAAATTGTTGACGAGGTGCAGTTGAAGGATAGAAAGGAGGTTGTGGTTGCTGTTGTGCTTGAGTACGAGAATTTTGTGGACGTTGATTCGGAACATTTGTAGGTTGTGTAGAATTTGGCCGTACTAAAAATTAATAAATGATTAAACATAAACTGAAGATCTTAATGTCAATACAGTTGTTAAGTGTTAATTTAGTAGAGTAAATTTTCAACCGATAGAATTTATCGTCTTACAAATTTTCCTTATGATTTTATTCTAGAAAGAAAATAAATGACATAAGAGATAGCATCAAGCAGCAGGATTATGCTGATTGTAACTAATTTGTTTTGACCTTAGAAAGCAATAGCATTACCATTGTGTATTGACCAATTAATGTCAATATTCAAATTGCTAAATACGATCAAAGATAACAACATGATTTGCTTGTAAATCAAGATAAGTTAATTTGAGATTTCACTGAAAATCTCGTTATGCATGCTATTTTCAAAAAACAAAAATATAATAGGAAAATGATTATAGTTGATTACAGATATTATTCGAAAATATGTTATAAGCGAAATTAATGAACAACCTATGCTGAAAACTTTTTTATTAAAAATTAAAACTCGGTTTAATTTCATGAATATTAAAAAATCAGTTCTATCAAAGTGACAGTGTAAAAGAATATTAACATCTTGTAACTCAAATGAATATTAAGTTTGTATAATCATGTCTAACCGAAATTCAAAACTAATCCTATGAAGATTCAAGCTTTTGATGGTATTATTTGTTAAAACTATTTGAAAGACATGAAATTATTTTCATTTTATGTAAACGACAATTTTTTAGAATGATAAATTTAATTTACTTTGTCTTAATTGTGGTGATATATTTGGAGGTGAAGGATGACGATAACTAGTTGGAATATTATACGGCAGTGTTGTTTGAGTATAGTAGTATGGTTGTGGATTATATGATGCAGCATACGTTTGCTGTTGCTGCTGCTGCTGTTGTTGCTGCTGTTGTTGTTGTTGTTGCTGCTGCTGATGCTGTGGTGGTGGTCGGTACATTTGTTGTTGTTGATATTCAGATTGAAAACGTTTTTGTCTCAATCCATAGAGCGTTTGTTCAAGATCCACTGAATAATAATTATCAATAAGAATATATGTTTGTTGAAGTAATTGTGTACGTAAATAATGTTGAAATTGATTACTCAATGGAGTATTTGAGATTGATTGTATATGATTAGTTAGAAATAAACGCAATTGGTCATCAGTTAATTCATTTACTATTTGATAAAGACGTGAGCGATGTTCTTGTGACAAACGTATCGTATTATTATTCGATGTTGTCGATAAGATTGAATGCATAGCTGGACTAGTACTCGATGATGTTAATGAGTGTGCATAGGGTGCTGGTTGAATATACATTAGTACATCAAGGCATAGGTAAGTTTATGGTTAAGAATATCAATTGAAAAATAGAAATTTCATTTTTGGGGAATTGTCCTTTGTGCATAGAGAACATTTGACCAATCAGAATACGATGAATTTATTTCTGCTGCCAATCGATCAACTGTATACGATTGCTTTCTTTTTGGTTGTCTGTTCTAGAGTGACATCTATTGAAAAACAAAATTTTTGATTTACAGATGAACAGTGTTTCCAATAGCGGATGTAAACAGCAGAAGCAAAATGTACATAACATCTACTAGTTCTGATGTACACTCTGATTTACACTTTGCTCAGAAAAACAAAGTGTACAGTGTACATCTTGTTAAAAGAATTTACACTGTGATTCTAACGGGCGTCCCATAAAGAATGACCTTCGCAATGTTTCCTCGATAACTTTTCCATTTTTTATTTTCTAGGCTCCAATTTGTTTCCAAAAGATCTACTATTTAATTCTGCATAAGACGTATATGAAAAGCTTTTCTGAAGAATGTTGAGCAAAAAAAGAAAACAATAATATTGAACACGTACACAAGAATCAACTTTCAAATCTCAAAACCCATTTTTTCCATTTTTCTATTAAGCTATTAACGATAAAAATAGATAGAATAACATATAGGCATTTTGTAACCCTCAAAAAGCTCTATCGAACGATTCTAGTTTGTAAATTGATATGCTCATTCTTGTGACGTTCATCAATAATCTTCTTTTTCAGATTTGTGAGAGTTTAGCTGTTTTAAACTGCCGTTTCGGAGATTTTAAAAAAGAGGCGTGAATAAGTCAAAATAGTATCTTTTGGGTTCAGATTTTCCTTATTTCGACAAAAAGCGATTATTGTATCAGATACAGAGACAAAAGTTAATCTAAACGTACTTCTGTTCCTTCGGTGAAAAATAGTGAGTTTCGGGCATTTTGAATCCTATTATAGAAAGTCAGATTTATTATTCTAGGATATGATTCGAACCAACGTTGCGCTGTAGGACAAGAAAGAGTCAACTTGAATGTACTCAAAAGCCTCTTGACTTTGGTTTTCTTTATTCTAGTATTGTAAAAAAATCTTCTGAAGTTTATTTTGAAAATAGGTTTGAATGTTAGTTATTTTCTACTTGTTCAATATTATTGTTTTACTTTTCTGGTCAACCTCCTTCAGAAAAACTTTTGATACAAATCTAGTCTAGAATTGGAAGGTGAATCGTTAGGACAAAAGCTGAAAAAAATAAAGAAGTTGTTGAGGGAATACTGAGAAGGCCATTCTTTATGGGACGCACGTTAAAATCCGCAAAATTCTCTACATCATTTTTGCATCATCATGAAGACAAAAATAATTCATATTTTTAGAATATACTATTTGAAAAAATACATATTAACTTTTTGTTTTTGTAAACCTTCTTTTTGTAATTTTGCCAAGGAACATGTCAGATTATGAGATAGTACGTCTATGTATCATTTATTCATTTATCAAGTATTACTTTATATTTTTTGTGAAAAAAACACAGCATCATTTTGTGCTTTTTGGATTTTAAAAATTTGCTTTTGGTACACTTTGTACACTCTGGCATTAAAAGCAAAGTGTACAAATACACTTTGTATCTATAATCAAAGTGTACATGTACATTTTGTTCTAGATTTCCATTGGAAACACTGCAGATGAATATTATAAAAAAAAAAAACGAAACCCGAATTTAACAAATTTTTATTTGATGATCGTTTAATATACGTGAATGTTGATTTTTTTCACATATATGAAGTTCAATAAGTACCATCATTTTCTGCAGTATCATGTGCATTACCATTCTCTATTTCTGTACTAAAATTAGTGTACACGTGAAATATCGTTTGATTAACTAAGAAACTTCTGCCCGATAACTTTTTTCTTTGAACAGAAAACTTTTACGAAATCCACGTAGTTCTATGTTGAGTATCTTATCAATTAAACATCTAAAGTTCGATTTTGCTGTTTAAAAACCGCAATTTATGTGTCGCTGCGGGATTAAAATGTGACACATGACGTAGTTGCTGTTAGTAATCAAAGAGATATTCTTGTTTAGGTATATATTAGGATATGTTTCTTCCGCATCTTTCATTTTAATCGTTCAGAAATATAATGAAGCATTCCTATTGATTAATGGTTAGTAATTCATGAAAGAATAGAGTAGTCGACGGTTGTATCCATCTATTCCTATTTAGATCGCATCTTACAAAAACAGAAAGATTTTTGCGTAGTTTCTTTTTGATTACTGATTTATGTCAACATAAAAAAATAATACGAATATCATAAATATTCATTCAAAAAAGATGTCATAAATGACAACTTAATTAATGCAAGCATATTTAGTCTATCATCTTTCAAAATGATTGGCATTTTTGAGCGGGTTTTCTAATATTGATTGTAATATTTTGAGAAATATTCATCGGACATATTTAAATAGAATCGTACGTATTGAAGCATAAGTATCAATTTCACTTAATATAGATTAAAAAATCCTGTTATCTATAAATAACATTGATCATGTTGTATATTTCCTAGGGAATTTTCTATTTAAATTAATCAATATCTTTTTAATCATTTGATCATTCAGCTATTTAAATGTTAAATCGTAATAGAAGACACGATCACTTCTCAGCGACATGTGTATCTATCAAAACATGTTGATATTTCTAATCGATTCTCATGATAGTATTCAAAAATCAACAACAGAAATCTCCATTTTTTCGGCATGTTTCTTTAATACGATAACTATATTTAATAAGCTGTAAAACCAATTTCCAGTAGCTGTATAAATCGTTGGAGATGTATTACATATTTCTTTTGTCCTTGAAACCTTGCAAGTAATACAAACAAATTTAGTAGAATGTGACTAAATGATAAACCAGAACGATATGCCATTTGATATCGCTAAATTGAAGATTCATCAATATAAGTTATAATTTCTTATTTTTGCTATATTTTATAAACAAAATTCAGAATATACTAAGAGGAAACTCTTCTTCAATGACTATGATATTGTCTTTCTGTTACATAACATTACAACAGCAACAACAGGAGTTTCCATATGGTCGTTTGCCATTAGCTAGTGGATCCTTTTTATTGTAATATGGCTCCCAAGATGGACTTCTTCTAATTGATGATTGTGGTAATTGAATCGTTAATATTTGATTTTGATCGAGCCTCGCTCGTATATGATCAGGATCGATATGTTTCGGTAATTGATATTGACGATAATATTCTTTATTGATACCATGATCAGTTGTATCATCTGTATGTTGTGCATAAACTTTTATCAAACCATTGTTATCTACCCGAACATTCACGTTTTTCGGTCGATAACCATGTAAGTCAAATGTAAGAATACGATCATTATTATTTTTTGGATCATTTACTGATAATAAATCAGGTTCACGTGGTCGAACATCTACGTCAACTCGAAGACATCCAGACATATCAATTGTATTTCTGACCAGTCTTGCTTCAATATTTGGCCTACCAAGATTGTATTCACGTCGAAATCTGCGACAGAGTGGTCGATAGGCACGTATACGTAATCTTCCAAAATTATCAAGCAAAACATTGATATGTTCAGGTTCATAGTTATTTAAATTAAATTCATATGAATAAGTTCGACAACCCTGACCATGATCATATATTGAATAGGAATTTCCCGATGATCGTAAAACATAGTTTTTATCGTTACTAATTGGTATCAATGTTGAAGATGTCATTTTTTGTACATAGATATCGATATACGGATAGGGAAATGAATTGCATGCATGATATTCTATGTTTTTTTTGTTTGTGTAAAAACAAATTGGTACGATCCAGCAAAGTAACTGAGAAATATTCTTGCCCTCTTTTTGGGGGAGGATAGAGTCATTATTGGCCTTGTATCTCGGCGTATACATATTCGTATATCACAGATATTAAATAGAGCAAACAAAGAGAGAGAGAGAGAGAGAGCGAACGAGAAGAAAATAGATAACAGACGGCGTGAGTTAGCCATTATCTACTACTGTCATCGGTTGCAGCTTGATGATCTTTTGAATATTTACAAATATTATCTTTGATTCTATGACATTGATGAAGGAGAAAAATGAATATACAAATTTACCTATTAGTAGAGTAATACCATAATCTTAACACGTTTTTCCATCAAATGAAAAAAAGATCTGTTATCACATTAATGAAGCATAACTCTAAGAAAAAACTTGATATATCATGCCGAGTCTTGCTGTATTTTCTTGATCATTGAAATAAACGATAGTTTCGACATATGGCATTTTATGAGATCCGATAATCGATAGAAATAGACATGTTAACCCTCTGTCTGCTCGACTTTTTTCAGAAGAAATTCATTCGACATTTGTATTCGACGATGTACGGCCGCTGTCCCATCTAAGAAAGATGAACTCTTTGAAACTTTTAGTGATTGATAGTAGCCAATGATACGAATACTACAAAAACAGATAATTTTGGTTTTAAACTCATATAGAAACTCAATATAAAATGTTAGTAAGATTAAGACGGCGTAAAAAAGTCAGTGCGCATGAGACTTTCAAATCCAATTATGAATGTTTTGCTAAATTTTCAATATATGAACTTTACCTCATCGATAGATCTCATGTTTTTTTTTACAATATCTGGAAAGTGTCAAACAAATAGAACATGCAATCGTTAAGATGTTAAATTGTTACAGAACCTGACGGTCATAAGCTCTCTATTAAATATTTTCTAGTCTATCTAAAAAATTGCTTTTAAATTGAATACAGATATTCCTTGAATAGCCCATTCGTTCATAGAATATTTTTTAGAAAAAGTACAATCGTTTCACATAGAACGGAACTATAATCTCAAGTTGTCAATGTTCGTCGATATGATTATAATTTCGATTGATTAAGAATATTCTTTTATCATTTCATTATTTGATTTATCATTGGTTCACCCAAAGAATCACAAACTTATTTCCATGATCTGTCAATGTCATATTTTATCTGTCACAGATTGGTGCATCTTAACCCTAAAAAAATGTATTATTTTATCATACCCAGATGTTTTCCTCAGGCTAGATGTCATCTATCTTAGAAATATGATTTATTAATTGAATTCAATCGACATAAAATATGTTTGATGACATTCTAAATTAATTGTAGCCTTGTTTTATGAATCTTCATCATCTTGAACATATGATATTGAAAAATAAAGGAAACACATTTAGTGTTCATGCTTTATGTTAACAAGCAATAGATGAAAGCCAATGGGATCAATATTGTAATTTCATACAAGAATATGTAGCTATAACTTGACATGGATTTATTGGTATATCTAAAGTTTTTGTTTTTTTACTCGAGAAACAAGCTTGAAAATATGAGATTGATTAAAATAATGAGAGCTCGCCTGAAAGTGCAAAACAACAGGCGCTTTTTTTTCGAACTGCACTTTGGGAAAACAAAATTCATTAACAACAGTAATCTATTGAATACTATAGTAAAGGGCGCGTGCTATCACACAAAATTAGATCATTTATTCAAGCTTCACACTCACAACTAATCTTCAATCATTGTCAAACATATTCATCTATTGAAAAATGATGTTACATATTTTCATAGTTTGCTTCATATTCATAGTCATGGTTATTCTACCGATAAGTAAGAAATATCATATGAACGTAATAATCGAAACATCTATAAAATACATAGGAACCGTCGATTGGGTTGGTAAATTTCAAATTTCAGGCACCTGTAATGTAACAGGATGTTGCTGTCCTTCGTCTAACTTGATTATTAAAAATAATAATATTACACATGAAGGAACTTTTAATCTAACTGGTTTCGACTGTAAAACACATGGACATCAAGGACACTTTTCAATCGATAATGCTACTGCAACTGTTGTGTCTGTTGCATCGTTGGGTACTTTTACAATGAAAAATAAAAATGACATGGAAATCTTATTGGAGCAGGTAACGATATATTTATTCATTTTCAATACAAGTCAGTTTTATATGAGCTTCATAATGCAAAACTAAAGTTGACTTTGAAGATTTCGCAGAGTAAAATTCTTCTATAGAGACGAGGTATAGGATACATTTATTTCCTATTCAAGAGGATTTTTGTTTTATTTTGGTTGGATTAACATATCAAGAACGGAGTATGAACGCAATCGATTTTTTGTTAACTCCGAGTTTTACTGAAATTGTAGAACACCACAGCGGCCAAACCTGCATGCAAAGTGGACATGACTCGTGTAGTAAATTCAACTGTTGCTAGTACTACAACTACTACTACTACTAATCATTCTAATGAAAATTCAACCACTAATGGAAATCAAATTAATACTAGTACAGAGCCGGATAAAAGTCATGTTTCATCCAATCGTGGTTCAATTTTTCTCATATGCATATCAATCATAATGGCAACTACTGTCATCATGCATATTTGATAGACGAATAAGAACAGCAATAATAAATTAAAACTAAATAATACAACAACTGAATAATTGTTTAATCTTTTTTGGTTGTTGACATAATTAAGAAATAAATAATCGCGCCAATAAATGATTCATTTCTCTCAATACCACATAGCGAAAGTTAAAAGAAACTTCTTTTTATTTGTATTATGATTAAATAATCATCAAAATAGTTTCACTATACAAGAGAATAGCAGAAAAAAGATAGAACAGGAAAAAAAACATAAAATACAATGTTTATTTTGTATCACACAGAAGCGCAACACCTCTTAATGTCCATACATCAGGCCCAACTTTCTCACCTGGTGGGCATTCTAATTTCAGTGTACATACAAAGTTTCTATCTGTTCGACGTGGTTTCTTATACACAGGCGCATAATAGATTGGACGGCGGTCTTGCTTTGTTGGTGCTGCACCGGTACCAAAATCAGCTTCAGCAGATATGTGTATCACTGGCATTAGATGTGTTAAAACTTTTTCATTGGCTTTTAATTCATCCAAAACACCATTTTTGATTTTAGCACCTTCGATATATAAACCATATACATAGAGACCTTCACGTGGTGGATCCTTTAACATTTCACGATCCATTCGTGTAACCTTATTTGTTAAAACAACATTATCGAGTGACCAGCCTTGATTAGCTCTTGTTACTTCCTTAATAAAAATAAATAAATAGGATATAAGGAAGATAATGAATAGTGTGAGTTTTGTTCTTACTTGTCGCATTGCTGTTAAAAATCCTTGTGGATTGAAAAATCCTGTCATCCAAAATGAAAGTGGTCTTGTATCTTTATCAAGTTTTAACCAAGCACGATATTGTTCATTTCGTGCATATAAATCTGTGAACCAAGCACCTAATGTTGATGATTCCCATGACAATCTTAACCAAGCATTTGGAATTTTAGCATCATACATTCGATCAAGTGCATCACGCAATTCTTCATTCATAACTATGGTGCCATCAATAGCTAATTTTAAATCAATGAGTGTACGTCGTACAGCATTAAGTACACGTTGAAAACGATCGATTTCTTGCCGAAGAAATATATTCATTGGTTCAAGTTTGGCGAGACGTTCTTTAACTTCATGAGCAATATAATCAGGTGGCAACTTTTCTAATGTTTCAGTTGCTAAACGATATATAACAGCTTCACGTGTTTCACCTGCACCACCACGAGCTTCTTTTGGTTGGATACTTAATATTGTATCGAGTACTTTCTTAGTTGTATCTTCTTGATATCTAAAGAAAATGTTGTTATTTTGTTTTTCATACTATTATAATCGATGCAGAGAATCATCATTTTTAAAAATTTCTATGATATGGATAATTATTATTATTTAGTGATGAATTTCAACTAATGAAAATGCTCTGCAAATACTTTTCCGGATTCCTGTTTCAATTTATCATAGAAATGTGTGTTGTCGATTGGAGAGTATCTACTTTTTAGAGAAAAAAAAGAACTTCTCAAAATAAATGCTTAGAGTTTAAAAGTGGCCTTCATTCTCGTATACAGTTAATTGACAAGAACAATTTATACCATGTTGATCAGCTTATCGATTAATAACGGACACTCACATTCATCAATATCTCTATACTCTTAAGCATCTTCAGAATTGATGAAGAGATTCTTCGATTTAAAAAGGTATTTTTTTATTTATACGAACCTATCATTAGCCAATGGACTTAATCCAAATACTTTGCCACTATCATAATTTGGTATTGTTTCAATATAATCGAATACATCTTCAATACGTGCCATTTTCGGTATACGATATGTTTTATCTTCAAATTGAAAATTAGCGTCGAATGTTTCATCTCGGAACCAACATTTAACATATGTTTTTAGGAGACGTTTATCAAAATCATCCGTTACACGACCTAAATAATATCAGGTTATTTGTTTATTTTCATTTTTTCTTAAATATTATTCTTTACCTCCATATTGTACTTCAGAAATCATATAATGGATGGTTTTCCATTGCATTTGCTAGGAAAAAAACAATAACTAAGTTTTGAATGGAAAAGAAAAGAAAATATTTCTTACTTTAGCGGAATCCATATCATCGAGATAATTTTGAATAAATTGAACTGTAGCATTAAAATCAGATTGATTGAATTCATACGGTATATTCCAACCAAGTGGACCGAATTTTCTTCGTTCCTGTACAATTGTATGTAAAAATGCAACAGCATACAATAATGGACGCCATTTTTCATGTGTATTTGCTTCTAATTGTTGTTCTTGCGTTAAACCAGTAAATGTTCGTTTTAAACCAGCCTTAACACCTTGAGGTGGTTCAGCTGTATATTTAATTGAAATTTGTAAAAGTCCAATAGGGAATTTTGGATGTACCTCTGTTGTTATCCAAAGACGAAAATCTGGATGAATACGATCAATATTTTCTGTTAATTGTAATAAGAATTCTTCACAGAAGTCTAATGATAAATGACAATTTTGTAATAATACCCAATTACCACTTGAATAAGCTTGCGATAATAATCTTCGTGCATGAACCTCTTGTCCTTGTCCCATCGATATAGCATTACATTCGATGGATTTCTTTTTTGCTAATGTTTCAATTTGTACTGTTGGATCTGAACCCATCGAAAGAAAACATATCATTGGCGAGCATTTATCAGATTCATCCCACATTTTTTCCATGTCGAGTACAACACCTTCACCATATTTTGGTCCTAATGAATCGACTATATAGTCGTTGGCAGCTTTAACAAAACGTGCTGGTGTTAAAGAACGAATCAAGAGAAGACGACGAAATTTATCCAATAATGGTTCCCAACCATCAGGTAATTCAGCACGTTCTGGTTCATCTTTCTACAGAAATAGATTATGTTTAGATAATAATCATGAGAAGAAAAGGAAAGTGCAGCGAATCAATTTAGAGCAAAATACGAACGTTTTGTTATACCATTGAGAAACTGAATATAAGTTAGAATTAGAAAAAGAAAATTTTGTTATAATAAAATCAAAAATAGATTTCATCATTTTCAATTACTGTAGACGGCTATTAATACGAATTTTTAGATTTTGAATTGTACAAGTCAATCGAATATACTCTAGCTATTATCTTTGACTTTAATAACGAACAAATGTTTGTGAGAAATTAATAAACAGGAATAACTGAATTTATTCTAATAGTTTTCATTAGAGGCCTAATTAATTATTTAAGTGAAAGAAAAATCATCCATGTTTGTCTTACAATTATAAAATATATACATTTTTTTTATCGATAATACAAGAATTGTTGAATATTTTCACAGATTCCTAGTATAAATAAAGGTTTACTCTTCTATCTTGCTACATGTAAACAATGTTCTTTTAATTGCAAATCTGTTTCAATTATTTTTTCTATAGACTTACCTTAAACCAAGTATCCCATGCTACACCAGAACGATTAAGCTAAATTAAAAAAGAAACCAGCATAAACACGAACAAATACAATTGAAACTACTCACAGAATTGAGAATATCACTAAATTGATAAAGTTTCGATAGTTCAACGAGATTAAGCCAAATTTCATTTTGCAACCATTTATATGGTGGTTTTGGTGGTGCTACAAAATAATAATATGTATAGAACGAGGAATATATTCGAATTTTAAAATAAAAATACCTGTGCTTGCATCAATTGATGCACCACCTTTAATTAAAGTTTGAAATTCATCAAATTTGATTCGAGTCGCTTGTAAATCAACTTTCAATGCTAGCAAAAGTGTGAACATAAATTTATGTTCTTCATAATAACCACGAACAGCATATTTAAACATGTCAAACGTTAGAAATTCCATTATATTAGTAATACGTTTCGATGTTACTGGTGACTAAAATTAATTAAGAAGAAAAACAAAAAGAAATCACTTATTATCATATTATTAATTAACATACGCGTGGTGAACGTTCAAGCGCTTGATCGAACAATTGTAAAAATTGTCTTAACGATGTTTGATACATAACATTAACAAGTGACATTTCAACAATAAGAAAATAAATGATTGAACCACGTGTAGCAACTGGACGATATTCTTCACGGGCAATATTAATCTTTTGACTTGTTTCCGTTGCAATTTGAAGTTTTTGTTTAACATCAGTTGATGTTATTTTTGTTGTTTTCAATGTTCGAATTAAATCATCATCATCAACTAATGAACCCTAATAAAAAAATTTAAAAAAATTAAATTTCAATAATAATAATTAATACTTACTTTTGAATTGCTCAATCTCATTAATAAATTATCTTCAAGTTCTTTCATTCGTTTATTATTCGCTTGAATATCTTCTAACATTTTAACACGTTCACCTTCTAATTCAGCTTTTTCTTTCAATATAGTTAAACCTAAGAGTTGATCTTCTAATCCTTTCATGGTAACAGTAAAATCAATAACTGATGTTTTAGCTGATATTTCGGGTGTAAACGCTGGATTTGCTAATTTCGTTGTTATATATAAATTAAAACCTTTTAATATATCAACTTCTTTATCACCAACTTTAACTTTAAGTGTTGAACCGGAACGAATAAAATTTTTCTCTAGAACATTATCTAATGCTGGATCCAGTTCTTCGCCAGCATCTTCAATTATTAAAGGTCTACCAAGTGATAACGAATCTTCTAAATGTTGTCGAAAATGTTTTGATAGAAGATTTGTTGATTGTAAATCATTTGCTCCTTCTTTATTTTTAATCCAAGCTTTTCCTTGTCCTTGTGGATCAATTAATAACGGATAACGCTTAGCACGTGTTACAATAATAGCATTTTGAATTGATAATTCATCATTCGGTAAACCTTGCAATTTCCATTCACCAATCATGGTTACATCAGTTAAATATTCAGTTACATTTAATGCTTTTGTAAATGGAATACTTCGTTCCGTTAATAATTTTTGCCAATCTTTTGCTAATAGTAGACGAAAATCTTGATTGAATGGACCTTGATATGATAGAAAACCAGTGCAAAGAAGAACATCACCAACCAATCTATGTTGTGGAGAAAAGCAAATTTAATGCATAGAAAAGAACAATTTTATTCATTATCTTACCGTCCAATTTGAGCTTTAAATTGTTTACTTTGTTCTGTCCATCGTTCTTGTTCATCAGCTAAACCTGATATTAATTCTCTGGCTGCATTCATTCGTTTTAATGTTCGATCAAGATCATCTTGTAAACGTTGTTTTATTGCCATAGCTGTATCATATTCAGCTTGTGCTGCAGCGACTTCAGCTTCACGTCGATCAAGTTCTTCTTGTGCTGTTTGTAATTGTGCATTGGCCTTTTCTAATCGAGCTTCTTGTCGAACTAAATTTGCTTTTAATGGTAAAACACGTTTATTAACATAAAAGAAATCAGCCATAGCACGTGTCCATGTTAATAAACCAGCGATAGCACCGGCAGCTACTTTAGCACCTTCAAATGTGTAATCAGGTACACGAAAATATGTTTGAAGCAGTTCAATTTGTTCATCATTGATACGATCACGTTGAAAGTTTTGAAGATTTTGAAGAAAGCCTGTATCAGACATAAGCTAAAGAAAAGATAAATTTAATGTATATGATATTTAGAGAAAAAAAGTGATGGAATGTCTTTAGTAGGTTTCATGCATAATGTGAATGTATTAAAAAGAGGCAATGAATTTTAAAATAGAAAATATGACATTTAAAATTCTTCCTCCTCTTTGATAGCTGAGAATGACAAATCTCATTGGTTGTTGCCCTTAAAGAGTCTCTTGTAATTCTGAAACGATTTTTTAGCTACATACTTTTAATGAACTTTCCCAACTTGGTTCAGGTCCTTGTAATTCAGCATCGATTTTTATAGGACTTTTCAATGGACGTCCAAAAAGAATTAAGACACAATCCATGATTTGACGAATAAGACGTGGTGGACGACCAAGTTTACGTACAACAGCAATATCAGCCGGTGTAATTGTTAATAAAGCTTCTTCAGCTGCCTGAAATAAATAGTTTGCATATAAATTCAATTACATAGAATTCATTGCAATCAACTTACAAGTAATGCTGGTTTAGCATTTTCAAGTTGAGCATTTGCTTCCATTTTATCTCGATTAATTTCATCGACCAATGTTTGTGCTGTATCTTTGACTTTTTGTACTTGATGTTTAACAATTTCTGCAGCACCTTTCTTAACTGCAACTTCTTTTAAGACTTCATCAGCCTTCTTATTTGCTACATCTAATTCTTTTTCTTTAACTGTTAATTCTTCTTTCATAACTATTACAGCTTTTTCAGCTTCGACTAAACGTGTAAGACCGTCATTCATACGTTTAGCCATTGATTCAATTTCATTTAATTTTTGAGAATAAATTTCTTTATAACCATTAATAAATGAAAGATACGACTTTGGTGTCACATGTGTTGATCGACGATATTTTTGAAAATATTGTAAACAATACTCAGCTACACCATCATGTACTGACCCCATACATTGAACGAGTTCTTTTTTAATTGCATCTGTACAAGCAATATTGAATGATGCAAGAAAATGATCAGCAACAGCAACAAGTGCATCACGTGGCCAACGAAGAAACCAGTCAATAGTACAATTGGCAACAAGACCAGGAAATTGAAGACCTTTCAAAAACGAAAACATAATATATTCAACTATTTCTTTTGTTGTTATACCTCGTTTACGAAATTTTTCACCAACAGGTGAAAAACATAAAACAACGTGTAGGTTTTGTCGAACACGAGATAGAAAATAATCATATAGATTTTCATTTGTTGGTGGTCTTCTTGGATATTGTTTTTTCATAATAGGTACTAATTCTTGACATATCTCATCCATTTCATCTCTTGCAAACATGCCCGGTACCTTGAAAACAAAACGTAATTATATAAATCATGAAATTCATTGAAGAAAAACAAAAATCAACATACAACTCCTGATGAAAGTACGTTGTTGATATATTCAAGAAATGCTTCATCTTTAATATCTTGATCAGAAAATATAAATGTAAGTCCTTTTCCTTCTTTTCCAGCAGTACGATAAAGCGTTTTTAAATCTTCTAGTAAATTATTTGTGTTATATGCACGTGTCAATGTAATTTGAAATGTTTTATAACCAGCAATAAACGATGCTAATTTAGTTAACGATTGTTTACCACTACCACCAACACCAACTAGTAGAGCATTACCACGTGGTGTTCGAATTATACGAGAAATTTTTACTAAATGTGTCATTGCATCTTTGAAAAACACTAAATCCATTCCCGAGCCACGAATACTTTCATTATACTGTGTTAAAAACATTTTCAAACGTTCCTCAAGAACTTCAAACGAAGCAGCAGCTTCATAGATTTTTGGCGCATCTAACTCAGTGTCTTCTGCTTCTTCTCCTGTAGGTTCAGGAGCATCTCTAGAAAAATTCAATTCCAATTAATAATAATAAGAAATAGTTTACAAGCAATACAATCAAGATAGTATATGTGAATGTGACAAATGTGATACCTTAAAAAGTCGACAAAATATTCTTCTTTTTTTATCATGCTTTGATATTTTCCACCTAGTCCTTCTTCAGCTACACGTTCAATTGTTTTGAAAAACCAACGATAATCATCGACTTCAGTGAACCTGTGAAGTAGAACAAACCACACTCGAAAAACAAGCAAACGCATGCATATGTGAATGTGAAGGGTGAAACAAATTTTTGAAATTTTCAGTGTTTAACATTCCAATATGAAAAGACCTGAGAAAATCGACAAAATATTTAGTCTGCTGCATATAGACACCTAAATTGGGTCCTAATTCTTCTTCAGCCATACGCCGAAATGCTTTTTCAAACCAGGCTACATCGTCTTCAACCACAAATCTGATTGAATAAGAACCGGATTTTATTGAAACAATATATATATATATATATACATCAAAGAAAGAATTTCTTCTATTCTGTCATATTTCTTTTCTACTTACCGATCACAAATAACTCTTGAACATTCATGTTTCCATAAACAAACTAATGTTTTCTCATTATTAATAACCTGTGGAATAGTATTAATCATTCCTTGCCATATACGTGAAAGATCTCGTAAATTAAAAACATAATGAAATTTTGCTGGTGTTGGTAACATTTTCACTTTAGTTAATTGCCACAAACGTCTTGTAGCTGGTACAAGTTTATCAATAAGTGCACGTATTTCATCATTAAATCCACGTTCTTTAGCATAGTGTCCCGTTGCAATGACAGAGAATATTTTATCAATCGATACATTCGATGGTAGTGTACAATTAAATATGCAAAATTGCCGTTTAAGACGTTGTGGAATATCATTTCGACCACCACCGGGATGTATCATAGCAGCAAGCAATTGTATATCAACAATAGTTGTAAATTCACCCGGTTTATCTAGAGAATAAAATCCACTTTGCTCAACTAATTGACGAACAATTTCATTCGTTATTTGATCACCCCATTCATTGATAGTTGGCATATTAACTATGAGCAAACAAACAAATATTTTGTATAATTTTATTCTTTTATAAAATAGTATTCGTATGCGTACTATCATCAATGAAGACTGTCATCTTTTTGCCAGCTGGTGGACCATATGTAGTTCCGACACGTTTATCAACATAGGATTCAATAATTCTTTGTACCATGTTGGGTGTTGTCGCTGATGAAAAATTAACTGTTTTTTGTGAATGTTCTTCAGCATTATATCTGCTCATATATGATTGAATAATGACAGTTTTAGCTGTGCCTTGTTCACCAATGAGAAGAACAGGCTAAAACAAAACAGAATGATTATTTCTATTGAATTTTAATTCTATTTTACTTTATGTTGTTTGGCAATTGTTTGAATAAGAAAATCTGTTCGAACATTATCAACATTCGGTACAAGTATATACGCATATTCAGGATCATGATCTTTTGGATAAACATATTCAGTAACAACACTATTCCAATGTGTCCATGCACCCGTTTTTTCATGAACAAAATAATCAAATATTGTATCTTCACCAGCGTCTGGTAATTTCGGTGTATCCAAACGAAAACTAGCATCTGTACAATTGAGTATATAATCTTGTAAATGTGCGCGATCATCCAATTCAAGAAAAGAACCGATTGACCACATAACTGCAAATACATACAAACGTTCTACATGCTGTGGTGTCAATTGATCTTTAGCTTCTTTTGCTGGTAATAGACCATTTAATAATTTGCATGCCTTAATTAAAATAAAATAAATTTCAATTCATATTTATCAAGAAAAAGAAAAAAAACCTATGAACCAATCATACCTGAGTAACAATCATACATTCAAGTATAGGCATTTTTGATTTAAGATTAATAGAAAAATATCGATAAATAAATGGAAATGATGATTCAAATAAACGCATTAAAACGTCACTATCACTTGGTGGCCGTTCACGTTTAACCCAACCCTATAATAAATTTTAAAGAACAAAATTCTTTCCTAAGCTTTCAATTGATATTTGTAAACAGACTTGAATTAATGGTCGCCAATCTAAACCAGAACTACTCATATAAACCATACCATTTCTACTAACAGTAGCTGGTGATGCATTATCAATATTGTGTACTTCGAAAATAATTTTACAATTCGGTGCCATCGGAATTCGATCACCATTAGCTAATGTTAATGTTTTATTATCATCTAATACTGAATTTAAATTTTCAATCCAAATAGCATCAACAGGACCATCTAAAATAAGCCAAACAAATTCACCTTTTTTCGTACGTAATGTACGTCTCCATAATGTTGAAAATATTCCATCAGTCCAATCATTTGTAGCTGCATCTAATCGACCGAACATTTGTGGTGCTGTTATAGATTTCGGATTCATACGCAATTCGCGATGTGGTTCACCACATATAGTCATTGCTTTCATCAATGTATGAATACAACATGTTTTACCTACACCTGATGGTCCTAATGCCATCATACCATGACGAACACGTTGCGTTTCGAATAACTAAAATAATTATTTTTTAAAAGAAAACCAAACAAATCGAATCAATTACTTGAATAATTTTTAATATCCATGGTGCATGACATATAAGTCCAGCAGCTTGAGTTTCTTTATCAATGGCTGCTTCTAATTCAACATATGTTTCTTTCTCTAGTTTTATGTTTGGGAAAAGATCATTAATTAGAGATATGAATAACGGTTCATCTTCATCAACCTACGTAGAACAAAATAAACATCAATCGATTTTCATATTAACAAAAGATATAGCTCCTCAAAGACAACATACTAGTTTTGATAAATTCATATCACGAAGTACTCGCATGACAATAGTTTTTTCTAAATCATCTTTATTGGCACGTTTAACAGCACCAAGTGTACGTAATACGGATAGAATATTTCGTAGACCAAAATCATAATGAACCTATGATTTAGTTCATTTGAGATACTTGTTGTTGAAAGAGAAAAGAAATTCTTACTTGTTTACTAAGTTGTTCTTCGCAAAGTTTATAAAGTGTATAGAATTTCTTTGCTAAAGGTACATTTTCTCGGAAACCACATGCAGCCATTTTAACACGTATAATTGGTAAACGATCAGGTACCATCATAGCAACAGAACGAAAATTAATTTTTAAATTTTCAGGTAATTCTTGTCGACCAGCATAACCTGGATTCATTGTTAAAAATATACCGAATTCTAAATTCATTTCAACCATATCACCATCTGTAAATACGAATTGACGTTTCTTCTCTTTTTTACAAGCAAGAACAATAGCTATTTGTTGTGCAGCAACAGAAAGTACAGGTAAATCAATACGATTAAATTCATCGAAACAACCGTATGAACCTGATTGAGCTAAACCTTTAAATATACGACCTAAGCCACGAAAATCCATCTGATCAGAGCAATTAAATACCTATTGACACATCAAAATGATTTGACTCTATTACAAGTTGGGGTCATGATATCTACTTACAACAACATATTTGCCAAGACATCGTCCCATGTCTTTAACTGTTTCAGTTTTTCCTTAAATATAAAATCAAAGAAAAAAATTATTCATTTTTAACAATGAAATAAATTGTAATTAAATAATTTTACCTGTTCCAGCAGGTCCAGCCGGTGCTCCACCCATACTCATATGTAATGCTTGAGCTAATGTAATATAACATCGATCAGTTAATGGTGTAATAACTAAACGTTCATTACATCCAAGAAACTCATTCATATAAGTAAAATCAACATCTGTAATTGATATTTGTACTTTGTCTAATTCTTCAATAAAATAAAATCTTGTTTGTTTAAGCCAATCGAAATCGGTTATGGTTCGTATATTGGTTTGAAGAAGTTCATCAAATATATCTTTTTGATGTACATGTATTGTAATTAATGTTTCATATTTTGTACGTTCAACACGTGTTAAATCTTTTGTCGTTTGATCAATTAACAGATCAAGTAGATCACTAAATACTTTTGCTGTTTGTTTCATGATATTTTTATCAATTTTAGCATGACGTAATGCTTCTGTTGCATCACGTGTCCATATTAATTGTATACCTAATAGACCAACTTGAGCTGGATATGTATTTAAAAATTCAATAAGATTAAATGACGATGGATCCGATAGAGCATGATGAGCTTGACGTATTACACCATGCAATGATTTTTGTGCTTCTTTAAGAAGAGACATTAACCATATTTCAACGTTACCTTCTGCTTTAACAGGTTTTTCAAGCTAAATATATGACGATGGAATTAGATTTTTCTTAAAAAAATTCATTGAACTTACTTCAATTGTTTCACCTTCAGATGATTCAATCGTTAATATCTTATCGTATTCTTTTTCATGAAATCGTACTGTTTTAATATTATCAAAAACACTTAATAAATGTGCTTTAATTGTATGTGGATCACTAGCTTGACCTAAGATTTCTAATAGAGCTGGATCCGAAACAAAAAAGAAACGTGGAAATGAGAGGCGTTTTCGTTCTAAATAGCCAGTCAAAGATTTTTGACACAATTCAAGTTGTTCAAGAAGATGTGGTAAAAGTTGTTTTAATGTTTCATCTGTTGTACAACATTGTACAACAGCTGGCTGTTCATGTGCTTTAGACATGATTTTAAGCCATGATTTATCAATGGATGAGAAACGTTTTGCTTCCAGTGGTAATTGTTTAGCAATATCACCACCAACAAAAACGGCTTCTAAATAAACCCATAGATTTTGTACACGCATCCAATTTTCAATAATTTCATTTGTATCAGTTAAATCTTTAACCCATTTTTGAATTTGTTTTCGAAATGGAACATTATATCTAGATAAATGTAAAGATACAAAACGAAAATTTTCCATATTAAATTACAAACCTATTTGACATCAATGAGCCAAGTAACATGAGAGAATCTTCTAATAGACTGATAACTTCTTGAACTCGATCACCTTTCAGTAATAATTCTCCTCGTGTTTTAAATTGAGCAAAATTGAATTCTTGTGTTTTCCAATCCGATTCAACTTGTTTAAGTTTACCTTCGATATCACGTTCTTTAACGGCTGCAATACAAATATCTTCAATATCTTCTTTAAATTGTAGTAATGGTAAATCCATAACATTTCTTAGACGAAAATCATCAGCTTCAACATCTAAATGTTGCATACTAGTTACTTCAGCTATTCGTTGCCAATGACGATTTTGCATAGCACGATTTGCCATCATTTCCAATAAAGGACAACCTAGAGTAAATAAATATGGCCTTTCATAGGAGAAAAAAAGAACTAAATTTATCTAGTCAAACTTACATTCACTAAAATCATCAATAGTTTTTTTCAATGCATGAAAAGCTGGAAATTCTCTTAGACCTTTTGGTAATTTTCTACATGCCGTTTGAAAATCTGACAATTCTTGGTTGATTTTATCAATATTAACGTCAACCCAAGCTATTTCAGAGTAACCCGAAACAGTATCTAAAACTTTATTATATAAACCATAGAGACGTTGTAATAATGTTAAATCTTTTTTTATTTTTTCTAATTGTGGAAAATCAGATATTGGCAAGCCAAACAATATTTCTCCGCCATGATAGGTTTCATATTTTTTATATAATGTTTCTACTTGACTTTGAAATAATATTTGTTTATCACTTGATTCACGTGGTGTTAAACCAGGTATTGTGGGTCCACCATGTTCATAATCAGTATAGAATTTTTCACAATCAACAATAAATTTTTTAACATTTTCTACTAATTCTGCTCGTTTAGATGGTTGAAGTTTAAGTAAATCTGATGTTACTGAATTCTATTAAAAAACACACACACACACAACAATCATAGTAATAAAATAAAATGATTCTATTTTGAACTTACACAATGACGTTCAAGTTTGTCCCAATTAAATTTTAGAGATTCAGCTAGTTCACATTCTTCTCGTGCAACATTGAGACCATGAACTTGTAACATTGTATATGATTCTTCAATTGGCATTATACTCATATCAATACGAATTTCATTATCTCGTAAATCTTTAATTGCAATCATAATTAAACGAATATCTTCTAAATCATTGATTGGACGTGATAGGCGTTTTTCAATGTCATCAATGAATGCGCTGACTTCATTCATTTCTTTGCGATATTTAGCATTGCATGCTTGACCATAACGAACTATCCAATCACGTACTTCTTGATTGAGAGCAAATTTCAAATGTTCTGAAATAAAACGAAACAACAACATTTCGTTTCTTTTTTGCTTTTGAATCAATAAAAAAAGTTAACATACCAGTAAAAATGGCCAATGGACCAACAGCCATAAATTCTGCTTGAGAATCAATATCAATTGCTAAACTTTCATAGAATTTTATTTTAGCTTCAAATTCAGATACACGTGGAACATTTGCTAGAAACTCTTTCAATTCTTCATCACGATCTCGTTGCCATAATGCATTAAATCTTGTAAATATTTCCATAGATGCTATTATATCCTTGAAAAAGAAAACAAATTTCTTGATTATTGAAAAACATGACAATAATATGTTGTTTACTTTTTTCGTTGCATTAATACATGTAGCTAATAGTGAAACTAATTTAGCAACGTCCTTATTTTCCGATACATTTTTAAAATAATTATTGGCTGGAGTAAATTGTACTCGATGATGTTGTTGATCTGTATTTGCAGTTTCATTTCCTCGTAGTCGACTATTTGTACCTTCGGAAGAAGGTGGCACTTGATGAAATAAATCTTTTGTAGATGCTTCAAGATTGATACCAGCTGATGCTGAACCTGGTGTGACTGGTGGAACTTCTTCGTCATGTTCTGATGATGGATTCGCTGCAAGATGAGATTCACTATCACCCGTTTGTGTATCAAGTGGCGTTTCAAGTTTACTAGTACGTTTGTTTTGCTAGAAGAAAACAAATGTGAAAAAGAATTCGTACAGAAGAAGTAGAAATTTTCGTTCAACTAGAAACAAGTTCATGCAATTTGAAGGAGAAAATAAAGCTAATACACTCATCAAAGAGACATGCATAGAAAATTGAATTACTTGTCTGCTTAATTTTTTCAACAAGGAAAAATCATCGCTTGCTCCCTTTAAAATCCCCAAATGGACTAATAGTCTCGTTAGCTTCAAAGATAGAGAAATCGTCTAAAGAAATTATATTATATTCAATGTGTTCTCCTGTATGACTGGTCATAATTTTATTTATTTGAATATTTCGAATAATTTTCTAACTTACTCTTTTTCTATTTTTATCCCATTGCGAAATAGTTTTAGCAATAGATACAATTGTTTGTACAGCTTTATTTAAAAGAATTTGTACTTCATCAGTTGGTGGTTGAATAGTAACAATTGGAATAGCTAATTCAGCAAAAACTTTAAATACTGGTGCTTCATGATGATTTCCAGCTATTGAAAAAAATTAAAAAGTCAGCAAGAAAAAATATTTTGATCTCGAATTACCATAGGTAAGTGTTGATGTAATACGTTTTCGTAATTTTTCTAAAGTCATTTTAATAACACGTACAATAGCATCAAGATTTCGATGACTAAAATGATTAATTAATTCTGTAATGGCAGCTTGTAAACTTTCATTTTGTTGTTCACGTTTACGGCGTGATACTGTTGTCAATGCAGCTGAAGATTTCATTCGTCCTTTCGAAGATTTTCCTGATGATATGTGTCGTGTTCGATTTGTTAGACTTGATTGTGGTTGACTACTTCGAGCTGATTTAATTGTAGCTTGATCATGTCCAACTACTGTTTCATCTATACTCACAAACACAAAAAGGAAATAATCATAAAAAAACGTTTAATTCAAAGATGAAAACGAAAATACAACCATCAGTTTCTTCATCATCAGCATTTAATGCAACACCTGAATATTGCATATTTTCATCACGTTCATTTGAACCAATTATGTCTCCACATAAAAGATCAATAACTTCAAGAACAGCATCTTCAACATTGTGTGATTTAATTTGAATTTGGTTTGATGCAAGATTACATAAGTTCTATTTTTGAAGAAAACAAAAAAAATATATACCAGTCATTTTTTTAAATTTTTGTCTAATTTACTTGAGTATTATGTAAAAATTGTTCGGGTGTAATCGGTTCATCGTCAGGCATTTCACAAAGAGCCATAGTTGCTATTTCATCAAGTACTGCATCAATACGATATGTGATGAGATCATTAGCACGATCTAACATTAAATCAAATTCATCCAATGCTGAATTAACCTATTTAGAAAAAAATAAGTAAAAAAACAGAATATGAAAGAAAATTTAACATACAGAATCGATAAAATCATTAATGTTCAATGATGCCCATGTTATAGATGTTAAACCTGGCTTAATAATATCATTTAAACGATGAATTTTCGGTGCTAATAAAGCTTCAAAAGGTTGTTTAATTTTTTCTCTTAAACGTTTATTTTTTTCAACTAATTGTGTTAATTCTTGATAATATCGTTTAAGATAATCTTCACGTTGCGTTAATACAGCAGCTTCTTTTGGAATCTCTAAACCTAAACGCGCAAGGCATTGAGTTTCACGTATTAATTCTAGAATATTGGGATCGAAATTGACTAAATATTCTGGATTGGTTTGCGACGTAGATGTTACAACGGACGCTGCACCAATATGCACTGATGCCGCCGATAGTAGATCATCACGATTAACACGTAATAATATACTCGAATGAATACCAGTTGCAACGACATCAACTTGACGAAGCCATCCACGATGATATAGAATTTCATAGGATAAAAGAACTTTCGATAATTGATTGTAATTTTTAATAATTTTTTTCGCTTCTGGATATTGAAGGATGGTTTTATTTGCAACGAAAATATCCATCGGTTGTTGAATACGCATATACAATTGGCGAGCCCATACGATTCGACCTTGAAAACAAACAATTGAAATTGAAAAGAAACGAAGAATAAATCTTACCAGCTGTTGGTGGTAAATCTCTTGAAATAAGCGGCTCTTTAGAATTTTTTTGATAAATTTTTGCAACTGAATCCAAATCTTTTGAATATTGCTGTAAAATTTTAGCATACTTTTCATTTAAACCAATATTTGGTAAATGTAATTTTTCGAAACGTTTCAATGCAGTTAATGATCTCTCAGTATTACGTATAGCATTAAAATATTTATCAAGAAATTCATTTATGTTACTATGAAGATCTGCTACTGAACGACGAAAATCATCTAAATCACTATCAACATCCTGTTTACGTTGATCGAGAAAGTCATAATCTTTTTTTTTCATCGATGTTATAATCATATTGAATTTTGAATAGAATGGTGATATACCTTCAATTTTCGAATCAGCTAAATGTGAATATAAATTGATTGTTCCGAACATATCAATTATTTTTTCACATCGTCGTACAAATGAATCAAATTTTCCGAAAATATACATTTCACTAAAATCAAATGGCCGTTCGGAAGGATTCGATGCTAATTTATTTTTAGTGAATTGAAAACAACGTTGATATTCATCATTTAATTTAATACAATCACGTAATTTCGATATTAAATGTGCTTGATCCTGAGACCATACTGTTTGTGTATAATTTTCTGTTATATACATTTTTGATGTTGTTATCATTTGATTTGTTATCTATTTACAAAAATTATTAGGAAACACTTGGGAAGGAGTTTGATGGATATTGTCCTTCGGTTACTATAGAAATCTAACTTTTAACAAATGACCTTCTTCTTCTTCTTCTTTCCTTTAGTATGAAAAAAAAAAGAAGCCACATAACGTCTACTTCAAAGTTACAGTCACCACTTTGTTTCTTAAAAAAACATAATGTTAGTTCCATAAAATAAATTCAATAAAATTGCTTTTTTTGTTTTTAGAGAACTATGAATGAGGAGATCAAATTATATTTCGTTTTCATAACAAAAAAAAATTTTGATACTGTAAAAGAAATGAAAATATTCCTATTATATAACATACTTTAACAAATAGTGATGTCATCCTTTCTGATGTATTATAATAACGTGAAATTGAGTGAATCATTCGTACAGCATTAATTAAACCTGGAATACATTCTAACATTCCAACTGGATCCGAATTATATAATGGTTCACAAAATTTTTCTAATGTATATAAATATCGTACATTATCTTTAGCTTCATTTGCTGCATCGGTTATTTTAGCATCAAGTAATTTCCATTGCTACGAAAGAACAGAATAAATTCACATTTAATTTATCTAAATTTTACTTGAATCAATTTTGATTTAGCCGTTTGTAAAATAGTTAGAACAGCTTTAACATCTTGTCCTTTTATTTGATCGAGTAGAAAATTAAATTTAGTCATACGTTTTTTCCAATAGTCAAGTTCAGCTCGTGGTCCAATATTATCTGCTTCACGACGAATCTGTTCACTTTCTGCCAGAACCTATGTTGGTTTTTTTTTGAGAACAAAGTAAATAGACACTATTTAAATATGAATTTCATTTTTTACTTGTTCCATTTGTTTTATCCATATTTTCATTGTCTCCTCAATTGATGCAAGACTGTCACTATTTGATGCTATCGATATATAATCAGCTGTATTTTGTATTTGTGTTAAATCGATTTTATCGCATGGTTTTAATAGGATTCTTTCATTAATACTTTCTTGTGCACTGTTAAGTGTAGCAACAAAATTATTTAATCGACTTATAAAATCCACTTTTATCATTTGATTATTGTCTGAACCAGTAAGTTTTCCCCAAGTTGTTTCCGATGTTTGAAGGTATGGTAAATAAATATCGGCTATTGATCGACTCAATGCTTGAAGTAAAGGATCAGTATTACATTCAAATGTATAGAAAAAAACTTCCTGGAAAAGAAAACAATACACAAATAAAATGAAACCTACTCATAAGTAAACATACATTGACAATATTCTGTCCTGATATAACAGTCTTCTTTGAATTACGTAAAAAACAAAGACATATGCCTCGTAGACTTTGTTCTTGAAGATCGGCAATGATCACTTTTGGTTTTGTAGGTTTTTGAGTGTTCACACCTGTACGAGCGGCATAGGGAGACAAACCAGGTCGATAAGAGTCAGCTAGAAATAATATTTTATAATTAAATGAAAACAATTTTTGAGCAACAAAAATGTTTGATTATAAACCTCCACTTTGATTATTTTCTGGTTCGGGTTCTTGATAGAAAAAAACGAGATATTGAGTTCCATCACTGATAAAAAATTGATCCATGATATGAAACTAAAATTTAAAAGTTTCTTTATTCTTGAGAGATATCAGTTTTTGTTAAATAGATAGATTTACATTGTGACAATCAAGCACATTATCTTCGACTTCAGTTCGTTCGATACCGAGCCGGGTTGCAATAATATCGAATAAATGTCGATGGCGTTCATCGAGATTTGATCGTTTTTGTTCACGTTCATCGCGTAGTCGTTGCTAGGAAAATGAGAAAAGTAAATAAAATTTGTTAAATTAGAATCTAACTAAGAGAAAGCTCACCGCATATTCTACAATAGAAACATTTTGTCTCGGTCGTGAGAACATTTTACTGTAGGGTTTCTGCTTCTCTTTTTACTTATATAAAAAAAAGAAATAACTGTTACTATAACTTCTTCTACTCGAATATCATATTTCACACCAACGCATCTTATCAATTCAAAATTTAACATCAAGAATTTTGTATATAAATGCATATATGCGTTGTTAGGTGATTCGATGTGTATGTATGCTGAAGAATAGAAGAAACACAAGATTTCTCTCACTCGCTCATTCAAATAACGCAAAAAAAACACATATATATATATATATGCTAATTAGAAACGCAATAGTTTGGTGAGTTTCTATTTAATTTTATAACGAAATCTGAGCAATGAAGTTTACTAAGTGCATGTTGATGATTATGATGAAAAATTGAAAGCAAAAAAAAGAATCAAAAGTTGTAAGAATTACCAGCGAATAGGCAAAAAATCTTCAGTAGAAGCAATTTTGATTTTATCGATTACATATAAATAGACTTTGGTAAGATCATGTTTTTATAATCATATGCTCTTATATTTTAAGGCATACATATTCGATACTTTTGATGTTGATAGAAGCAAACAAATTTAATGCAGTTTCATTAGAAGTTCAAATTTCATTTAAGTATGATTCGATTTTAGCAATTTAATAATAGTAACTAACCTGCTGTTTTAACGTAGCCATACGCTCTAAATATTCAATAGTTCAACTTAATTGATGATGTACTATAGAATTATGTGAGAAAAAAATTGAAAGAATTTTTGTTTGCTTCACTTTTCAATCATTGATTTCTTTGCTTATTTACTCTCTCTCTCTCTCTCTTTCGTACCTTTTTTTTCTCTAAACCTAAAGGCTAGTACATAGGAGAGAAAAGAAAGCATAAGCGAGATTAAATTGTCGATTGTTTTCTTTTGTACGAATTGGTCTTACAAACCTCTCGACACCTCACAGCTGTATAAATATATATACATTTTTTTTCTTTTAAATCTATACCAACGTCTACCTGTATGTCGTTTATATTTTCACGACTCATCGTTGTGAAACGAAGACGATTTTGTTGTTGCTGTTGTTGCCATGGATCACGTGTTTTCGATGATGCCATGTTTATGTTACTTTAGGTAATCTTACTAATAACGTTGAATGGTTTCAACAATTACTATAATTGATCTAAAAAAATAGCATAAGTATTTGAAGAAGGTAACAGTGTTAAAGTAATCGTGTGTGTGCGTGTTTTTAAATCCTATTGAGTAGTTTTTTTTGTCAGCTACCAATTACGACTTCGTGTTTACTAAATGATTTATATTGACCTTCGATATTGAACGAGAAAAAGTCATTTCAATGTTTTTTAAGTTTTGATTGTAACTGTCATTGTTGCCTTAAACACTATGGCAACCATAGTTAAAATATATATACAGTAGCCATATTAATATGATAGTTAATTATATATTGAGATTTAATTAGCAATCAAGATTTAGAACATGGTCGAATCTATATACATATTTAATTTCAAAAGGATTTGATTACTTGATAGATGCCGCCAATACTTTTGCCTGTCAATGTTATTTTTTGACACTTCCATGACAATGTTTGGTTGATTTAAATGCGATGTGAAGCATATAGCACTCATGTAATTCATTGTTTAATCGAAGTTCATAGGGATGCATTTAATTGTGATTGGCTTCTCAGGGAAAACTTGACTGTTTTTTAAAATTTTTGAAGAGAAAAACAGTGAACCCAATCCATGCGATTGTGAAGTGATGAGCACAATGGCAATTTCTAATGAATTCAAATTTCGATTCGCGTAAACTTCGAATGCCATCTATGCTTTTATCACACTGAGTGTATGCTTTCTTAACAACACCGGATAGTTTTACACGAGATTTTACTAGAATGGAGCAGAACTTTCGCATAAACTAAGTTGTATACATTCGGAATTCATTTCTGGATGAATTTATAAAAATAAAATCGACCAATCAATTCGATACTTTTCCTAGAAACTCACTAGTTCAATTGCAGTCGCTTCCACGCATGATTTTGACTTCTGTTCTTCAAAAATCAAAAGTCAGTTTGCCTTACTAACTGCTCTTTCGTATCCGAAAGAAAAGTCTTACTATTAATTGTTCACCGGGATATCGTGTCATAGAAAAAAATAGTTTTAATTTAAATCTTTTTGTCTGATCTGATATAAGAAATTCATATACAACAGTCTGAAATGCAGCAGGTGTGCATTTTTGACTTTTTTAAATTTATTATCCGTTAGGCTTGTAAACATGTGAATAATGCACCAAAACGTTCACCTGATTACCCATATCTTAAATACCGGATCATTTTTAACGGTAAACCGCCGTTTGTTATCAAATGGGATATATGATGTTTGAAAGTCTTTGCATTATCGGCTACATACGCATTTTTCTCTTTCACTTAAATCATAAGATACTGAGAATAAAAGAACTACGTCTGCAACAGACTCAAACTGTACCTATTATATGAATATTTTAATCCATGATCATGATCATTGTACTATCAATTTTGATTTACTATTTTGTTTCCTTCACCTTTAGTTAAGATTTCGCAGTACTACCCATATCATAGAAAATAAAAGATAATATTTTAATTATAAAAAACTTCAATTTTAAGTAAAAACTCTATTAGTAAAGTATGGATTAACCCGCAGCCAGTTCGTGATGGGTTATCAAACCGTTAACCCATCGTGCAGCCAGCGGACTGGGTTAATAAAAACATCAGTCACCAATATTTATCATACTTGATTCTTTCTTGCTTTTCAATACTATGTAGCACTTCATATAAGAGATTTTCAATCAGTTTCTTTGTTGTCTAGAATTTACAGTTAACTGATTCTGCCCAGCGTAATCGCTGTATAGATTACAATCTGCTCTTCATAAACGTGAATGTGAAGTAATTCAGATATTATTTATTTTGGTAACGTTTTAATAACTATATGAAATGAATTCGTTGGAAGCGGTATTAGGCTTGTCGATCAGAGGGAATATCCCCCCTCCAATCGAATCCTTTCTACGAAATTTTCTTCTTTATATTTCTTGTTTTGTTTTGACAGAAAATAGGCGACACATATCGAGCGAACTTCACACGGAAAATTATTTTAAGATACTTTTGTTCTAAAGAATTTAGGTATTTTTTAGTTTTTTTTGTCTCCTTTTTATTGAAATATGAAGTGTAAAGATGCTTAAAAATATTTTATCAAAAATAATCTATATTTCATCGAATACATTCATTGTCTTCAAAGGTAACAATGATTGCATGATAAATGTTATTATAGCCATAAAAGAAGACACTTTATTTTTTATTTTTCTTAAATAGAAACTAATTATTGTTCTCTTGCATATTTTGTTTATCAGACAGACAAAATCTCAATTTTGGATGCAGTTTTCCAACTAGATTAGACTTTGAAGGCGAAGAACAGGACAGTGATAATGAGGATTATAATTATAGAGAAAAAGATATTGTCGCTAAGTGTTAATATTTGTAAGGTTTTTCATGTTTGAAAGTTAAAATATATGTGAAATTGGCTGTTGGTATTGTTCTCAAAAGACTTTTTTGGATGAGTTAGAAATTATTAAAAAAAATTGACCAACGTAAAATTATCGTGTTCAATATTTACGATTCGTTTAGGAGATGAGTAGTATGAGTTTTAATTCAACTTGAAATCGGAAATAGTTGTAAATTGATCAACGAACGACTCATAGAAGTTATTTGTATCATTTTTATTTCTAATCAGTTTATTGAAATTAAAAAAATCTATCGAAATCTGGGAGAAAAATATCACGTATTATTGAACAAAACAAACAACTCATATGTATCATAGATATGATTATAATTATAATTATAAGATAATAGAGTCAGCGCATAAAGAATAAAGAGAAAATCAGTAAAATATTTCTTTTATTGCGATGAAAATTCAATTCGAATAAATAAATGCGTTGTTGAAGAACAAAATCTTTTTGAAGCTATATAAATTTTGAATCATTTATCGTCAATTTGAAGTATACAGTGGAATTTATCTCTTTTCTCATTGACAATATAAAAACACGGAATATTTATTTCATCTATTGAATAATTGACCTAATGTAATTCTTATGACGAATTTCAATGGCTAATTTTATCGATTTTCTCTAGAAATTTTTCATAAAATTCAATGACTTACACTTGAATCATCAACTGTAAAAGATGGTATTCATGATATTGCACAAGAAGCAGTTAGATATAGTTTTATTGATTGAAATATTTTCTTCAATATTTTCAATAATTCCCTCTACTGAGAGGGGAGGGCCTTAAGCCGAAATGAGTTGATTACGTTCGTACAGAACAAAAAAATGTTTTTTTACCTCTCATGAAAGCGCTCAATAAGGGTTGACCAAAGGTAATTGGTGTGAAACTATCTGAATCTTTGATTAATTTTTATCAAATTGTGAGTTGTGCGTTCTTTGATAAAGTAAACCATGGAAAGGTGGCGACTAGTCGTTGAACAGAAAATTTACAGAAAGAAACTTTCCTACAAGTGAAATCAATAGTGTGATTTAATATCAATCAGATCTATTGATTTATTGCTATTCAAGTGGCTAATATAAAACTGATTAAATATTAATTTGTAATATAGACCTCTATGTTGTGAGCGCAACATGATTGTAGGCTGTTGCTGGCTGAGAATGGTAATATCAAGGTTTTCCCAATCATGTTAAGATTAATGATGATACGCCAGAGAGATCACTAGATTCACTGCAAGAGTCTAAAACTAATCATGCTATTGTACTTTTAACACATTGTACTTCTTTCAGTAGAGGGCTGACGACGCTAACGACACGTTACCTTGTGAAAATTATTGGAAAACATTTACTATGCACTAAGTATCCTTGTTCTGTCGATTTCTCCACAAATTTCATAATTATTTGCAAGTGTTTGATATCAATTCATATTGTTCAACGCTATTGTTCTAAGCTAAGGCAAATAGAAGTTTGTGGAATATTGAATGGGATATCTGTTGAAAAGGAATATCTACTTTTTTCATGCGCCTGAACAGAGATAGATTTCAAAATAAATTATCACGAAAAACTTACAAAAATCCTTCATGTTTATTTAGATGAAAGTTTTTTACTTCGTATTTTCAAAAGTTCAATTTTATCATTCGTTATCCTAAATGTTCAGACTGTTTTTTTTTTGTTTCACTTTATTAGAATCACAGGTTATAAAAGATTCGTACGAAAATTATCTCTCTTTAGTCGATGATGAAAGTAGCACATTTTTGTTATCATTTTTATTTGATTTCCTTTTTCTGTCAACAATAATGAATTATAAAACTGTCCCTTTAGTTTTTTTAAGAAAAATTTTTTAAAATTTAAATGCTTTTCATTAACTCATAAATCTATGTTCATTTATTTGTTTTCATAATGAAAGTAGTTTACCATCAAACGAAGAAATTCAATATATAGTTTTTGTCATTCTAAGGATAACTCATACATCGATAATTCTCTATTGAAAAATGTATATCAAGGTCATTATACAGTAAACAACTGGCGTCATGTTGGTAAGTCATTTTCATTCATGAAAAAATTAGGTAAAGAAAATGCATTGCACTGTTTTAAACGAGATGCAACAACACGGATGTTAAAATCAGTAGTCTATTTTTACTTAATAAACGAAGATAATCTCTTGATTGCAATAGAACAAACAAACAAAAGATCAATGTAGATGAAAAAAGTTTAATCCGAACGAAATAATCTAATCTATATCCACTACCATGTTATTTTTCATTTCTTTTAAAACGCATTTCAGAATTCACCAGCTTATTTTTTATTAACTAACTATTCCTTATTCCGATTCAACTTTTGCAAAATTAATATCTAAGAAGAAGAGATATTTTCAAGCGTAGAATATATATATATATATATGCAGTTTGTATTAACTTCTCTGATTACCCAGGTCGAAGCAACCGGCTCGAGAAACGGCCGGTTCCCGCGCATTCCCGCGATTTCACGGAAGCAGTATTCCGGATCGGGAAATCTACGGATTTTTCCTGTAAATTCCGCCAATTTCCTGTTGGTTCCAGCCGGAAATCATCGGAAAAATCCGTCCCGGAATCCTCCTTCCAGGGTCCGATGATATCCGGCGTTTTCCTGGACGTTCCGGTGCGTTTCCAGTATGTTTCTGGCAGGTTCCAATGAAATCCGCTCATTTTCAGAGGCCGGAAACATCGTCCTGGGTATTATTCAGCTATTTTTGAGAAAAATTCTAATCGAATAAAACTACAAAATTTATGCTTATCTGGCTACTCATCATCATCAACAAAAACTAGTATACATTTGTTGACATCGAAATCTCATGAAAAAGCCAATCCGACCAAAAAAAGCTTATGTTAGACGACGAGAAAGAAACGAACTCACGATAGATGCTGAGAGTTCTTTGCATTTTGAAATGAGAAGTTTTTCTCTTGTACCAGATCGATCTTTCCATCAATCCGCTATTTTTTGTCACCCCAACATGTATCCGATCATGAGAGATCCTTTACCTCTTTGTAATTTGTAAATGGCATGTTGCGAAATCTTTTTTTGAATCATAAATCTAGGATTAATTTAGAGCAATAGAGAAGAGTTTGAACGACTGGTTGGTGAAAAAATCGCAAACAAATAAATTATGAATCTCTGAACAGTTGTGTTCTACAGAACACATAGAAAACAGATGACCAAAGCTTTTTTAAATGCAAAATAAAATAGTTATATCAATTTTTCTGAGTCAAACAAAATTCCATTTTACATTTAGCCCCCAGCGGCTTAAACCATCGATTCTAGACATTGTTTTCCTCCAGTGAGAAGAGTAATTATAAACAAAGAATCATGTTAGATTTGAGAAAAAATTTAACAGTATCGTCATTTTTTGTTTTGTTTATATAATTGTTGCTTTCGATATATGTATCCTCTTATCAGTAAACAATATTGACATAACACAAGAGGAGTGTACCATCAGCTTCGAAAACGAAATCAAGTTAATTAGAAGTTTAGCAAACAATGAGATTTCAAAATTAATCAATATATTGTTATAGTTATTTTGATGTTATTGTCTCCTATTATGTTAAATTTATTCATCTATGTATGTTAAAAGAAATAAAACTCATATCTGTGGTCAAAAAATAAGAAAACGAATTATTTCTTCGATAGTTATATGCGATTTTTATCATCTTTTTGTGTACTCAAAAAAAAACGAATACACTATAGAATCGGTCAGTGTGTCCGGCCGTTTATTCGATAACTCTTCACAATTACATTCGATCTAGGTCGAGTTCGAAGATGAGAAGGATCCGACAAGAAATGGCTGAGTTATCGAAAAGATTGTCATTTTTGATCAGACCATCCCTGAGGGGGAGTACAGGGATTTTTCTCAGAATTATCCACAACATATATAAATCGACTCAGTTTTTAATGCTGATTCTGAATCTGATATTAGTTTTGAACTAAATCGTAGCTTTCTAACGAAACATTGCCTGAAAAACATCTCAAAATGCACAAAAAATGCATCCAGAAATCAAATTGCCTAGTTTCTCATAATAATTTTGGTGTACAGACATTCTAGAATGACTCATATGTCCCATGCACTTTTTGCAGTACACATAACTCTCGGATAAAATCCGAAGTTTCCACATTTTTCTATTTTCATTTTAGTTTAAATTTTACTTTTCTATTTTCTATTTTAGTAATACAAAAAAAGTAAGAATTCTTTTGTATATTTAATACGTCCTACGGGGGCTTTCCATACATCGGCGTGAAACTGGCCAAACCTATCTTGATGCCCATAGCATGTACATGCCGCATATAGACCTATCTGTTGTATGTTCTATACACGTTAGATCTATGTCTATACGTGAAGAGCCTTGGCTCTCTATGGCACTAACAAAGTATTTCCTGGTCGCGCGAGCAACTATTAACTGATAAGCAAGAAAAAAACATTTTCTCATTCCAATCAATTCGTTTCTTCTTATTTCGTTTTAGTTCATCTCGATTTCTTCAACAGCAAAGTAAATATAATTACTTTCACTTTTCTTCATTATCCTATTCTAAAAAAATAAAATTAATTGTTACTTTTTATGTTTTAGTTCCATTCAACAATTCAATTCAATCAAAACGAACAGAAATGTAAGTATATATATTTTTCATTCTTGTTCTTTATTTTTTTGTAACTTCATTTTTTTGATTGTTAAAATAAACATTTTCAAATAACTCAAATTTTTTATTTTCATTTCACTAACGAATATTTTCATTTCAATAATAAATATTTTACGAAAATAACAAATTTTCATTAAAATAATACAAAATTTTATTTTCATTTAAATCATAAAATTTGTAAAAATAAATAATTTTATGCTACTACTAAATAAATTCATTTTACTATTAAATAATTTTATTTTACTAATAAATATTTCTCATTTAAATATCACAAATTTTGTTTTTGATTATAATAAATATTTTCAAAAATACAATTTATTTCTCACTTTAATAATTAATATTTTTTGCGAAAAAAAAACAAATTCTTTTATTTAACATTTTCTTTTCATTTAACAAATAAATAAAAGAAGAAGAAACGAAGCATATGACGCAATTTTATATTTTAGTTTTTTACTTTTCTTTGAAGCGAAAGAGTAAAAGAAATATTTTTTTTCTTCATTTATTTCAAAGTATGGAAAAAAGAAACGAACAAAGGAAAAACCGTTCACAAGTCTTATTCAATAGAAAATCGTTGAACACGATGATTATACAAATCGGCGACATAGAGATTACCTTGTCGATCGAAAGAGAAACCAACGGGATAGTGGAACTGATTTGCTCCTTCTCCTTGACCATTTCCACCTGCAATTACAGTGCCTTGTTTCTTGTCTCCTTGAGTCCAACGCATTACACGATGATTCCACGAGTCTGCTACATAGACTGTACCCAACGTATCAACGAAGATTCCTTCAGGATGATACAGTTGTGTCAGAGCATACCCTGCGTGTTGTCCTCCAGCGACCACAATACCTTCTTTTGCACCTTCCACCCATTTCATTACACGATGATTGTCTCTGTCTGATACGTACACTGAATGATCTCGGTCGACAAAGAGATATCTCGGCCAGTTGAGTTGATTGAGTCCATCACCTTTACCATGACCACCAGCTACGAGAGTGTAATTATTCTCACCGAATTGATATCGTCTTACTTCATGTTTTTGGATATCAGAGACGTAGAGATATCTCTGCTCATTCATTGCCAATCCCCAACAGGCGATTTTGTCGATGAGTATTTCACCTTGTGTTGTACCACTACGACGAGACCATCGTAGAACTCGTCGATTCCCCCAATCACAAATAAGGAGACTATCCGTCTCTTTGTCAAGTAATACATCAGTTGGAAAATTCAATTGATGTAATCCATTTCCTGTGCCTTTACCACCAACAACAACTTGTCCATTCGTTGTATCACCTTTCTTCCATTGCATGATACGATGATTCCCGTAGTCAGCAATAACCGCTGTTTGATCATCATCAACGAAGAGATCATAAGGCCAGTTGAGTTGATTATTGGCATTCCATTGCCCGTGACCTCCAGCAATAGTCACTCCGTTCTGTGTCCATTTAGCATTAGCAGGAATATTAACTACAAGAGAAAGAATAAGAATAAAAGGAGATCTATCCATCTCTCTTTCTCGAGTATAGCTAGCATATGAAATAATTTCGAAAGTTTCGAGCAAAATTATTTGAATAGGTCATTCGTTTTTTTGGAAATTCGTCAGAATAAGGTTTTTCTATACTGGAAAATTATTCTATAGAAAGAATCACACATATAGCATATCGTTCTCTCTCTCTCTCAAGCGTATTTAAATTCTATGTTTTTGTAGAAAATCAAACTTAAATAATTAAATCAAGTTAACCCAAGCAGGTATTAAAAAGTCATTCAATCGGAGTTTCAAGTAATGAACTCTATCTATTTTTTCTTTCTTGTGTGAAAATTATATAAGACTGATATTTGCCAATTATAATGTATCTAATATTAAAAAGCGATCAAAATGAAGAACCAATACTGCGTTATGAATGTTTGTGAAAATATTTAAATTATTTGTTAAATGAACTTGTCAATTTTGTATCCGCAGACACATAATATACACTGTAATTTGTTTTTTTTGAAATTCTATAAATTGAAAAGTCAATTGAGAATTTGTTGAAAACGAAAAAGTTGATTCTATTTCTTCCAAGATTGTCGGAAAAAAAACCATTACTTACTAAGTGGCGGATCCAGGAATTTTTAGAGGGAGCGGCGCTTTCTAAATTATATAGTACGATGCTGAGTAATTTTGTTCAAAATAAAGTTGCGCAATAAAATCTGAACTTAGCGAATTGATCGATGCAAATTAGTTATAATTAACCAGATTTTTCTAATTACTTATTTTCATGATTCTGTTTTTCTGGAACTTTATTTATTAAACCAAAAGAGTTTTTGAACGTTTGACACCAACATCTTGTAGTTTATTTTCTTATTGAAAGATATGATTTGGTGAATATAAGAATCGCAGAAACATTTCGGGTAGCACTTTTGAAAAAGACAGAAATGAAGCTGAAAACGAACAAACGCTATTTCTATTTTTTTGATCTACTACTTACGTAATATATTCAAGATGATGACAATCAATTATAGTTTTCCGATTCCCTTCGGTTATTTTGATTTTTTTCTTCGACCTTCTAATATTATTTAAGCATTTAAAAAATATTTCGTTGTCCCGTCTATTCTCAGGGGGATGGCGACCGCCGGGTAGCCGAACTGGTAGATCCACCAGTGCCACTAGCCATTGTCCTGTCTTAGTACATAAGTGAAAATGTTAAACATTTGTTATATTTTCTTCAACTCGCTATTAGGAGTTATTAACGGGTGGTCCAGAATAAATGAGGGTCTCAATATTTCATTAGTATCTCGCTCAATTTTCATTGTACAGGGTGGCGTTTTTTTCCTGAAAGATGTGCCACTCAATTCTTGACAAAACGCATGTCGAACATTTTTTTGAAGAGACTTAAGGAAACAACGTTTTAAATAGTACTGAACACGTACTAAATGGTCAACTTTCAACGATGAAAAATCGTTTTTGCAGGCTTTTCAATTGGCTAGCTACGATGGAAATAAAATAAAATAAGCATGCTGTAGCCCTTGAAAATTGTTGTGCTCATCCTTGTGACATACAACCATCATTTTTGTTTTTAAATTTTCGAAAACATAGCTGTTTCAATCTGCGATTTCGAAGCTCCTGCGAAAAGAGGCATAACTAAGCCAAAGTATTGTCTTTTGGGTTCAGGTTTTCTTTATTTTGATGGAAAATCATTACGGTATCAGATTCACATACGCAAGTTGGCATCAAATTCTCTTCTCCAATTCAGCTGGCAAAAATATCAGATTTGAGGCAGTTTTAATAGAATTTGAAAAGTCAGCTTCTTTAATTTCCAAGTGATTTCACCGAACTTTGAACTACGTCACCAGAAAGAGTACACTTCAAAGTACTCAAAAACATTCTTACTGTTGTTTCGTTGTGTGAGGTAGTGTTAAAAAGCGTTCTATCTTTTATCTTTACAATGGTTGTGAAAGTTGGTTGTTTTGCATGTGTTTAGTATAATTTAAAAAATTTTCTGCTTATCTATCTTCAGAGAATTTTTTGATACGCGTTTGGTGAATAATTGAATGACGCATCTTTTAGAGAAAACTTCAACCCTGTACAATGAAAATTGAGCGAGGTGTTAATAAAATACTGAAACCTTCATTTACCCTAGGCCACTCGTTATTTTATTTTTATATATTTTTTTATTTGGTTATGTTGTATTTTATTTTATTTTCATCATCAAGTATAAATGCTTCATGATGACGAGAAAATCAAATATGCGATTTTCTAGTTTTTAGAATATATTCCAATTGCTCTATTGCATCCGAACTTCTAGGAATGCGCCTATATGAATTCAGTCTCGATTTTTCAATTAGAAAACCGAAGTTCATATTTTTAATGTTTTGAATACGTTATTTTCCAAAATTTAGAAATTTATATAGGCATTCCTAGAATATCCTTGATTAAACTCTACAACTTACTTTCTGGTTTACAGCGTTATAAAGTTTTTGGTTGTAACATTTCTACAAATTTATTTATTCATCGAATATAATAATATAACGATATATTTTTGATATATGGCTCACATGAATATTAGAATTATTTCCGTTCTCTTAAATCTAAGTAATTAGAACATTTCCTATTTAGAAAATCGCATATTTCTTACGTCTATATTCTAGAATATCTTTTATTAAATTCTATATAAATTATTCTGTGACACTAACAGGAATATTAACTAGAAGAGAAGAGCTATACTCTCACGCGAGTACTTCTATCTAATTCGATGGGTAAATATCCTAGATCATTATCGATTAGTCAGATTTTGTTGGGTGAATTGTAATTCTGATGACACATGGTGATGGGATTCAGTTAGTTATTTTCTCTGTTTTCTTATAAAATCTGGATTCTCCTTGAATCGGATCAGATTTACCATGTCGAAAGATGCATTTGATTTATGTTGTGCCAGATTTAATGAAATTGACAAAACAGGTGAGTCTGTTTTAAAAGTAAGTAGATTAATCAAAAACAAGAAGAACCTCTTCAAAAAGTTTCTTTGTAGGCTATACGTGAACAATTAGATTTATTTGGTTTATTATCGTATATGGATAACAATAAGATAACATTCACAAGTGATCGAGGTGCATATATACTAAAACCATTGAAAGGTAAGTTTTTTAATTACTTTCATTGTTTAATATGTAAAGGTACATTCTTTAGTGTATCCTGTAATTTACTGCTTTGCTCACCGGATAAATAACGTGCTAAAATTGACTTTCTACCAAACAGCGCAGAATAACAAAAAAAGAGTTTTGATAGCATCATCAACACCAGCAAAAAAGCAACCAAAAAAGCTCTCACATATTTGTGATTCATCATCTGATAGTAGTTCATCCGAAGATGATACTATAGCACCGTCACCATCTAAACATGGTGAAGCTAATACCGCATTATCAGATTTACCACCAAAGCCAGAAGAAGTTTTGAAGACAATCACAACAAATAAAAAACTTGTAAAATGTGTGAAGTTGGTGAGTAAAGTAGCTAATACAACAAAACGATTCATTTTTTAATAAATAAAATTTTATTTCATCAAGGCTGGATTAAACAAAAACATTGAAGAACGTGGTGGTGTAGCATTAAAACAAGAATGTGCTGTCCGACGGCTTTCTATGTCAAACATGTTAGAATCAGTCGACGCTTCCATTGAGCACATAAGATTTATATTATTATCAAAGTCATCGAAGAGTCAATGTTATTTCAAATTGAATAATATCAATATTGATGCATTAAAAGATTTAATTGGTCTATTAAGTGAATTTAAAAATCTGTCTTCGCTAGCACAAACTGGTGCTCGACCATCGCTATACATGGCTTATATTTGTATCAATAAACGAGGACGTCATTTAAGTAGTACTGATGTTAATGCAGATGGTGAGAATATTGATATATATGATCGTCATGAAGGTAGAATTGAACTTAATGAGACAGACCAATTGTTTTACGTCAGCTTTTTGTTTCAGGAATTGATTTTTTTCGAAAACGTCTGATTCAATTGTTAAAATGTATGCTCACGTTCGATGATAAGCATCTTGCAACTGCTATACTTCATCCGCTTTATCGAAAGCTAACATTTGCTAGCACATACTCTAAAAGTATTGCTCATTTGTATATTCGTAAACAGTTAAATGATATTCTCGGTTTAAGTGAACAAGTACATCGAACAAATTCTAAACCATTAAAAAAAAGCACAAGTCCATGGAGGATCAATTCGCCGATCCTGATGATAACAGCAGTACTGATGATATTGGCCCAACAGCAATGATAACATTTAAAAATGATGAACTTGAAAGGTATTTACGAATGAATATTTAAGATATTTACAAGCAATCAAATCCTTTAAAATTCTGGCATGATCATCAAAACAAATTTCCCGGTTTATCATTACTGACTCGTCGTTTCTTTTCTATCCCGGTTACATCTGCTGGAATTGAGCGCCAATTTTCATTGGCAGGTTTGACAATAACCCAACGTCGTTCTTCTCTTGATCCTGATACGGTAAACGACGTTCTCTTTGTGCGATCTATACAAAATGCTCTTGATTCAAAACCAGATTTTTTTTCTCTAAATACTGATATTTTTTGTACTCGTATATCTACTCTTTATGTAAATATGCTGTATTGAATGAATAAATATTTCATCTAGTCATGTCATCCTTATTCACATGACTTTCTTATCTTTTTATGAAGGCTGCTTTGCGATTTTCCTCAATGATTATATAATACTAGTCTATAGAGACTATACACAGGCTCCAACAAACCAGACCAGACAGGCTGATTGAAACCACAGACAGACAGGCCAAGCTGAGAAAAACTAGTGACGGGCGTAGGCAGGCGCGAAACGTTCAGAGCCTGCCATGGGTAGGCCAGGTCCACACGAAGCAGGCCTGCTTGTACCTCTGGTCTGAAGTGGTGGTTTTAGAAAAGAGCTACTCTCGAGAAATCTTTACTAATAATTTAATAGATATAGGAAAAATTCTACTGAAAGATTTTTACTAAATAAACGTTATAGAGAAACGAATAGAAAAATTCAAAGGATTCTATTAGAGCGATTCTATATAGAATGAATTCTCAATTGAAGGAGAAAAACAAAAAAGTTGTATGAAATTAAAATTTTCTAAAAGTATTACTCTATTATCTTTACGAAATTACAGTTCGTTTCAATAGTTGCAAACTTATGGAGGCAAATTGATATATGTTAATATTTCTAATCCAAGTTCAAGATTAATGATCTGTTCGAAAGCTATTAAAGAGTTGAGATTGGAATACTCGAAAACGAGAAGAAAGTTTTTAATTTATATGAAAAAGAAATTCAGAAAATGGTATTTTGCCCTAAACTTAAATTCTTCTCTTGAAAGATATCAAACCACACTACTGGCGTGCTCTTGCTCTTAACATCTGAAATTCTACGAATCGTTATTACCAGACATCTACCATTATTTATTGATAATCACTACTTTTTTCATTTGCTTTTTATGATGAGGTATGCGGGTGATTTCTATTTTTCACGTCGAAGTAATAAATCTAATTAATTCATGAAATAGGACTTACATTTTGATTTTGTTTCCGGTTGTAATTGCATTGCTGCGAATTGTCCTCCCATAGTCCCAGCAGTTGGTGGAGATTTAAGTTGTGAACTTTTCTTAAGTTGCACTGATAAGTTAGGTACTGAAACTGGTGCAAGAAGATCGTATTGCGGTTTTAATTCTTTGAGTTGTACAATATGAAGTTTGTTTCCGGAATCAAGACAAGATGTAATTTGAAATTGTCTCGCAGGCAATAGGAGTACTTCATGTTCACTAGGCACAAATGAATGTTTTTTTATGTCTTTTGCTGTAGTACTATGTATTTGAAATAGGGTTCTGTTTCCAGTTTTTCCAAAAAAAGGTTCATTTTCAAGCACTTCGATGGATGAAGTACAAGATGAAAATCCCCACCAAATAAAAGTCTTGCCTTTTGAATATTCAGCCGACAAGTCTTCTTTGATTCCTCGTAAAATAGCAGAGCATTCTGATGGAAGACGAGCCAGTGCCGTTAGTATGAGTCTGAGATAGAAAAGCCATGGAACTAAATTTTTTCTTTTTTCAGATCGTAAACTATCATTCAATTTCACGTATAAGGAGTCTTCATGTGGTATAGATTCATAGGTATAGAGCATAATGGCAGCTGATTCATCAGTTGTTAAACTATCTTCTGGTTCTTGACAATTCTGTTTCACTATGAATACATTTCGTTCGACTTTTGGTACTATATTGACAAGAGGTTTTACAGCTTCTTCAAGTGTTACTAATGGTGTTTTTTCATAGCCTTCGATTGGTGCCAACATTCGTTTTGGTAATGCACCCAAATCAGCAAACCGTGTAGTCGAATGTTTTTCGTTAGAATTACTATAAGCCATTTTAAAAAGTTAAATCTAGAACAAAAAATGTTTCAAATGCCTGTAACGCTGTTCAAATCATAAACAGAGAGTAAAGAGATTATAAAAATCATCTATTAACGTTGAAGTAAGCGAACTACGAGAGATCTTTGACATCTACGTTTGCTCTTCCTTAGCGACAACAATATCTCAAACACCGTCTCTATCTTCAAAAATGGAAACAAGAAAAGTCTTCGAATTTGTCGTACAAAATAGTTTCACTGAGGATACATTTCATTGAAGAAATCATGTATGCAATTTCAGTAACTAAAGATGATGTTTGACTATAGACTTACGAAAAATAATGAAGTTCATCATGAACTTCTACAGATTACATAGTTGTGTTCGAAATATTTACAAAAAGCATGCTATCGAAAGAAATAGCAACTGTCGTCTTATCCATTACCGACTAATATCTTAAATCTTCTTATAATAGTTACCTTATTTGATTTCAACATTGATCTATTTCTTTTTGATAACATTGAAATAGATGAACAGATAGTCAGAATGAAAAACATCAACTATTATAGCTATGCATACGTTTGAATTTTCACTAACTTCTCAGGTGTAGCAAAGAAAACACAGATATTTTTAAAGGATTCTCAAAATTACATTATATCGTTTGTATAAAAAAATGTATACATCGGTCACTTTTTACTTATTCTTTATTTTCAAAGAAACCATTAGACTAGGTTATTTCTACCATTGAAACAATTATAGAAGGTGATCTGCAGATTATAAGTGTTCATTTACAGTTTCTATAATTCTATAATAATAATTCGATCCTAGTGTCTTGAATAAGTGGAGGACAGGAATACAGCAAGATAAAAATAGCTAAGTAATAATGCAAATTACATATAATATCGTACAATAGAGAAAGATAGAAATCTAAAACTGATGAGTCTCCCAATCTGTGATCTTGATAAATTACTTACTACAGTCAAATGGTTTCAGCCAACACTAGTCGTAAAATCTTCAATGCGATGATTTTTATAAATGGAAGGCTGTTTGTTCTCTTATCGAATAAATGGTGTGCTACTTTTGCGAGATAACAACAGTTTACCATTCTCATATTACTTCTATCTAGTTTATTTCATTATGTTTCAACTAAGGAGTGTGTCAAGATGAGAGCTGCATTTATGAAAAATAAAGCATTACAGATGATAAGCATACGCGAAGTAAATTGAAGCAGAGAAAAGATCTCTTGCACAACAAAGCTTGTTTTCTATTAGAGTATTCACAACAATGTAACTATTTCTAAACAGGAAAGAAAATCGAGACTTCAGAAGAGATTATTTAGTTAGCGTAAAAGAAACGTTGTACCAATTACTAGAAAGATATCCACGCATCTGTACTATACCTATTTTTATTGTTGTCTAGTTGCTTAACATATTCTACTTCATCTTTTTCCAACTAATTATTACTAATTTCCTCTTCGCAGTTTAATATAAAAATTTTCTCGGGTTCACCGAATGTCAGCATGAATTTATTATTTAATCACACTATCGATTTCTACTGAATTAAAATTTCGATTATTCGTTTGAATTTCGTAGTTACATGAAATTGAAACCCCGTTTCGAATATTCTAACAAGTATTCAATCTTTGTTTTTACTGATAATTTGCTGAAATATCAAATAATGTATTTCAACTTATCAAAAAAGTATGAAAAGCATCGCGTACCAAAATGATGTCATTGCACTTTTCCAGTGTTATACAAGCCAATAGGTTTTACTCTTTTACTTGGCAGTTACAGTATTTTGCTTGATGTTGAATTCTACATCCGATAACAGGATTTCGTACTATGCATAGAGAAATATCACTAGATTCTAGATTATATCTGTTTCTTTCTTATGGATGATAGCAACATAAACCTAGAAAAAAACATTCTACAAACAAATGCCATAATTTCTTTTATAGTTGAAAATTCCCTACGTAATAATGATCCAAATAATCTTACCAAAATCACATTTTTGACTAATGAACGTTATATTATAGTAGAATTGATAATTACTCAGTACATTCGATTCTTGTGATTTCCCCAAGCGAGAAAAAGTGTACTTCTGTATTTCTCGGTACTTCTCAGTGTTTCTTGGTACTTTTCTTCGAACTTCTATCCTTATCCTAGACTCAATCCTGTTCATCCCTTCAAAATCCTTGAAAAGACCTTTAAGGATCGCATTATTTCTTATTCAGGATCCTGTTCCGAAGTTTGACAATTCCTGTTTTCAGAATTTTTTAAGGCAAAGCAAGGTCCTGTTAAGGATTTCTTTAAGTTTCTGCTCAGACAGTATTTGCCAGTCGAGAGTTCAGTATACTATCAGGGTTCATTCAATATCCTGTGATGGATCCTAAGAACATTATGAGACAGAAGTCCGAGAAGATTTTATTAGGTACTTGTTACGATCTACATCAAATCTTCGTGTCGAGGTTCTGTTATGAATGATGGTCACACCACAAGAAGATCTTGGTAGAAAACAGCAAGATCTATCAGAATAAAAATTGATTAATCCTACAAAATTTTAACCAGGATCTTGTTCAGAGCTTTGCAAGAGTATATGCATTCCAAATCTTGGAAGACAATGGCATTTCTAATCAGAATCTTGATAAGAAAATATAAATATTTAGAAAAAATCTTGACACGTTAGTACTTATTCCATGCAGTCTTGTCTGTTTCTTGAGACAAACTTGAAAGATCTTTCAGAACCATAAACCTCAAGGATTCTAAAAAGTTTGATTCATGATTCCACCCAGGATTTGCTCAAGTTTTTGCTTAGATATTTTTCTGGATCGAGTTTTTAGGATCCTACTAAGATTCACTGACAATCCTATCCAGGAATCTGACAAAAATCATAAAGAGAACTTTGTGAAGATTGCATTAGAGTAAATCAATATCTGATCGGAGTTTTAATACGAGGATACTATGAACAGTTGCGTATAGTTTTATCGGAGAAAGATCATACCCGTAAAAACCAAGACTAGTCAGAGTTCTCACATAGTAGCTGCTGCTAAACTTCGATCAGATTCCTGAGCAGAAGTAGTCAAGAACAGGCATTTATAATAGTTATAAAACTACAATCGTGACCAGGATCTGGATAAGAAAATACCAGAAGCCAGTTAAGCTATTTTCAGGTTTGTGTCCTATAAGAAATCAGGCTAGAATGAATGAAATGATTTCCTGACGTGTTTAGATAATTTCAGACTAAAATCCTTTCAGATGCCCAAAATTTATAGGCCAAGACAGAATTTGAATATTAATTTTCAGCGAAATATCAGCAAAAGCAGATGGAAGCAATTTTCAAGATATTACTCTTTTTCCTGGAGACAGGACACAGCTTTAAGAACTAAATAATCTACTGGCATTTTTATCGTGATCTTGATTTAGTTCTTTTCATCACCAAATAGAACGAATCTTAAAAATATGAGAAAATATATTCTGAATCTTTTTGAAGTTTGAATAAAAGCTGTTTTTAAAGTCGGTCTACAGCTATGAGATATTTTTATTAATCTTATAAGGAAAAGAAAATCGAATATCATAAAACTACGGTTTTGATTTGAATTAATTCATCGTAAAACTTTTTTCGTTTAGTAGATATTTTGAGTCATTAGTAAACACTTCGATGAATAGTGCTTATAGATTTCATGGTATTTCAAAACAAAATCAAAGAATACTTCTTAAAATCATATAGAAATAAAAAACAGTCCATTTTCACTGACGAAGCAAAACGTTAAATGATACAAAATTTCCAGAATTTTTTAAAAGTTATTTATAATCGCATAGAATTTAAACAGCCGTTATCATTAAAGTGAGAAATGAAGATATTAATCGGTAAAATCAGATGGAATCACATGGAATATTGAGTAAAGCTGATCTGCTTATAAACTGAAGGTCTACAGTTCGATACTCTATTTTGAAAATTCAGTGAAAGTCCTGTCAAGAAATTCGAGAAAATTTTCAAGAAACCTATGCAAATCCTGAAAGCTGTGATCAAAATCCTTTCTGAACTTTTGATTTATCCAAATCCTGACAGGATCGCAATTTAGTAGCTGCAAATTTCCTTCGAGAATTGCCGATTTCGTTGCTCAATCTTGGTTCAGAAAGGAACGATCAACTTACAAGGATACTTTATAGTGTTGTTTTGAATCCTGTCAGAATCCTATAATTTCGTGACTGCACACTTCCTTCTAGATTTACTCGTGTTCGTCGGGAAAAAACAGAATCCTTCTAGGATCTTCATTATATCTGTGAAAGATCCGTGATTGAGAAATCAAGCAGTAAAACATGCACTAATTGATACTTGGTATTTTTTGGCACTTATCCGTACTTTTGTACGACAGAAGTATAGAATTACGCTTTTCACCCTTGGATTTCTCACTGTTGGTTTCGCAATAGTAAATATCGAAGATTTGATATGTTTTTGTTGGAATATTAACGATAAGTTTCTATTCATTTAATCAATATTTAAAACATCACATGAGTAATTTCAGGCACAAAATTTACTCCATTTTCCCATGTTGAAAACACATGATTAACCAAATATAAAAGTTACGTGATCTATTGCCAAAGTATTTACTGTTAGTTGATTGAAAACAAAAATTTTGTAGCTAAATGTTTTCGAATATAGGAATTTAATTTCCGTCAATACGTTAAGCGAAAAAACGAGAAATGTACTAATGAATTGAGAGAGAGAGAGTAGGTGTAACATTTAGTTGAAATTTGAAGCGAACTGACAGTCAGAAGCTTACTATACTTTGCCGTCCCGTTGTCATTCTAAACGTCAAACCTTGAATTGTTCACTTCCGTTTGTCAAAATAATTAACATAATCCAAATCTATGAATGATTTAAGGTTGATTGAATAGTTTCGTGTTGAATCTTCTAAAAACACCAGACGCACGAGCGGAGACAAATTCTGTTTATGTAATTCCACATCTCTTCTAGTAAATAATCAATAAATACATAATGTTCTATTTTACTTGGCTCACATTAATTTTTTCATCCTATATTATGTGTTTAGAATACATATGATACTTTACAGATAATGGAAAACTAGACACCTATGCCAAACTGAAGCTATTTGATATTATGGATAGGTAATATCTAATTACACTAATTGGCATGCATATCATATGAAATAATAGAAAAGCCATTTTTCTGTGAAAACTATTCAGAATTTCAGTACACAAGCTCTATGCGTATTAATCGAGAAATCAAACCAAGTTTGTTTTGTTGGCAACAAAAAGAAGCGTATCTGATAGAAATTATTATGGCAACTATTACTTCTTAAGAAAACTGGTCAATCGAATGAAATAACATACAAAATATCTGATAATTATTTGTTTGAATGAAGAAGAAAAAAATAAGTTACGTATGTTAATTACATAAAAACATCGATTGAATCAAATTCATATGAAATGAAGTACATATAGACATATGTAGATATTGCTTTACAAGGATCGTTTGACAACATCAAAACAACATATATATGTAACTATATATATATATATATATATATATACAATGAAATACAACGTCATAGTATTTTACCAAATATTTCAAATATAGGATTCAAAAAAGCTATACTTTGAAATATCCATTCGAACTTCTATTGCTGGGTTTGGTGCATGATCGGCAAGAAGTGATTTTGTCTCGGGATGAAGACCTCCATTAGTTTGATGATACGAAGGTTTTGCTCCTGTTGATATTGTACCAGCATACCCATGTCCATTTGCACCTCTCACTTTTTTCCCATTATGTTCTTTATAGAAAAGTACAGTACATGATTGTTGATGTTTTGATGATCGACGACAATCATCATATAGTAGAAAAAAACTTTGACGAAATTTTGTTGACATTATTGAATATAACAATGGATTGATCTTAAAAGAAACAAAAAACATTTCTACTACTAAATTAAGTAAAATTCTTCGATTATTCAGTAATAGGAGTAGTCAAAGTAGAATATAACATTCGACACATAAGACCGATGTTTTAATTGTCGGTACATTACAGCGCGAAAAAACCTTACACTAACGTTCTCAATAACTAGATTTATTATTAATATATATGTCGCAGTAGAAATTAAAATTCTACTAGTAGAAATTGAAATTCTACTGAATTTTACCTATAGTAGAAACTAAAATTTCAATTTCTACTAGTAGNATATATATATGTCGCAGTAGAAATTAAAATTCTACTAGTAGAAATTGAAATTCTACTGAATTTTACCTATAGTAGAAACTAAAATTTCAATTTCTACTAGTAGGATTTTAAATTCTACTGAATTTTAATTTCCACTACAACATATATATTCTTTCAAGCATCGATATTTAATTTCTTATCTCGCAGGTAATATTTACATAGGAACTGATAATCATCCTACAATTTTCTTTAATTATATAAATAACATGTTTGCAACTCAAGAACAAAATAAGTGAAAATTTACTTACAGCCGAGTTAAGATAATATAGTGAACGTGTAAAAATAATAATAAATGAATGCCGATGAAAGCCTATTCGATAAAATTCATCTTGACTTAAGCGTTGTTGAAAAAAGGCCCAGATTTTATACGGTAAAATAAGTATAAAAAAGGTTATTATTAATGTAATAAGTAATTGTGCGACTTGACGACGATATCTTGTGACAATAGTATTGTCACGTAAAAGTGCTTCCCGATTAAACAATATGCAACATATTGCAAAATGCCAATAGCAAAGCATTACAAAAATCAATAGATAAAGACATAGAGTAAATGATATTAAATATTGATTAGCCCATGTTTCTGGGAAACGTGTAAAACCTAGAAATATTTGAAAATTAAAAACCACACGAATGTTTCCTAGTTTTGCTTTTACATGTAACAATTATTTCGCTATATGTTGATTGTTCAAATGTCGTATTGGAATACATGAAAAACGGAAATGAAATTAAACTGGAAATAAACCAGAAAAAGATGACAGTTGGTAGTGTTCGAAATAAAGTTAGATGAAGAGAAGATGTCTAAGAGAAAACAAAAGTTGTTTTTCGATTATCATCATCGATAACCTACTTTGAGTGGTTGACAGATAGCAACATATCTTTCATAACTGATTGCCATTATTATTAATACAGAACATGTTGATGTTGCATTTTGAACAAATGGACTGAAGCTACCTGAAAATAAAACTCAATATTCAAAAACAAAAATTATCATCGATGATTACATACACATAAAACTTCCTAAAACATATTTATCTCTTCCATATAAATGTTGATAGCCCTCTGCTGTGCAAAATAATAAATGAAATAAATCAGCAATGGATAAATTTGTTAGTAGAAGATTAGTGGCATTGCGCATATCTCGATATTTTATCACAATAGCAATCACCAACACGTTTCCAATAATACCAACAAGCAATACAATAGAATACAAAATACAAGCAGTGATTTGTAATCCTGGAAACCATTGAACTGGTTCTTCCGTTGAATTGCTGTCGCTTAAATTCATTATTAGATGTGTGAATTTTGTTTCGATCAATAGGAAAAGTCTTTTTTTTTCTAATCTAGAAAATGTTGTCAAAAGCAAACGTTCTCTCTCTATATATAAATAAAACTATAAAAAAATTTATTTCATCCAAAAGAAAAAGAAGAAGGAAAACCTGAAAAGAAAACCTCTCGTTTTTTTTCTTCTTGACAAAAAAAAGAAAAGAAAATAGAGTGCAAGCGATGATGAAACATGAACCGATTTTCAGTATGGTTGGATAAAACAATAGTGTGCTTGTCATTGTTTTGAAATCTAGCATGTGGTGTGTATTGAAGCAGTATTCATTAAGATCGTCGGAATCATTAATGTCATAGCATAGAAGTGAGCAAATCTTTTCGCTGGATTTTTATATTTATCAATTTATTCTCTATTGAAGCCCCTCAAATTATCTCGCATATATGCTCAGTTGTTTTCTTTTTGTCAAACAGTGCACACAATTCAATTCAATTCTAATCACAAAAGCTACAAACAAAAAAGAAGGCAGATACATTAAAACAAAGATGGGTCTTTTCTTTATGCTTTGACAGATGTAGAAAAATAAAATTAGAAAGCACATTCTAGAAAGAAATCATGCACGAAGTCACTGATTTTCTTCTCAGCTCATTTAATGTAAATATAATTGAAGTGCTTCTTGTTTTTCCTTGACATATCTTTTCCCATATATACCTATGATTATAATTATTTGACCAAATTTTACTTGAAAAAAGAACGATGTGCAAGGTTTGTTCTTCTTCAATTGATGATCAATCATTCAAGCAAGCTGTTTCCTCATTTTCCCCATTTGTATTTATGCATGATCACTAAGTAATTCCGGCTTTCATTCTCCCTTTCTTATTGTTTTACTCGAGTTTTTTTCCTTGATATAATTTTTTCTATTTCACGGAGCTTAGAGAAAAAATGAACTGAGTTTGATATTTGACGTCACGTAAGCGAAAGAACTGTAAAGAGTTAGAGAATTATCTTGAAGATGAAAGTCTCTGATTTCGGTTTTCTTCTGTTGAGAAATCATAGAGTATATGTGTCTACAAAAATCCACACTAGGATTATATCAGTTCGCTACAAATTTTAGCAATCGAATTAACTGGAATAAGAATTTGGACTATGAATCGGATGAAAGGGGTGTCACTAGACATGCCGACACGAAAGAACGTTTCTTTTTGAATTGACTCCCAATTTTTTCAATCCTTTTTTAATTAGTAGAAGATATGAGTGTCACCCGTTGTAGCTTCGTGTGACAGATTATTCGTCTATTTTTATGAATACTCGAAAAGTTCTAATAATAACATCATACGGCCCTGACTTATTAATTAGTCTGCCGACGAATTACTTTCTCATGAAATTATTCTATGACTGATACCTGACTATTTTTTGTACTCCATTAGCCAAATACTTTTCTCGATTCTTCTTAAGCAAACGGCTCGACTTCTTAGTGCATTTGTATTAAACAAAGAATCTTTTAAATATCACGTAAAACTATAAATAATTACTTTCTTTTTTGAGTAACCTTTTACATCGCTGAAAGCGCGAGACAAAGGTTGTTTTAAATTCAATTAGAAATTGAGAAAAAGCTTTAGAGTTGCATTAATATTTCATGAATTATTTCTCATGGCTTTGAAACTAAAATAAATCCATTGTGTTTTTGAAGGCTTCGTTCTATATGAAAAATCTTCAGAGTCTTTTTCCATTAGATAAATACAAAATATGATGCGATAAACAAAACAGAACAAGATTCGATGAAGTCTCTTTACTGAAAAAGCTACAGTGCTATAAGCTAAATTAGATTTAGGTTACCTCGAAAGCTATCCTCCATATGGTCCGATGAGCATTACAATCATCTCGAATTCTGTCGTCAACGATATAAGACATTGACTGCCTTTTCCTTGTCATCTGTCATCTCATATTATCGAACATTTTTTGTAGTAAGATAAAAGACGACGTTCCGAACATTGTTCAAAAACACAATGAAGAATAATATTGTCTTATTTACACTTCTTTTCTCATAGTACATATCAAAATATGTCTACGCCTACTTGACACCCAAGCTGTGAATTTAAATGATTAGAAAAGCTACATTTGATGAAGATGACTCTTAAACAAAGTCATCACCTGCAAATTACATCAACAAAATAGACGTCATAAAAGAAGATAAAAAAGCACTAATTATATGTGAAAACAAAAAGTGCAATATTCTCAAAAACAAAGTAGCTGTGTGAAAAAATACACAAAAGTCATAATGACATTTTTTTGAACAAGAGACTTATTGCATGCATCTTTCAGCGTATCGACAAGCTTTTATTTCAATATGAAATGGTCAGGAATACCATTGAAATATAGCTGTAAAGTCAAAAACCTTCTCTGCTGATTATATATCGTTTCCAGAGACTATGAAAACTGGTAGAAGGCGTCTAGTCTTCTCTTATAATTAGAAGTTATTTCTTATTATTCTGCAAAACTAACAAGATTTTTGAACTGTTTGACAAACTCTCTGACACATTGTTGATTCTTCTCGGAAAACAGATCATGCTAGGGATCACTGTATTTTGATGACTCGATTGATCCATATGTGAAGTTCTACTACTAAACATGATCTTTGAAGAAAAATAAAAATACTTATCTACAGCAGTGCATCTCGAAATACAGACGGATGAAGCGTTGGTTCACCATTTATACTAGAAACTTTCTTTACATTTTATGACCCTATTTTGTTGCACTTTCTAGAGAGCACTCACGACTATCTAATGGTATAACAATGCTAAGAGATCATTATATTAACTTTATGGAGAGCTAAAACATAATGCATATTTACAGCAATGTGACAAAAACATTATCAATATAAAAAACTTATTTACTTGGCACAAATAATAACTGATTTTTTGTTTTGAAAAAGTACCAAGCACTGAATGCAGAATTAGCTATCTATGATAAAAATCAACAAAATAAGGTGTTAAAAATGTGACGAGATGCTTCGATTCATTGCCTTCAGCTTGAAAACCTATACTCGATCTAAATTCACTGATAAAATTATACGTATGACTGATGATAATGTAAATCAATTACCATTTCATTTTATTTAAAGAATAATGCGCTGGATCATATACATAGCTTTATGACAATCGCAATTCTCGTACTTGACTTCTAAGGAAATCGATTAAATCATTAGGGATTTAGAGGAGAGCAAGCAACGAGCATCTCGAAACGATTTTGTTGTGACTTTTCGATGGTTTTTTTTTTATAAAGGACTTCGTGGCGATTCTATCGAACATCATAGCATAAGTTATCAGTGGAAATCAATGAACAACAGCAAAAAACAGGAAGGTGTTAGGACGCTCTGAATTTAAAATAACTTTGATTATATTATTTCTATTAATCGGATGCCTATTGATAAGAATACAATCAGTGATCTTCATTTTTATTCTACTACACCGATGGTGTCGACCTATAATTAGAATAGATAACAAACTGCTTTTTGTTGTCCATAAATTTCATGGAACAGTTCACAATTTTGATTAAACCGTTAATTTGAATCTTGTTAAACGGAAAAAATTTTATCAAAATTATAACTTACCTTTGCTATAGATCGATCGTTTGTCTTTTTCTCTTTCAGTTCTTTGTTAATTTTGTTTGTCCATATAAATTGCATTGTTCTAGTATCATCGATGGATCATCAATTTTTTTGTATTCTTGATAATTTTTTACGAGCCCTGTCAATATTTATTTCTTCATGGTTCAAAACTAGTTTTGAAACTATGATTTCTCTTCTTCCTATTCTCGTCTCATTAGAATATGACTGTAAAGTATTTCATATTGTGTCACTATTAATTTTACCTCAAGCATGGCTTATCTTTCGTGTCACATAGACGCGTCGAGTTTGTTTACAATTTAGATTTCGCATTAGGAACTGACAAGTCACCTAAATTATCTTCTTTTCCTTGTCTTTCTCTTTTCCTCTGACCCATCTGTTACCTTATGATATTTCATTAGTTGATAAATTGCTCTAAATACTTTTTCTAATGATGCGTCTCAATATTTTTCAACGCTAAGATTTCTTCCTCATAGTTCGCACGGTGATAATGACTAGACTCGAAAAGTAAGCTATCACAAGAGGACAGAATCCTAGAGAGATTGCTAAACAGTAGCGTAGTACAACTGAATATCAACGATCGTGTCAAAGCTTAGCTGATTTGAAACCAAGCGTAACTAGTCCTAAGGCATTGTTCTGATAACATATGGATGTCTGGTGTGACTTTTTATAAAAAAAAGATTCTATCATTCAATGCTTTTATCGCATTCCTGGATGCTCGAGTCGCATAAAAATAAAGCTCGAGTAAACGAGAATGAAAATACAAACATAAGTAACAGCACGATTTATGCTTTATGTGAAAATATTTCTGTCTCTTCTATTCTTCCTAGTATTCAAATAAAAATATGATATTTTATTGCATTCTGTTTCGTTTCAACTGTTTGTTCGTCTATCATTCGTACGTGAATGACTTTTGACTCGTGCTTCGATCTCTGTTTCCTTTGCTCCTTTTACTACTTTTCATTCATGAATAGATGAATAATAAACTATAGACTTCTTTAAATGTTTTCCGATCTTGTCTTTAGAGAGCAACTATAATGAAAATTTGTATTATATAAGAAAATAATCTTAATTGTATTCTTCGTGTACGTACTTAAGGAATATACAACTGTATTGAAGACTATTTTTGTACTTTCAATAAAAAACACTCATCTCAGCTGAGGTTATTGACCACATACATTTATCATTGTCAAATAAGAAAATAACTCTAAGAGAGACCAAAATGTACTTTAAGTTGTTTACGTAAATTACCGAGAAAATTTGATTTATATTAAAATAAAATTTTCATACGAGAATATCAATATTGTAAACCATGTAATTCGATGTGACACATCAAATTGGCAATACAAATAATGTGCAATTCAAGTTCATATTTTAATTAACTCGATCAATATTGAATCAAATAAATTTATGCTTAAGTCAATCAGACGCTCATTCGACTAAAATGCTACAAGTTTTTGCATTCAATCATACAAACTAAAATCTGCAGATAATTCATTATTACCATAATATTCTATCATGTTATTTTTCGAATGGTATCTTACTCACTAAACTCGATAGATTGTGATAAAATTCATAGTATTATGCTTTGGTGATTTCTTAATGATGGCAAATACTCATTGATGAGTAGCTCAAAATCAGAAATTTGCTTCGTTCCAGTAGTATGCTACTAATTTTATTTCATACTTAATTTGAAGTATTTTATCATTTCATTACATTAAAAATCTCTTTAGTTTTGACAAGCGAGGTGTCAAAAAATTTGTAGAAAAAATGTTTTTTTCCATATTAAACAATTTGTGAATCTTTCAACTTTGTAAAAATGAAAAAGTGAAATCTACTAACCTGATACATCATCCATTAATATGCATGTCGATATAAATATTCAGGCTATAAGCAAGAGATTCTTTTGATGCTACTGAAAATTTCGCACTTATTGTTCTTTATATATAGAACTGGTCGTATTTGCAAGTTTTTGAAACAAAAAATATAATGCAAATCATCGGAATTCGAAATCCTTATAGCGTACCTGGCTTGGTTGATTTTCCGTTGATGTTAAAGTTAACAGAATAATGAATAGCAAAAAGTAGTAGATAAGAAGAATACGTGATGTATGATTGTAAAAAGAGAAAGGTTTTTCTTCTTTACGCCCATATGTTCCAAGACGATTATGGATGGTAATACGATTGGAAGCGTTTGCCAGTACGTGTGATAAATTACTAAGTAAGATGACTTGATAAAATACACAGGCGAATCTATAAGTTCTACGCGACACTCAAGTACCGAACACTTTTTAATTCCTTTTCAGGAAATGATATTAAAGATGTTTTCGGTTCTATTGAATGTCGCTGAGATAAAAACTGAAACTGATTAATTCCTCGCTTGTTTTGAGTAAACTGTACAATAAATTGTCAATGATTATCTTTCTTTTTTATTTGATATGTTTTGAAATAGTAGGCGATCAGATTATCTGAATAGTTAAATTTTTGATATTGTACTACATGCTATAATACGATGTGATAATGAATTATGTGTGCAAGTGACATCTACAACATTCGATTGTATATGTACTAAATATTTTATCAAATAATTTCTTTCATTGTATTTTGTTCGAAAACCTATGCCATATGTTTATTTAATTGATAGTAATAATTATTAAATGGCAAAATGCAAATGAGAACAATGTCATCAAAAATTTAATGAGCTGATATTTCGAAAAAAAAGAATTTTTAACACAATAAAAGTAAGCTTGTATTTATTTTAATTGATATATTGGTTAGATACATATGTGTAGATCCTAAGTTTATCTAGTCGGTCATTGAAAACGGTCAACATAGTCGCCTAATCAGCTACTTTTGATTAGGCAAAGGATTTATTCAAATACAATCCACTATAAACTAAAAGGGTGTTTAAATATGTTTACACAAGCTATTCTTTGTTTAATATGATTAACATGTATATGTTATTGATGCATCTCGATATCAATTCTTTTGATTGGTGTACGTCGATTGAATATGATGAACAATCGATGGGAGTTTCAATTGTTTTATTGTTATTGAAAGAAAGAAAGAAAGAAAGAAAGAAAGAAAGAAAACCTTTAATCGATATAACAACAATGTAGAGACTCAAATAGATTCATAGAATAGAATATAATCCTGTTTAATGTATTCAAAGTAACAAATAATGAGTCAATAAAATCTTTGAAATATTCCATGCATTTCATAGTAATATATACATACGTATATGATCGATAGTATTTTTCAAATGAAAATTATTTCCGGTTACTCAGAGCTTTTTAATTGTTCACATTTAGTATCTTATCAAAAACGAAAAAGAAAACGTTTACTTTCAGTAAGATATCTCGTAACAACTAATTATTGCTTGTTTACTCTATGTTCATTAGACTATATTTACGCATAAGATTGACTTTTGACGTAGACGATAATTGATAATAAAAATGCTAGTGTAAGGTTTTTGTTTACTACCTTTTCTTTTTTTTTTTATCCTGTTTAGAATAAACTAAACGCTTATTCATGTACACATGTTTATTGATCATATCACTATAATAAATGTCAAAAACCCAATTAAAATCAAATTTGATCCATGGTCTATGTATCACAATGCATAAATATGTCGAATGTATATCAGTATATGAAAAAAAACAGACATTCGTGTGTCTTCTTTGTGTGAGAGAAGCGAAAAAGAAAACTGCATAACTAATAGATTGAATGAACTCAATTTCTTTGTTTTTCAACAAGAAATTAAAAGAGAAACATACTTATAAATGGTGTGTATGTGGTATATTTTTCTTTTTACTATGCATGCATGAAATTTTTACTACAAACATAAGTAGTAAATGGTGAAAACAAGAATGAACCTGAGACAATAATCATTCAAACGAAATTATAGATTAATTCTATCTCCATATACGAATATCTCAGTTTCTTTCTCTCTCTCACTGATATTTTGATAAATAGAGACAACAAGGTTGAGTATTTTACTTAATGAAGCTATTACGAGATACGTTTTATTGAAATCCGACTTGAAGTGTATATATATATAAATATATATTTAATATCGAGAATGATCGATTTCGAAGGACCTAAAAAATAATTTAACTGCTTCATTCGATGACACACTTCGGTAGGAAGAAAGCGAGTTGGATGACCCTTATGAGACCAATCGAGCGACACACGTATGCAAACATATACGGTATATATAGAGAGAAAGAGATGTGCGGTCAGTAGCAGTCAATGCATAAATTATTCATTCCGGTGTTCGCACCCTATAGGCCTAATGCTACCGTAGTTTCATTGTCTGACTTTTCTCTTTTTCTCATTCACTTTTCTGTTCAATGCTCATGATGCGATCAACGTGTGAGGACACGGCAATGTATCATCGTTAGCATTACAAGTATAGAATAGATCCGATTAGTTGACAGGACGAAAAAATGAAGCCACTTTTGTTGATAATCTGTTTATGTTCGATTGAACCGGTATATATATATTTCGTCGGATTTATTCCTCTTAAAATATAGGTGAAAACGACTAGAACTATTAATTAATTCTGTACTTATTTATTAAGCTTTTCTAATTTAGTTCTACTGTTTCTTCACCCTCAATAAGACATTAATTGTTACTCGTCTGCCTGCATTAGTGGTCGTTTTTTTCTTTCTACTTTTTTTTTGTCGCCATCGTCTTTTTTTTTGTTGTGGTTTATAGTTGCAACAATCTCAACCCTCTTATACCTTACGTCGCAAAAAGAACGAAAATATTCTACTCTCTACCACTCTCACACGCATTTATACATATATAATACATACACACATACGGAAGAAAGACGAGAGAGAAGCAAGAGAAAAAGAGACAAAAAAGAAGGTTCGATTTCTCCTTCACGTGCGTGTTCTGCATCAAACACATCGTCGTTGGTACTTACTGCTCGTCTTGGATTGTCGTCATCATTTTTTTAAATCTCACATTATTTTATGTTTGAATCGTCGCCAATTATACATTAGCAAGTATAATTATGATACGAAAGTTTCGAAAGATTTTTCGTACCCCATCATCAGTAACTGCAAACAAAAATGAAAATAGTCACAAGGCAACGACTGCTGACTCGAATCCATGCGATACATCACATGTTAAACAAGGATCATCAGCTGTTTCCAATCATGTGCATAAAGGTAGAGAAGAAAAATTATTATAAATATAGTTTTTTTCCCATAGTATTTAGTTCCATTGAGATTATACATCAAGGTGAATGTTTTTCTATACATTGGTGGGATTCTTTCTTTACTTTTTTCTTAAGTTAGTTTCCACAATATTATACCTCGAATTTTTATTTTCTTTATGAAAAAGTGCACAAGTATTTGTCTAAGATTATGCTTTGCAGAATAACTCTCCTAATATTCAAGTAAACAAAGTGAAGAGGTAATTAAAAAAACTACTTTTGTGCTTTTTTTTTATATTTGAATTTTGTCGATTGATTGATTCAACACAGATATCCTTCTCAATGTTAGTCATTTTGATCGTTTGAGAACAACGAATAAAATTAGACATATACGTGTACATCTGGGGAGGCCCAACTCTACTGACATGTGATACTCCCATGTTCTCATTTACAATTTCTCTATCTATTCTTCTTTACTACTATATAGTTATGTAGAATATAATTTTTGTATGTTCTATGTATGAATGGATTTTGACATTTTCACTAGATACATGTGTACAAGGATAGAAATAGTCGTACAGGTTAGATACGAGTGAAGGAATGATTATGATGATGATGATGATGATGGTGATGATGACGATGATGAGAGATAGTGATGATAATGATTAAATGAAATATGTTCTTCATTTTTGACATATGATGTGTTGAAACGAAAAAGAAATGAATGCAAAATATGTTAAAAAGAAAAAAGAACAAGCAGATAAAGAGACAAAGACTTTTGCATGTTATTATCATAATATGAGATTGTAAACTAAACATAAGGGGAGAAACGAAGAAGATTGATGTATTTCGATAGCGGTGGTCAACTGACAACATCAATAAACACGTTTCAGAGATTTGTTTTTCGGATAATAATTTTTTTTTAATTGAAAAATAAGTTTTTTATGTATTTTATTGACAATTATGACAAATTTATATATTCAACAATAAAAATTGATTTAATTCATATTACGAAAACAATCTTGTTTTTGGTTATTGCCATTTGTGTTATTGTGATAGATATCATTAACTATGTGTTTCGTGTAGTTATTTTTTTAGATTTCTCATTCATTTAGTTTTCTTCGTGAAAAATCATGTATTTTCAGGTGTTAAGCGTATTAAAATTCGTAAGTTTTTATATAAATATACATCTAGGAAGTCTAGTCTGAGTGTTCGAAGTTGACTATTTCATATCGTTTTTCATTGTTTTTCTTTGTCTTTGAATGGATCAAAATCGGATCAATTAACTAGTCGAACATATATTTATATACGTGCAAATGACGATGTAGATACCTGATAGATTACTATAGCTTACAGATAGAATAATACATGTAGAATACAAGAAGTTATTGTCAATAAACGAAATTCGAGAATTTATACAATAATCGTTGCCGATTAAACTTGTTTGAAAATATTTATATTTGTTTTTTAATAAAGTTTTTTTTTGGCGATTGAAGAATGAAGACTTTAAAGAAAAAATCCTTCACGACACAAAACTGTGTCATGATTGAGAACACATACACGTATATAGTGTATTGAACAAATAGATGGGTATTATATACATATATGTATATATTTATGCAAAGGAAAAAAAAGAATAAGAAAGGCACAGCGCGAGGTGACGATGCGTAGTAGTAAAAGTAGCTATGTTAATAACCTCTTTTTCTCGTCTGTCAAGGCGCTTATTACGCATGTATTTAGAGAGAATAAGAGAAGTCCAGCTTCATCTTCCTTCTTCTTTTTTTTTTATCGAACAGACAAAAATTTCCTAGTATACGTTTTGCCGTCGTTCATCATGAAATATAAACAACACGGCATAAATCAGCGAATGAAAGAGAACAATAATAAATCTTTGTATTCTTACCATTGATTGCTTGCTCATTTTTACCAAGCAATAATAATTATAGATACGTAGCTGCGTATTAGGAGTAAAGAAAAGCTACTAACGTATTCTATGCAATGGTCATTTGCTGTTATCTTGGGTATTTTCTTGCAAAAAAAAAAGAAATACACACATTAAATGAAGGCTCATACGCGCAAATGAGACAGAAAAACTCGGTCAGAATCCATACAACAAGGTGAGACTATTTTTAGACGAAATAAGTTTATTGTAATAATACTAACATAAACTTAATGATCAGAACATCTTTTGGAAATAATTTTTGTTATTATTATTTTAAACAAACTTTTAGTTGTTACGAATAAAAATAAACTTGAAATGTTAATACTCGACTTATATGATGATTTTTATTGGAGATGAAATAAATTTTCGTTTAGTTTTACTCATTTAGCAAACAAATCATTTTGGATTAAGAAAAACAAGAGCGCAATCATGATTCAGTCGTTTTTCTTCATCTCTAGTTCTGACGTATATAATATACTTAAGTGCACTTTAGTATTTAAAGAGGAGATATTTTATTCGGTACATTTTCATTTTATTGTTAGCTTATCTCATTCCTATTTTCTACTTCTCATTTGATTCAAACATTGTGTGTACTAGGATTAACTATTGATTGATCCCTACACACCTAAAATACATCTAATATAGACAAACATATATGATCATTTCATTAAATTTCTATTGGAGAGTACGCATTGTGCACGAATAATCTTCTATGTATAAGATATTTGTTATTCTTTTAGCCACAATCTACCTTTATATTTTTCTAGACTAATAAAAAACTTAAACGAACATTAAAAAAGAACATCATTTTTTTTCATGAAAAAACAAATATGTTGAAAGCCATGAAATCAAGTAAGCCCTAAAGTCAAGTTAAGTTTTCTTTTTATGTACAAACGAATTTAAATATGTGAAGGTTAGATATGTGATAGACTTGTAACAGTACATTGATTGGTTTGTTTTCTTTACCTAGACGTTAAAACTAACCAGCTGTTAAATATTGAATTGATGATAACTGATTGAATGCGCATACAACTAAGATAAAGCGACCGGTTTTTTTTTAATTTGATTTATATCAGAACATTCTTCTTTTTCTCGTTCTAAGATACTAGTGTTTTCTCTGCGTCAGTTTTAAATCTATGGCTATAGTGAATCACCTTGAAAACGAGTGTTATATATATATATATATACAATGTAATCATTCTAACGAATATGTCAGGTGAAAAAAAATCAAGTTTTAGATATTAGTAGGTTTATAATAATATAATACTTCTAGGTTGTGTTTTCTTTTTTGCCTTCTATTATTTCTCATTATTGAAATATGATGTGGTGGTCGTCGTAGGATAGTTGTAGTTCATTTTCTTTATTTATTTGTGTTATAAATTTTATATCTATATTTGGGGTATATCATCATAAATATCTACTATCTTCGAAAGAGTAAGATTTTCTTTTTCTTCTTTCATCGGTTTCTTCCATTCTTTGGCAGTAAAAAAAGAAGAACGAGTGGAGCACACAAACTTATATGCTTTAGGCATAGCATCGAGCGCGCGTCCATGTCATAATATGTTTTTGATAGGTGAGTTGCAAAGCACTTACATACCAGTATATACATGAGCTTTTCGAAATAGACTGACTCAGTTCAATTCTTTGTCTTTGTCGCTGTGTATGTATGCGTGATAAGGTCGACATTACTTTCGGTCGCTGTACTTTCTGTGTGTGTGTGTGTGTGTGTGTGCCTCTCTTGTTCTCCCCTCTTCCTCTGGTTGCCCTTCGTTCATTCTTCGCCGTTCATCATATATGTACATACATCTATGGTTGTGTGAGGGTGCTCATCTCTTTCTTTTTTTTTTTATTCCCTATTGTGTCGGATAAAAAACAATTAGTATTGGTGAAAAGAGAAAGAACGCAGGTAGCCAACTTGACCGAAGTCAGTGTTGTTGTTGATGGACATGAATCTGCATGGATTGAAGTTTGGTAAGTTGCGTAAAAGATAGCCTTTTATAGACAATCTCTGATGGCATTGTTCACTCATATACGTATCTTTCTCTTGCTTCGAATGAACAAATAAACAATAGTACGAAGAGTATTTGATTACAAAACGATAGTACAATTTGTTCTCACTTAAACAATGTTCACGTCAAATAAAATAATAGAAAAAACAGAATAGTGAAGAACACAGTTCCTCTTTTCTTTCTCTTTTTTGTTTCTTTTCGATACCTATTGAACCAAAAGTAAAAGATTTCATAGTTTTATTTTGTACCACAGTAGTGACCTGTTTGATTGTCTTCCGATAAGAACGATGAAAACGAACGTCAATATTTTGCCAGGTTAAATCAAATCTATAATTGAACTTCTCTATTTTAGTGAAGTTGAATAGAGGTTAAATAAATATTTGTTTTTAATATCTAGAATCACCTAAAACAGATCCAATTTCATCGACAGACGACGTACAGTATGCAAAGATGCGTATCATATCTTCTCCTGTCTTTCAATTGCGTGATATCATTCGTGCACTATTAACATCATCATCGCCACCACCATCATGTGATCTGATCTCAACATTTCTAACTTATGGTCAATTACTAGGTGCAAAATCTATTCATGGTTATCTTGTTGATCGCTGTTATGATACACGAACATTAATAAATGACGAATTTTCTTCATATCAAGGTGTTGCATTATGTGTCACATACGATGTTAAATTAAGTGAACAACAATGGGAAGATATATTTGGTATACATGAGTCAACGTCGACTATATCGAAGACTGCAACATCATTTTTTCATTTAACAGATTTTCTCTGTATATTAAGTGGCTCACGCGTTGTTTATTATGATCCAAATGAACGTATGATAAATGATGAACGCGCTTATGTATCAATATTTGATCTTGAACATGATGATATCGAAGTGTTTCAAGATCAATTTTCTCCATTAGATTATTTTTTACTAAAATCTAAAACATTCTATAACGGTACATTAATACGTTTACCATTGCGAACAACGTCGACAACGCAAATATCAACACATATACAAACATTAGATGACATTAAACAACAACTGTTTAAATACTTTAACTTTAATCATTCATTGATTGAATTATTACTAATGCAAACAAATTTAAATACTATTGAATTCGATTATACAACAGATTTTCAATCGTTCACAAGATTTCTATCTATTGAAAAACATTCATTAGCAGCTATTTATGATACGCAGTCAACAACTCAAATTATACAATTGACATTGTCAAAATTAATTAATGACATTAGTTCAAGGTTTGTATGCATCATTAAATAGAAATCTCTATCATTCGTCGATAAGCTAGTCTTCAACAATTATTAGAAAAAGAAACTATCGATGATGATCATCGTTGTTTGATGTGAAAAGTAACGACTGTTTGATAGCAATAAAACATCGGTTGACAGATTGTTTTGTAATCTAAGCAGCAAATAATAGAGTTATAAAAGTGATCATTTAAAAACAAAAAGAATGTTTTTTTTGTTCTAAAACTAATTCAACAAGCAATTATTTTCGTATTCAAAAATTGTTATTGAAAATATTTATAACCTAATCGTATACTGATGATAGATCGTGTGAGCTAGTACGATTATTTTTGTGTTCGAATTTAATGATATAGCTTGATGCAAAACATCTATGAATTTATTAGCAGTAAATTTAAGTCTCAATACATATAGTATATATGGCTACTGTTTGAGTTTACTTTTTTACTTTTTATAATTTATTTGAGGATGTATTTAAGTCTATAGAGATGTCTCGATCGATAGTAAGTATTTGCGAAAGAGATTTCCTCTACAATATTTACTTGAACACTCAAATAATTGTTTAAAATTATAGATAATCTGTAGAAAGACGTTCATATCTTATATCCTAAAGTTATAGCTGTATTCTTTTTTGAATAATGATTACGTCAAGCTTTGGTTTATGTTTAAAGTGCTTATCAATTAATAGTATTTATGAGCAGTCCTCCATCTTTCTTTTTTTTTCTCGAGCTCATTGTTGTCATTCATTAGGGGGCCGTACTGACAGTTTAAATTGCGTTTTAACAATTGTACTTGACAACTATTAATAGTTCCGCTGTTGACGCATTGAATACTGACTTTAATTTGAATCAATGATTTATATTAATTTCGTTCTTGAATCTAATTGAATAATGATAGTATTATATCTTTAGATAGATTTGCTACTCAGTAGTTTAATACTTGGTTAAATTCTGTTGCATTGATTAAGGAGAAATATTTTATGTTATAAGAAAGGAACAAAATGCTCAAATACCAACGAGAGAAATTCCCAACAGAATCAATTGAGCTGAATCCTGGATAGCATAGATCATATGAAGTCAAATGACGGTCGAATACTCTGAAGAGAATTCGTGCTCTTAGATTATTATATTATCGAAATAATGCATGTTCACAGTCACAGTAACTTTTTAATCAAATATATGATCTCTCTGAGGCACTGCAGAAAAGCTGATTTCGTAAGATTTTTTATTGTATAAATCATTGTCGGAATTCTAGGCCTCTTCATTTTTTGTTCTTATCCTGAAAAAAGAACATCGACACTATCAGTATATATTCATGATGAAAAATACACATGTTTACCATTATCTTATCAATAGATGTAAAAAACAAAAAAGATTTGAAACTTTCAAAGTAAACTCTGCTCATGAAAAATCAGTATCTATTCAAAATTTCAAATAAACAGTAGAGAAACTCAGGTTTACTGATACATATGTGAGAGAGAGAGAGAGAGAGAGTGAGTGATCAAGAACATAATTCTTTTTAAAAACGCGTTAAAATTTCAGTCGTTCAATAGCTATTGACTAATTGGATGAACTTGTTTATGGGTATTCAACATTTGTTAGGATTTACTTGATGCACGTTGTCTCAAATCAAAAGCAAGTAATCAATTGAAGCACTTCTCTCGTTAGATGTATGAAAACCGTCAAGTATTATAAGATGATTCGTGTAATTTCAAAAAATAAACAACTCTTCTACCATTTGTAACGAACATAGGAATATGACTTTGTTCTTGTAAAGTTTCATTTTGTTGAAGTTTTAATCTCACACAAATGAATCTCTAATAATAAAATATAATTTATTGTACCAAATTTTAGTGATGGATCTCGTTGGCTCTTGTCACTTCAAAACGATTATAATGAAATTGATAAAAATAAAATCGAAATCAAACTTTTACTTCCATTACTTCCACTTTGTTCATCATCTGATTCATATCTTCCGTTATTACGATCAAGTAGTTATAAATCGATTCAAATAACATCAACACGAATATTATATTATCATGCATTGCCATCATCAATAAATTCTTTATCTAATGTTGATATATGTATCCAATTGCGTCAAATCAAATTTCCAAAAGCATATGCTTTATTTCTAAAAGATTTATCACGATTGATAAATCCTACAACATCACCATCCAATTTCTCCATTGATTTTATTTGGGAATTAATGCCAGATATTGATGAACTTCAACGATTGTTTAATGAAAATCAAAAATACTCCACACAACAAAAGCAAAATATTCAATTAATTAATAATATTATACCTGATATTTGGGAAGAAATCGGTAAGATATCAGTTCTTTTTTCCGAAACTTATTTAAAATATTCTAAAAAAGCTATCGTGCTATAATAATTACAATAATTTATTCTTTTTTTCTCAATGAATATGAAACTTTTTTTTCTTTCTTTTGCAATCGAAAGAGAAACCTATTGAATAAAACTTCAAAATATTCTCTCAGGCTACGATGAATATCGCATGGAAGTAAATACAATTTTTCTTATAATATAATCGAATGACCTTGTCCATCAACAGATTTTTCTAAAGGATTAAAAAATGCAGTTGTATGAATTTTGCATAGATAAAAATCAGAACGGCACTTAAATCTACACTTAATAGATACGACGATGCTCAATTTATTTCTAAAATCTCGTCAAATGTATGCTTAAGAACACTTGAGCAGTTCACTCGAAAGTTCCATAGTTTATATATATATTGAAATGATCTTATTGCAAATGAGATATCGAATAATAGATCGTATTGAGACCTAAAATAGAAGTTTTGTCATAAATGTTTCATTTTTGATCAGTCATTGACATCATTTTATATGGCAATCTTCAAGTGGATTCTTTACTACAATGAATAATAGCTTATCGTACCTGTTTCGATCTTGAGTTTCTGTATTTTTTGCCACTCAAATTAATGATAGAATATTTATAGAAAATCTATTTTAATTATTTTACAAATATTTATTTTTTGTTAAATTCGATTAACTTTGTTAAAACAGCACTTATAATTATTCAGTAGACATCTAAACTAAATAGTTGAATGTAATCGAAACGATAAACATGGAATTTTTATCCTTGAATGTAAATATAGATATTTTTTTATTTTAGGTAAGCAAGAGTTATTTTACTCTGTAACTGAAGGTTGGGGTTATGTAGCAATTGAAGATATGATTATCAACAATGTTGAACCAAGTCCAATGCAAGATGTTTTAACCTATGTTTTTTCTGAAGCAAATGCGCCTATTGTAATATTACCTCCACATGTTATCAATGGTTTATGTAAATATTCTAATAAACATTATTTAAAAGTAATGACGCCATTTCATGCATCAAAATTATTATCGGAAAATTCTTCAATTCTGTTCAATTTAAAATCTGAACAAAGACTTCTATTGTTAAAATATATTATATTGAACGACCCTGATCCAAATTTAGTCCTTGAATTAGAATTATTACCGTTAGCTAATAATAAATTTATAACATTTCAAAACAAACAAGCGTCAGCTGTATATATTGTTGATAATAATGCGGATTTTTTACAATTATTTCATATACAACAGCATGATAGATTTTTAAATCCAGATATTGATCAAAATTTATTTGAAAAATTATCATCAAAAAGTTTTCAAGGTAAAGAGACTGTTTTTTGGTTTATTTGAATTGCTCTTGATCATTATATTTCTTCTGAAGAATATATCTTGCTTTCTTTGCAACTGTCTGTCACTACCTTACCCTTTTTTTTGCACGATCAAAGTATAAAAAAAAAGAGAAATTTGAAGAGTACGGGAATATAAATGATGGTAACGACTTTTTGTTTTTGCTGTAGAGTAGTTATTTCTTCTTCTAACACATTCTCTTTTCTTTTGCGCAGCTTTGTGCGTCTCAACAAGTTTGATTTTTTTATTCAAACAACGAGTATACCTAGAAAAGTGAATGAAAAGGAGAAAGTAAAAAAGCATAAAGAAAAGAAAAAGTGTCTTAGCGGAACAAACCGAACGTCGAAGACGACGACCGCAAGTGGTTCCGCGCACACACACACACACACACACCACAGCGACAATAACCGTTACAACACGTGTGTTGTTTTTTTCCTATCTGACTAAAAAAACTGAAATGCATCGCCCACCTTATAACAATGGGATGGCAACTTATTTTGACCGATATTCCGATAATCCTCGAAGATCGACGCCACCTTCGCCAACATCAGTTTATGAACGAGGTAATCCATCATAAAAATTTATATACATTTGACGAATATGTTAAAAGTATTATTCTATCTATTGACAGATAAAAATGATAATAGGAACACAAAAAAAAAAAGAATAGATATTTTTTTCATAACGTATATTAATAGGAGATATCGAAGGTGAGTAGGACATGTTCCTTTTAGAAGATAGACGTGTTGTTAGTTTTTCTTCATGTTTATTTTCCTCGACCGAGTATCAAGGTCGTATGCTTTTCCATGTAATACAGATGTCAAGTTATTATTCAAGCATCAATATGCCTTTCTATTGTAACTAACTATAATAGAATAATAATATTGACAATGATTTATCAGTAATAATGGATACTTGGCAGCAAATCGAGGCCACTTCTTTTTAATAAATGGGCACATTGCGCAAATGAAGAATTGAGGTCGACTATAGTGTATAGGAGATTTTTTATTCTATCTTATCATTAAACAAGGTCAATAGAATACACTCGATTGATCATCATCATCATCATCATCATCATTATTATTATTATCTATCTATCTAGCTAGCTAGCTATATATATATATATATATATTTGAAAATAAAACAGAGTAGAGTATGTGTGAACAAAAGGTGAAGAGAGTTTGTTTAAATGCAACAGTCCTTCTAGGTACATGGTCAATGATTTAATTACTAATCCGTATACGTTGATTATATTTTAGTATAATTTAAATCTTTTGAAATATATATCGAGGATAGAAAGGATTGGAACAAAAAAGAAAAGATTAAAGAAGGAGCGAAGCTCTTTAATCTTATCAAGTTCTTTCGTTTTCTGAATGATAAAGAAGAAGAAAAAAGAACCGAAATGAATCACATTATTTGAAAGACAATAAATATTTATGTGCGTTGTTTAATACGAAATAACGTGTCCATGTTTGACATTCGTGAATGAGATGAATACAAATATAAATTTTTCGTTCGCTCAATAGCAATCATAGCATTTAAACTATTGTGCACGATTACTTATATTCTGACATATAGCAAATATCAAAGTGTATCAGCATTACGGCTGTGATTTGTCAATCATTAGTATTTTTCTCTCGCCCCCCCCTCTCTCTCTCTCTGTCTCTATGTACCTCTTTCGCTTTTTCTTGTCGTTTCTCCCTATCGTTCTTCCAGATCCTACGATATACAGTTGCGACTGTTCAAAATTCCACTCATCCGCTATCAGATGATTGGTATCGTAGGCACTTGAATACATATGCTTCGACACTTTTCTTCTATTTTCTTTTTATACGTCGCTCGCGCACATATATACATACATTAATATGTGCTTTTTCGTAAGTTTGTCGATGAGTGTTGTCACATCGAATACTTTTGAAAATTGATCTGTCAATACTAAGCTACGACAGAACAAAAGAACTACAAACAACGAAGAAAAGAATACGTCTTTCAAAACGTTATTACAATTATCATCTTCGTCGCCAAATAAACAATCGACGGCAAGACAAAATTGAAGAAGAAGACGATGAATATCGAAAAATTAAATTTCAACTGTTTATTTTAAGGAAATCAATTAAATATTTTCAAAATTCAATAAACATATTTTGAAATCTTCTTCTTCAATTATTATCTGTTTTTTAATGGGTAACATGAATTGTAAAAGCAATTCTTGCTCATCCAAAGATTTTAAAACAAATTCTCCTTCAAATAATCGTCCTATATCACCAGCACATATCCATCGATGCAAAGATCACAATCACTATTCATTAACACTTCCTCATTTGAAATCAAAAGGTAATACATTCAAGATTTTCTATTCCTATTCTCCATCACCAGTCAGGTTCATAAGTGATCTTCAAGAGTTCCTTTTTACATTTTCTTTCACCGCCACTTGAATTTGTACACCCACATGCGCTCTAATTGGACTTGATACATAAATATACCAACAGAAAAAAGAAAGAAATCTAAATTGAACATATATATGTCTTTGATTATATATTACACAAAAAAAAAGAACAAAGAAATGAATACCTATCTGGAAGAAAAGCGTGATGCAATTTTAATATCAAAGAATGCATAAAAGCTTACAGTAGAAATGTGTAATTAAGTGTTCCAAAAGGTGGACTATTCACCAGACGAACGTAGATGTGTGTACACATGACGAAGATTTTATTTGTAAGTTCATAGATTAAAGTTTTCTTTTTATGTGTAGTTTTGATATATAATTATGAAATCTGTCGAATATATTCATTCTATCAGAGTATTCATATATCTGTAATTCGAGCACAATCTGGGAGATGCATACAGCGCAATTACCCGATGAAATCAATGTCATCATTAGTTAATGATTGTTATTCGAGATGTAGAATATTACATAAATATTCATTAAAATACAGTAATAAATAAATTATTTTCCTCATCTTTTTCTTTGATATATTTCACCCTAAATAATAATAATTTTTTTATATGATTCAAGTGTTGACATCAGTAATGAGTGAATATGGAAAAAATCCGAATTAAGAGAAATTTCAATGAAAAAACTATAGAAATAAGCTAAATAAAAACAAAATAAAAGCGAATATATTTTTGGAATGTAGCACTGAGATCTATCTCAGTGTCTTTTTTACTGAGTTCGAAAAATAAGAGAAATTTTGAGTTCGTTCAGTATTTTTATGTGAAGCTATCATTTTATTGGAAATCGCTTCCATTAGATCTTTTAACGTTGAAATCGATTGAGACATATTTGAGGCTAAATTACCTGTGACATGCAGACAGGTGAAAGCAAAGTTTTTTCTTTCGGAGATAAATAGGCAGCAAATTTCAGCTTCGCCATTTGAGTGTTTTTTCTTCAGGCTATGAGTGCATGCAAATGGGTTTTGATAGGACTTCAGTAGCACATGCAAGAATGAAAGGAAAGCTAGGAGAAAAAACCCTCCAACATATGTCAACAAACATATACCCACAGCACACATCGGCGGGTGCCTACAACCGCAAACACTCGCGTAAACACAGTCCATCCGACATTTTCAAATTCAAACGTAGGCCGGTAACCGTACAAAAACAAAAACAAAAATCAAATCAAACCGAACAAAACACATCTCCAATCATACCACAATCGATAAACACTTCTACTCATGAGTTACCCGAAATTCGCTTAACCCAAGCCAGATTCACATCCAAACCAAATCTACACGTGGTTGAATTTCAATTAGATTCATTCTGTATGATATTAAAAAAATTTTCTTTTCTAATTCAGTATGACAAATCGATTAGAATAATAATTATTCGAATACATAAAATGTGAATGAAGTGAAGAAAAACTTCTTCAGTATCGATAGCTGTCATGTTCGCTGAAGAATGTGTTATGAAACAGATAGCGATATGCGCGTTCGGTTTGTAATTATTTTGACTAACAATAAATGCGAGTGTGTGATATTGTAATAATAGAATCATTCGAGCGCGACATTATAAAATATTTAATTTGTTTGTTTTGTTTCATCATCGAAAAATCTTCTTTTCTTTTTGCGATGACAACATGGAAATGATGTCACTTCGCATAAAATGTGGTTGTGTTTAACAGTTTACGTCATAAAATAAAATCATAGTTCGAAAAAATATCAAGTCCGTTAATGGAGTAAACAAAAAAGTCTAGATTTTATTCTATTTGTTTAACTAAAACATATAGTATTTACAAAAACAAAAGATGTGAACGACTTCATCGAATTTTCAATTTTTACCGGTAACTGTCTCTCAGCGATAGATTTTTCGTAAAAACATTTTTTTCAAAACAAAATAAGATCAACTGTACAATATTTTTGCAGTTTTAGCTACTCAAAGCGAATTTGCTCTAACGTTAAACTATTATGATAGAAGTTTGTAGCAAATTAGTATTGCCGTTAACAACACTATCTGGTAAACTTCAGTTTTCGTAACATAGAAACAAAAACAACAGAGCCTGATAAATGATTTTAGTCAAATCAGTTTTTTATTTTTTATCAAAAAATAAGATTTCGAAAATATTGCAGAACTGAGCTTTGGCGAATTCTATAGAACATGCGGCTGCGTGATTAAAAATGCTTGTTTCATAATTAATCGAGTTTTCTTTTAATTTTTTCTTGACCTTCATAGCCTGTAAGTAAACATCAAAAGTGTCTATAGATCAGTAAACAGATTCCAAACTTCCATTATATTGTATGTAAATTAACTAAAAATAGTTCATCTATTCGAATGTTGTACTGATCGCCCTTGTAGCAGGAGACAAGAGAAAAGGATTTTTCGTCAGGTATGTTTCATATTGATTAGATTAGTTGGTCTCCCTCGTTCTTTCATTTTTTGGTTGCGTCACCGAGCAACTGAAATATATTCAGCATTGATCTTCACTCGACAAAAAATTTTAACTAGTTTTCTAAAATAAATCTTCTACGGCATAGAATAATATGCATATTTTTAAAAAACCTAAAAATTATAAATTTTCAATCAATGTAAATACTGAATGTATATGTCATAGTAATAACTACAAGCCGCATTAACTTGAGAAGATTGTTAGAAATCATTATCGACTCTCGATCTTGATGTTGTAAAAGATAGTTTAATGAAAATTGATAAGTATCGTGTCCGAGTAAGACGAGAGCCACTAGTGAAACAATTTGATACAACTATTGATTGCTTCTTTTTTACCTGCATACGAAACAAAAAACCGAGACACTCGATAGAATAAATATATTAAATGAAAAATACTTCGCATATTCAGATCAAATCTTTCGATTTTCATGAATGATTCTATTTGTTTTCAAAATCAATAGAAAAAAACTAACTATGATATGTATTCAGTGGTGCGTAATGTGTCTGGATGCTAATCTTGACTGTATGATGACTCATATGTATCATCGAATATCAGGCAATTGTAATCTTATATCATTAGCATCTGTTTTATTTCACTATATTATAATAGTGTTGTCCATAAAACTAGGACAAAATAGATGAGAATTATGTCTATGATACAATTCACCGATTTCTTGACGAATGTAATAATCTGTTTATTCCCGTAATACCTGCGCATATATATATATATATATATAAGGAATTAATTGAAGTTTTTTGTTCTATTGAACATTTCTTAATAAGAAAAATGGCTCGTAATTGTTTGCCGAATAATCCGTTAAAGGAACCAAAAAATTTATTACCTCGTTGGAATATTTCATCATCAATGAATAATCTAAGTAATCGAACAAAATTAGCATGTCGTACTTGCTCATCATCATCCTCATCATCGTCATCGTCATTCAAATTAGAGAAAAGGCAATTTGCTTATAGTCGCTACGGTATGTGTTAATTATGAAAAATTTTCCTTGAGTTCAATTTATTGTCTATTGGAAAATAAACTTATTTCAAGGTAGTAGTTACGCATCAAGAACAAATTTGTCTTTCTGTTTTTTCTATGTACACTTAATTCAACCCTTCGCCTCGCTAAAAAGAAACAACATTTACCCGAAGGTTATATTTTTTATCGCAAGGGGGCAAAGCTAGTGCCATTTTGTTAAACGCTTTTTGTTGTAATATATGCACTTTTAACATCGTAAATAGGTTGAGGTTTTCTTTCTTTCTTTTTGTAAAATCAATAAATCAGTTAAGCACATACTATCTACACATAAGTGGATTTATTCAGCTGTGATCTGTTGTTCTTCCATTTACGTTCAATCAATTTTCTCGAATGACAAATGCATGTTACCGATTACGTAAAAAAAAACATCGACTACAATCACTTTGATAACAACATCATTATGCGATGACATTACATAGTTCAGTTCTCCCGTGTGCAAACTGCTCCCATTAATATAAGGATAGTAAAATAGGACGAATAGAAAAGCGAATGAGTGATGGTATTATTCTTCATCTTCCTCTTATACTTATATGTATACATATATTTGTATATGCTGTACTCTTCTTTTGCTGTTCTTTTTTACCTTACTGGTCTTGCTTCTCTTATTCTTCACACCGATCGTGGTTACATACATTTTTTCTGTCTCTTTCTCTCTTTCGTTTTTTCTCTCACGTATATACGTACAAGTTTTTAGGTTGATGTCCCTGTACATGCTCTATCACTCTCTCATTGCTGCTCTTCTTCTACACCACGCGTTCGTCGTACCAAGAAGAGAAGAAAGTAAAAATTGAGTATGATGATGATTATGATCATCGTCTAGTCTGAAATACAAAAATTCATCACGTATATATATTGGATATTCGGATAGAGATAGAATGGACCCGAGGTATCAGTCCTCAGGAAATATGCCACAGCATTATGATTTCATATCAAATACTACAAACAATAATAACAATAGTAATTCATCGGATCATCTAAAACATACAACACCATCAGCTGAACGTTATTTTCATCGTGCCCCATTGATATTTCCTCGTTTTCATCAACAGCATACTCAAAATACACCAACAAGACTTTCTTCATCGAATTCGGGCCCATTACATCATAATCGTCCTCGTTTTTTATCCGCTTGGAATCTTACTCCAAGACCAGTGATGTATAATTCGCCACGCAATATTGCTCCGAATACTCCGGTATCTACAGCAATGTCGAAACCAAATGTTGAGGGTTCGTCTATCTTGAACAGTTGTGCCTTTCTTTAATTAGATCTAGTTATATGAAAATTGTGTAATATTCTTCTTACTTTTCTCTTCTTTTTTTTAACAATGTGCAAACATATCTATATATATTTTTACGTACATACACACATAGATAGATAGATAGATAGATAGATATGTAGCAGATTTCTCTATTGGCCATCGATTAACACAAAACAAAAATACCAGAGTCACTATCTACTAGTATAGATCTCAATCGTTAACCTTTTGCGATAAAATAAAAATTTCTTTTTGTTAGATCATACTCATAGATCTATAGAAAAATGAATATTTTCAAAGAGTTAAAACATTCTGTTTCTTTTTATTGTTTGATCAATCTAACGTATAAATATTTGAAGTAAATATCAGTAGAAAGTATAGAAAAAAACAACCGCCTGTCGTTCCTCCTTGATATATGTGACAACAAAAAGAGAGATTACTGATATTATATTCTGACAAGGTTTATATGTCAACAGAGACAAAAAATTTTCTTCCGATTTCTTTATTGATCAATGAACCAGAATAAGGTGTGCTTCAAGCTGAATATTTATACTGTAGTGTGTCTTTTCTTCTACAGCGCTTTCTTTTTTCATCAAGACCTTGGTCTTCATAGGAACATACAGAGACTATCGCGCCTCGTCGTCAAACCAAAACACTCGACTCATTGATTGCTTACATGTATCACCGTCAATCTTTTAATCTTCTTACATTTTTTTCCTATTACGTTCACATGAGCGACGACGACGATGACGGCGACTACAAGACCATTGATAGAATCTCGAGCCGTCAAACTACATATGCATATCAGTGTCTGATTGCTTTCTCTTGCTTCCTTTTGACGAGAAAAACGAATGAATGAGCAGGTTCCTCATTATAGAGAAGGACATCTACGTATGTGAGTATGAGACGCTGAAGTTGTATATGTATACATAGATTGTCAGATACATAACATTCTAGGCTTCTTTTCATTTTATCGTTCACTCAAGGTGATATATCATTAATACTAATTGAAAAAAGACGGTTGATTATTTAAAAATACAGTAAATAACTATATGCAGTTGAATAATGAAAAGTGATTTATAAGAGCTTAAAAAAGAAAAATCTTAACATAGAACTTTTGCTAATCAAACAAAATATCAATTCAAAGATAAAGATTGCTTCGTATCGATTGTTCTCATTTCATTTCATTTTGCTCTTTCAAAAGAAAAAGAAAGATCATATTTCATCGTAATGAAAACAGACACTATTCACTCTTGACCTCCTATTGACAACTCTTTCTTTTCTTTTCTTCTCTTTTCTTTTTTTGTGCTATTCGACCACACAGCTGTTACAGACACAAATTCATTACTAATCAAACAATTGTAAAGAAGTAAAGATAGAATTCGATAGACATCGGACTGTTTTTCTTTCTTATACTGAATAAAGGTAGACAAATAAAGACTATTGGGATTAATGAATCGATAGATCACGAAAGGAGTAATGTTTGTTAACTAATCAAGTATACTAATGAATTTATATATGTTGTGTACTTATTCTCTTCTATTTCTATTCTCATAAGACCACAATACGTCGGCATCAGCTGCTATTTTATTCTGCTGAAGAAAAAACTATATAGATATTGTTACACTTTTCATTTTTTGATTCACAGATCGTACTCAACTTCAAAGCATGCCAGCGAAAGATTTCGCTGATTTAGTAATGTTACCACGTGAATGGCGTCGTGGTGATGATTGCATTCAGTGGCCTAGAAATCATGATTATTATAATATTGTATGGCTTGAAAATCTTTGGAAATATATTAATGAAAAACTTCCAAATGATTTAACTATTCTTGAAAATACTAATATTCTCTATTCGCTACAATTAACACGCCCATTAGGTGGTCCAGCATCACTTAATACAATAGCATTGTATAAATTATCAAAAAACATTGGCCTAATACAATTACCAATGTCAGCAACTAAAGATGATGTATCAGTACAAAAAGTTTTGTTAAAATTAAACTTTCATTGCATCGATCCATTTCCGGAAATTATACGTCGTCATAAGCTAGTTGAGGAATATGTACCATCATTATCTTATTTAGGTTTATTACAAATATTTAAATGTCGTCTAAGACATTTTACACAAATTAAAATTCAACAAGAATTTAATACATTATTAAATGAACATGATATTAAATTATTACGACAATATTTATCGCGAATTATGACACAACAATTAGATGAATCGAATATACAATGTATTAAACAATTACCAATATTTGATAATGCGTATATAGGTAATGATACAAATCAACAACAACAACATTTTAAATACATTAGTTTAAATAATATATTATATATCTATGAATCTGGAACAAAACTACCAATTGATATACAACCACCAAAACAATGTATTCATGTTACTGATAGTGATTCAAGAGTTTTGTTAGATAAATTAGGTTATGTTATACATGATTTTACACATGTTGCTCGTTATCTTATTAAGACTATCGAACAGCAACAACAACAACAGCAACAACAGCAGCCGCAACAAAATTCGAAGAATATCAATTTAAAAGTTGATCAGCAAAGAATGATATTTTTAGGTAAATTTAAAAATAAGCTCGTTGAAAAAAATCTTGCCTGAAAAATGTAATTCTTGAATAATATCATCCATGATTAGTTTTACTGATAGACATCATAGAGATAAAACTAATGATATATTTCGGAAAAGGACACATTATACATGAGTATGACATTAGATATATATATAATGTAAATATCAATGATTGCATGTATCCAAGGCTAATTCCTTAGTTTCCTTCACGGATAGTTAAAAGATTATTTCACATTCTAAAGTAATTCAAGACAATTTTCACAACGGATATATTTCCTATGCACTATAATCCGATTGTTACTAAAATAAAGTTCATGTTCTAATGTTACAGTTACAGTATTATAATAATATATTTTAAAATGGTTTGTCTCTCTTTTTTTTTATTAGGAAAATGGCTTCTATCAAATTGCACAAATTTGATTTTAACTGACGTCGTCAGTCAAGATACATTATCAACCTGTCGTCTATTTCTCAATCGTAAAGGTGAACTTTGTTCATGTCAACAAATGTTTGATCCATCATCATTTCAAAATAATAATAAAGAGAAATATTTAGTTTTATTTGAATCAAAATATTTGCCGTCCGTTGAATTTTGTTCCACAAATGAAAATTTAAGTTTATTACGACATCTTAAATTACGACAATTTTATGATATAAAATCCGATGAAGTTATTGATATATGTGAATCAACAATTAAAGATACATCATCAACAACAAGTAATAAACGTTCATTAATGTTATTGTTAGCTGAATTTATTGTCGATATCTTAAATCAAAATCCAAAATTAATCGATGAATATTCACAAGCAAAACAAATTGCTCTGAGACAATATTTAAATAATGCACCATGGGTGCCAGTTATGGCGGAAAGACCACATGGATATCCAGCGACACTGACATGGCAAAGTAAATTATTAGAAGCTAAGATTTTTGAATATCTAAAGACGGCGAAATAGAAATTTCTCTTCAGTTTTTTTCTTTCTATAAATCTATGATTATTTAAATCAGCGGAAAAAAAACATGTTCATTTGAGAATATAATTTAATGAAATATGACAAAAGTTAATAGTAACAATCTATTGTGTTAGTATAAATATTGAACACTAGGTCGATCGTCAACAAACGAAAAGTGTATCATCCTAGTGAACAAAGCTCTAGGAAATAGGACATCCACCTGCTTGAGTCAAGCAAAATTCGAGTCTTTTGCAATATTTACATCTCATTATTACTCAAAATACTATCGTAGCCTCGATTGGATTAATTCGAAATCTATATTCGATTGATTCTGTCAACAGATACAAATTAGCAAAACATTTCTTCGTTTGACAAATCTTACAGAAAACAACAATCTATTTATTCTCTAAATGTTTTTTCTTTTTCATAGGTGCAATCGATCTTCGTCATTCTTTTGTAACTCTTCGTGAAGTTTCCGATAAAACTCATGGATTTCTTGTTGGTGCTGTAACACTTATTTCAGCTCTTGACCTTCCGGAATCATTCTATCCACCGGCACGTGCAACATCATCAATAAATCGTATTACACTTGATATGCGTGAATTAAAACTTGACTTATTAATAAAACAATTGAAATGTATTGTGTTATGTTATCAAAAAAGTTCACCACAAGAGCAAAAAAATGAAACATTTGATTATTTAAATTTATGTAAACGTCTCTATGACACATTATCACAGTTAAATAATCCAAATGATATATTAAAAGAAATGCGTCTATCTGATTTAACTGAATGGATATGGAATAGTACTCATGGTTTTTCATCAACAAATCATATTTATCTTATTGATAAAATTCATCCGTTAGCACCATATGTACAAATTCTTCCATATGAATTATATAACTACAGAAAATTTTTTGAATCAATGGGTGTTAAATATTTACCTGATGTATCAAAATTAGAAGATCTACTACGTAATCAACAACATCAACCGATTGATGAGAATTTATTTAAATGGATCAAAGAAACATACACCAAAGATCGTCGTCTATTACAACTCATTCATGATTTAGAAACAAAATCGAATTCAAAAGGAAATCCTAAAGTTAAAAATACAAATGATGATCAAACACGCATTACATTTTCTAGTACACTCGATTTAGCTGAAGATAAAATTTATCTTTATTTAACAGGTAAAAACAGTTAATAATTAATTAATAAACAGAAAAGTTCCACATCGACTTTTCCTTTTTCTTTATGTAGATATATTTAATCAGCAAGCAAATATCAAAGAAACAGTTATACAAGCATTGACAACAATATCCAAAGAAAAGAAAACTCAACTATTAACTGAAGAAGATTATTTTATACGTAAAATGTCTGGTAGTGAATATCAAAAAAATTTATTTGATCATTATCGAGCATATAATGATTTAGTTTTACCAAATTTAAATGTTTTACCTAAAAATGTTAAAGATACATTGGTTCTATTTGCATTAGATCATGCTGATAATACAATGTTAAATATATTGAAACAACATTGTTGTATACCATGCACACCCAATGGACGTATATTAAACAAACCATCAAAATTGATACATCCTTATTGTCGTTTAGCATCACTTTATTCTGATATTGATTCATTATTTCCATATGGCGGGCAAGATTCGTATTTAAGAGAAGATCGATTAAATGTTTTAAAATTACTTGGTAAGATGAATCCATTATTTTCTCAAATATTATTCTTGATGTTAAAAAAACATAGTTTTTATAATTCTTTCTTTATATCGGATAATAAAAAGGTTTTCCGATTGAGCGATAGCAGTATTTATTTTTGTTTTCGGACGAATTGAAAAGGCATTTAATATTACTAAAAGCAATGTTTAGATCATAGAGAAAAATTAAAGTACGCGGTAAATTGTTTTCAGTTTGTGGTTAAGAGTGAAAACGAGATATTCATGAATGTAATAAATACTTGTATAATAGTTATTTGATATTTTGAAGGAAAATAATTAATAGTAAACAAAGCAAAACAATACTAGTTTGGGAATTTTCGACATTTTTGATTACAAATAAATGATAGATTATATTTCCTCTACCTTTTTGTTTTCAAATAAGCTACGAGTTGAATTGCATAGGGAATATTGATTTATATAGACACACCGGATGAAAACCAATCATGAGAAATAGCTTTTCTACCGGCATATATAAAAATGTTGACTGTTATTTAGCAACACGAAACTATCGCATACATTCTATTTGATAGAAAGGAAAATCATAAGTTCAAATTTTCTAATATTCAATCTTAATATTGCCTTGATAGTTTTTACTAAAAAGAAATCTATTTCATAGGTATGAAATGTGATGATAATCTTGTAACATGGCCAGAACTTGTCGAACGTTGTGAATCCATTCAACGTATGCGTGATTATGATCTAGCGCGTGAACGTTCTCTAGCACTTCTTCAAATTCTCAATGATATGCTATCAATGTCAAATGTAAATCCTACTCGAACATATGACGAAAACGATGACCCATTAGATCGTCGTTCGCGTCAATCAACATCGACAGCACGCGAGAAAACTACAAATGGTAATCTATCGAATGGTTCATCATCGATATTAAATACACATGAAGCTCTACATGACAAAGAAGCTCGTACACGAGCATCTTTACAATTACGTGAATTAGCATTTATACCCATTAAAACTCGTCCAATAGAATTAAATGGAATAAATTTAACATGGATGGGTGATAAATATTCGAAACGTTTATTCAAACCTAAAGATGCTCTATCTCAACAATATGAACATTTAATTTGTTCAACATGGCCAATAGCTGAACAATCGAAAAATAGCCAAGAACAAATTATATTAACAAAACAAGTTGAACATTTTCTTGGTCTTGATGATACAACTAAAATTGAACTAAAAGACGTACTAAAACAATTGGATGAAATATCGAAATTATCAATTATCAATAATTCTAATCTAGTTGTCTATAATCATCAAATAACATCAAAATATATTCTTGGTAAATATAAAAAGTTTTCAACAAAAACTAATTTTTTTATCTGTTTCTTTCTTGATTTTTATTCTAGATATGAGTTATACAGTCTATGATTATATTCAATCATTTTGTTTTCCTCAATTACAACAATTCAACGAACAAACATTTGAATATCGCTCAACAACAATGATACCGAATCAATTGGAACAAATTATTTTTGATGTTCGCCAGTTTTTTGCTCAACACCGTCTTATTTATTTTACTGATTCATCATCGATTGATACCTATTTATTTTTATCATTGCCACAATTATTATGGCAACCACCCAATCGTTATTCAGCATCAATGTCAAATCACTTAAAACCTTATTATTATTCAATACCAATCGCATTACATAAACGTTATAAACATTTTTTTCATGATTTATTACAAATTAAAATTCAACTTGATGGTAAAGATCTTTTACATATAATTGAACAAATTAAGAAAAAATATGGTACAAAACCCATTGACAAAGATGATTTAACTTTACTACAAAATATCTATACACTTTTGATCGAACAATATTCAAATGTTTTCAATACAAATACTGATTTATATTTGCCTAATGTTGATTGCGTTCTACATCCAGGCTCACAATTGTGTTTTTATCCATTTGAAAGAGAACAAATATGTAAGTTGAAAACACCTAACGATAAACAATTCACTTTCTGTTTTGACATTTTACTCGAGTATTTTATTGCTCTTCTATTTTTTCGCTTTCTAATCTTTTCCCAGCCCCGTCATAGAAATTTTTCTCACGTACGGGTACGTCATCCGTAACAAGTAAACTATTTTTCTTTCTATCGTTATATAATGCGTAATGAAACCTTTTAGACGATCGATCAAATATATAAATCAACACATATCTTAGAATGATCATGAGCATCTTTTACGGTGTATATTGCTTAATTTTGATTGAGCATATTTTACAGGCAAATGTGATGACTAGTGGTTTGCATTATTATTGTTATAGCCTTGTCGCTGTTATTACTTTCTTCGGTAGCATATTTGAAAGCAAGAATACATTTCTTCTTTTTATTCTGTTTGCCATCATATCGCGCCTGAAGCTACCGACAGAAATAACGTTGGTTGTTGTGGTTGCAATCTAGCCGCCTTTAAAGGCACCCACCAAACGAACGAAGTATATTTTGTGTGCTGTTATTACGTGATCTGAAAGCGGCAACATGCCATCGAAACAAATAAACCACAGTGATCGTACAATTTCCAGCGAATTTTCATCTATGACAAACTGTAAAGAATATAAGCTTATTCATTTTTCTTGTTTTATTCCTCGTTTGTTTATCGGCAGACGGCATTTTACCTGTATTTATCATATGTCCCGTCCTTTTTGCTTTCGATTTACCTGTCTCTTTTTTTCTTCTTTTTCGCTATATTCATTTTCTTTTTCGCTATATTCATTTTCTTTTTTTTTCTTCATTTACGTAGCTTCAACTACAACTCCATCTGCACAGGACGAGCATTACGTGCATCCATCTGTTGATAGACGTGTGTGCGTCAAGGCCGGTGTACAAACACGAAAAAATCCAACAGTTACTGCAACTGTATCATCAACATCTCCTATAAACAACAGTTCATCGATGAACATGATGAATAATACAAATTCGTCACGTTCATTTCCGAAAATATTTGGTAACAAAAAGTTAGAATCAATTTTAGCACGTCTCGATGATCCACATATCAATCCTCAACTTGTTGAAACTATGGACGAGTCAAATCCCAATATTGTCTTAGAATTTCTACTTGAATCAAATAAGTATACGCAAATAACAAATAATTTATCCGATGATGATATCATAATTATATTAAAATATTTCAATGACTTTTTAACAAATGGTTATCAAGGTAATTTTCAAAAACTACGTGAGTTAAAAATCTATAAACCACTTTGGGGTATTGCATCAACTGATGATAAACAACAACAAGCGATTCAACAATGTTGTTCATTGGAAAAATTTGCTCATGTCTATATCTTAAATGAAGAATGGTCAAATTTAATTCGACGTTCATTCAAACGAAATTTTTTTACCGAACAATTTCATGAGAAGAAAACTGTTTTATTAATGCAAAAGAAAATTGAACCATTAAGTAAAATATTTTCACATATACGATTTAACATTTTATCGGATTTGGAAATATTTTTACAATTATGTTTACCACATTTTAAAAAATTAGATGCTAAATCTCAAGTGAATCTATTGAAATATTTTATTGATGATATTGATGAAAAATTATTTCAACATGAACGAGATCAATGTAGAAAACAATTACATGATCATTTGGAAATTTTTACACAAACATCAAATAATAATATCGATCATTTATATAAACCGTCAATAGGAATTTCAAGATCATTGGTAAATGAAAATACATACATTTGTATTTATTTTTGATATTGATATTTTTATTTTTCAGCGTGATCCACCAGAAGTTTGTCCAATCTTTGAATTATACGATCCAAATATAAAAGATATTCGTTCAATCTTAGGCGTCCATCATTTTCCCGATGACCAATTTCATACACCAACAATGTTAAAGTTTCTTAAAGAATGTGGCCTACGTTCTTATATTTCAACAGATAAATGTAAACAAATAATGGAATCAATTCAACTCAATGTTAAACAAGCCGGATGGACCAATGACCAACGTAAACGTTCCAGATATTTATATGAACATTTACTAGCAAATTGGACGCGTTATGATAATTCTGTATTAGGCTGTAAATTTCTTGAACCACATCAAATGAGTTTTGAAAATGATGATCTGTTGAAATTACACGAACAATATACAACTTGTGATGAAACAACAGCTAATGAACATCTTCAGTATACATGTATTAAATTAAGTGATGGAGAATTATTACGAGATGCAAAATTATGTTGGACATCATCATATCTATTACCCGACTTTGTTTCACTTGAACAATATAATGATTTTAATGATAAAAAAGAACCGATTGATCAAAATGCAATTGACTTTTTTAAATTAAATAAAAAGCCATCTTCTTCATTAGTGAAAAAGAATTTAGCTAATTTAGCAAAAAAATTCTCATTAAAATATCATAAACTCAAGTATGTCACGATTGTAAATATCTAATTTGAAATGTTTATTTTTTTCTTTCTAAAATTTTTCAGCGACATAAGATCACCTACAACAACAATGACTCAACAGGGTATTGACGATATATTGGTGTCAATTTTAAAAAATATTTATCATTATTTTCAATATGAAATTAAATTTGAACGTCGAGCAGAAATCTATAAAGAATTCGAAGATATTGAATGCATCTATTCACGTACTCGACGTCAATTTTTACAAGGAAAATATTTTTGTTTAAATTTACCAATGAACGATGAAATACCGCCGTTTTTATTTTCACTAGATAAAGATTTTCATGAATATAAAGATTTTTTTCTACAAGTTGGTGTTCAAGCTGAACCACACCCGATGTTATATGGTGACATATTAAGAAAATTATCTAAAGTTTGTGATCAAGATTATTTGAATTCAAATGAACTTTGTAAATCATTGAAAGCTATGGAATGTTTTTTTAAATACTTGGCAACAAACTCGACTATTAACTCACAAACAAAGCTACCTGGTAAGAGTTCGTTTTAAATTGAATGACTTTCCTGGAAGGTGACGACCTTTCAAAACTTTAAGAGGATACTAACGGACATGTTCTTGAATGTTTAAATGGGATTCTTTTTTCTGCATGTTGTTCGCGATAGAAAAACAAAAGTCAAAATTACACGCAAAGTAGACTTTTCAATTTTTGGTACAAAATATACTTGTTACATCGAGTGCATTGCAGATTCAGCAATGCCTAGTCCTGTTAAAAAGATGAACATAAATATTACATCAAATGAAATGCATAGGCCACGCTTGATGATGGTATAATACATTGTTTTGTTTCATAAATATGAAATTCTTGCATGTGCATGATACTATGAACTGTAATTTCAGATGCATATGAATAAGTATTGATGAGTTCTCTAAGGAAAACAGCAATTTCAATGTATTAACCATTTCCCAATAAGACAAAACATAAACAAAATGATTTGACTATTGATTATTGAAAGTTCAAATATAACTATGAGGATTTCTCTTAGCTTTTTATGTACAGATAGCTTTCTATCGAATTATATTTTCTTAAACTTGGTATTGTGTGCAATATTATTATCCTAAAACGTCCGAAAAAAAAACGAACAGTTACTTACGTCAGACCAAAAGAATAATCTCGAACGGCCTAAAAATATATCTTATGCGATATCTAATTATTCGAGATCATCACAAATTTAAATCTCAGTCGTAAAAGAAAAATTGTATTTTCTTTGAATTTCTAGGTCTTTATCTTGTATCGAATGATTTTAAATTAGTCAAATCTAATGAAATAGTTATTATGGATGATAAAACAAAACTTGATTATATGACAAAATTGGTTAACGACAAATTTATGTTTAATCCAAACGAACGTGTACTTAAACTTGATTCAATGCCTGCATCAGCACCAAAACATAATGGTTCAACAGCACATATAAAAGAAATTATTGAAAAGATCTATGTTAGTCAACGGCCAACATTATTTACACAAAAATATGAAGAATCATTTTCAATCACAATACCAGAAGATGAAGAATCTCATCGTCAACGTTTTCTCTATAATCTTGAAAGAAAATATAATCAACTATTAGCATCGCGCCATTTACATCGTTGTATGGCACGAGTTATAGCAAATCATGTTGCACGACAACCAAATCCAAAAATAATATCTATGGATGATGTAGAAAATTTAATACGTCAACGTTTAATATATATTAAAGTAACATGCGTTGAATATCTTGAAACAAATTTAGTTTATAAAAAAACGCAACAAAAAGTTGATCAATCAGTTGATGAAAAAGCTGTATATTTGGTTGCTGAAGGAGCAGAGAATATTATATTGTACATTAGTATGAAGCACACCGAACAACCCTATTTTACATTATGTTTAGCACGTGCATTGAGTCCATGTTTAGGTTTATCTGAATTGCAATTAGATAATTCTGTTATGGCTGCATTATTAGCCACCACAATAGGACAAATGTCCAAATTATTAAATTTGGTTAATGTTGCTGACGAAGAAAATATTTTATCCATATTGAAATTACAATATATACCATCGCCAGGTAATGTTTATGGTGATGATGTTGAACAATTACAAAAATTTAATATTGAAACACATCAAATATTACCAGGAGATTTATGTGTTTATCGTGTTAATGATTTATATATCTATTGTGAAGTTGAGAGTATTATCAAAGAATATACACAAGCTGAACAAGAACGATGGTCATGGAAAAATACGAATTCATCATCGCTTGTACCATCATATGCATTTATATGTCGAATTAATGATGGACAAGATACAGAAAGAATTGAAGCCACTAACTTCTATGTACTTGAACATTGGTCGAGAATATTTGATGCTGTTCATACAAAACCAGTTGATGAAAGAGAAACATTTAAATCATCGGCATCAAGTTCAACAACAAATGGACACGGTAAGTTTAACATTGAAAAAATAAATGCAAAGAGAAAATATTTGAATGAGATTGAATGATATATTTTACTGAATAATTCATTGTCTTAGTTGATATTACATTCGGGTCTCTCCGTTTGCTCATAGATTCATTTTTTAATTAAAACTCAATCTTACCATATACTGATCGTGCATTTCTTTTTCATCTTTAGGAAAAACTTCCAATGATGATAAAGATAAATTTAATGGTGACAACTTTTCTTATTCATCTCAACGCTCAGGAAAAGCAACTAATGATAGTACTGGTTTTACTAGTGATCCAGGATTTCCAAATGGTTTTGACAGTTCAAAAGCCTATCGTCAAACATCAGCTGATAGTGATTCATCAAGTAATATGACATCAGAATCTCAATCGGAATCGGAATCAGCACAAACAAGTGAGCAAGATGCTATTGACAAAACTGAATTAGAATTGACAAAATCTGAAATCTATAATTCTGTTCGACAAGCATATCAATTAACAGGCCAAGAACGTAAAAAGACAGTGAAAAAATTATTATTAAAATGGCATCCTGATAAAAATCCCGGCCGTGAACGTTTTGCTGCCGAAGTATTTAAACATTTACGGAAACAAATTGATCATTTTGAAAATGATCCATTAACATCATTTTTCAATACATTCAATAATTTTCATCCATCGCCATTTTCTGCTTCCGATCCGAAATTTAGTTGGAATAAAAGTTCAAGCACACATAAAACAAATCATGCTTCAGCATCATCAGCCACAGCTGATGATCGTTTTGGTAGTTTTGATAATTTAAATAAAGATCCTAAAGATGACACAAAACGTAGTTATCAAGACATACCTAATGGTGCTGATCACGATGCAACAGATAATACTGATACGAATGGAAATGCAAACAAAAGTCGTTTTAGTCCACATCGTTCATCATCATTTCGTACGGCACGTGAAGAATGGCAATATCGTCGTCAGCATGGTTTTCAACGACGTCATGGATTTTTTAGTACCACTGAAGAAAATCCAACGGGTAGTACTACAAATGGTACGAATGCTCACACGTCATCATCAACAGGAGGAAGTAAGTTTCAGTGTTTCTTATTGTACTGTTATTTTGTGTTCGAAATCGTACATATTCGAACCTGTTCATTGTTGACAATAAAAAGTTAACATCTGTTTTTTATTTATTTTTAATAACAGCTGAAAGTCCAAATGCACGTCGTAAACGTAATTATCAACAATCAGAAGCTGATCGATGGCTCAAACAAGCTCAACATGATCTTGAAAGTGCATACAATGATATGCATTCATCAACTAGTCAAGTTGCTTATGATTGGGTTTGCTATAAATGTTATCGGGTATGAAAATCATTAAAGACACAAAATCAAAACTAAACAAATGTTGTTTGTATTTTAGGCGGCTGAAAAAGCATTAAAAGCTTACCATTATTATAGAGACACTGGAAAAAATATGACAGCGGACATTCCTGGTTTATTAATCGGCGTTGAAAATGATGTTCGAGAAATAGGATATAAATTATACAAATGGATTGGAGATCCAAATCGAATGCAATATCCTAATGCAGCGCGATTCGCTAAAATTCCAGCTGAAGTATTCACTGTTTGTAAGTTTATTTTAACATTTTTTCGAGCTCCGTATCCATTTGAGAGAAAAAAAAGCAGGATTTCCAGCATGCAAAACAGAGCACTTTCTCGTCAAATAGTATTGTAAAACTTCAGAGTAGTTTTTCGTGGATCCTTAATCTTACCAGCCGTAAAATATAATAATACTCGCATGCATTATTTTCGCATCCTTATTAAGGTCGATTATATTTTATTTTCTATCCATGCAGTTATTCAGAAATTCAGCTAGCTTATCTAAATTTTCAATCAAGATTCTTTTATCTATATAGCTTTTTTTAACTGAAACCTGTATTCTCCCATTGAACGAAGTCTAATCCATAATTGTTATATATTTTAGCTCAAGCCGAACAAGCAATTGACTATACAAAAGAATTATTAAAGAAAATCGAAGATATATTGTATCCATGAAGAAAAATAATCGATCGGTCTTCCTTCCTCATCTCTAGTCAATTTTTTTTCGATTCTTTACAGTATGCGCTCGCATTCATATTGTTGTGACGTATCGTTCCTCATTTTTCTTTCTTACTTTCCTATTTCTGTATTTTCCTAATATACATGAGAGATGCTCCAATCATCTCTTTCTCTCTCTTTTTTTGTTATACATTATTTTTTTGCAGTTGCTGTTTGTTTTTCTCGATTCTCTTTTTTTTTTTATACACACATGCTCTGGCATTAGCAACATGCTTATTAACAAGATTAAAATAAGAAGAGATGAGGGGGATTGATGTACAGAAGTTATATTCATATTTCTCGTTTTCTATTTACATTCTTTTTTTCTCTTTTTTTCCTTTTTCATACTTTATTATTAATACTCTCTAGTTAACGTTTACTAGTGATATGTTTACTTGTGTGGGCCTGTTCTTTTTTCTTTTCATACACTGATCGAAATGCAGACATCATAAACATGTTCGTGTGTGATTAGAAAAACAAATAATAATAATAATTCGTTCTTATGGAGTTTCTTTTTTCTATTCGCGAGTGTGTCTTTGGTGATGATGTTAAAGTCGGAAAATAAAAATAATAGGAAATCATTGAAATACAATCTGTTCTTTATGTATCGATGGAAAATAATTTGATCAGAATTTATTTGAGTCGATTTTTTTTATAATATTTTTACAAGAAAAAATGTTCAAAGAAACAATGATCATCTGTACAGTTTGTTTGTTCGAAATACACTTACTCGCATCAATTCCCGGCTACTAAATAGATAAGAAAATGGTCAACTCGAGATGTATCAGGTAACTGTGTGTAAGAATTAAAAATTAATCAATTTTCTTCTGTCGTCAAGTACTATATCATTATGACAATGATTTTTAAGCGCGGAAAATTTCTTTTCTTTTATTGTTTATTTATTTGGAAATGACAAACCAATCTATCGTTTAATATGGCTAAAAAAAAGTTGAAACCAAAATCAAACAGTAAAGTATCTAAACGACGTACGTCAACAGTGGGCAAAAACAAGGCAAAAATTAAAAAGATTTCAACTGGTCGTGGTGGTGTAAACAAAGGTGGTGTTAAAAAGGCGAAAAATAATAAAAAAAAAGTTATCAAAAAAAAAACAGTTCCAAAACATTCAACAAAAAAAGCAAATTTAAAAAATCCTAAAAAACCTTTGAAATCAACTGGACCTAAAAATAAACAAAAGCATCTGCATAAAAAAGTTAAAAAGAAAACAACAAAAAATAAACCTAAACACTCGCGAAAACCATCGAAAATAAAAACGAAACATGTTAATACACCTAAAAGAATAACGCCAGTGGAAAAAGACGAAATTCCTATTATTAAAGGATCAGTATGTATAAAATTGATATACTCCTTAAATATTATTCTTATCATTTAATAAAGGAAATTATACAAGGTCGAAAACTTGGAGAAGGTGGTTTTGGCAAGGTTGTTGAAGGTATTCTTATGATAAACAAGTAAATGTTTCTTTTACTGATTAGCTTTAGGTGTTTTTCGAGGCCGAAAAGTAGCAGTTAAAATTCCCTTGCGTAAAGAAGACTTTGAAGAAGCGTTAATTGAATTTAAAAAATTAAGAAATTTTCGTCATCGAAATGTTGTTGAAGCTATTGCCTATTGTAGAGATCCAGCAATGTTTGGTAACATATGAATATAATTCATTTTGCTTCTCTCTCTACTATCATTCATACTATTTAGTTATGGAATTTATGGCTGGTGGAACATTAAATAGTTGGTTACATGATGGGAACAATAAATCTATACCACTGAGTTGGTTTCAAGGTATTGTTTTGTTAACTGACATAGCTCGTGGTGTTAAATTATTACATGATGCATCATTACTTCATGGAGATTTATCGTCCAATAATGTATTACTAAAACGTGATCATACAACAGCAAAAATATCTGATTTTGGTACAGTACAAATGATTGAGAAGTATAAATGAAGAAAAAATTAAATTATTCTTTCATAGAAAATTTTCATTTAGATATATAAATGCATCAGTAGCTGGTCAAATCGATGAAGCTGTAGGCGCATTTCGTTGGATGGCACCACAACGATTACGCTTTTCTAAGCCGGATAATTATTCTGATGTATGGTCGTATGGTTGTATTTTGATTGAATTTTTAACTCTTCCTCGAAAAATACCATTTACTGCAGCAAGTACTGCTCAACTGATTGCAAAACTTGAGAATTATGTCGAAGGTGATATAAGAGATTTACGTATTGATCTTGGTGAAATGGATCCAGAAGGTCCACCATCACTTCAAGATTTGTAAGAATTTCCAGAGAAAACCATTCGATTAATTAGAGTTGTTTTAGAATGTATCGATGTTTAAAAGCGAAACGAGTCGAACGACCGGACTACGGACAAATTGTTGACGAGGTATTTAATAAAAACAAACACCTATTGAATAAAAATATATCGAATCGTTATACTGTGCTAAATACATTTTGTTTTGTAGCTTGAAAACGTTCATAATTGGTTAAAAAAGAAGTATAATAGTGGTCAAAACAAAATGAAAACAAACAGTAAACGTATACATTCACCAGATATTCGGACTTGGCGTTAGAGTTGTTTTCTTTTATACGTCGTTAGCGTTTGCAAGCTTAATTATTACCAAATAAAAACGACTATCTGTAATATTATGTTCCAACCATATTGATTATAGAAGAGCTAACCATACATTAAATTGAATTAGTAAGACTTTTTATCAAAACATGTTAAATCGAGATATTAAAAGAACATAAAACACATAGAGATATATCTGATTATGTTTTTCTCGTCACATACTCGACATCATGATTCTTTGCGATGATGATAATCTCACGTTCGAAATGTTTGAAACATGCTGTTGAGGTTGGACAGAGTTCGCCCTCAGATAATCACCGAAGCCTGAAAGCCTTTAGACGTAACATGAAACGTATACGAAATGTAACAATATTTCATCTTTCAACCGATAGCTGTATGATTTCTGTTGTATGTCTAATATTTTCTTTTTCTCCTATACGTGTAACCGTAAATAAAGTTTGTTTTATTAGCATGTGAAGCTTTGAAAAAAAAACGAATGAAGTAAATAAAGGAAAAGTAAATAAGAAAAAGGATAAAAATAGCAATGCATTAATGAAACGGCTAATATAATAATAAAATGAAAAGACAAACTCCATCAATATATTTATATATATATTTGCTTATTTAGAATATTGAATAAGATCATTAATTTGAACATTATATCCGTCATTTCTATCAATAATTTTATGTGTTTGTGCTACTTCTGGAAAACGATTATAAAAAATAATTTTAACTACTTCTGGCCAGTTAAATTTTTTTCCATTGCCTAATTGATGATTTGAATTTTGATGTAAATAACTTTCAAGTGTTGTCAATAGACGTTCACGTTCTTTCAATTGATCTTGAGCTGTGTGAAAGTTTCGATCGTGTGCTGTATTGAATAGAATATCATTCAATGGACGAGGAATATCTTGTAAACCAAAATGAAGAAATAATGGACGAACTTGAGATTGAATTTGTTGAATTTGTTCCTGCTGGCCTTAATTATATAGAACATAAAATTTGTTCTTAAATATTATTTATTATTTTTATACACTTACTCATTCCGGTTAGATTAATTTTTGTAGTTGTTGTGGACACTTTTCTGTCTGCAAAAAAAAACAAAAACAAAATGATCAATAGTCGTTTTATCTTTTTTCCCCGTTAGGTCACACAATAGTTTAATTCAACATCATATATATAAATCAATAAAAGATCGATGAAAGTAGTAAGAATTACTAAATAAACAAATTGATTTCAACTCTGTGTTTAATACATAAAGTCACACTCATAGAAGTTTCTCTTAGATGATTGCTGTTCGTAGACGAGGAAAAATTCTTTAGAGCTTTGAATTTATTTTGAAATATACCTGTAATAATAACATCGAAGTTCATAAATTGTGTTCGTACTCTCTGCTTTATGTTTGCAACATATCGCCCAGCATGTTCATATTGAGCATTTTTAATTATTAAACGATGATTGCCATTTGCAGATGATTCAATTTGATAATGTTCATTGGCTTTTATTTGTTGGTCATCTCTTGTCCATATAACTTCAGGTAACGGTGCACCTGTTACTTGACATTCAAGTGTACATGAGCCACCTTGACTTACATGAATATCGACTGGTTCAGATGATTCATCAGGTACATCTAATTAATTCATATGAAAGAAATTAACTGTTTTTTTTTCTACTTAACTATTTTAATTTACCTCGAACAGTAACTTGACTGATCAATTCAGTTGTGCTTGATATACTTTCAACAACTGCCTAGAAGAATATTTGAATAAGAAAACGAACAAAAAAAGAATTCGTTTTCCATTACTTTATACGTTCCTGCATCGCTTAATTGAACATCAAGTAATTGTAAAGTATGTGCTGGCCCATCATCAATAATAATAATATGATTTGGTTTTGGATAAATTTGTTTATCATTATGAAACCAAATACATGGTGGTAATGGAGTGCCATTAGCTGTGACAGTAAGTTTAACGTCTTGTCCACGTGATATATCAAAATCTTTTAATTTCTGTTGAGTAGTTGGTGGTGCTAAAAAGAAAATGAAATCAAAAATAAAGCTTTCAATTTTTATTTTAACTTACGGAGAACTTCAATATTTATTTCAACTGTATGTGTACCATATTGATTTTCAACTTTACATTCATATTTGCCTGTATGCTTAACTGTTCCAATTGGAATAATAAATATTGAATGCCCAGTGGTTTGATCAACTTTAATATCAAAACCATCTTTATTTGATAGAACTTTTCCATCACGTAACCAAGTTACTTTAGGTGTTGGATGCCCTTTAGCCATACATTCAATAGTTAATTTTTCACCTGTTTTTATTTGAATAAATTTCGGTAGTGCTTGCGTAAATACGGGTGCTTGTTGTCCAATAACTCGAATTATTTTCGTACGTACCGTACTTGTACTATTTGTAATGACGGCTTGATATTCACCTAGATAACGTTCATGAAATTGATGAAATACAATACGATAAAAACCATCTTCAGTAACAATTAATTCATAATCAGATGATTGCGATGATAGTTCTTGACCATTTAATAGCCATGTTACTTTTGGTTTTGGTTTACCTTGTGCACGAATTTCTAAGAAAAACTCTTCGCCTATTTTAGCTGTATTGGCACTTGGAGAATCATTTAAGTCCGATAATAATTGTGGTTTTTGTTCTTTAACATTTATGACAGTTTTTATTTCTATGCTTCCACCTTTATTCTTAATTACTATTGTATAGACACCTTTATCTTCTGGTCGTAGGTCATCAATAACTAATTTATAAGAATTAAATTCATCAGTTACAACACGAATACGACTATCGAAGTGAATTTCTTGAGAATCTTTATACCAAGTTACTGTATTATGTTCACCACTGAGACGAATAGGTATCTGTGCTTGTTCACCAATATTAAATGTCATATTGGGTTCAAGTTTAGACTCTAATTTAGGTTTCGTATGAACGTTCAATGTTGTGGTTGTTTCGACTTTTTCAATACCATTATCAATAATAGCCGTATATTTACCTACATTGGTAGTATCTAATTTAGAAACAGTTAATGTTATTTGATCTGGATGATCTTTTGATGGTTCGATTTTATGTTTTTGCGTTGGTTTAATTGGTTGACCATTGAAGAGCCATGTAACTTTGGGTTGAGGAAGACCTAAATAAATTAAAAAATACTGAATGTATACTTTTTCCTGCCCACTGTTCGGCTTACCGTGAGCTTCAACCGTTAAGTTCACTTGTTCACCAAAGATGCCATCCGTTGTTTCTGGTAATTTTGTTTTAACAACAATCGGTGCTGTAACATTGATTTTAACTGGTTCAGTTTCTTGTTTACCTAATTTATTCTTTACAATTACTGTATAAATACCTTCATCTTCTTGTCCAACATCAGTTGTAATTAATCGATAAACTTTGGTTGCTTCATCATAAGTTATTTGTGTTTTAGCTGATGGTTTTATTTCTTTACCATCTTTCATGAAAACAACATCAGGTTTTGGTTTTCCATCAATAATATATTCAAGTACTAATGTTTCATGTTGTTTTAGATCTGTTTTATTTGGTTTCGATGATGGTTTAATTGATACATTGTCAACTGTCGTCACTTGAACATTTGAATCAATATGTCCTAGAGAATTTTCAATATGTATACGATAATTTCCTTCATCATCAGGTCGAACATTTTTTATTTTTAATTCATAAGTTGTCATATCATTTGGATTTGGTACAATCTCATAATGATCCCCATTGATTGGCATATGAACTTCATTTTTATATAGTTTAATAGTTGGTTTTGGTGTTGATAAGCATTTAAATGTAATAGAAGCTGTTTGATTTAAATGTGCTTCGCATGTTGGTTGTGGTTTTTGTAATAGTTGTGGTGCTGTTTCAACTTGTAATTGAACTGTTTCTTCAATCGGTGCTCCAACTGGATTTTCTAAACGTAATGTTATTGGACCAGAATGTTTTGATGTTGTTTGATGTACAGTTAATACACTTTTACCAGTTGTTGTGTCTGTTTTAATTTCAAAGCCATCTTTAGGTGTCAATGGTTTTCCATCGCGTAGCCATGTCACTTTTGGTGTTGGATTTCCATCAAATTCACATTCAAAATGTGCTGGTTCGCCTTCTTTAACTGTTACTAACGATTGTGGTTTCTTTTTCAATTCAGGTGCTTTTTGTATTTGTACTTTAATCTTCTTCGTTTTTATTTGTCCAACGTCATTTGTAATAACAGCTTGATATTCACCACTATCTTTTGGCTTAGCATTTTTGATTAATAATGTGTAAGTTTCTTCTTCTTCAACAATTTCATAGGTTTCTTCAACGGTTTCAATGATTTCTTCACCATTCTTAAACCATTTAACTTTAGGCTTAGTGCCCGATGCTTGTATTGTTAATGGGATTGTTTCACCTGCTTGAATGGTTACATCTTTGATAAGATCGGATTTAAGAGTGGGTTTAATTTGTTGAACATTTAGATTTAATTTAACTTCTGTCGTACCACCAACATTTGTTGCTTGACATGTGTACGTTGCTTTGTCGGTCATTTGAGTAGATTTAAAAACAAGCGTTTGTGTGCCATCGGGTTCCGTATGTGGAGTGACATCATCCGATGGTTTCAATGGTTGGCCATCTTTAAGCCAAACAATAGTTGGTGTAGGTGAAGCGGAAATTTTACATTGTAATTTAGCTGGTTCACCAATGTTAACATTAACATCTGTAGGTTTACCTATGAAAAATTGTTCAACAAAAGCAAAATTAGTTCCTGATGAGATTCATGTACATTTCCAAAGAACATATTATGTGTAAGTTGAGACTTTTTTGTCACTCTCATCTTTCGTTACTTTCAATCTTAGAAACTGAAGATTACCAACATAGGACTTTTTTCAAATAGCTTATGTGTTTCCACTGCTGGAGTCAATAAAAGGATGAAGAATAAAATTTAAAAAAAGAACTAAACCCAATCGTTCTTTAATTTGCAAACGGGGTCATTTTAAGATGCTTGCTTTATTTTTCCAATGTATTTTTCTTACCTTCAACTTTAGGTTTGATACAAACATCAACTTTTGATTGAGCTTTAATAGTTTCAAGACCATTTGATACAACGACTTCATAGACACCTGTATCAGCAAGATCAGCTTTCGGGATAGTTAATCTAGTAAGACTTCCTTTTGATTCAATTTTGTATTTAGCTGATGGCGTTATTTCTTGTCCATTGAAAAGCCTAAAAGAGAACAAATAATGATTCTCTGTCTGTTTTTTGATTTGATCAAATTTACCATTTAATTGTTGGTTTTGGTAATCCTTCACAATCAACATCAAGTGTAATACTTTGTCCAACTTGTGCTACAGTATCTTTAAGTGTTGTATTAAATTTCAATGGTGATGCAATTTGAATTTGTGTTTGAGCTTCACGCGTCTGTAATTTATTTTTGCATACAACTTTATAAATACCCTGAATAAGATAAAAAGTCAATTATCAATTAAAAATTATAAAAAAACAAACAAAAAAACAACAATTTAATTACTTTATCATCTGGTGTAGCTTCTTTAATGGTCAATGAACAAGTACCATCTGGGTTTTTCGTTATTTCAAAATGATCAGACGGTTTAATTTCTTTGCCATCTTTGGTCCATGTAACTTCAGGTTGTGGACGTCCATTAACATGACATTCAAGTTTAATTGGTTTACCAACTTGAATTGTTTGTTGTTCCGGAAAGTCACATTTAATATCGGTTGGCTCAATAACAGTTAATTTACATTGAGATTCTTGCTCTCCGAGAGGATTTGTAATAACAACTTTATAATTGCCTTCATCTTCTGGTTTGACATTAGGAATAACTAGTTCGTAAGTATCATCATTAGCTTTAGTACCGACATTTTTCAGTTCAACATTATTTTTAAACCATTTCACTGTTGGCTGTGGACTACCTGATGAAACAACTGTTAAACGTAATTCTTTACCTAAAACACATTCTTGATCGGTTAAACCTTTGGATATAGTTGGTGCAGCTGTAACATTTAATTTAAATGAAGTTTCAGTTGATCCAATAGGATTTTCAAGTTTACAAGTTAATGTACCACTTTGATCAACACGTGCATTTTTAACTTGTATGATCAAACGATGATTGACAGCATCAAATGTTTGTTCAATACCATCTTTGGGTGTCAATGGTTTTCCATCACGTAATAACGTTATTTTAGGTAATGGTAAAGCATCAATTTGACATTCGATTGTAGCTGTTTCACTTTGCTTAACTGTTGTATCTGTCGGTTTCGAAACGAATTCAGGTGATTCTTAAATGAGAACAAATAAATGAATAGAGTTCACAATAATACTCAACTTACTTGTAACAGTAACATTCGTCTTTTTCGTTTTAACTTGTCCACCAGGATTTTGAACAATTGCACTATATTCTCCTTGATCTTTTTCTGTTGCTTTATCAATAATTAATTTATATGTATTATCATTTTCTTCAACCATTTTAATACCAGCTTGATTCGCCGGAATTTCTTCATTCCCTTTAAACCATTTCACTTGTGGTTTTGGTTTACCATCAGCTTGTATTATTAAAACAATAGGCTCATTTTTCGTTACATTGAGTGTTGGCTGTAAATCTGATTTAAGTTTTGGTTGTACAGCTGTTACATTCAATGATATTTTTGGTGATTCAATTTCGCCAGCTTTATTTGTTGCTTTTAATGTATATGCACCTTTATCATCTAATTGAGTATTATCAATAATTAACGAAACGCCATCAGGTTTCTCAACAATTTTCATACGTTTATTATCGACAATCAATGGTTCACCATTTTTAAACCATTCAATCTTTGGCTTGGGTAAACCAGATAATTTAACATTTAATTCAGCTGGCTCATCAATAACAGCTTGAACATCTTGCACTTTACCATCAATTTTAGGTTTCATAAGAACATCGACATTACACGTTGATGTTACTGTACCTTGCGGATTTGTTGCTACAATTTTAAATTGTCCACCATCGGTTAAATCGACACGATTGACCGCTAATGTTTGTGTACCATCAGGTTTTGATTCAAGTTTTTGTTTTGTTGTTGATTTAATTTCTATATCATTTTGATACCATTTTATTGTTGGCTTTGGTATACCCTGGCAACGACATGTTAAAATCAGATTTTGTCCACTAATTACGTCTGTATCTTGTAGTTTATCTACAACTGCTAGTGGTGCTGTAACAACTAGATTGGTATGTTCTTCAATGGTTTCAGCAGGATTTTTAGCTCGTATAGTATATTTGCCATGATCTTCTTCTTTAACATTTGAAATAATAAGACGAACTTCATCGGTTTTATCGTCATATTCAATACGAAAGCGAGCTTTATCATCTAATGTTGTTACATCTTTCTTATCTTTTAAGAATGTGATTTCAGGTTTTGGATGTCCGGAGACTTTACAACGAATAATAACTGTTTCATCTTGTACAGCTTCAATTTTTGGTTGTAAAGAAGAAATTACAGGTGCTACGTGAACATTTAATTTCGATTGACTTGTTATTTCACCTTCACTATTTTTCATAACAACTTTATAAACACCTTCATCTGTTGGTTTACTTTGTTTAATTTTAAGTTCATAGGTGTTTCCTTCTTTAGGTGTAATAACTTGAAAGTGTTGATCATTTGTAGGAATAGGTTTATCATTAAAATACCATTCTGGTTTTGGTGCTGGACTTCCGCTTGCTTCAATAGATAATGTTACATCGTGTCCTTGAACAATATCTTCATCTTTTAACTGTTTATCTACTTTTGGTTTTGTACGAACATCAAGTTTAACATCGTGTGTGATTTTTCCAGCAGGATTTTCAACTTGACATGTTATTGTACCCGTATGTTTATTAGCATCAACTTTTCGTAATGTCAATGAAGCCTTTTGAGTTGCTGCATCAAATGTTATTAAGCAATCAGCAGTAGGCGTTAAAGGTTTTCCATTTAATAACCAAGTTACTTTCGGTGCAGGAAATCCAGAAAGTTGAGCTTCATATCTCACATCTGTACCTTGACTAGCAGAAGCATCGTCAGGCGCTTTAAGAAAAACTGGAACTTGTTGAACAGTAACTTTCACTTTTTTTGTTTTAATAACTCCAGCAGTATTTTCAACCGAGGCTTGGTATTCACCTTGATCATTGACTGTAGCCTTTGGAATACGAAGAATAGCAGTGGCAGTTGTATCACCAGGTTTATTCGATTGTTCAATTGTAACTGGACCAACTTCAGTTCCGTCTTTAAAGAATTTAACTGTTGGTACTGGCCGACCATCAACATCAAGACGATAAACAAGTTCATCGTCGACATTAATTATTTGTGGTTCAAGATCATTCTTTAATGTTGGTTTCACTTCTTCAAGAAAAACAAAAGTATATAAAGACTAAATCGATGAAAAATATGAATAATAATTTCATTTACCTTTAACGCTTAAATTAATTTTAGCATCAACTGATCCAACTTTATTTGTTGCACGTGCTATATATGGTTGAGAATCTTGTGTTGTTGCATTATTAATAATTAATGTTGATTGTCCACTATCATCAGTAACTATTTGAATACGCGAATCGGGTTTTATTTCAGTACCGTCGACTTTATGCCATGTGATGATTGGTTTTGGTGTAGCAGAAAATTTAGCACTTAATTTGCCAGTTTCATTTAATAAACATGAAACATCGGCAGGTTTACCTTCAACTTTTGGTTTGACTAAAATAAATATTTATTTTAAAAATTACTGTAAAAAAATAAAATTACTCCATACATACCACAAACATCAACATGAGCCTTTGTTTCAACTCGTTCTTTTCCATTATCGGCAACCACTTTATAAACGCCAATATCAGGCATATCAGCTTTATTGATTGTCAAAGTACTTATTGAACCTTTTGTATCGATACGAGTTTTTTGAGTAGATTTAATTTCATTATCATTGAAATACCTTTTTACAAAAAGAAAACGAACTCACGAAAAATCAAATGCGAATTTCTTTCTTTCAACATACCAAGTTAGTTTCGGTTTTGGTACACCGTCACATTCTACAGTTAGAACGCCATTCGAACCTTGTATAATATCTAAATCATTTAATTGACTATTAAATTTTAATGGAGCTGTTACATTAACATTTGCTGTTGAATCAACTTTGGAAACTTTATTTTTAATTGATAATGTATAAACACCAATATCTTCTTCTTTAATATTGGGTATTGTTAATATACATTCATCATCTTTACGTTCAATTTTAACATGATCTGATGGTGCTATTGGTTTTTGATCTTTTAACCATTGAACATCAACTTTTGGACGACCATGAACATTAGCTTTGAGAACAAGTGGTTGATTTAATGTTACTTCTTTATCAGTTAATAATGGTTCAATACGTGGTGTTTCTATGGAACAAGAAATAGTAAAAGATTAATTAAAAATCAATATTTTCTATACATACCAAGTGCTTTAAGTTGAACAGTTGTATCAGTTTCACCAAGAGAATTTTTAACTTTGATATGAACAGGTAATTCATCTTCCGATGTTACATCATGAATAATTAATTTTGATGTTGTTGGTGTTTCTTCAACGATTTCATATTTCTTCGATGGTTTGATTGGTTTATCACCATGAATCCTTTTGAAAAAGAAAAACAGAAAATATCAAATAGCTATGATGATGATGATGATGATGATGGTTTAAAAAAGAAATTACCATTCAATCTGTGGTTTTGGTGAACCAGAAACGTCAATAGTAAAGACAGCATCTGTATGTAATAATGCTTCGGTATCTGTTGGTTTTTTAGTAATCTTTGGTGCCGCTAAAATATAAATGAAGGAATAGAATAAATATTTTTGTTTTATAAATTTATCCTATTACTTTTAACTGAGCATAGGACAGTTTCTTCAACTGAGCCTGTTGGATTTTCTGCTTTAACAGTTATTTTACCATCATGTTTCGGTGTGACTTGTTTAATAGTTAATATTGATGTACCATTAGTTTGATCGGTTTGAACTTCAAAACCATCTTTTGGTGTAATTGGCTTTCCATCGAATAGCCATGTAATTTTCGGCGTTGGGAAACCATCAACTTTCGCATGAAATTCAGCTAATTGATTTTCGTTGGTATCAACAGGCTTTGGTTTTCCAAGAAATTCAGGTGATTTCGTAACAATTAATTTTCCTTTTTTCGATTTAATCGTTCCACCAGAGTTAGTTACAACAGCTGAATAATCACCTTGATGCTCTGGTTTACATTTATTTATTTTAAGAATAAATGTATCCGATGCAATGTCATGCACGATTTGAAAATCTTCATTTGTTGGAAGAATTTCTTCAGTATCATTTTTATACCAATGAATTGTTGGTTGAGGATTTCCTGTTGCTTTAATTGTAAATTGTGCTGGCTCATCGCGAGTAGCAGTAACATTTGTAATATCTGATAATATTTGTGGTTTAATTTCTTTAACAGTTAAATTGATTTTCGCATCAACTTCACCAACTTTGTTTGTTGCACGAGCAACGTATGGTGACGTATCTTTTAAATCAGTTTTTTTAATTTTAAGAACACTTGTACCATCAGGTAATTCACTTATTTCAATATTATCATTAGGCTTTATTGGTGTATTTAAGTCAGTTTCTTTATACCTAGAGAAAAATGTAGATTATGAAGTTGAAAAACATAACAAAAATCAAATTATACAAACCAAGTCACAGTCGGTTTAGGTATGGCACTGAATTTAGTACGTAATTCTGCAGGTTCATTAATTTGTACAGTTACATCGTTGACTTTACCTTCAACTTTTGGTTTAGCTAGAAACAAAAGAATTTGGAAATTAATGTATGTATATATACGTATATATTTCTTTTTGTTTTTGAAATTAACATACTGCAAACAGAAATTGTTGCTTTGGTTTCAACTGTGCCATCAGGATTTGTTGCAATACATTTATAAACACCTTGATCGGTTAGTTCAGCTTTTGGTATTGTTAATGTATGCATATTTTGTTTAGATTCAATTTTAGTTTTGGGAGTATTTTTAATTTCTTGATCATTAAAAAACCTATTTGAATAAGTAAAAGAACAATTAGTTAATATAATCTCTGTGGAAATCATATATTTATATGGTCTTGTTAATCATAGAGAAAGAGAGTACTATATTCTATTAAATTTTGCACAGATTTCCTTTATCAACCTTCTTCTAAATCCTTTAGAAATACGATAAAAAAGTAGCTCTTATATTCTAACTAAATCTAATTCATATATGATCGTATATCGATAAGATCTGTAGAGTTAGATGATGGTCAATGTTTATTCTCATCGTACATAATTTCAAAATTCCTTGTAGATTGTTTTTTTCACAAAAATAAAAATAAATAGAGGATTTACCATTTGACTGTTGGTTTTGGTATTCCATTTGTTTCCACAGTTAATATAAATGGCGATTGTAAAAGAACATCTTGATCTTTTAATGGTTGAGTAAATTCTAATGGTGCTCGAACAGTTAGCGTTGAATTAATTTCTTTTTGGCCAACTTTATTTTTAATTAATAATGTATATTTATCTTGATGATCTGTTTCATCGATTGATTTTATAAATAATTCGCATGTACCATCAGGTAAAGCTTTTACTTTATGTCGATCATCAGGTTTAAATTCTTTACCATTTTTAAGCCATGTTACTGTTGCTCTTGGTCGACCACCGATAACTTTACATTTAAGAGTAACATCAGAACCAATTGGCTGTGTTATATCACCAAATGGTTGATCAACGAATGGATGTTCAAGAATGGTTAATTGTGCAGTTGATTCAACATGACCGAGAGGATTTTCAGCCGATACACGATATTTACCTTCGTCTGTTACTTTAGCATTTTTAATAATTAATGTTTGAGTTGTACCATTCGTTTCAATGATATGTTGAGCATCGGGTTTGATTGGTACATCATCTTTTGTCCATGTCATTTTCGGTGAAGGTGAACCAGTGATATCAACAACAAAGCGAATTTCATTATCGATCATGATTTCTTGATCGGTCAATTTCTTTGTAACGACAGGTGCAGCTGAAAAACAAATTTTTTTTAAATTAATTTTTCTCCTCCTAAATCAAATTACTTTGAACATCAAGTGTAACTGGTGCATCGATTGTGCCAGCTGAATTTTCTACACGGCAAATAAGTTCACCGGCATGCTTCGAAGTTACACCTTTATGTTTCAATGTTATATGGCCAGTTTTAACATCGAATTGACTTTCAAAGCCAAGATCAGGTGTTAATGGTTTATCATTTTTAAGCCTGAAAATAACAATCATTAAACAAATTTTTCGTTGATCGCTAAAGAATTTTCTTACCATGTCACTTTTGGTTGTGGATAAGCATCAATTTGTGCATCAAATACAACTGATTGTCCATCTTTAACTGTTTGTGATTGTGGTAATTTGGTAAACTCTGGTTTTTTCTGTACAATCACTTTTGTTTTCTTTGATTTCACTGATCCACCTGCATTTGTTGCTTGCACAGAATATTCAGCTTGATGATCAGGTGAACAATTCTTTACAGTTAATGTATATGTTTGTTTATTATCAAAGCTAATTTGATAATCTTTATTTGTTGCTGGATTGATTTCATCATTACCTTTAAACCATTTAACTTGTGGTTGTGGTAGACCAGTTATTTCCACTTGAAGTTCTAATGGTTTATCTTTTTCAATGATTTGCTGTTCTTGTAAATCCCGAACAATGGTTGGTTTAACGGAATTAACATTCAAATTTATTTTGGCTTCTACTTCACCAAAACGATTTTTAGCTTTACATGTATATGTTGCTTTATCATCAAGATGAGACGAAGAAATTTTCAATGAATGAACATTAGGCTTATCTTCATGAAATGTAATGCGTTGGTCGGGTGTTATTGGAACATTATTTTTCAGCCAGGTTACTTCAGGTTTCGGAAGACCAGAAAATGTACATTCAAGCACAGCTGATTGTTCAACATTAACAGTAACATCATTGGGTTTACCTTCGACTTTCGGTTTATCTAAAGATTAAAAAGAAAACGACAAATTATATGAAACAACGAAATAATCAAAGAAAATACATACTGCCAACAGTGAGTGTACAAGTTGTTTCAACAGTTTTACCTGTACCATTATCAGCGACTGCTTTATAAACACCTATGTAGATAATAAAAGAATAGTGAAATAACATATGTACAGTAAAAAAACATCTACCAGCATCAGTTAGATCGGTACGATTGATTGTTAATGTGTGAATATTTTGTTTAGATGACATTGATTGTTTTTGTGTTGATTTAAGTTCAATATCATTAAAATACCTTCAAAACAAAAACTAAATTAAGACAATCTTTCGTTTCAATGATATAAAATTTTTACCATTTAACATTTGCTTTTGGAATACCTTGTATTTCACAAGTTAATGTACCATTTTGTGTACTGAGTACATCCGTATCTTGTAATGGTTGAATAAATTTCAATGGTGCTGTAACATTTAAATGGCCATCAGTTTGCTTTGAACCAACTTTATTCATAGCTACACAAGAATATAAAGCATGATCTTCTTCGTTGACATCTTTAATAATTAATTTAGCATTGCCATCTTTATCTATAGGTATAATGGAATATTTTTTCTCATCAGCTTTGATTTCTTTTCCAGCTTTTAACCAAGTTAATGTTGGTTGTGGTGTGCCAGCAACTTTAACAATTAATTCAACTGTTTCTTTAGCAATAACTGTTTGGTCTTTTAAACCAGAAACAAAATCTGGCGCATTAATAACATGAAGTTTTGCTTCTGTTTGAATTTGTCCAAGTTCATTGGATGCTTGTGCACTATAATTTCCATTATCATGCAAGGTTGTATTTTTAATAATAAGTATATATTGATTTGTTTGTGCATCATATGATATATCGTATTTATTTGGTGTTGATGTGATTGGTTGACCATCATGAAACCATTTAATAGTCGCTTGTGGTGATGATTGAAATTCACAAGTAAATGTTGCATCGTGATTAGTTACAACTTCATTATTCATTAATGGTTTGATGAGAATTGGTGCTGAGCGAACATTAATATCAACTGTTTCTTCAGCTGTACCAGCAGCATTTTCAGCTCGAACAGTAATTTTGCCGGCATGTTTTGTTGTTATATTTTTTACAACTAACGTTGTTATACCGGTCTTCATGTCATAGGTTGTTTCATAGCCATCTTTAACAGTAATTGGTTTTCCATTTGCTAACCAAGTAATTTTAGCTTGTGGTAATGCATCGATTTGACACTCAATTTTGCCTGTATCGTTTTGATTGACCGTAATTGATTGTGGTTTTTTAATAAATGTTGGTTGTTTTTGTATGGTAACTTTACTTTTCTTAGTTTTAATTAAACCAGCAGCATTGGTTAATTGTGCTTGATATTCTCCCATATCATCTGGATTAGCATTTTTTATAATAAGAAAATATTCATTTGTTGTTTTATCTTCTTTGAATTCTATGCGTGTATCAGTTGCTACTGTTATTTCAGTATTATTTTTAAACCATTGACATGTTGGATGTGGATTACCAGTACCAGCTATTGATAATATAAGATCTTCACCTTTCGTACCTGTATAATTTCCATTGAGATCACGAGTTAAACTTGGTTTTATGGCTATAGAAACAAATTTAATTGAAAATAAAGTGAAAGATATTTTATTTTAAACTTACGTTTGATAATTAAATTAGCTTTTCCTTCAACATCCCCAGCAATATTTGTTAATTTAACTGAATAAACACCTTTATCATCCATAGTTGTATTGCTTATTGTTAATAAAGATAATGTTGGTGTTTCTTGTGTAATAACAAGTCGTTGATCGTCAGCATGTGAAATAGGTTTTCCATCTTTATACCAAGTTATTGTTGGTGTTGGATGACCAGAATATTGGCATAGTATACGAGCAGTTTCACCAATATTAACTGCAACATCAGCTAATTTATCAACTTTAGCTTTTGTGCATACATTTACTTTAGCATTAGCCTGAACTTTCTCAACAGGATTTTCAGCTACAACTGTATATTCACCTTCATCAGCTGATTCACCTTTAAGAATAGTTAATGTATATATTCCATCTTTTTTTGCATCAATTTGATGCTTGGCTGCTGTTGATTTAAGTGGTTGACCTTTAAATAGCCATGTGACTTGTGGTTTTGGAGTACCAGTTATTTCAGCAGTAAGAACAACAGATTGACCAACGAGAAGAACAGAATTAACAGGAGGCTTAACAATATGTGGTGGACCTTTGTTTTTAAAGACCAACAACGATGAATTAAATACAAAAAAAAAGAAAGTAAAACAATAAAACATACCTAATATTTCTACATGTCCCTCTGTTTGTACATCTAGATATTTTGCTACATAAACACCTTTATGTTTATCTTCAGTTATGGGTATAATTAATTTATGAACTAAACCATCCACTTGTTCTTGAAAATCAGTGATTGGTTTACCATCTTTAAGCCATTGTAATACAATATTAGGCTTATTAACAGTACATTGTAATTCACATTTATCGCCACGTTTTATTTTTAAGTTTTTCAATTTATCTGTAAAATCAAAGGGTTCTTCTTTAACAATTAATTGTCCACTGGTTTTTGTTGTTTCATCAAGTGCACATGTTATTGTTGAATTATTTTCATTTAGTACACAATCCTTTAATACAAGTCGGCGTGTTTTACCAATCGATAATGTTTGTACACGTTGACTTGATATCGGTTGATCATTGATATACCATGTTACTGGTGCTTCAGCTTCGGAAACATTACATTCGAATGCTGCATTTTTACCTTCATGTACTGTTATATTTGAAAGTGGTTTTGTAAATGTTGCAGGTGGAAGACGTGATGCTCGACGATCTTTGCCAGTACCTGATTTTGGCACACCGAATCCATGGCCATCACCATCTTGTGCATTATCACCACCTGCTCCTCCCATACGTGCTGGGCGCCGATTATAATTACTTGGCGATAAACCTACTAGATCACCAGCTTCACCTGTATTAACATTTATTGACTGTGCATCACCAGTTAAATTGAAATGTTTCAATTGATATTGCCAACCAGGATCACCTGGACCTTTTGGTTTACCTTTACCTTTCTTTAATTTACCCCAATCGGGACCAGCATCCTGACTACGTTGTATAGATTCCCTATATAATTAAAGAGAGAGAAAAATTATATTAATTTTAAAAGCTTCCTATGTTAAAGGAAAAATGCCTACATTTTACGTAAAATACTCTTATAATCAATAACTTCATCTGGTTTGGTTACAATAAAACATGAAACAGGTTTTGTTAATGTACCATGTACGTTTTGAAGTGTAACTGTATATAGGCCAGTATCATTTTGAGAACATTGATTAATTTCAAAAAAATGTGCATCCAATTCATCATCATAATAAAGTGAATATTTTGGTGTATTTTCTGTGAATGTTTTTACTTTGCCCTTTGACCATATAACCAATGGATACGGATCACCTGATACACGACAACCAAACACAGCCGTTTGTCCTTCCAAACAAGAAACTTTTTCAGGTGTATCAATAAATGATGCTGCTTCACCCGAAACTGTAATCGTGCATTTCGTTACTTTTTCGCCACCAGGATTTTTTGAACGACATTCATATATGCCAGTGTCACTTTCTTGACAATCGCGTATCGTTAATGTCCATGTTGCTGTACGTGGATCAAATACAAGAGATATTCGTTCATTTTCATCAAAAACTTGACCATCTTTGAACCAGGTTAAACGTGGCAATGGTAAACCGCTAACTTTAAGAATAGCTTTTAATATTCCACCAACAGGAAATATTGCATCAGTTAAGGCTTGCGTAAAATTTGGTGGTGCCAATGCTGAAAACATTCAAAGAGAAGTACATATGTGTGCACTCGAGAAATTTATGAGAACTACATACGGAATAATGTTAATTTGCCAACACATGATGCTTGCCCAAGTGAATTACTTGCCGTACATGAATATGATCCAGCATCGGTTGATCGAGCATTTGTAATAGTAAATACATACCAACCACTTTTTAGTTCTTTTAATGTATATCTTAAGTCAAAAATAAACAATTTAAAAAATATCACAGTACATAAAAAAACCGAGATTCGTACCGGCCTTTTAATTCGATGGGATTTTGATTAAATGAAAACTCTAATTTTGGATGTGGATATCCTGCAACTTGTACACGTATATCGATATCACAATTTTCTACACCTTCTAATTTCTCCAATCGTTGCAAAAATACTGGTGCTACTTCAATGGTTACTGTCGCTGATGTTTTTGTTGTACCGTGTGCATTGTGTGCTGTACATACATAGAATCCGCTATCTTCTAATTGAATATTTTTAATAACCAGTGAATACGTTCCACGACGTTCTTCAGCATTTATTCGGCCAGGATATAAACTAAAATCCATCGGTATGGCATCTCTAGACCAAACTATTTTCGGTTCTGGAAATGCATGAATTTGTGTTTCTAATCGAGCTGTTCGTTTTACTGGTATGAGTAAATCTTTTAATGGTTGAACTATAATGGGTGGTGATGATATTCGAACATTGATTTTTCCTGTTATACGACCAAGATTATTTGAACATATAATTTGGTATTCACCAGCATCTTTTGCTGTTGCATGATGAATACGTAATTGATAATGATTGCCATCAGATTTTATATTATATTTTGCATTTGTTACCAAATCTTCAGCTAAATAAGACCATTTGATTTGAGGAGGTGGTAAACCAGATATTTCAACATGTATATCACAATCTTGTCCGTCAACAACAGTAACTGTTTCAGGTATAGTAACAAATGTTGGTGCAACCTCAATTAGAACTTGCGCATCAGATACACTTGTTTCATTGCCTAATGTAGCTGTTACACTATAATAGCCAGCATCAGCTGGTGTTGCATTTTTTATTGTTAAGACATGAACTTTATTTCCTTTCATTGATGGAATAATACGATCTGATTTTACTATTGGCTGATTATTTTTCATCCTAGAAAATCATTTTTTTTTGTTAAACTAAGAATTTGAAATATATTAGAATAAAATCTATTAAAATGAATCGTAATTACATTTTTTTTCCACATAAACAATAACTCAAATGTGAAATATTTATAGACTTGTTTACTATTTAACTCCTCGTTCTTCTGCATGATGATCTTTTATCCCCCATCATCATTAATCATTTCCTCGCGTATTCTATTATCTATTTATAGCTACCATATCCACAAAAATTTGTTTTCCAACCTTACCAAACAACTTTGGGTATGCCTTTCTTTATATCAAGTTCACAGTCCAGTGTTAATGGACGGCCTTGTGTAACCGATGTATCACGTAGTGGTCGTTCAAATATCGTCGTTAAACCTAAAAATAGAATCCATTCTTTCTATCGAAATAAACAAATGTTTTTATTTTTGTTGAATCAAACCTGTAATACTAAGATCAATTTCTGCTGAAACTTTTCCAGAAGTATTAGTAGCTGTTATAAGATATGCTCCCATAACATCGGCGCCAGCTTTTTTAATTAATAAATAATGTGTATCATTTTCTGTTCTTAATTGATAGAATTCATTTGATGATATTGCCATTCCTTTTCGTGTCCAAGTAATTGTGGGCGTTGGTGCACCAGTGACTTTAACAAAAAATTCGACACTTTCATTTGGATTAACTTCAGTTGATTTTGATTTATCGACTATGCTTGGTGGACGTTGTTCACCGGTTATTTTTAATGAAACGTCACGTGAAATTTCTGATAAACTATTTTTTGCAAGACATTTTATTTCACCAACATCACTATCCGTAATATTATTGATTCGGAGAATAACTAAACCACGTTCTTCAACGATAGAAATTTTACCACCAGAACGTAAAAGTTGCCCATTAAGAAACCATTGTACCTAAATAAAATAAGTCATTGTATTGAAATTGTAATATCGTAGAAAAAAAATTACTTCTGGCTTAGGACTTCCACCAACGCGACAATTAAATTCTACCATTTTTCCTTTAACAACTGCTGCTGATTTCGGTTCAACAGTAAACGTTGGTGGTATACCTTTCATATCCAATTGACCTTGAGAACGAACGTCTCCTAAACTATTTTTCAATATTAATTCATAATGGCCAACATTTTCTTGTTTGAATTGTTTTATATTCAATACATGGATACTTCCATTTTGTGTACGATCAACTTTTGTAAATATACTTCCATCGTTTAATTTTGCTGAATCAATAGGTTTTCCATCTTTACTCCATTCTTGTTCTGTGTCATATTTTGATTTACATGTTAATGCACATGGTGACCCTAAATCAATTTGAAATTTTGAAAGATCTTGAACAATAATTGGCTTTTGTGTTATTGGTTGTATTTGATCAGGATGAGGTTGTGTTACACTTGAACGACGTCGTTGAACATTTGCAGTTGGAACTTGTAATTCTGATTCTTCAAAAGCAGCTCGTCGTCGATTAATAGAATGTGCAGATTTTTTAACTTGACATGTACTAACTGTATGACCAAACGTATTTTGTGCTTGAGCTTTATAAATACCGAGTTTTCTATGTTTTGAACTTATATGTAATTGATGACGAGCACTTTCAGGATTTAATGTTTCAGATTTTCTATCATAGCCATCTTCAAAAATGATTTTACGATCGTTAAAAAACCAAATTAATTCGGGCAATGGATTACCATTAATTATGCACTCGAGACTAATTATTTTTTAGAAAATATATCAATAAATGAATATATACATATATATGGTACTTACATAAGTGGATCATCTTCATTAATAAATAGTTCATTTTCAAGTGGGTGAGAAAAATTAGGCTTTTTTTCAGATATGACTAATGCACTGGAACGACGTCTTGCAGTATCATTAGATGTTTCAATAGACATACTTTCACCTTTGTCGTCACTTGTATTTGAATATAATCTATTATTACTACTAGAAAATATTAGAAAAAAAAAAGAAAATATTAAAACTAAAATCAAAATCGGATTTATTTAGAAATGATCATGACTGTCATTCACAAGGAAATATATTACAGTCGGAATAGCAACGATCAATCATATAAAGATATAAAAGCTTATTGCCTACGAGCAGTAGATCTTATCCAAACTAAGACCAATATGGTTGTAACGAGAGTTATTTTTTCCGAACTAAGATCATATTACGTTACTTCGTCTATTCATTTTACTTGTTTACGTCCTACTTATATCGAACAGACTAAAATAAATTGTTGCGTTGATGAGTATGTTATTTTTGGTTTCATACTAAGAATGGGTGGGTACGAACACAAGACAGTGTCAAGGAAACATTTCGAAGAGTTTTTGCAACCATCGATTGTATTCTAGATTTTTTTTCTTTAGATGTTCTCGTTAGCCTGGTAACAATGTAAATACCAATGTTTACCAATCGTGTGGGTGCAGAACCTTTGTACAGTGAAAGAAACAGAAAAAACAAGAAGAAAAAAGGAACATTCTTTTTCAGTCGTTTATCTCCACCTCCTTGTTCGACATTTCTCTAATTCCTTGTTTCCTCTACCAAACCAAAGGTTGTTTTTCCTCGTTACTGCCATTGCGACATGCATCTGTAATCGATTCGTCTCCCTATTTTTCCTGTCTAGGAAACTATGCAAACTGTCCAATGCGTTACTTTCGTACTTAGATTACGCTTGTGTTTTCTCTATTTCTGCTCAACTGCTGACAAGGAATGATACTGTTATTCTTGTACATTGCCTAAGACCACCAACCGCATTCTATCTATTTTCAACAACACAAGCTCTTGTGTACATGTTATTCGCGTATAATTGCAAGATAGATCGTTGATGAAAAATAAAACAAAACAGCAATAAAGACTAAATCAAACAGGGGCGAAAAATTAGTTAATTCTAGATTGTTTGCGTATGTACAGCTTTCTGCATAAAATGTAGATCTATTAGAAAAATAATAAACACAGATATTTTTATATTATTCTTAACTATGAGTTTTTCATTAGCTAACAGACATGCATGCGTTTGTTTATCTTAGAGAATCAGTGGTCTTCACTAAATGTTTAGAATTCAATTAAAAGGTTTTTTATCAAAAACAAGAGAACAACTTCTAATGTTTCAGTTCTAATCTTCTTTGATAAATATGCATTTATTTATCTCTATTGCCACAAGATAACTTCATAGTAATATTTTATGTGGGTGTAATTCTTAATATGTATTGGACAGTTAGTTCTTTTTGACAATGATATCACTGAAATTAATGAGTAGAACAATAGTCTTATATATTTTCTATAGAAATACCATTGAAGTTAATTAAAAAAGAGTAATGAATACGTAATGACCTTGAAAATCCCAAAATATACATAAAGCAATTTTTTCTTAACAAAAAAGAAAGAGAATTCGTACTTAAGCAAGCAATAACTAGACTGCTTAATGTACAGAGATATATTTAGCTTAGCCGTTTATTACTTATGAGTATTGGCTTTGATCAACTTTTATGCCCCAATAGAGATTGTTTTCAGCAGCATCATACAAACAAAAAATAACTATGCTGATGAAACGCATTCAATTACGTGATGAATATAGACAATAAACAGAAATATATCATAACAGTTTTTGTCTAAAGTGGCACAAGTAATACGGATAAATAGAAAGTTATTGAAAGTCAATTATCAATCGTCTTATAGTTTACACTACATGGAGGTGAAAGGAAATAAGTATATGAGCAGTTTTTGCTTCGACCATTGACATTGAAACTATAAGAAACTATATGTCTGAATAGATTTTAAAAAATGATAGTTAATAGTGCTATGTATTCCAGTATATCATCTTAGAAGTTATATCAATTAGCACAGTCAAAAAAAAGATGTCGTGAAAAACCGTCAGTCGTCGAGTAAATTAAAAAAAAAAAAGAACGATGATTGAGTCATTTATTTCGACATGATACAAATAAATTCTGAATAGTTATCTCTAGGTACCTATCTAAATAGCTTAGTCTTGTATATCTGTGATTAGAATACTTACTCTTTTTTTGAAGGTATCAAATTCTTGTTTGCATTTATTTTCTTCATTGGTGTATGAAATTGAATAGCTATAGATTCTGAAATAAAATTATAATTCAATTTATATAAATATGCTGCTGTTTGTTTGAATATAAATACCTCGTCTAACATTGACTTGTGCAGCACTAACAGCTTCACCTAATTCATTCTTGATTATGACTTTAAATCTACCATCATAATCCGTATTTATTTTATCGATCGTTAATATTGAACTAAATGTATCAATATCATTCGATCGATCAATATGTAGATTGGATGAAGGTACAAGTACATTCGATTTATAGTACCAAGTTACCTATGTGAAAGAAGAAAAACAGATGATCTTCTAGTATATCGATGTAAAAAAAGAATTTTTTTATTTGTTACCGTTGGTTCTGGTTGGCCGATAAAATGAACTTCGAGTTTCAGTTTATCATTATTGTTGATTGCGGATGTTGGTTTAAGACGAAGAGAAAATTTTGGTCGAATAAATTCCTGTTTTAGATAAGTAGTGTCGATGTCTGATAATAATTCTTGTTGAGAATTAGGCAGTTGGGTAGATGATAACGATTGGTCAGATGATTCATTCGATGCTGGTTGTTCTTTTTCAATTTTATCATGAAGTTTTTGTAAATCTGATACATTGTCTTGTGAAGAGTTCTGTTTTTCTGATTTAGAAGAAATCTGATCATCTAATGTTATTGTTTGCTGATCGATTGATTTTGATTTATCACTAGTTATCAGTTTTTGACTGTTTTCAATAGAACTAAGTGATTCGATTTTTTTCTTCTTTTTGATTAGTTTAGATTTAATATTCGAGTCAATTGACTGTGAATTTGCAATAGGTTTATGTTCCAATGTAAGAACTTCATTTTCGGTTGAAGGCACGTTTTCTATAGTAATTGGTATTTTTGCTGATGTTAAATCTAGTTTAATAGCATCATCATCATCATCTTTTAGTTCAATAGCTGCATCATGTTGTAATTTTTCGGCTGCAGCAAGAGTAATCGACGGTTTTTCTAACGATGTAATTATTGAGACATCTACTTTTGTTATTTCATCAAGAATTTCTGATTTAATATCTAAGCATTCATTACAATCATTGCTAAGTGAAATATTACTGGAGTTATCCAGCGACGATGATGACGATAAAACTATTGGTATTATTTCTGAGCTACCTTCGATATGAATAAGTTTTCTTGGTTCAAGTGAAGCTGAAAGAACGTGCTGAACAGTTCTATCAGGTATTCGTTGTTCATCTATATTTGTTGTTTGATCTGGCATTGTTGCAAGTGGTAATAAATCTAATTGAGCAGGAACAGACAATGATTCGAGTAGGTCACTTGATAATTTATCATTCATAACTGTACGATATGTGGCAGAAGTTTGTTCACAAGTCAACGTATCTAAATAGAAAGCAAAATTGATTAGAAAAACTTCATAATATTAATCTACCTTGTCTTATTGATACAGAATCTATCTGTATATTTGACATAGGACAACATTTAGATGAATCAATAGGTAAAACTTCTTCAGTAGTAATTATAATAGTATCCATTGTTTTATCAGTTGAATGTGCTCTGCATAATGGCACATCGATAGTATCAATGCTTTTGTTGGAGACAATGTCAAACGACTTTTCAGTTTGATGTTGAATGGATGGTGAGACTTCTTTGTCAATGTTGTTTGTCGATGAAAGGATTTCACTTGGTGCTTGAATTCCAATAATTAAAGTTTTCTTAGCTTCAAACAATTCATCGTCGACATGAATTCGTTCGATAACTTGATCGATACCAGTGGATAAATCTGTTGAAACTAACATTGTATTTTCATTTGTTTGACTAGGAATTTCAACCAAGTGCAATGGATCATATAATACTTCTGATAGTATTTTCTCTTCAAAGGATTTTCTAGATTGAACACAATCAATTTTATTACGATTGACTAGATTTTCATCGACAATCATTCGATTAGCCGTAGTACTTGGTTGTATGATTAATGTTGGTCGATCTTCAATTTCTTCCATTGATTTATCAGTTACAGAAATATTTATAATATTAACTGAACTTATATCTAGCTGATCTTTTATATATTGTTCATCTACATAATCATCTACTGATGAAATTAAATTTGAAATTCGACTTGACGGCGATGGAACACATGAATCTCGATCAACTATAATATCAGACCATTGCTCAACATTGTGCAAAGCTTCGTCAAGTGAATTCAGTGACGATGAAATAATTTGTGATTGTTCAGTTACACTGAAATCATTATCGGTTACTGAATTTGACTGTTGTTGAGCAAAATTTGTAGTAGAAATATCTTGAGTAGGAATAATATTTGGAATGTCCTCATAAATATGTTCTTCTAGAGTATCATCGATGGGTGGCGGAGGTGGAAGTTCGAATTTAATGCGAACAGTTGCATCACGTCCCTTATAAAATAAAAAGATTAACTTTGGATGTTTCTTGCATACGAAAAAGTCACAGTGGATTATAAATTTAAACTTACATTTTTTATCTGATGATTATTTATTGGAAATCGTGTTTTAGCATCTTCATTTTCACATTGTTCAATGGGTTCAACATGTTCAAATGTACATGATGGATCAAAATATGCAATATGCCGTTGACCGTACAAATCTTTCACATTTACTGCATCCGTTTGTGCATGTTGTTTTTCTTCATTTAATCGTCGTTCTTTGTTGATCTATTTAAAATTCAAAATGAAAAAAATGCATTTGAAAATAATAATAAATTTACTGATGAGTATATTGGTGTTTCATCTATAATTGGTGGAAGTCTCAGTGGTTTTCCATTAAGAAATTGAGCTTTAAGATATTCGTAATCTGATGATTCACTTGACGATATATTATTTATCGTTGAAATTCTTTTATGAGTTGATTCATTTGAATAAAGATGATAACCATTATGATATTCGTCTATCTTTTCTGAGAAAGCATCTTCGATTTCTTGATATTCTATAGTAAATATACATATATATATATATATACGTTATATATCAAATCAATTGAAGAAAAATAACCAAATCTATGATTTACTTACCTTGTGTACTATCATCCGTATTTGCTGTCTTAACAATAACAATTGTTTGTGTTGTAGCACGTCCATAAATATTTTCAACATAGAATGTGTACAAGCCTTGCAGTTGTGGCGTAATCGATTCAATAATTAAGATCGATGAACAATCTGCGTTAACAACAAATCCATCTTCTATGGCTCGTGACGTTTGACTATTTGAATGTTGCACTTGCCATGCACAATGGCATTGATCTGATGGAGAAATATATTCAATGAGAAAATGTAATTGTTCACCAGAAGAATATCGATACGAAGGTTTAAGTAATCGTATTATAGTTGGTGGCATACAATGATTGAAAGATGTTGCTATTGACCATGAATTATCAGTTGTTGATCCTCTTTCATTTGTTTGAATGGATTCTTCGTAAATTTCAGTTGATGCGTCTATAATAAAAATAAAGTTCTGATGAAAATGTATTCAAGAAAAACAAAAACTTCAATTCTATTTTATATTTCAATCTTTGAAAAAGTAAAAATAAAAGAAACTTAGTTCTTTTGTTAACTATTCTAAAAACTAAGTACGTAGCTATCTTATTCAACAGCGATACTAATATCAATCTTCAAATAAATCATGATGAAGTGTGAAAATTTTGATAGACGTGTACTAATGATCGATCAGGTCAAAGATAGCTCGCTAAATGCTGAACTTATTCTCTAAAAAAATTGATTCTGTCTAATAGAAAATGTCTGTAATTTAGAAAAGAAAATTCATTTTTGTGTACTCCAAAAAAATGAGTACACTCTAGATTCGGTCAGTGTGTCCGGCCGTCCGTTAGCACGATAACTTTTGAAAGCCTTATCCAATTGTTATGAAATTTTGTACACAGAATGATCTCATCAATATCTCAGTCGAGTTCGAAGATGAACGCAGTCCGTCAAGACTTTGATGAGTTACGCAAAAAATATCCTACTTTTCTATGTGAATAGTGACCTATTCTATTTTATTATAATTTGTTTCTCAAACGAGCAGATTTATCATAATCAAAATAATTCTTCAACTGTCATATACCATTAGATTGGGGATTTCATGGGCTGCAAGATGATGCTAAATTATAAGGGTAAACAAGTTGCTCACAAGATTCCTCTGTATCAGTGTCGAAAAACTCATATATCTTGATAATGTGCCGGTGTGATATTTGTTTATTTTTCATATGAGTAATACCAATTTTTTCAAAGTAAATAGAACCCGTCACTTCGGAACAGTCTTTATGAGTTGTATCTTCAATAGTGTATTCGTTCCTCTTTCTAGTTTTGCTGTGCATGATATAAAACATTTACGACGAAATAGGAACAGAAAAAAATGGATGTACATTTTTGCTTTTTGAAGTACACATAACAATCGGATGCAAATCCGATGTTTCCGCATTTATTCTTTAACTTACTATCAACAAAAAGGTAAGCACTGGATTCATCATGTAATTTTCCATTATCAAAACTAATATGAATAGTGTAAACTTTTTCGTCTTGTTGTTGACATTGTCGTATGTCCATCCAATAACGACTTTCTTCTGGTAAAGAGCCAAATTGATATTTTGAATTATTATCATTTTTTATACATATATCATTTAAACGCCATTCAATATTTAACAATGATCGATCAATGGATTTCGATGATGATATTGATATTAAACGTATTTTAGCTTCAAATCTAGCTGAATCACCATGACGTACTGTTATAGATTTAAGTTCTTGTTCAAATCCGATTTGTATTGAATCATTTCGCTTGTATTCATCTTGTTCATCAACGGGAGTAAATTTTAATAGAAAATCTTTGTCAATAGTCATTGTCTTAGAGAAGAAGACATCTAACTAGAACGAAGTCAATTGATAGAGATAGACGATAGTAACGAATATTTTATAGGATAGTAAATATGAGATGAATGACAAGAGTACTGTATGTTTAGTTACTTGATCGTTGGTCAGCAGTTGTTGAAATGATATAATCATAGAGACGAGAAGAGAAGAGAAGAGAAGAGAAGAGGGAAAATATGGATATCAGCAGTGTTCTAAAAGATCATCGGTTAGTGGCTAAAACACAAGAGGAATGCGTTCTTCTTTTCTCATTATTGCTATTTAGACTCGTTCTTTCTTGACTCGTATAGTTATTACAGATATAGAAATACAAGAAGAAGAAGAAGAAAAGAATGACCGATATGACCGTATTTTATATATAGTACCACAATAAAAGTATAGCTAACCACTCCTATGAACCCATCTTGTTGATAGATATTGATCGACAATGTGCGACAGAAGACTCCTGATAAGAAGGCATATTGAGTCAAGAGAGTACGTGCTTTAACAAAAAAAAGTCATGTAATGAGAGAAGTAATAATAATTGAGAATAAAAATAAAAATCTTCTAAAACAAATGTTCTAATTTATAGAAATAATTGTTTTTATTGCTATAATAATAACTAAATAGCTACTATCAAAATCATTCGATTTCTAAACAAAACGATATTATTGCATAACTTATGTTTTTTTTCCAGACAAAACAAAGTTAAGATCATTCTTTTAGGGCGCTGCACAAAAACTTTATGATGCAACAACTTGTAACGTTTTCTTTTTGTGTATACCATGCGGTCGTTCTTCCTTATGAAAATCATGTTTAATAATACTTGTACATAGCATTATGTGAAGATCTCATTTGTCATTGAAGTAAAAAAAACGAATGGAAAATTAATATAGTTTGCCAAACTTGTTCATTGCTTTTCTTGTCTTCATCTCGATAGACACTATAATCAGCTGAATGAACGTAATTTATAAGTCATTGGCATATAACAATTAATGAATCGTAATAGCGGTGTTTATCATAGAATAGTAATTGTTGCTCATCTTTGAACTAAAGAACACGGCGTAATTGATGTCTACAAATGGCATACGGCAATAGAATTCTATTATGATTGTGACAGACTATTACAACTGATGAGTATGTTGCAAAAACAAAAATAAATAGATAAAAATGTTCAATCATATTTATTGTATTAAACTTCGTAGGAAAAATATTAATAAATCATTCGTAAGATAAACGAGACAGATCGAATGATTAATGAAAGAAATTCAAACAAACGAATACTAATTGAAACTAAGTAGATTTTTCTTGTGTTCGTTTCAATCAGTAGACTAATATCGTTGGTTTAAATTTATTAATTAGCCGATAGGGATAGAATAGACTCTTGTATATATAGTCATGAAAGTATCGTTTATTTGGTAGAATCATTTCGTTGTTATTGTTATTCTTTCTTCACATGTTGTAACATTTTATTTTCTCCCCCTATGATGATATTCTTGCATATGTATATGCATCAGTATGCCGTACGGCATAGTTTCACTATTATCATGAGCGTTAATAAGAAACGAATGAAAAGTAAATTAGTATAGAGTACAGGATGATCATTTGTACAGTGTGGTATTGTTATTCAAAGATTAGATTGTTGAGAAATACCAGAAGACGATGGCCAATAGAAAATTGCATATGCTAGAATTGAGTATTTGTTATCGTTTTAGAAAGTATTTCTGTGAATCATTAAGATTCTCTTCAATCTATAATTGTAGCAACACAAAACGAAAATATATTATTATTTCAGAACTTTTTATTTTAGACTATTGATCGAAAATAAATTTAAAAAAAAAAGTATGAAAATAAATCAAATAATGGAAAAATAAAAACATCGTTGCTGTGCAGCAAAATAATAAGAATTAAATTTCATTTTTTACAACTAGCCATTAATTGTTTAGCACCTGGATATATAGAAATAGGAAAGAATTTGGTTTTTATTGTTCAAATGCGGTTCTCAAAGTTTCTTACCACCAGGTACGACACGTCCAGCCATATAAAGTACTGGAACTTTAGTCCAAGATTTATCACCTATATAGACAAATTTTCAATAAGAAAAGCTAAAGCAATCTATTTTTTAATTTCAACTTACGATTATCAATCATTAATTTGATTTCTAATGTTTCAACAACATTATCGATACTTGTTGCTTCACAACAATATGAACCTTCATCACATTTAAATACAGAACGTAAATAAAGTATACATTGACCTGTTCTTGGTTCATAGCGATGCCAAACACGAACGCCTCTTTTATCAACAAGCTCACCTTTTGCATACCATGCAATAGATTTAATTCGTTGATGACGGACATAACACTCAAGAATAACATTATCACCTGAACGACATTTGTATGCTTCCGAGAGACGACTTAAAAAAAGTCGATCATTATTTGAATTTGATTTTATCATTATATGTACGACAAGATATATAAATATGAAAACCAATAATCAAATTTGTTTGATCAATTACTTCTCGTACGTCTACTTATGGGAATACGGCGAAGCAAAAACAAGTGTGAATAGAGCAATTCTCTCAATAACAATAATAGTAATAATAATAATAATAATAATGATAAAAACAACAACAACAACAACAAGAAGAAAAAAAGAGCGACCACAAATGTTAAGAAATGCTGCTGTGCACGAAGAAGGTCACACAACAAGAAAAAAAAGTTTCCTATCTATAGCTATAATCGTTTGTTTCCATCATAGTCACACGTAGATTTACAAAATGATTAATAGGCTAAGAATGAGTTAACAAAAATGGAATGAACCAAACCCGCCTCTCTACTATCAATATCAACTAAGCATTTCAGTGATTAATTCGGTTGAAGTATGATTATGTTCTTTCAAAATGAATGTTAATACTGATCTTTTTTCTTCTTCTTTAGCTCCATTGTACTGCAGGACAAAATAGAGTATCAACTTTCTATGTTTGATTGTGTGACATATCGACTTTTATCATCTAATGTTAAACGTCAGGTGATTTGTCACTGGTAGACACATTAGATGGATCAATTCATCGTACCCAATATTCATATACGTAAATGTATTGTTGATTATATGGAGTATGACGTTATTCCTTTATCGTTATTTTATCCGTCATAAAAGATCAATCTTTTTATTTTTCTTGCAAAATATGCAAATATATTCTTAGAAATATCAATAGACATAAACAATGTTTTCCTCAAAATAAAACCAATCAGTATCGAACTATTAGCAGTATGATGAAGATAGTTATTCGACGAGCGAGAATCATAGGCGTGTTTTTATTGTTGAATCCTACTAAAAGAGCAGCAAAGTCGAAAGATATTGAAAAACAATATAATTCATTATTAGCCTCATTTTGCTGTTTTTTCCTCTATCAGCTATTGTATTTATCAAATAAACAATTAGATAACAATGCATTTAGTTAGTTACAGATAAGTTTTATAGGAATCAAATATTCGAACAAAAAGAGATGATTTTCTTCCGGCTAAATAGTTTGAGGAAAAAAAATCAATCTATATGTATGTGTACCAACATAAAACATCAACAAGAAAAATTCATGATAAACATGCCTCTCTGTCATAAAAGATAAGATCAAGTATAATTATTCTAGAAAAAAAAAGGAAGCTCGAGATCTATATACGAATATTTGCAATGATGATCATACTACTAATAGAAAACAAAATAGTTAAATTATTGAGAAAAAAAAGCACGATGTTTTTTGTCTTAAGCTAAGAACGCTGAGTTGAACAAAGATTATTCAATATCTATCAGTTATTTTCACTAATCATTCATATGCAACAATGAAACAGATCAAATATCTTATCAATACGTATATTTTAAAGCTGTCACATAAATCAGCATTAACATATGAATTTTGTCTCTCATCACATAATCTATTGAATAAGTTCATTACATGAAACATCATATTAATAATACCCCGTGTTGATAATAGTTATCACCGAGCTCGTTATTGTTACATTGCATCGCATCATTTTAAATTCATCTATTATTAGTAATTTTCTCATTTACTTCTACGATTCCAGATTGGCATGTTTTGGTGTGTGGGCATTTTGTTTTTTCTTCTTTTCTTTTCTTTCCGATAGAAATAAACACTAGCAAGTACAAAAATAGATCCGCAGCCTACAAACATCTATCTGAATCAGTATAGATAGAAAAAGACATGTTCTATAGCATGTTTTTCTATAATTATAAATCCGCCCTTTTTCCAAACCAGAACAAACAATAAATAAGTAAACATACATACATTTCCTTTACTATAGTTAAGTGGGAAAACAACTGTCGCATGTAGTATATTTCGTTTTTTCTATTCTTTTTCGGTCACTCGCTAAATTTTTAGTGATAGAACAACTAACAATGAAATAAGTCAACATCGTTCTATCCGAAGTTTCCGGAATTTCTCATCTTGCCGGGTCTATTTCCGTTTTTGTTTTCTAATGAGGATTATCTAGTCATTTAAGAGCCTGTTATTTGAGTTCGATTAATATGATACTTTATTCTAAAAATATCTTTCTCTGCACGAAGAATATTTCTTTTGGAATAAAATGGTATTTCTTTTTTTTTTTGTCACCAATCTTCACACACACGCGCACACACACACACACACACACACACACACGCACACACACAAACAAGTGCACAGAGAAATAAAAACGACATAGATACAGAAAGAGAAAGATATGAGTACAATTGCAATTGTATGGAAATAAATAAATGTTGAGTGACAAATAACAATAATAATTTTAAAAAACAAAAGAAGAAAAAAGTGTTTACGACTGTAAGTTATGATAAAATATCAACTTCAATGTCTTCATCGCATTTTGTCAGTTCAAGTACTTGATGATGTTGGGCATTGAATAAGCCTGACCGATGTTCTTTTGCTGCTTGTCTTTGTTCTTTACGTTGTCTTAATTTGAATGCTTTCTCGATACGTTGAGATAGCGGATCACTATTATTTGATGACAATGATGAATAACCATCGCTTTCATCATTCATAGAGCCTCCATTACTGATTAAATTGAATTTAATTATATTTTTTATTCTTCTATGTTTATCATCATTCATAGCAGAGAAATCTAAAACGAATTCTGTTTGATACGGTAATAATTGTGGTCCATCAGGTTGTAAGATTCTTATAATTTCTAATTGTTCGCGTCGGCCAAGTTGTTCATTGATAATTCGTGTTAGTTCTTCGGTCGCAGATGTTTGCTCATCACATGTCATTTTAGACCATAATTTTGTTGGTAATTGCCGTCCATGATTATTCGTACGACTTTTTGCTCGATTTTTTGGCGATGATGGCGCACTACGTTGTGGTGCAGGTAACAGACTAGATGGATTAGGAAATTGTTGAAATAGAGAACGCGTATCGTCTAATTCGGAAAAATCACCATTCTCAAAAAAATCTGATAGATCAGATGTACCAATAAAATCAGCTTCGATGCCAAGAAACAGATCATCAACAACACCTGAACTATTACAACCAGTTATGTCCATATATAAATCATCAGAACAAACTGACATAGATTTTGATGATGTTAATTGATTAACAGATGATTGCACGGTATTTAAAGCAGCTGTTAAATCTGGTTGGGAATTACTTCGTGACATAGATGCAAGCATATCAGAATTAAGAAACTGTTGAATGGATGTTTGACCATTATTGGTAAATGACAGTGGTTGATGAGGCGGAGTTTGCAAATGAGGAGGATTTATTAATGTGGTCGTGGAATATGAATTGTTACGCATACGAAAAGATGGATAAATCCCATCTTCGATATTATCTAATAAGGATTGCATGATCTGAAATTAAGAGAAAAAGAAAACAAAATACAAGATCAGTGGAATTTGTTTATTAACAACAATAACAAAAAAAAGAACTGGCATTTTATTCTAATCAGTAAACAATGTTCTTTTACACCAAAATCTAGCACGATAATCATCTGAACATGTAACAAAAGCTGCTGCTGTTGGACTATGTACAATACATTTAACTGGAGCATTATGTCCTAAACCTAGTAGACGTTGTCGTTCAGCATTTCTTGAATTCCAACAACATAATGATGTTGCTTTCTCATCAGGATAGAGAATATAATCTTCAGTATGATTGAATACACAAGTCGCACGATGTTCTTGTTTTGCTAATGTACCAGCACCCGTATAATGAATTAAACAGCGCTTAAAAAACAATTCAAACAATTTTTATTTATCAATATCATCGAAGAGAATATGATTATTAAAAAAAAGAAGAAACTCCACTTACAGCTGTTGATAATTCCCATAGACGAACTTGTGAATCTTTTCCACTTGTTAATAAATATTTTGAATTTTTCGTAAACATAACTGAACAAACTTCTTCGCCACCATGTGCACCTTCAAATGTATTTATACAACGATTGGTAACACCGTCCCATATTTTAAATGATCCATCTTTTGATGAAGTAGCATATTGCCGTCCATTTGATGCCCATTTAACACAAGTTACAGCTTTTGTATGTTGATCTTGTGGTTGTGTCGAAACAAAACATCGACCTGTTTCAACATCATATAAGCGTGTAACAGAATTTTGTGTACCAACAACAAGCCAATCACCACTTGGATGAAAATTTAAACAGCGTATCTGATCAACTTCACTAATTGAACGAAAAGATTTTTTCGTTGTTGGTTTAGCATATTCAAAAAACTTTATTGTATAATCACGTGAACCAGACACAAGTATAGGATCGTATGGATGAAAATCTAAACATGTGACTTCATCAGCATGGTCGTATAATGTACGCATTACAGGATGATTATCTAATGATGATTCTATTGATGATGGAGCATAGTCAAGACCAAAATTATTTTTGATTAACATTCTAAATTTATAAAAACAAAACATAACTGTTTAGTTAATAGACAAATTCTTCAATTTTCTTCTACCGATCAACATCAAGAATTTTGATAGATGCATCAGCTGAACCTGTTGCAATAACTGATCCAGTCGCATCAAATGCAGCTGCACGGCAAGGTGCTTTATGAGCAGTGACATAGAATGTTTCATATGAACCAGCATCGGGACTTGTTATAGGTGAATCAGATTGATAATCAAAATCAAGACCTAAGAAATAAAACAACAATTATTTTTTATAATTGACGCGAGGAAAAAACAATGAATAAAATCTTACCAATATCTTGAACATTATCAGAAACAATAATCGATGCTTTGCGTGTTTGTTCTAATTCTTCTTCAGCTTTTAAACCCAGTCGCACAATATGTGTTAATCGATCAGAGGGTGGACATGGTGGTGATGTCTTCACAATAGACGAAATTATTGAAGAATATAAAATCATGAATTAATATTTACTTGAAGAAGATTAGAAAGTGATACAGCTAGTTGTTGATGACCATCATAAAATAATTGTGATATAATCAGGCGATATGCTGTTTCACGTAAACGTGTTTCACTACGAATCTATTTTTAGTCTAAGATCGATTTAACATTAGAAACAAAAGGTTTTCTACGTACTATTTGTGGAATATTCAATGCGCCAGGTGTGGTTACTGAATCCATAACTGATTATTTCGTGTTAGCTGGAAAATGTGAAATATACAACGACGCAAAGTAAGAAAAGAAAAATGATGCTAAGGAAAAGAACGACAAAAAAAAGTCCGAACACGATGAGAAACTCTTATTTTCTTTTTTCTTAGCCTTTTTGTTGTTATTTTTGTTTTTGATTTTTTCATTGGTTGTTATAAATAACTTATCTTTGCTTGATCCGAGAATAGTACGTCCAACGGCACAGATGTCGTATAAAATCATTGCATGCATATCAAAATCCATATATATATATATATATATGAATATACATAAATAAAGAAGTAATATTAGAAAAACAACGATATTATTCATTCTAGAATTCTCTTCTTGTCTATTCAATGCAAGAAATCGTGAACTTCATTGCAATAAATAAGAGTATAATACTCATATAAACAAAAATAGTAATTACAATAAAGAAGTAATGATCAACATCTGCTTGTCAAAGCTATATTTTGTAGGATATTCATGGTAATATCTCATGTGAAAATTAAAGATTCTAAGTATATATTTCTATCGAAGAAATTAAATTGAGAACGATGTCTATTTTCACGGGTTCACAAAGAAACATTTTTTTCCTCAAACAAAAATGTGCCTAACAAGATTGTTCGTTATCTTCAGTTATGTTATGAACATTTGTAACCTTTCCGTTTCATACATAATTATAATAATTGTTTGACTAAGAAGTTCCCCATGTATAAATCGAATTTATTAACAATTTATTACTGGTTGACGTTTATATTCTTCTGTTTTTTCTTTTGTTTGATGTTATTTATTTTGAGTAACGACCTGAGAAGAATAAAAATCATTTGAAACATAATTTTAAATATCAACAAGAATAAAAAGTCAATTCGTCTACGATTGATATATTTCGAAAGATATTAAATTATCTTACAATTTATTTATCAAATAATGTCATTTTACATTGAAAAGCACATGTGTAGTGTACTCGTATGATTTTACACTTTGAAATCCGAATCAAAACTACAAGGTTACATTTAGTACAAGTACTGTTACATTTCATAACTGTATGCAACTCACCATTTTATGCATGCACTCCAACAATCTTTCTCGTCGTTTTTTCTCCTCTGTCTCTTTGATGTTCATTCATTCATACTATTCCTTGTATTCATATAAAGTGTGTGTGCATCCTATCTATATGCCGACCTGCCTGTTCGTATTCACACGTGTAGTTATAACGAATAAAGGCGCGGCTCTCTGATTTGAACTGAGACTCATGCGTGTATACATGCAAATTATTCTCAAATCATTATATATCTACTGTTGATTAGATCTCATTATAACCTATGCGCAGAGTAGCGGCAGTCGGCGGCCCATTCGACCGCGACACTGATTTGTATTCAATAGAACGATGACACACGTTCGATTGACCGTTACATTGCGTAAGATATACATAAATACATAAGGTCAACAATTCATATATTTTCTTGTTCATTAAGATAAATTATTTTTAAATTTATTTGAGAAAAAAAATACCAACATTTGAATATCACATAGAATAGTACATATTTTCTTTCGTTTCGTTTTTTCTCTTGTACTTATAAATGTTCATTGTCAACATTTGAATTTCTGTTGTCATTTTTTTCGTTGTTTCATCGCTTCTCTTCTTTTACACATGCAAAATAATTCATCGGCTTGCTTTACTTTCAAATAAAAAGAAAGAAAGAGATAAAGCAGCAAGAAGGCCATCTTTATATGGATGATACGTGTACTAGCTTTTGTATATGTATCTGAAACAAAAACACACTCATAGAGAACATCGGTTTCTTTGAAATGATGCGACAGTTTCTCGTTTATATCTTTTCTTATTTTTAAGCGTATATTACAAATTGAAATTGATCAACTATAAAATAGACAAAGAGCAGATATGGCTTTAGGGAAAATTTTTGTGTCATTGACAGTTATCATTGTCTGTTAAGTGAGAACAGTTGAATATCACTATATAGCAAAGAAATCATTGAGAAAATGAGAGAAAAAAAGAAGAAGAAGAAGAAGAAGAAGAGAAGCAAGGTCTTCACTACCTTATCTGTGTCACTTCATACATATGCCTATCACCTAACATAGTTGTAATGTTATAAATGACAGCAATATAAATTTCTTTTCTTCTTCTCCTCTTTCATGAACTAGTGTTTGTTGTTTTTAGTGAACTTTATTACAATTGTTGAAAACAGATGATTTGCCACCACTTTAAGCGAGTAATAAGAACAACCGTGTTAGAATGACATCGAAGGAAACACTTCTCTATAAAGAAATAAGGAAAAAAAATTGTGCCTGTTTTTTTGCTTGATTCACATGAATATCAAATTTTTGATTGCGTCACTTCTTCGCGTCATGCATGCATATACATACGAATTAGTGGTCAATCGGTTGGCTTGAACAAACGATGAGCTACATATAGAGTTAACCCTTATATTTTCTCTTTCTCACTCGCAATGTATGCGAATTCTCACCTGAGGGTAATCTTATTTAAATAGCTCCCATGCTGTCTTTTGTCTGCGTGTGTGTATGTATGTGTGTCAGCCTTTCTTTCTTCTCGTTCTCTCTTAGTTGATCGGATATGTACATATTCATCTTACTTACTTTTCCTGTTATAGTGACATGTTGATACACAACTGTTAAACCAGGGACAAATATAATTTAATGCATTCTTATATGTAACATATTTCATATTTAGATAGTGAAACATATTTATATCTTTAATAAAAAGAACTTCAATTGAATACGCGGACGAGAATGACGACTGTAGTAACGAATTCAAATTCAGAAGTATCAACACCAACAAGTTATGTATCACGTTGGATTGCTCAAAGTCATGGGAAATATCACAAGAAGCCTGATGATTATTATTCTTCAACATGTGATTGTCAAATATCATCAAGTACGACAATGGTGCCCATCATGCAAGTACCAACAAATTCAAATTTTAGTCCTCCAATAACAACATGGCATGCACAAGCTCAGTCACGCTTACAGAACACAGCTACTACAATGTTTTCAAATTCATCGTTCAATTTAACACAAAATATTAACAATAATGAATTACAAGAAAAATTAAATCGTGTCAGGTAAAAATATCAATCAAAAGAAAAAAAAGCAGTCAACCATTTCTTTCTTGTCTTTCATTCCACATCCAAACGCAGTTGATTATTTCAATATGGATTCTTTCAATTGAATAATAAAACTATAATGCATTTCATTGTTCTCTCATATAAGCAAGAACGTGATAATAACCATCGTCTTTCACAATAGGAACCGATGTTGAATATTTTCTAGAACTTTGACGTCTTCTTAAATTCATCAAACAAATTATATAATATTGCGTGTCATGTCGTCTTATGCGTATATATTCGCGTTGCTCTCTTTCTCTTTCTCTTTCGTTCAATTCAATTAACAATAGTTGTAGCCATTGACTGACTGATTCTTAACACAAGTCTATGTTAACAAGAATAATAATACGACTCAATATAAAGAAAAAATGAACAAATAACAATAGGAGGATCAATGAAGAATCCTTCTATACGAGACAGACATTGCATGACAGTTGATATGCATACTCACAGATTAAACATAAGAAATTAAATCACACGAAATAAAATAGCTAAATAATAGGCTAGATATTCAACTTGATTAAATATGTGATTTTGAGTACACGCACGCACACATAATATATACATCAGACATGGCATATATGAATGATCAATATCTCAATTCGTATTGTTATATAGATTACCTTGTTTTTAGAGCTTTGCTTGATGCTAAAAAGCAACGTTTATGTCTTCATATATCGTCCGCGCCAAGTTCACATTCAATTACAACTATTCCTCTTGTTACACATTCTTTACAAAATCAAGTGCATCCTAATTCTACAACAACAGTAGGAGATCAATTATCATCTCCTCCTTTGTTGCCTTCATCTTCATCTTTAGCACTTGAGGTAAATAGAACAATAGTTATTATTAATGAACTTCTTAATTTTGGTTTTCGTTTTGTTCAATATTTTCAATCTTTAGAATGTTTATCATACGCACGACGAATCTTTATCGTCGTCAGATTCACAGTATGCTTTTAATACTTGTCATCATCATCATCATCATCATCATGATAATAATAATAATAATAATAATAATAATAATAATAATAATAATAATAATAATAATAATAATAATAATAATCATTTATTACCATCAATTTTACCGTGTCTTATGGAAGAATCACCAAGTGATTCTGGTTTAAGCGATGGAACAAAAACAACCAATCAAGATGATATTAATGAAGCAACAAGTAAAAATGCAGCTATTATAGATTTAAGTAAACCATTGAGTAAAGAAGAAATGCTTGCTATTATGCAAATCATACGAGAACTATGGAAAAAACAATTCGATTGTGAAATGCCGACAACAGAAATAAAACCAACAGCACCAATAACATCCTTTAAACGCATAGGAGAACTAGCAAAGCAATCAAATAATAATAATAAAATACAATATCATTCGACGCCTTCATTAAATAAATTGAGTGCAGATTTAAATGATATTAAAGATAAATTAAAAAGATTCTCAATCGAGCATCAACAACCGTTGACAGATCACAAATCAACTGGTATGAAGAAAAAGAATTCCTTTTTCTTTCCTCTTATCAATTTTAATTGTTTCTTTCTTGTTTTAGAATTAGAAAATAATCTATTTGAAATTGATGATCATCCTTACTTTGAAGATTCTCGTTTTTTTCCATTTGATACATTATCAACAGTAAGAAAAACAAAATTATCGAAAATTTTCTTCATCATTTAATACATATATTTTTTTCATGAATTTAGCCACAAGAGCTCGAACAAATTCAAGCAAAAAAAGATGCTCTTATTCAACGACAAAATCAACGTCGTGAAGAACAATTGATTAAAAAACAAGCACGACAAGTAGAAGCAACTGAAAATTGCAATGAATATCGTTTATTTGAAGAATATTTAATTCAACGACGACAAGAAGATGAACGACGTCGTACAAATATTTTGCAAGCACATATGGAACAAAAACGTCTTGAGACTGATCCATTGTCATCACATGATTATTATTTTGCTGCAGCTCGTCAACGAGAACGTTTGAAAAGAAAACCTTCTATGTCATCATTTCGTTCATTTGACGATGATCTTAGTTATAGTAGTTCATCAAATTTAATGCAAACACCTAAACGTAATACAACACGCTTTGAATTAGTGTCAGCTAGTTTAACAGCGCCGACAACTGCATCAAAATCAAAAATGAATCGAGCTGCCAGTATTTGTAATATAAATAGACAATATGATTCGTCTACATCATTAAATTCAAAAGCAACAGTACCGACAAGTTTATTTGGTGGAAGTCTAATGAATCTATCAAAAGAACAAACGCCTGCAAGACATTCAATGCATTTAGTGGATGATGCATATGATGATTCACATTTTAGTGCGTCTAGGACATCATTAGCTACATCTCTAACAGGTGAGCCTTGTTTTTTTGTGTACGATAAATATATTTTATTCACTGCTTTGATTGTTTCCTGCAGGATCACGTCTTGCTCGAAGTCAATCATTACTATCAACTAAATCGAATAAACAAACAATACTTAATTCACTTAAACAAGTTGTACTTGCTGGTTCAGCTAATGACAAACAACGTGAAATTATCGTTCGAGTAAGCTTTCGTTTTTTTTTTTTATCATGTAATGATTGAAATATTGAAATGAAACAAAAATTCAGGAAATTGAATCGAATGAAGCTCGTCATTTTGTTCTTCTCTTTCGTGATCATCGACTTCAGTTACGTGCCGTTTATATCTATATACCAGAAACTGATATTATTGAAAAATTATATGGCATTGGACCGAATATAATTACAGAAGTTATGGTGGATAAATGGTTTAAATACAATTCAGGAGGTAAACGCTTTACTAATATACCAATAAAACATTTTTCTATTCAATGTGATGCAATTACTATTTACAATGACTTTTGGCAGAAAAAATTATTTACAAATATAAACAAAATACTTTAATTTATGTTAAAAGAAGTTTTCTTTTTTGTTCTTTTTGTCACATATGACGTTTCCTTCTTTTATGTGAATAGTTTTTATTGAAAAAGATACCTTTTTTGATTGCTCAGTAGATTTTTATTTTAAAATTTTCAGGTGATGAAAACGTAACATTAGACGTTTTCCATGATCGAATTCTTTGCGTCGACGAAACTCTCTCTCTCTCTCTCGCTCCCTTTCAAATAATTCATTTCAAGATAATAATCAACTATATATATAGAGACAAAGTACTATCTTTTTTGTTTATGCTTTAGGCAGCATTTTTTAGCATAAAAAATGATCAATTACGTTGCAACTTTCAAGAACTTTTTACATCTACCAAAAACAATTATTATATTTTCTTTTTTATTTTATTTTATACTAACGAATACGATCAGAACGTTGGATGAAAAGTTATTTACAGTATTTTTTAAAATAAACTAAAGCAGCAATTACATTATTCGATCGGGAAGAATCTTTGATCTTGAAAAATATCCATATCTAAAAAATTTCGATTATAGTTTTTCTTAATTGTGAATAATTAAGACTTCGTAAAATGTTTATGAATGTATTATTGTTAAATGTCTTTAATTTCTTTTGCTTTTAAAAATTTTCACAATATATTCTAATCATTTCAATGCTGAATGATCGATGCTCGCGTATAAAAACTCATCTTACATCGTAACAGAAACTATACTCCAATGTAAGTAAAAAGGTGAACAAAACACCATCGTTCTGTATTTCCTAACTCAAGGTGGTAGGATTTAACTATCTCGACTACGATTATCTTTTCTGGTTATGAATAAAATGTAAGGATGCGTCAGATCACTTCAATATTTATTGAACAGATTTTTATTTGATTGCACTCGAGCTCAATAGTACCTCAACTATTATTACAGATTCTCATTTTCAATCGTATCATGTAAAAATCTGACTCTATTGTCAAGGAAAACCAATTACTCCTGTTGACTTTGATATTTCTTCAAAAAGCACAACAACCTATTTGAATGTAAAACAAAGTGTTATGATAACAGAATGGATATATATATGTGATCCCACACTTGACAGATCTGTAAATAAAAATGACCCGTTATTTAATAATATTGGCATAAGTCTAAAACGAAAGATTGGTTAGTTTTTCTAATAAGAGTTTCATATTAACTAAAACTTTCCTATATTTTTTTCGAATAGTGTAATGAAAACTTCAACGATTCTTGTCATAGAATCAACATCTGTAAAAAAAAAGCAATTCTTCATTTTTCGTCTGTTGATATATTTTTAATGTATATAAAGATTATCAATAATTAAATAGAAATACAAAATAAATGGTGATACAATTCTTCTATCAAATATTTTAGAACCCGGAAGAAGAAAAGAAATAAAATATGAAGATGTTCATGAAGTTGGTTCCGATTTTACAATGTGCACTCGACTAGAAAATGGAATCGTCGATCTTGAATTAGTTGAGTATAATTGATAAGTTAAGAAAATGCCGTTTGTTAAAATAATGTTAATATCAACAAGTATAGTTCGTTGACAGTGTATTCAATGATCGCTGATGATGCAAGATGTATTTGAATTTTTAAATAATGCATTTAATCAAGTCATGCTAAATGTTACAGAAAAGTTTTAAGTTTCAATTTCACTCTTATAAACTTATGAATGAGACTTGACTATAGAATGTACAAACATTATAGTATTTTCCTGATAGATGAATTATCTCTTTTGTATCTATTTCTCGTTGAAAGTTATAAGAATAAGCACGACGAAGTGCCTTATTGTTTAAAATCATTACTTCAGAATTTCACTGCAAATAGATTCCAGGGTTGTCAATATTATAGCGAATCGAATGCCGGTTGTCTTGCTATTAGTATTTCAATATTCACACTGATCGTAAACAATCACATATCTTACAGTTAGAAGCTATTCTATATGAACTGTTTGATATTAGTGAGTAAAAGAAAAAGTCTCATTATATCAGGAATTATCTTCAAATATCATTATCCACTCTTTAACAAGAACGTTAAATTTATAATAAAAAAACACTACATTAGATAAAAAAAAGGAGTTGAATATTCTACATTATGTCTTATCTTTCGGTTCTCCTTGAGCGTTCAAATGAGTATAATTGCAAACTTTTTGTGAGGTTCACGCAAGGGAGAAAGTGCTGACTCCAAGCACCGAATTTTACTATAAAATGTCGAAGGTGCTGGGCAGATGCTGAGTTGGTGCTGAAGGTGCTGAACAGGTGCTAGAGATGCTGAACCATGCTAAAGATGCTAGTAGTTGTGGAAAAGGAACAGTAAAACTAAGGAGAACTATACAACAGGATGACATAATTCTTTGTTAAACTCATTGTTTTCCCTCGATCTTGATGAATACACTAATTCCACAATAAAAACAGAGGCGTGCCAAATTAGGAACCCGAGTTCACTGAAAACCTGTATCTAATTTTATTAGCTTGAGAATCATCGTTGAATTCTAATTATTTTTCACGAGTTTATTGTGTATTCTATGAAAACTCAATTTTTAACATCTCGAGTACCCCTCAAGGATCGAAAAAAACGTTTTGCTCAGATTTTAGTGCAAGTAGTTATATTTTGATAAAGTTAAGTTTCTTGATCACAAATATCATTCTAGATTTTAGAATTCATTCGATACTAATAAAGATCTGAAGCACTCTCGGGAGACTTAAAAACAGCTATTGGCCCAAAGATCCATGAATATTCGATTTATACTGTTTGAAAATAGGTCCCTTCGATACAGAATGTTTTTGTCTATCAGAGTATATAAGAATGACTTGGATATTCAAATTTTGTTTTATCGATAAATGCTTAATACCACTCCGATTGCGTCATGCAGTTGGAAATAATGGTCTTCTCAATTTTATGAAGTGTAGCTTTTCGAGGTCTACCAGAAAGATTTTCTTATCGAATACGTAATTGAATGTGCTCTTTCTAATAAAACTGTTTTCAAATTAAAACTCGTTGTAATGTGAAGCATTTTCGCTCCAATACTACTCTTGGAACCTGATTTCTGTCATTTGTGATCGATATTCGATAGTTTCAAACATATTGATTCCCATTTGACTGAATTTAAATATTATATTTATTTTAAGCACAAAATCTAATTCGATTTAATTATTTCTACAAATTTTGTTTTCAGTCAGATTTTCACCCCTGGTCCCCGTCATGGGTAACGAAAACCAAACTTACCCCAAAAGCCATGTAGACAATGTGAAAAGTTTCCAAACTTTGGGAATGATGTTTGAGATAAAGTAGATCAATTAATAATCAATCAAATAGTTGTTTTGAATAAAATATTTTGTTTTCAGGTGAGCCTGAAGGAGATCAGACGTAAAAATCTGACCGAAAACAAAAATTATAGAAATAATTAGATCCACTCAGATTTTGTGCTTAAAACAAATATAATATTTATATTCCGTCGCATAGGAATTATTCTGTTTGAAGCTATCAAGTATCAGCCAAGCAATGACATAAATTCGATTCCAACACTAGTATTGGACCGAAAACGCTTTACATTACATTGAGTTTTAAGTTGGAAGCTCTTTCATTAGAAAGAGCACATTTAATTACGTATCCGCAAGAAAATTTAACTGATACACCTCGAAAAACTACATTTAATAGGACTGAGAAAAGCAGTATTTGTGATCGTATCATTCGATCGGGGGTGGCATTTAGAATTTATCGAGAGAAAAAAAATTGAATATCTAAGATGTTCTCATATATTCTGATAGAACAATCTTTTTTGCACCGGACGGACTTATTTTCAAACAGTATAAATCGAAAACTCATGGATCTTTAGGTCAGTAACTGTTTTCTAAGGTTCCGAGAGAGTGCTTCATATCTTTCTTATTATTCGATGAAATTCAAAACTGAGACAATACTTGTAATCAGAAAGCTTAGCTTTATGGAAATATAACTATCTATATTAAAACCAGAACAAAAAGGGTTTTTCGACCCTTGAGGGGAAGTCCAGGTGCTAAAAATTGATTATTCATGAAATACACAATACAATTGTGGAAAATAATCCAAATTCAATGATGATTTTCAAGCTAATAAAATTATGTGCAGGTTTTTTTTCCAAGGAGTATGGCATTTCGTACAATGGTTTTTTGATACCTGAGAGAAAGCAGAAGCTGTATAAATACAAAGGTGATAAAATGAAAAATAAACTTCTGAAAAATAATCAGAGCTTAGTGTCAGTTCTCACACTAATAAAAGAAGGATCAAACTTTTTGGTATATCATTTTGCAATATGATATACGATTACTTTCGAAGGATGTTTTTCTTTTTCTGTTGGCCTTTTTTANATAATCAGAGCTCAGTGTTAGTTCTCACACTAATAAAAGAAGAAGATTCAAACTTTTTAGTATATCATTTTACAATTTGATATACGATTACTTTCGAAGGATGTTTTTCTTTTTCTGTTGGCCTTTTTTATTCTGAAATAATTCTTATTCAGATTCTGCGAATAATTCAAGAAAAAATTCACCTCTATTATTGAAAATGAAGGTAGTTTTCCCGATTCATTTCCATATGATTGAAGTAAATCTCACTATAGAAAAGGTACTGCGGGTGCTGAAAAGGTGCTGCAGGTGCTGAGGGTTCCAAACCTGCACTTTCCCCCTTGGGTTCACGTATATTTTCGAAGGCAACAAAGCGACGCATGAATTTTCGAATTCTTCCATAATGAAGAATTCTCAATAGTTCTTCGATTTTCTGCAATATCTATCAGCTCTCGTCACTACTAGTGTTCTATAATATTCATTTATGATGTTTCGCAGGTCAAATTTTCAATGCACTACTTCATCACGATCAGAGACCATCCACTACACATAGACCAGTAAAAATTAGTGCTAATAGCAATAATTATAATCATAAAGAAAAGAATCGATAGACAAAAGTTCAGAAGAAGTATTCTTCGAAATCGAATACGTAGAAAATTCTTATTATATACATTGC